ATAAATTTTTTTCGTTTTGTCCTTGATAACCGAGTTATTGATAAAAAACAAAAAAAATTAAATTCAACCATTAAACTTTAATTAAAACAAAGTAAGCTAAAAACAAATGACTGGCAGGTTGCTATGGTGATGGTAAAATTTTTTAATTCGTTCTGTCAACTTCTGTCATTATTGGCATAAGTAGAATTTTATTTTTTTATTATAAAAATGGATCATTATTATTCTAATCGAGAATACGTTGACATGATAAAATTATTGAAAAAACGAAAAAATTTTATTCTTAAAATTTAATTTGTTTTAGCCCGCTGAATCATATTCTGAAAGGACGGGCGTGAATTTTGGGACACCCTGTATAACGAACGGGGAATAAATAAAATACAAAAAAATAACGTACAACTATTTGGAAACTGTCCAGAGCATACTTCGCTCGCGTATTTCAAAACGAGTTAGTTTATTATTTATATACCGGGGATTCTCCGACTGTTTGTTTTCGTTGTCGCTTTCTGGAAAACCGTTTGTTGTTTCCTGTTTTTCCCTTTAATTCGTTACGGAAATACTTTGAGGAAGGAACTGGGAAAATCGAATGGTATCGACAACACTGTTAGCCGATTAGATGCATTGGAAAAAGTTTGGTTTTAATCGTATTATATTGGCAACACTGCTATATTGTAAATTGGCGTTTTGTCTTGGAAAATTGTATTGTTTTGGGAAACTTGTGAACTTTAAATTCTACGAAATGGCGAGTTTCCTTATAGAAAATTCTAGTTTTTCTCATTAAAAGCGTAGAAAATTTAATGGAAGTTGTTTTTGGCGACTCGCCTACTTCGCGGCTTTGAGTTCATTCGTCATTTACGCACGAATTTTCCAAATATTTTGCCGTTTTTTTCTTATAATTTCGAAATATATTTTCGGTTAATTTACGTTTAGGAACACATCCTGTTCTATTTCTGGCGGCGATTTATTTTTAACCGGGCCCCGTTTATTTTTCGGCATATATCGAAAGGCCCCGGTATAAACAAAATGGAAAATAATTACGGAAATTATTCCATCGCGTCTCTGTCGGCGGTTTCCGCGGAAAACGAACGCTCGGAAAACTCGTATGCGTTTTCTACATACCCGCTTGTCCCACTTCTGAATTCGCCTTGCACGCGAACGTCGCGCAGAATTGGGTCGATAACCGAACAGGCGAAGTCGAGCAAGTGCATTTACCTCTTCTTCTCTTTTTTTTTGCCACTGCGCTTCGACAGACTGACGAATTTCCGAGAGAAATTTTTGCTCTTTTTCTACGATTTATTACGGGCAAAACATGATGGATACGTTTTTTTTTTTGGGAAGTTGGTATCGATTCGAGTTTTGCGTTGGTAGTACTGTTTCGTAAATGTCTAAAATGGTAGATAATTTGGTCGAATAGCGTAGCAGTAAAGGCCTCTATATGAAAGAAGAAGATGCTAGGTAATATTCTAGTTAATTTTGACATATGACAGCTAACGTTGACGTTCGAAAATTAATATTTGACGTGTGACAGGTATATTAAATAGGGAAATATTTAAAATAAATTGATATAAATGACTCTCTAAAGTATAGATAATTAATTTCATCATTTTGGGTTATTATTAAGTGACCTACAAGTGAAGTAAATGCCATTCCTGGGTAATATTGACATTTGACAGCTAACATTGACGTTCGAAAGATAATATTTGACGTTTGACAGATATATTAAATAGGAAAATATTAGAAATAAATTGATATAAATGACTCTCTAAAGTATAGATAATTTATTTCATCATTTTGGGTTATTAAGTGACCTACAAGTGAAGTAAATGCCATTCCTGGGTAATATTGACATTTGACAGCTAACATTGACGTTCGAAAGATAATATTTGACGTTTGACAGATATATTAAATAGGAAAATATTAGAAATAAATTGATATAAATGACTCTCTAAAGTATAGATAATTAATTTCATCATTTTGGGTTATTAAGTGACCTACAAGTGAAGTAAATGCCATTCCTGGGTAATATTGACATTTGACAGCTAACATTGACGTTCGAAAGATAATATTTGACGTTCGACAGATATATTAAATAGGAGAATATTTAAAATAAATTGATATAAATTACTCTCTAAAGTATAGAGAATTAATTTCGTCATTTTGGGTTATTAAATGAGCTACAAGCGAAGTAAATGCCATTCCTGGGTAATATTGACATTTGACAGCTAACATTGACGTTCGAAAGATAATATTTGACGTTTGACAGATATATTAAATAGGAAAATATTTAAAATGAGTTGGTAAAAATTACTTTTTAAAGTTGATAATTGATCATTTTGGGTAGATAAATAAGTAAATAAATGACTTTAGTTAGTCAAAATGACTCGAAAAAGTAGATAAATGTAACTCATATCAAATAAATGGGCCTTTTACAGCACTATTATTGAGTAAACGAATCTTTTAGGCGATGTACTAGATAAAAAAGTGCCTCTTATGATACCTAAACAAACCAAATAATAAACGTATGTAAAACAAAACTGGTAAATGTATGGTATTGTAAACATTTCGAAACAAGAAACAACTACAAATCGTTCATTAATCAAGCACGTCGTGTCATTAACGTTGCGATGGCGAAACGTCTAGTAGGCTATCGGAGAATCAGCAGTGGGATTGGAAACGGGTTTTATTTATCGCTTTGTAAATATCAATTTCGGTTGAACGCCGGATAGTTTGGGATCGCTCTAAAAACGAAAACGATCAATTATCGCCTCGACGACGTTCGAAACTCTAAAAATAGCGGTGAAATAGACGGTAAATTCGAAATGCATTTTGGCAGTCGTCGCGAAATCGGAGTGACCCACAAAAATTTGTCTATTAAAATATTCGAGAGGACGTTTTTTTCTTCATTTTTTGGATCCGATCCAGGAATGATAAAACGTCTATTATAGTGTTTTTTTTTTGTTATTTTCCTTTCTTTCGGTATAAAGTTAATATTATTTATACAAATGTGTTTATTTGATCGCCGAAATTTAGATAAATTGACGCAAATTCTCGCGCCATTCAATTTCCAAATCTCGAGCGCAAAATAAACAAGATAATTTTTAAAGTGTACCTATTTTCACAAAAATCACGAGTGTAATTCATACCTATTCGGGAAATATTCCTCGATTTATTTACCCGATACATAATAAAAATAACGTTACAATTCGGTTATACGATAACGTTTTTTTTTTATTAGAAAGTTCAAGCGTTCCGTTATCGATTTCGGTGAGTATTTTCCATTCAAAACAACATTTTTACTAGAGGTTATCTGGAGGTTAAAGTTGCCGCACATTAATCCGAAGAATATTTAGTTTTTTTTTAACGATTAGCTGCGTTGCGTCGACTACAAAGGCCTTAATTAAATCGATGAAATAAACAGGAAAAAAATGTGAAATTTCGCCTGCATTTCACATCGCTTTTGTAATAGAAATTTTTAGAAAATTCTTTCGAGCCCGTAATGGCCGTTTGCTGTGTTCGCGTGCGGTTTTTATGCCGTTAACGATGTATTTTTTTTCGTGTTGCGTTCGCGGCTTGATGGAAAGTTTTCATGACTGGTTCGAGCGAGCCTTGAACGACAAAAAAAATGTACATTTATAAAATAAAATAAACGACAATAGATTACGTATTTCGCATGCTTCGTTGGTATTTTGAGTCGAGTGGAAAACGATACGAATTTATCGGTTCATTTATCGGCGTAATTATGCGAAAAAAAAAATGTACATTCACACTTCGAACCGGCCCTGTTATTACGAATCGATTACCGACGACGGTTAATTGGTAATGGAGGATTATTAAAATAGGTTCGAAACGTTCTAATTATAAATACGCCCCGCTTTAAATTCAATCGAACTCAGAGATTGGATTAATTTTCTCTCGAAAAATAATCTTTTTCCCATCCCCTTAAGCCGATTCTGTTGGGTTGTGAAACAAAAATTGACAGGTGACAGCCATTTGGAAATGTGGAATATGTACGAAAAAATTAGCACAAAGTGTACTAAATAGTAAATATGTACATATTGAATTAAATAAATATACTCAAATAGCCTTTAATCGATCGAGAAATATCGAAAAAGTTTATTCGAATTATTGCAACAAAATCTCTCGAGTAGGTTTATAAAAAAATTGACAGGTGACAGCTAATTGGAAAATGAAATATTTACAAAAAAACGAGTGCAAAATTCACTAAAATACTCTAAACATCTATTAAATTAAATCAATAAACTCATTTAATCAGCAGAGAAATATTAAAAAAAAGGTCAATTTTATTCGAATTATTGCAACAGAATCTCTCGAGCAGGTTTACAAAAAAATTGACAGGTGACAGCTAATTGAAAAACTAAATATTTACGGAAAAAAAATCGAGTACATAAAAAAATACACTAAATACACAAAGTGTTAAATAAAATAAATAGACGGGATCGCGCTTACCCGGCCGAACGAGATTGGAAACGGTTTTTATTCCGTCCGTATTCTCGCAGAGGACATTCCAAGGTCGACTCGAAATTCGCCGCGTTCGCACGGCGCTCGCTCGCCCAGCCGCAATTTCTACGATTTTCGCAATTAAATAGAGATTAATTACTTATTCAGAGTAATCCAGCGCGTTATCGTCGAGGAATTTAACGAGATAATGGAAATTACAACGATAAACCGGCTAGCCTCGCTTCGATGTTTTCGGAATTGTTTTCGTTACAATGCAATTGCCATTATTATTCACCTGTTTGGCATTATGAAAATGTGACGGGTGACATGTGACTTTGCGGCCGTCACGTTTTTATGTTTTGTGATAAATTCGCTATAATACGCGCTAATTGTAAACGATAATGGTTTTATTGATGAGTTATCGGAATAATTTGTGGTAGTAATTAGAGATTATCCAAGAAATGGGATAGGTTTTAATAGTGTGGGTTCTGCGGTCACCTGTCACCTGCCGCGGGTGCGTTCGTTTGTCGCAATTTATACGACCTATGCGTGTACAAAAAAAAAATTATAATAGCCGACCGGATCGAAACTCGTTCTTCCACAAAACGACGTTATTATTCAAAATACTACGAGAAGAGACGGTAAGAAAAAAAAAAACACCCAATAAAATATCAGTCAACTTGTTGCTGGCGTTCGTCGGTCGAGTTCTCGAACCGTTCCGGCGCGTCGGTTCGGGCGCCTCCGTCGCCGCTCGTCGGCCGTTCGACCCGACGAGTTTTTTAGTGTTTCTCGAGAGATCGAAGAGTGCGCTGCGTCACGCCGGGCCCCGTCCGCGTTTCAAGGACATTCGCTACATTGTAGGTTGGTTTTTTCCGCCCGTTTTTCTCGGGCGAATTTCGTTTCCACGCTCGATCGAATCGAACCGTTAAATTCGACGTGTCGCGATTAGAGGGAACGTGCAAGCGATAGAAAAAATCGAAGTGAGCCGAGTGCGTCGAGTGGTGATGTGAAAGTGCAGTTCGGATAAATCGGCCATATGCTCGCCATCGGGAGTCCCGTAGTGTCCGCAAAACGTTAAACCAGTAAGCGAGTTTCTACCTTACCGTACGCGATTAGTTTCGGGTCGAATAAGGTCGCAAGTCTATCGCTAACAAAGCGCCGTTTATATCTAACGAACGCGCCCGATAACGACCCGAGGGCGGCTAGTTTTAGGTTAGATAACGATGGGTTTTTTTTTACTAAATATCGGTAAACAGATAAACGTTCGAATGCGATTAATCGGTCGTGAATTAGATTCATTTCCTCGAGTCGTGCACGTCCGCATCGGACACGGGAGCGTTCTGATTAGTTGCGTCGCATCGCCGCGAGGGGGCGACACAGCACAGACAACGCCAACTCGATTGTGTGTGTAATGTGTGTGTGTGTGTGAATATGTGTTGTGTATTGTATAGTTTGGAGAATGAATGCAGTCACTGACCTCTTTCGGTTGAAAGGTATTGCGTGACACTGAGATGATTACGATGATGAGATTTTCTCTCTCTCTCACTCTCTCTCTTTCGCGCGTTAGCGCTCGCTCTCTCTCTCGTCTCATCTCATCTCTCCTGCGTTGTTTGTGAACAGGCTTTTGTGTGGAGTCGGTAGGATAACGAAATTGAATCGCTTACTTAAAATAGCTCGAACGAAATTTACATTGAGATTACGAGGCGAAACTACCTAACCTACCTATCTAGCGGTTCGCGGAATGCGATTTCGTTATTAATTGGCCCGGCTCTAACGAGACGTGCGAATTGAATTAACAATTTAAATTTGATCGTTTTGTTGAATTTAAATGACGTATACCCTTGTGTAATTGTGACGTCTCGAGTGGCCCTTTGTTTTACAAAGTCAAAGGCCAGTTGGTAGTTGTTTCGATTTGACATTTGCTTACATAACCTCATTAGCACCTGTCACAGTTAAATAATTAATATCTATTCAAAGTATTATTTAGTATGTAAGTATTGAGTTTTATTATACAAATACTATTATTTTCCACATAATGCAATTCCATGTAAGCTTTTACTATGAAACTCGATAACAATAAATTAGTATTTACTCGATTATCAATCAAAATCAAGTAGGTATTTACGTCAATCGATTCGCTTTACCATTCAATTCAATCGATCTTAATCTAGTTACCTATTTGATTAGTAAATCCGCATTATTTACACATCGTATTGTCGCATCCGTTTATTTATTTATTTATTTATGACCGCCGTAATCGATAAATAAACATTTTCATTTTCATTCTAAATTATTCATCGGATCGGATAATGAGCGACCCGACCGGTTTTTTTTTTTCTCTCGGACGAAACTTTCACGAATCTCCGCCGGGGCCCCTGCCTTGCGTCACAGGACCGGACTAGGCCCCTTTAATCGTTAATTTAACTTAATAAATAGTAATATTTGTAGTAAGGCTTTACGTGTCACACTTTGGTTAACATTGACAGATTGTGTCAATGTCGAATGTTGCTAGATTTAGTAGCTAACTTCACGAATATTTACGTTGTGATTATTAAAAAAAAAAAAGTTAAGTAAGGCGAGGAAATGAGTTTGACCTTGGATTTTATTGCTTCAGTTAATGAATCATTTAAATGTTTCGATTAATGTGGTGTTTTGAATGGACAATTAAAAATTGTATTCGATACGGTTCTGATGTTGATTTTTTTTTTGTGTGTGTGTGTGTACGATTCAGTTAATTCGAAACAGGTGCGTTTATTTTTAGAATCGCTCAGGAATTTTTAATAAGCACGCCTTTTCCGTATTTTTATGGATCGTAAAACGATTTTTGTTGTTTATTATGAAAAACGGTATTTTTAATTTCCAACGTTCTATAGTCGTTTATTTTTACGCTTTTTTTTTGCATTTAGAGTGTGTAATTACAATTGCGTTTCTCTCGGTAATTATTTAATTATTCGTAATTGCATAATTCACAAGGTTTTGAAATATTTGAAGTGTATTTTTCCTGTTACATTTTCTCTAAATTCGAGTACAAAACAGATATCGCTCGCGCTTTATCGCACTGTTTGCATGAATTATTGCTCAATTTTAATCCAACCTACATGATAATAATAATTTTTTTTTGTAAGTTATTTACATAAAATTAAATTTCGATAACACACGAATCGTCTATAAATAAACAGATTAATTAATTTACAATCTTATCTGCATCGTGTAAACGACCCTATTATATACGCCGATAAATATTTATTCCGAGCGCTCTTTTTCCCGAATTTCCGAGTCGTAATAAAAAAAAACGAATCGCTTTATTTACGCGCCCTCAGCGAAATTCGACAAATCCGGGGGAAAAACCGCTTACCCTGCCGGTTTTTTTTTTTAATAGTTTCCTCTTCCCCGTTGATTCGCTCCGGTCTGCACGATAAAAATCGATTAGCTTTGCTCTGGAGCGTCGTAAACGGTTCTAGACAGTTCCAAATGATTCTAAGAGCGTTCTAAATGATTCTAAGAGCGTTCTAAATGATTCTGAACCGTTCTAATTGATTCTAAGAGCGTTCTAAATGATTCTAAGAGCGTTCTAAATGATTCTAAGAGCTTTCTAAATGATTTTAAGAGCGTTCTAAATGATTCTAAGAGCGTTCTAAATGATTCTAAGAACGTTCTAATTGATTCTAAGAGCGTTCTAAATGATTCTGAACCGTTCTAAATGGTTCTGGAGCGTTCTAAACGGATCTAGACAGTTCTTAATGATTCCAGAACACTCTAAATGATGATGGAGCATTATAAATGGTTCTAGACAGTTCTAATTGATTTTGGAGCGCTCTAAATGAATATTAGACAGTTTTAGATGAATCTGGAGCGTTCTAAATGATTCTGAAGCTTTCTACATGGTTTTAAACAGTTCTAAATTGATCTAGACAGTTCTAAATGATTCTATAGCGCTCTAAATGACAAGCAGTATTATAAATGGTTCTAGACAGTTCTAATTGATTTTGGAGCGTTCTAAATGATACTAGACAGTTTTAGATGAATCTGGAGCGTTTTAAATGATTCTGGAGCTTTCTAAATGGTTTTAAACAGTTCTAAATTGATCTAGACACTTCTAAATGATTCTAGAGCGTTCTAAATGAATGACAAGGAGCGTTCTAAATGATTCTGGAGCTTTCTAAATGGTTCTAGACAGTTCTAAATGATTCTAGAGCGTTCTAAATGACAACGAGCTTTCTGAATGGTTCTGAAACGTTCTAAACAGTTGTAGACAGTTCCAGATAATTTTTGAGTGTTCTAAATGGATCATTCTAGACAGTTCTAAATGATTTTGGAGCGTTCTAAATGGTTCTGAAACGTTCTTAAACGGTTGCAGACAGTTCCAGATGATTCTGGAGCGTTCTAAATGGTTCTGAAACGTTCTTAAACGGTTGCAGACAGTTCCAGATGATTCTGGAGCGTTCTAAATGGTTCTGAAACGTTCTAAACGATTGCAGACAGTTCTAGGCGATTCTCGAGTGTTCTAAATGGATCTAGACAGTTCTTAATGATTTCGAATCGTTTTAAATGACTATGGAAGTTTCTAAATGGTTCTGAAACGTTCTAAATGGTTTTAGACTCTTTTATAATGATTCTGGAGCGTTTTAAACTGTTCAAGACAGTTCCTAATGTTTCTGGAGCGTTCTAAATGATTATGAATAGAAAAAAAATCGCCTTATTTACGCGCCCTCGGCGAAATCCGAGAAATCCGGCGAAAAAATACGCTTACCCCGCCGGTTTTTAAACAGTTTTCCATCCCCGTTTATTCGCTCGCGCCGCGATAAAAATCGATTAGCTACTCTCTTTTATATTCTATTCAAATTCACGCATTTTTTATTACAATTCCGCACGTTCCTTCCTTACAATAAACAATTTCTTTCACTAAACAATCTCTTTTAATTCCAGCAAGGACGCGCAAACGCAAACGGGAGGCTTTTAAAGAGGACTCGAACGAGGACCTCGAGAATAAGAGAAGGCGCCGCCTCCACCGCCACGGGCACCACCACCGCCACCGCAGCAGCGCTAGCGGTGTCAAGCAGAACAAGAAGATCCTCGAAGAAGTTCCCGATCTTCAGGAAATCGAAACAGAGCACCACCACAATCGCCATCACCGCCACCATCACCACCATCATCGCCGGAAGGAGTTCGTCCGTCGAAGGCGGCGCGACGGCGATGGCGGCGACGCCGACGACGTCGCGACGGTGCTGATCGTCGACGAGCCGGCCGGCGACGATGCGCCTGGGGAATCTATGCCCTGCAGCGCCAACGCGGAAGCCGTGAATGGTAGCGAAGAGGAGGAGGAAGAGGAGGATTGCGTGATTGTGGCTCAAACCGGGACGAACATAACGTCGAATAGGACCGTGGAGCAAGGGAATTGCTCTTTTAGAGGTAATAACGATAGGGGCGATCTCTCTAAATTTCGAGAGGTTTTGCTGCGTTAGCTAGACGCTTTAGTGAAGGGGTTAATTTGGTTGTGGAAATATTTCGTATTCTTCTCCGCTTCTTCTTCTTCGGCGTGTGTTTATCTATTATCGGACGTATAGGATTATTAATTATTAAATTATTGAATGTCCATTACACTACAAAAATTTTTTACAGAATATTACGTTGGCAATTTTGTTACCTACGTAATATTATGTAATTTTTAAATACGGTATATATACTGTAAAAAATTCTCTTAATATATTCTGGATACACAATTAATACGGTTAAATTACAGAATATATGATGTAATGCATTACATTTTTATGTAAAGTCTCGAATTAGGGTGTAATTTTACAATGTAATTTCAGTATTACCTGTCTAGTTCTGTAATTTTACAGTCTTACATGGTAGGCTATGTATTATAGTTATTTACATAATAAACATACATAATAAATTAAGGAAAATTACAGAATTTTTTTTCGGTGTACAGGCGAATTTCTTCGTTCTCGTCTCTTGCAGTCCTCAGTTCTGCTGCCACTCTTCTCTGCTCCACTCTGAATCTATTCTGTTCTGAATATTCTTTGCTTTGCTCCACTATGCATCTACATGAATCTATTATAGTTTCCTGAATCTACTCTGCTCTGAATCTCATCTACTGTGCTCCACTCTGCATCTACATGAATCTATTATAGTTTCCTGAATTAACTCTGCTCTGAATCTCATCTACTCTGCTCCACTCTGAATCTACTTGAATCTACTATAGTTTCCTGAATTAACTCTGCTCTGAATCTCATCTACTCTGCTCCACTCTGAATCTACTTGAATCTATTATAGTTTCCTGAATTAACTCTGCTCTGAATCTCATCTACTCTGCTCCACTCTGAATCTACTTGAATCTACTATAGTTTCCTGAATCTACTCTGCTCTGAATCTCATCTACTCTGTTCCACTCTGAATCTACTTGAATCTATTATAGTTTCCTGAATCTACTCTGCTCTGAATCTCATCTACTCTGCTCCACTCTGAATCTACTTGAATCTATTATAGTTTCCTGAATCTACTCTGCTCTGAATCTCATCTACTCTGCTCCACTCTGAATCTACTTGAATCTATTATAGTTTCCTGAATCTACTCTGCTCTGAATCTCATCTACTCTGCTCCACTCTGAATCTACTTGAATCTATTATAGTTTCCTGAATCTACTCTGCTCTGAATCTCATCTACTCTGCTCCACTCTGAATCTACTTGAATCTATTATAGTTTCCTGAATCTACTCTGCTCTGAATCTCATCTACTCTGCTCCACTCTGAATCTACTTGAATCTACTATAGTTTCCTGAATTAACTCTGCTCTGAATCTCATCTACTCTGCTCCACTCTGAATCTACTTGAATCTACTATAGTTTCCTGAATCTACTCTGCTCTGAATCTCATCTACTCTGCTCCACTCTAAATCTACTTGAATCTATTATAGTTTCCTGAATCTACTCTGCTCTGAATCTCATCTACTCTGCTCCACTCTAAATCTACTTGAATCTATTATAGTTTCCTGAATCTACTCTGCTCTGAATCTCATCTACTCTGCTCCACTCTGAATCTACTTGAATCTATTATAGTTTCCTGAATCTACTCTGCTCTGAATCTCATCTACTCTGCTCCACTCTAAATCTACTTGAATCTATTATAGTTTCCTGAATCTACTCTGCTCTGAATCTCATCTACTCTGCTCCACTCTGAATCTACTTGAATCTATTATAGTTTCCTGAATTAACTCTGCTCTGAATCTCATCTACTCTGCTCCACTCTGAATCTACTTGAATCTACTATAGTTTCCTGAATCTACTCTGCTCTGAATCTCATCTACTCTGCTCCACTCTGAATCTACTTGAATCTACTATAGTTTCCTGAATCTACTCTGCTCTGAATCTCATCTACTCTGCTCCACTCTGAATCTACTTGAATCTACTATAGTTTCCTGAATCTACTCTGCTCTGAATCTCATCTACTCTGCTCCACTCTGAATCTACTTGAATCTACTCTGCTCTGAATCTCATCTACTGTGCTCCACTCTGCATCTACATGAATCTATTATAGTTTCCTGAATTAACTCTGCTCTGAATCTCATCTACTCTGCTCCACTCTGAATCTACTTGAATCTACTATAGTTTCCTGAATTAACTCTGCTCTGAATCTCATCTACTCTGCTCCACTCTGAATCTACTTGAATCTATTATAGTTTCCTGAATTAACTCTGCTCTGAATCTCATCTACTCTGCTCCACTCTGAATCTACTTGAATCTACTATAGTTTCCTGAATCTACTCTGCTCTGAATCTCATCTACTCTGTTCCACTCTGAATCTACTTGAATCTATTATAGTTTCCTGAATCTACTCTGCTCTGAATCTCATCTACTCTGCTCCACTCTGAATCTACTTGAATCTATTATAGTTTCCTGAATCTACTCTGCTCTGAATCTCATCTACTCTGCTCCACTCTGAATCTACTTGAATCTATTATAGTTTCCTGAATCTACTCTGCTCTGAATCTCATCTACTCTGCTCCACTCTGAATCTACTTGAATCTATTATAGTTTCCTGAATCTACTCTGCTCTGAATCTCATCTACTCTGCTCCACTCTGAATCTACTTGAATCTATTATAGTTTCCTGAATCTACTCTGCTCTGAATCTCATCTACTCTGCTCCACTCTGAATCTACTTGAATCTACTATAGTTTCCTGAATTAACTCTGCTCTGAATCTCATCTACTCTGCTCCACTCTGAATCTACTTGAATCTACTATAGTTTCCTGAATCTACTCTGCTCTGAATCTCATCTACTCTGCTCCACTCTAAATCTACTTGAATCTATTATAGTTTCCTGAATCTACTCTGCTCTGAATCTCATCTACTCTGCTCCACTCTAAATCTACTTGAATCTATTATAGTTTCCTGAATCTACTCTGCTCTGAATCTCATCTACTCTGCTCCACTCTGAATCTACTTGAATCTATTATAGTTTCCTGAATCTACTCTGCTCTGAATCTCATCTACTCTGCTCCACTCTAAATCTACTTGAATCTATTATAGTTTCCTGAATCTACTCTGCTCTGAATCTCATCTACTCTGCTCCACTCTGAATCTACTTGAATCTATTATAGTTTCCTGAATTAACTCTGCTCTGAATCTCATCTACTCTGCTCCACTCTGAATCTACTTGAATCTACTATAGTTTCCTGAATCTACTCTGCTCTGAATCTCATCTACTCTGCTCCACTCTGAATCTACTTGAATCTACTATAGTTTCCTGAATCTATTCTGCTCTGAATCTCATCTACTCTGCTCCACTCTGAATCTACTTGAATCTACTATAGTTTCCTGAATCTACTCTGCTCTGAATCTCATCTACTCTGCTCCACTCTGAATCTACTTGAATCTACTATAGTTTCCTGAATCTACTCTGCTCTGAATCTCATCTACTCTGCTCTGAATCTCATCTACTCTGCTCCACTCTGAATCTACTTGAATCTACTATAGTTTCCTGAATCTACTCTGCTCTGAATCTCATCTACTCTGCTCCACTCTGAATCTACTTGAATCTATTATAGTTTCCTGAATCTACTCTGCTCTGAATCTCATCTACTCTGCTCCACTCTGAATCTACTTGAATCTATTATAGTTTCCTGAATCTACTCTGCTCTGAATCTCATCTACTCTGCTCCACTCTGAATCTACTTGAATCTACTATAGTTTCCTGAATCTACTCTGCTCTGAATCTCATCTACTCTGCTCCACTCTGAATCTACTTGAATCTATTATAGTTTCCTGAATCTACTCTGCTCTGAATCTCATCTACTCTGCTCCACTCTGAATCTACTTGAATCTATTATAGTTTCCTGAATCTACTCTGCTCTGAATCTCATCTACTCTGCTCCACTCTGAATCTACTTGAATCTACTATAGTTTCCTGAATCTACTCTGCTCTGAATCTCATCTACTCTGCTCCACTCTGAATCTACTTGAATCTACTATAGTTTCCTGAATCTACTCTGCTCTGAATCTCATCTACTCTGCTCCACTCTGAATCTACTTGAATCTACTATAGTTTCCTGAATCTACTCTGCTCTGAATCTCATCTACTCTGCTCCACTCTGAATCTACTTGAATCTACTATAGTTTCCTGAATCTACTCTGCTCTGAATCTCATCTACTCTGCTCCACTCTGAATCTACTTGAATCTACTATAGTTTCCTGAATCTACTCTGCTCTGAATCTCATCTACTCTGCTCCACTCTGAATCTACTTGAATCTACTATAGTTTCCTGAATCTACTCTGCTCTGAATCTCATCTACTCTGCTCCACTCTGAATCTACTTGAATCTACTATAGTTTCCTGAATCTACTCTGCTCTGAATCTCATCTATTCTGCTCCACTCTGAATCTACTTGAATCTACTATAGTTTCCTGAATCTACTCTGCTCTGAATCTCATCTACTCTGCTCTGAATCTCATCTACTCTGCTCCACTCTGAATCTACTTGAATCTACTATAGTTTCCTGAATCTACTCTGCTCTGAATCTCATCTACTCTGCTCCACTCTGAATCTACTTGAATCTACTATAGTTTCCTGAATCTACTCTGCTCTGAATCTCATCTACTCTGCTCCACTCTGAATCTACTTGAATCTATTATAGTTTCCTGAATCTACTCTGCTCTGAATCTCATCTACTCTGCTCCACTCTGAATCTACTTGAATCTACTATAGTTTCCTGAATCTACTCTGCTCTGAATCTCATCTACTTTGCTCTGAATCTCATCTACTCTGCTCCACTCTGAATCTACTTGAATCTACTATAGTTTCCTGAATCTACTCTGCTCTGAATCTCATCTACTCTGCTCTGAATCTCATCTACTCTGCTCCACTCTGAATCTACTTGAATCTACTATAGTTTCCTGAATCTACTCTGCTCTGAATCTCATCTACTCTGCTCCACTCTGAATCTACTTGAATCTACTATAGTTTCCTGAATCTACTCTGCTCTGAATCTCATCTATTCTGCTCCACTCTGAATCTACTTGAATCTACTATAGTTTCCTGAATCTACTCTGCTCTGAATCTCATCTACTCTGCTCTGAATCTCATCTACTCTGCTCCACTCTGAATCTACTTGAATCTACTATAGTTTCCTGAATCTACTCTGCTCTGAATCTCATCTACTCTGCTCCACTCTGAATCTACTTGAATCTACTATAGTTTCCTGAATCTACTCTGCTCTGAATCTCATCTACTCTGCTCCACTCTGAATCTACTTGAATCTATTATAGTTTCCTGAATCTACTCTGCTCTGAATCTCATCTACTCTGCTCCACTCTGAATCTACTTGAATCTACTATAGTTTCCTGAATCTACTCTGCTCTGAATCTCATCTACTTTGCTCTGAATCTCATCTACTCTGCTCCACTCTGAATCTACTTGAATCTACTATAGTTTCCTGAATCTACTCTGCTCTGAATCTCATCTACTTTGCTCTGAATCTCATCTACTCTGCTCCACTCTGAATCTACTTGAATCTACTATAGTTTCCTGAATCTACTCTGCTCTGAATCTCATCTACTCTGCTCCACTCTGAATCTACTTGAATCTACTATAGTTTCCTGAATCTACTCTGCTCTGAATCTCATCTACTCTGCTCCACTCTGAATCTACTTGAATCTACTATAGTTTCCTGAATCTACTCTGCTCTGAATCTCATCTACTCTGCTCCACTCTGAATCTACTTGAATCTACTATAGTTTCCTGAATCTACTCTGCTCTGAATCTCATCTACTCTGCTCCACTCTGAATCTACTTGAATCTACTATAGTTTCCTGAATCTACTCTGCTCTGAATCTCATCTACTCTGCTCCACTCTGAATCTACTTGAATCTACTATAGTTTCCTGAATCTACTCTGCTCTGAATCTCATCTACTCTGCTCCACTCTGAATCTACTTTAATCTACTATAGTTTCCTGAATGTACTCTGCTCTGAATCTCATCTACTCTGCTCCACTCTGAATCTACTTGAATCTACTATAGTTTCCTGAATCTACTCTGCTCTGAATCTCATCTACTCTGCTCGACTCTAAATCTACTTGAATCTATTATAGTTTCCTGAATCTACTCTGCTCTGAATCTCATCTACTCTGCTCCACTGTGAATCTACTTGAATCTATTATAGTTTCCTGAATCTACTCTGCTCTGAATCTCATCTACTCTACTCCACTCTGAATCTACTTGAATCTATTATAGTTTCCTGAATCTACTCTGCTCTGAATCTCATCTACTCTGCTCCACTCTGAATCTACTTGAATCTACTATAGTTTCCTGAATCTACTCTGCTCTGAATCTCATCTACTCTGCTCCACTCTGAATCTACTTGAATCTACTATAGTTTCCTGAATCTACTCTGCTCTGAATCTCATCTACTCTGCTCCACTGTGAATCTACTTGAATCTATTATAGTTTCCTGAATCTACTCTGCTCTGAATCTCATCTACTCTACTCCACTCTGAATCTACTTGAATCTATTATAGTTTCCTGAATCTACTCTGCTCTGAATCTCATCTACTCTGCTCCACTCTGAATCTACTTGAATCTACTATAGTTTCCTGAATTAACTCTGCTCTGAATCTCATCTACTCTACTCCACTCTGAATCTACTTGAATCTATTATAGTTTCCTGAATCTACTCTGCTCTGAATCTCATCTACTCTGCTCCACTGTGAATCTACTTGAATCTATTATAGTTTCCTGAATCTACTCTGCTCTGAATCTCATCTACTCTGCTCCCCTCTGAATCTACTTGAATCTACTATAGTTTTCTGAATCTACTCTGCTCTGAATCTCATCTACTCTGCTCCACTCTGAATCTACTTGAATCTACTATAGTTTCCTGAATCTACTCTGCTCTGAATCTCATCTACTCTGCTCCACTCTGAATCTACTTGAATCTATTATAGTTTCCTGAATCTGCTCCACTCTGAATCTACTTGAATCTACTATAGTTTCCTGAATTAACTCTGCTCTGAATCTCACCTACTTTGCTCCACTCTGAATCTACTTGAATCTATTATAGTTTCCTGAATCTGCTCCACTCTGAATCTCATCTACTCTGCTCCACTCTGAATCTACTTGAATCTACTATAGTTTCCTGAATCTACTCTGCTCTGAATCTCATCTACTCTGCTCCACTCTGAATCTACTTGAATCTATTATAGTTTCCTGAATCTGCTCCACTCTGAATCTACTTGAATCTACTATAGTTTCCTGAATTAACTCTGCTCTGAATCTCACCTACTTTGCTCCACTCTGAATCTACTTGAATCTATTATAGTTTCCTGAATCTACTCTGCTCTGAATCTCATCTACTCTGCTCCCCTCTGAATCTACTTGAATCTACTATAGTTTTCTGAATCTACTCTGCTCTGAATCTCATCTACTCTGCTCCACTCTGAATCTACTTGAATCTACTATAGTTTCCTGAATCTACTCTGCTCTGAATCTCATCTACTCTGCTCCACTCTGAATCTACTTGAATCTATTATAGTTTCCTGAATCTACTCTGCTCCACTCTGAATCTACTTGAATCTACTATAGTTTCCTGAATTAACTCTGCTCTGAATCTCATTACTCTGCTCCACTCTGAATCTACTTGAATCTATTATAGTTTCCTGAATCTACTCTGCTCTGAATCTCATCTACTCTGCTCCACTCTGAATCTACTTGAATCTACTATAGTTTCCTGAATCTACTCTGCTCTGAATCTCATCTACTCTGCTCCACTCTGAATCTACTTGAATCTATTATAGTTTCCTGACTCTGCTCTAAATCTCATCTACTCTGCTCCACTCTGAATCTACTTGAATCTACTATAGTTTCCTGAATCTACTCTGCTCCACTCTGAATCTACTTGAATCTACTATAGTTTCCTGAATCTACTCTGCTCCACTCTGAATCTACTTTAATCTACTATAGTTTCCTGAATGTACTCTGCTCTGAATCTCATCTACTCTGCTCCACTTTGAATCTACTTGAATCTACTATAGTTTCCTGAATGTACTCTGCTCTGAATCTCATCTACTCTGCTCCACTCTGAATCTACTTTAATCTACTATAGTTTCCTGAATTTACTCTGCTCTGAATTTCATCCACTCTGTTCCACTCTGAATCTACTTGAATGTACTATAGTTTCCTGAATTTACTCTGCTCTGAATCTCATCTTCTCTGCTTTGAATCTCATCTACTCTGTTCCACTCTGAATCTACTTGAATGTACTATAGTTTCCTGAATTTACTCTGCTCTGAATCTCATCTTCTCTGCTTTGAATCTCATCTACTCTGTTCCACTCTGAATCTACTTGAATGTACTATAGTTTCCTGAATTTACTCTGCTCTGAATCCATCTTCTCTGCTTTGAATCTCATTTACTCTGCTCTGAATCACATCTACTCTGTTCCACTCTGAATTTACTTGAATGTACTATAGTTTCCTGAATCTACTCTGCTCCGAATCACATCTACTCTGTTCCACACTGAACCTACTTGAATATACTCTACTCAATCTACTCCGCATCGAAATATTTAGTACACAATGTATATTTACGAACGATTCCTTCCAGGTGACGATGACGTACCGTCGGTGTCGTCCTCGCCTTCCCCCTACGTCGTCAACAGAATGGACATCGTCGTCGGCGGCGTCGCTTCATCCCTACCGGACGGAGGATCATCATCATCGTCGGCGCCATCATCGGGATGCGGTCTGTTGTCGCGCTATCACCACCACCACCACCACCACCACCAGCAACAACTACAACAACAACAACAACAACACCATCAGAACCACCACCAGCACCATCACAACCAGGACGATCGAAGCGATTCGGGCGTGAGTTCGTTGCGTTCGTGCATCAGTAGCGGCGATGAACGGTCTGGTTCTCGATCGAGCGCCCTGAGCTCCACCGACGAACCCACGTCGTCGTCGTCGTCGTCGAGCAACAACGGCAACGACGTCGTCGCCGTCGCCGCCGCCGCCGCCGTCGCCTCATCGACGTCCGCCGGCGTCCAGCAGCACACTTTGAGAAACAGGTGATGAAACGGTCGTGTTGTAAACTCAAATTTAGCTCAGTTGAATACAGCTGTAAAAATGCGCACAGACGAAACTAAAGAGATAGGCGTGGTTTTTCCCCAAAAGTATGACCGGCGAACCATCCACAGTATACCCGATAACAGCGAAGGTCGAGTCGGGGTTTATTTGTAATTCATTATTTGTTATTTGCATCGAAAACATCGGCTGAGTCCAGCCTCTTTTATGATGTTGTGCGCGAAAAAACACGTGGTGTATTCAACTAAGCTGAATTTGAGTATAAAGGGACAATTCCCGTTGAAAAAAAATGTTGATTCTCGGCAGAGGGCGCTGGTATCGGGTATACTCTAATTCCGAAATAGTAGGCAATAAATTCACGGTAAATATTGTCGCTTTATTTATTTATTTACATATAGTGAGGACCAAAAAATCCGTCGCCCCCTCCTTTAACTTTTGAATGGTAAGAGCTTTTGTCGCGAAATTTGGGGTGTTTATATTGGAGTAAAAATACTATTTTTTGACGTAAAAATGACTGTTGGGCGCCATTTTGAATCTTTTTTTCTTATGGAAAGGGGGGTCAAGTGACACCTCGTTTTAAAGGTAATTTCATTCTTAAGTCAACCCACAAATTTGAAAAGATTTTAATAACGCTTATTCACGTGAAGACCAATTTAGTTTTAACCACCGGGCATATTGATACATTTAAAAATTAATTCTGAACGTACTATAAAATGTATCAATTAATTGTTGCTGTGGTTTTTTGACTCTTACATTTATTTGTCAAATTTAAAGTTGATGAAATTGACAATGACTCGTCCTTTAAACGAAAAAACTGTCAACTGTCAACAAAGAACGATTATTCAAATAGCCGTGGTTAGAGTGAGAAAGTTGCGATTCTCTAACAATATCACTCTTTCTTTTTCCTTCGTTTACGAGACTAATGGAAGTTTGTAAGTCTTTGTTTTTATATTGATTATATATTTATTTAATGGGGAACATATAAAGGGTGTTCGGGTACTTACCGGTGTTTCGTTTTGGGGAAAATCGGATGATCTGGATCTTCTGGGCGTTATTCCAACTTCTTCGCCGCGCATGATCGATTCGACGACTGTAAAAATATAGTTTATTCAATGTTAGTTCGTTAAGTGTGTTGATGCTGGTAGATTTTGTTTAATATCTCGAAAGATTATTGAGATACGATAAAATTCTATTAGAGTAAGTTAAAGGTAATAAGATGTTTTACGATTTTTATCTAAAACTTTTTATTTCATCAACTTTAAATTTGACAAATAAATGTCAGAGCCAAGAAACCATAGCAACAATTAATTGACACATTTTATAGTACGTTTAGAATTAATTTTTAAATGTATCAATATGCCCAGGGGTTAAAACTAAATTGGCCTTCACGTGAATAAGCGTTATTAAAATGTTTTCAAATTTGGGGGTTGACTTAAGAATGAAATTACCTTTAAAACGAGTTGTCACTTGACCCCCCTTTCCATAAGAAAAAAAGATTCAAAATGGCGCCTAACTGTCATTTTGAAAGTTTCAACTGTCATTTTTATGTCAAAAAATAGTATTTTTACTCCAATATAAACACCCCAAATTGCGCGACAAAAGCTCTTACCATTAAAAAGTTAAAGGGGGGGCGAAGGACTTTTGGTCCTCACTGTAATCCTTGGTCTGCTAATTATTAGTTTCTTGTTGATTTTTCGATCGAACGATCTTGTAGCCTACGATTATTTTCCGTACGCCACTGGGAAAGACCCATTATCGCAATCATTTATGAGATTTAGTGTCTACTATTTTGGAATTAGAGTATGGTGTTGTTTAATCGTACAGTTATAACGCTAATTTTTCATTCGTTCCGCCAATGTGCCTTTCAAATATCATTTTTATTTAATTTGCGGAAATTTTAATACAGGGTGTCCCGATGAAAAGTAGCCCATTTAGTGAGCTAATATTTTTTAAACGCCCAATGATAAAAACATGCGGTTTTGACAGATATATTTTATTTTGTTATAACTTTTTGTTACAGTGAGACAAAAATTTTGTATCGCCTGCACAGGATATTTCTTAAAAACCCTTTTTTACATTCACAATAACTTAATTTTATGAAATAGGACATCTTCTTTTGTAGAATAACATCTACAAATAATATATTTTTGAAAAGTAGAATAGTGTATCTTTTAAAATACCTCTGTGTATACGGGATGTTCCATTTAAATTAATTTGGTTACTGTGAATTTAAAAGAGGAGGTATCGATAAAACGCCCTGTATTGTTAATGCATAATTTCTGTATCACTGCAACAAAACTTATAATAAAATAAAACATATTTGAGAAAACCGCATGTTTTTATGATTAGGCGTTTAAAAATTATAAGCTCATTAAATACTTAGCTTCCGTAATCGAATTAAAATGGTATGTTAAATATACAGGTTGTTCCAAAATGACGTGCTAATATTTAAGAGGGTGATTCTTGTACCCATTTAAAAAAAAACTTTATTTGAACACAATTATGTCCTAAACCTAAAATTTATAATTTTTTAATTTTAACATAGCTGCTAATGTAGCTGTAGTGTACAATTTAATGCATTTATTTTTTTTAATGCGAAACAATGAGACGTACGAAAAAAAGTCGAGAATTCAAATTTGTTCTAAATCGAATGAGGATTCGGAAAAAATGTTTATTTTAAAAAATAAAATTAAGAAAATTAAGAAAATAATAAAATTATTCGTACATCAGAAAATGCATCTTGATTCATAGAAGACGTGTACCAAATGTCATAAAGATATCTACAATAGTATCAAAGTTATTACAAAAAAATTTCTCAATTTTCTCAAAACTTTACCACCCTATATCTCACAAGTTAAGACGTTTAGGACATATGTTCACATGAAATTTTCTCACTAAAACAGCTCCAGGAATCACCCGCTTAAATATTAGCATGTCATTTTTTGGAACGCCCTGTATACGGCCAGCAACAGGCTCGTTTCTCGTGTAAAACTCTGATTGTTTTTTTTTCTTCTTCTATAATAAATTTATTCGTCGCAGGTCGCCTTTGTATATTCCAGCCGCCGCGTCGGCGTCTTCTATACAACAGAGACACCACCACGAAGCGAACGAGCCGGTGAGGGTCTGGAGAGATCCGAGCCTGTTGCTCGAAGAGCCGCATGTTCGGCACATACACAGCGTTCAGCATCAGGTAACACTATCTATCTCTCGTTTTCTCGTTCGAATCCTCCCTTTTTCTCGCTCTCTAATGGCGGGTTTCCGTCGAATGGGACAGTTAGAGAGGTTGGGGGGGGGTTTAAAGGTCATTTAAAGGCCATTCGCGAGCACTCCGAACGTACAAATGGAATGGTACCGGAGGTGTGTGAAGTTGGCACCGCAACTGTAGTTCTCAGTAGTTCTGATTAGAGTTGTGGATTCCTTTTTGGATAGTTTAGGAGTTCTTTTGTACCGAAAATAATAGTTCTGGTGTTTTAACACATTATTTTTTTAAATAAAACATGCGGTGCTAACTTCAAACCTAAATTTACAATGGAATAGTTCTGATTAGTTTATTTGATGTATTTTGATGAGTTCTAGAGTTCCTGAATATTAAAAAATAATAATAATAATAATAAATTTCATCAATAAACAAGTATAAATAGTTAATCAATTAGATATATTATCAGACAACCCATAACTTCTTAATTATTGAAAAATTCGCAAAATAGCATTTTTGAGAATATCTCAAAAACTATTTTTTTAATCGCAAAATACTATTAAAGTTTCTTGTAGAACTCGTCGAATACTATTCAGAACTGTTATCAGAACTCCTGAGAACTCTCAAAAAATTTTCAAACTCTGACTTGTAGTCAAAAATCACTTCGAGCCAAAAAAATACAAGTCCTCGTTTGAAAAATTTTTGAGAGTTCTCAGGAGTTCTGATAGCAGTTCTGAATAGTATGCGACGAGTTCTACAAGAAACTTTAATGGTACTTTGCGAATTTTTCAATAATTAAAAAGTTATGGGTTTTCTGATAATATATCTAATTGATTAACTATTTATACTTGTTTATTGATGAAATTTATTATTATTATTATTTTTTAATATTCAGGCACTCTAGAACTCATCAAAATTCATCAAATAAACTAATCAGAACTATTCCATTGTAAATTTAGGTTTGAAGTTAGCACCGCATGTTTTATTTAAAAAAATAATGTGTTAAAACACCAGAACTATTATTTTTGGTACAAAAACACTCCTAAACTATCCAAAAGGAATCCAGAACTCTAATCAGAACTACTGAGAACTACAGTTGCGGTGCCAACTTCACACACCTGTTTTTTTGGTTTAAAATGAAATGTTTGGCTAATTTTTTTAAAGAAAGTTTCTAAAAAAACAGTTTCGTACTACTTTTTTAGATAAAATTGTAACAAAACCTATCCAAACCTACGTCACTGGTTAAAATAAAAAAAATATTTTCTGTTTAAAAAATGCGGAATTATACCAAAATATGTTATCCTAGTCCTATCCAAATTTATGAAAAAAAAACCTAAATAAAAATAAAACTTTACAACCCCTGTATATCGAAAACAGAGCTTTGGACGACATACCTTTATATATAAGCTTTTCGACTCAAAATTAGCCCAAAAATGACCCGTTAAAATAAGTACATTGCATTAATTAACACCCTGTATATAATTTGTTTAATTTATTTTAATTTATTATTATTAATTTCGTTGTTACAGACGCTACTAATGTCACACTCTAACACGCCAGCCAGCGCGTCAGCCGGCCCGCCGCCCCCCTCGTCAGTGTCATCGGTAGCCGGCCACCAGGCGGCCGCCGCCGCCTTGGGCGCCTACCCCGTCGTCCCGGCGTCGCTGATGACGTCGCACGTGCCGCTCGCCGGCCACCACCCGCACCTCGCCGGCGCCGCCGCCGCCGCCTCCTCGCACTCGCTCTACCACCATCCGACGGCGGCCGCCGCCGCCGCCGCCGCCCAATTCACCGACATGCTGTGGAAGAGCGGCGGCCAGCGCGGCCACCCGTCCTACGGCGTGCCGGCGCACGTGCTCGCCGCCGCCGCCGCCCACCAGGCCGGTGGAGGAGGCGGCGGCGAGGAGTCGCTCGTCGTGCGGGAGCACCTGCAGGACAGGGAGCGCCAGGAGCGGTTGTACAGGGAGCGGCAGAACCAGGAGATGGAGAAGCAGAAGGAGAAGGAACGATTGGAGAGGGACAAGCAGGAACGGGAGAAAATCGAGCGGGAGCGTGAGAAGCGAGAGAAGGAGGAGAAGGAGAGCCTCGATCAGGCTATACATAATCATTTCGAGAAGTCGCTCAGGGCGTTTCAATCAAAGGTAATGGTACTTACGAAAAAAATGGCATTATTCTTCTTATTTCTTCTTTCGTTCTTACATCTTTAGTCTCGGGACGGTTTTTCATGATTCTGGGGCGTTTTAGATTGCTCTAAACGATTCTAGACCGTTCTAAATAATTGTAGACAGTTCTTAATGATTCTGGAGCTTTCCAAAATCTGGGATTTAGAAAAACAAAACTGTCATTTAGAGGCATCTGGCACCTAGAAAAACAAAACTGTCATTTAGAGGCATCTGGCATTAAGAAAAACAAAACTACCGTTTAGAGGCATCTGGCATTAAGAAAAACAAAACTCATTTAGAAGCATCTGGCATTTAGAAAAAACAAAACTGCCGTTTAGAGTTTCAATCGAAGGTGATGATACTTACGAAAAAAATGGCATTATTCTTCTTATTCCTTCTTTCATTCTTACATCTTTAGTCTCGAGACGGTTTTTAATGATTCTGGGGCGTTTTAGATTGCTCTAAACGATTCTAGACCGTTCTAAATAATTGTAGACAGTTTTTAATTATTCTGGAGCTTTCCAAAATCTGGGATTTAGAAAAACAAAACTGTCATTTAGAGGCATCTGGCATCTAGAAAAACAAAACTGTCATTTAGAGGCATCTGGCATTAAGAAAAACAAAACTACCGTTTAGAGGCATCTGGCATTAAGAAAAACAAAACTATCATTTAGAGGCATCTGGCATTTAGAAAAAACAAAACTGCCGTTTAGAGTTTCAATCGAAGGTGATGATACTTACGAAAAAAATGGCATTATTCTTCTTATTTCTTCTTTCATTCTTACATCTTTAGTCTCGGGACGGTTTTTCATGATTCTGGGGCGTTTTAGATTGCTCTAAACGATTCTAGACCGTTCTAAATAATTGTAGACAGTTCTTAATGATTCTGGAGCTTTCCAAAATCTGGGATTTAGAAAAACAAAACTGTCATTTAGAGGCATCTGGCATCTAGAAAAACAAAACTGTCATTTAGAGGCATCTGGCATTAAGAAAAACAAAACTACCGTTTAGAGGCATCTGGCATTAAGAAAAACAAAACTCATTTAGAAGCATCTGGCATTTAGAAAAAACAAAACTGCCGTTTAGAGTTTCAATCGAAGGTGATGATACTTACGAAAAAAATGGCATTATTCTTCTTATTCCTTCTTTCATTCTTACATCTTTAGTCTCGAGACGGTTTTTAATGATTCTGGGGCGTTTTAGATTGCTCTAAACGATTCTAGACCGTTCTAAATAATTGTAGACAGTTCTTAATGATTCTGGAGCTTTCCAAAATCTGGGATTTAGAAAAACAAAACTGTCATTTAGAGGCATCTGGCACCTAGAAAAACAAAACTGTCATTTAGAGGCATCTGGCACCTAGAAAAACAAAACTGTCATTTAGAGGCATCTGGCATTAAGAAAAACAAAACTACCGTTTAGAGGCATCTGGCATTAAGAAAAACAAAACTATCATTTAGAGGCATCTGGCATTTAGAAAAAACAAAACTGCCGTTTAGAGTTTCAATCGAAGGTGATGATACTTACGAAAAAAATGGCATTATTCTTCTTATTTCTTCTTTCATTCTTACATCTTTAGTCTCGGGACGGTTTTTAATGATTCTGGGGCGTTTTAGATTGCTCTAAACGATTCTAGACCGTTCTAAATAATTGTAGACACTTCTTAATGATTCTGGAGCTTTCCAAAATCTGGGATTTAGAAAAACAAAACTGTCATTTAGAGGCATCTGGCACCTAGAAAAACAAAACTGTCATTTAGAGGCATCTGGCATTAAGAAAAACAAAACTACCGTTTAGAGGCATCTGGCATAAAGAAAAACAAAACTCATTTAGAGGCATCTGGCATTTAGAAAAAACAAAACTGCCGTTTAGAGTTTCAATCGAAGGTGATGATACTTACGAAAAAAATGGCATTATTCTTCTTATTTCTTCTTTCATTCTTACATCTTTAGTCTCGGGACGGTTTTTCATGATTCTGGGGCGTTTTAGATTGCTCTAAACGATTCTAGACCGTTCTAAATAATTGTAGACAGTTCTTAATGATTCTGGAGCTTTCCAAAATCTGGGATTTAGAAAAACAAAACTGTCATTTAGAGGCATCTGGCATCTAGAAAAACAAAACTGTCATTTAGAGGCATCTGGCATTAAGAAAAACAAAACTACCGTTTAGAGGCATCTGGCATTAAGAAAAACAAAACTCATTTAGAAGCATCTGGCATTTAGAAAAAACAAAACTGCCGTTTAGAGTTTCAATCGAAGGTGATGATACTTACGAAAAAAATGGCATTATTCTTCTTATTCCTTCTTTCATTCTTACATCTTTAGTCTCGAGACGGTTTTTAATGATTCTGGGGCGTTTTAGATTGCTCTAAACGATTCTAGACCGTTCTAAATAATTGTAGACAGTTCTTAATGATTCTGGAGCTTTCCAAAATCTGGGATTTAGAAAAACAAAACTGTCATTTAGAGGCATCTGGCACCTAGAAAAACAAAACTGTCATTTAGAGGCATCTGGCATTAAGAAAAACAAAACTACCGTTTAGAGGCATCTGGCATTAAGAAAAACAAAACTATCATTTAGAGGCATCTGGCATTTAGAAAAAACAAAACTGCCGTTTAGAGTTTCAATCGAAGGTGATGATACTTACGAAAAAAATGGCATTATTCTTCTTATTTCTTCTTTCATTCTTACATCTTTAGTCTCGGGACGGTTTTTAATGATTCTGGGGCGTTTTAGATTGCTCTAAACGATTCTAGACCGTTCTAAATAATTGTAGACACTTCTTAATGATTCTGGAGCTTTCCAAAATCTGGGATTTAGAAAAACAAAACTGTCATTTAGAGGCATCTGGCACCTAGAAAAACAAAACTGTCATTTAGAGGCATCTGGCATTAAGAAAAACAAAACTACCGTTTAGAGGCATCTGGCATAAAGAAAAACAAAACTCATTTAGAGGCATCTGGCATTTAGAAAAAACAAAACTGCCGTTTAGAGTTTCAATGGAAGGTGATGATACTTACGAAAAAAATGGCATTATTCTTCTTATTTCTTCTTTCATTCTTACATCTTTAGTCTCGGGACGGTTTTTAATGATTCTGGGGCGTTTTAGATTGCTCTAAACGATTCTAGACCGTTCTAAATAATTGTAGACAGTTTTTAATGATTCTGGAGCTTTCCAAAATCTGGCATTAAGAAAAACAAAACTACCGTTTAGAGGCATCTGGCATCTAGGAAAACAAAACTGTCATTTAGAGGCATCTGGCATTTAGAAAAAACAAAACTGTCGTTTAGAGGCATCTGGCATTAAGAAAAACAAAACTGTCATTTAGAGGCATCTGGCGTACAAAATTGCTGGATGATTAAGCATCAAATACTAAAAGATTCTGGAGCGTTCTAAAGGGTTGTTAAGCATTCTAAATTATATTAGACATGAATCTGGAGCGTTCCAAATGATTATGAAACGTTCTAAATGATTCTAGACAGTTCCAAATGATTCTGGGGCGTTCTAAAAGGTTCCTAAGCATCCTAAATGATTTTAGACAGTTCTAATTGATTCTGGAGCGTTCTAGATTGTCCTAGACAGTTCTTAGTGACTAAAGCCGAGAACTTTTCATTACCCTCTGTAATTTATTAAATGTCTTTTCATTTACCGAAACGTAAAAGACCGCAAGCTCGCATCGTTTACGAGCAGCAAACGCGCCGGTAAATTATCTTCACATAAATTCGCACTACTAATAGGTACATTATTTTTGTAGACTTGGAACCCGATAGGCGGCGGAGGCGGCGGAAAGGCCTCCTCGCAGGCCAGGACGCCGATGATGGCCGACGACGAGCGAAAGCGCGCCGAGGACATGTACCACAGGGTGCACATGGCGGCGGTGCGCGACAACCGCGACCACCACCGCGCCTACTACGCCGTCCAGCGCGCCGCGAACGCCCCGCCGAAGGCGGCGGCGGCGGACTATCCGCCGCCGCCGGCCCACAGCCGCGTCTCCGTCTCGTCGTCGAAACCCGGCGAGAAGCTCCCTGCGCAGTCGTTATCGATGGCCAAGAACGAACCGAACGCGTACGGCTACGCCGCGCACGCGCACGCCGTCCAAAACAGCTACTTCGAACCGAAGATGAAATCCGACGTGCACAAGGCGCAAGCGCCGAGCGGTTTGATGGTCACCAAAACGGGCCCGTTGGATCGGGACGATCGAGGCGAAATGAAGAATTCCGTGATCGTCAAACACGACGCGAAGAATCCGCACCACGTCGACGGGCAGATGGCGCTGCAGCGAGGCGTGTCGGTGGCGCACGCGCATTCGCCCGGCGCCAAGTTGCGCAACGAGATGCTCGGCCACTACCAGAACGCGGCGGTGGCCGGCGGCGCCAAGGGCATCTACGACTACCGCGGCGCCGGCCAGTCGCCGCACCATTTGCAGCCTCACCACGTCGTCGAGGCGCAGAACCTCGGCAAGGCGACCGGCGGCGGGCATCACAGGCCCGGCGCCGGGCCGCATCACCAGCACCAGCAGCAGCAGCAGCACCAGCAGAGGCAGAGTCCGCACCAGCACCAGCACCAACACCAGCCGGCGGCGCACCATTCGCCCGATTTGAGGTACAGGGGCGGCGCCGACGTCTATCAAACGGCTGGTAGGTTATTTATTGAGGCGAATATTGGCCGATGGTGGCGCTACCGTCCACCTATCGGCTGTTCTCGAAGCGAGTAATCATTGTTATAGTTTGTTATTTTCACGTTGTAAATGAAGAGAAAATTGACTAAAAAGAGACTCAAATTTACTCGATTTACACACAACAAAGATTAAGCGTTTCGTTAGAAAATTCTTAGATTTTGTAAACTATAAAAGTTCGGCAACATCGCCTATACTTGTGACATAGTAAATCATATGTGACCTGCAACGATATTTGTTTTGCACCAACTGTACACTATTTAATGTAGCAATTATTTTTTGTTAGCCAAAGCGAACTATTCGTTCACGACGGCGGGTTACACGATATCCTCCGCCCCGCCAGCGATGGTGAATTCCAAGCCGAAGGTGAGCAGCCCGGCCCCCCATCAAATCTTCGGCAAACCGCACCTGGTGAGCGGCGTCGTCGCGGCGCCGCCCCCGTCGCCTCGGGACCGCTCTAGTCGCGACAACAGCTCGCCCATACCGCTGACGTCGAAACCGCCGCCGCCGCTGATCGGCGCGTCGATATCGCCGTCGCCCTACCAGCAAGTCTCCCAGTACCACCCGCCCCACGTCCAACCGCCGGCCGTCGTCGGCTGTCTGCCGCCGCCTGCACACGCCCAGACGCCCTCCACCGTGATGGACCGCTTCGACAGATCCAAACCGCCCGGCGGCTACGTCCCCAGCGGCCTCTCCGTCAAACTGGTGGCGCCCGGCGGCGGCCAGCACCACCACCACCGTTCGTACTCGCCCACCGCCGTCCAGAGCCAACCGCTCGACCTCGGCATGGGCTCGAACAACCACCGCGCCCAGTCGCCCAAACGCAAGGCGCCGCCGCCCGTCGGCGTCGATTCGCCGCACAATCCGGCGCCGTTCGTCGACGCGAAGAAGCGCAAAATCGACTCGTCCGCGACTATCGCTACTACTAGTGCGCAGGCGCAGTTATCGCGCGTGAGCGAACCGAGCCCGTTGATCGCGAGTGCCGCCACCACGATCACCACCGTGGTGAATACCGCCGCGTACAGGACAACACCGCACGATTCCGACGGAGCCGGCGACCTCGGTGTTGCGACGGCGACGCCCGGTTCCGAATCGCAGAGCCCGGCGCCGACGCCGACGCCGCCGGCCAGCAATACGCCCGGTCCGGTCGACGTCAACGAGCAGCCCGGCACGCCGGGCAAACTCGCGCCGAGCGTCGTCGATTCGGAGAAGAGCAACAGCCCCGGACCGGCGGCGACGGCGGCCAAAGCGGCGTCGGCGTCGAGCGCGGGCGGCAGCTATCCGGTGAGGCATTTGAAGAAGGCTTGGCTGCAGAGGCATACGGGCGAGGACGCCGCCGAAGATACGACGGGCGTCGTCGGCTCGGGCACGTGCGTCACGTTACCGTTGAACATCAAAACCGCCGCGACGCCGCCGCCGCCGACGTCTAACAGCAAAGAGGGCGGCAATCCGGTGAATTCGTTGCACGCGATCGGTTCGATGGCGGTGAACAGCATCAGCAAAATGAAGCACTTCAATTCGAGCAGCAGCAGCGGCAGCGGCAGCAACAACAACAACAACAAATCGAATCGCAAGAAGGAGACGATCGTCGCGAACGGCGACGCCAAACCCAACGACGATTCGTCGAGCAGCGATCAGGAGAAAGGCGGCGGCGGTGGCGGCGCGGCGGGCGGTCGCAAGTCGCCGCCGAAGCGCAAGCCGCCGAAAGTGAAGCGAAAAAAAGGCGGGGGGTCCGCGACGAAAAAGGCCGTCGACGACAAGAAGCAACAGCTGCAACAGCAGCGGAAGAGCAGCAACAGCGGCGGGCCCCATCAAGTCACCACGACGACGCCGGCGGCGAGCGAGAGCGGCAGCGACAGCGACAAGGAGAGCGCCAGCGACAAGGACAGCGATTCAGGAGCGAGCGGCTCAACGCCCGCCAGGAAACCGCTGCATCAGCAGCAGCAGCAGCAGCAACAACAGCAGCAGCATCGAAAGCGCGGCAGGAAGCCGAAGGGAAACGGCGGCGGCAACGGCGGCGGCGCGGCGCCCGGCGCCTCAAAAAACGATAGGGGCGGCGGCGACGAGCCGCGGCCGAAGAAGAGCAAGGAGGAGACGCCGCCGCCGCCGCCGCCGCCGCGGGACCCGTTCCGCAAGCCGCCCGTCGCGCAGTTGAAGAAGACGGGCGAGAGCTTCCTGCAGGACGGGCCGTGTTTCGAGGTGGCGCCCAAATTGGGCAAGTGCAGGGAGTGCAGGTGGACGCCCAATCAACGGTCGAAGAACATGCCCAACATATTTTGCAGGTTTTACGCCTTCAGGCGGTTGAGGTACACGAAAAACGGGCAATTGGCCATCGCCGGGTTCTCGGATCCCCATAAGGACGCCATGGAGGTTAGTACTTTTGAATTATACTACGGGGTGTCCCAATGCAAGGCCTTCTAAAACCTCAAGTTACTGTAATAATACCTTGTAAAGCTTAAAATTTATGTTTTAAGGCCGTGTAAAACTCCAAGTTACCGTTACAAGACCTTTTGCAAAGTTTCAAATTTCGGTAAATACAGGGTGTCCCAATGAAGGCCTCGTAGAACTTAAAGTTACTGTAATAATGTCTTGTAACTTGGCTTCAAACACCAACATTAAATGGGTTGCATATTACAATTCCACTACCAATATGGCATCTGTGGAAGTTGATTTTTTGACTTGTGCATATTCTAGTATTATTATATTTGATTTCTATATGCTAGGTACCCCCTTCTACTCTATTCTACTCCTCCTCCTACATCTAATCGAATTGAAATCTACTAAATATTTATACAAATTTATCGTTTGCTATAGGACGACATACGATTGTGGCTACCCAACGCCGATAATCCACCGGCCGATTTGGACCTCGAAACGTCCAGGTTCCTTCTCAAACAAGTGGGCGATCATTTCTGCGATTTGCTGGTGCAGGAAAAAGAAGCGAACGCCGAACATCTGGCGGAAGGTAAAATTTAATCGTTCGATAACAAAAAAAAAAACGCATTCGAGCGCCATCTATCGTTTAAAGATTGTATTATTCGTGTACTGTCAGATTTTATTTCCCATTTTTTTAAATATTTTTTTATCGAATTATGAAGATTTTTCGAAATCGGTGCGTATTTTACGGCTGTCGTCGAACCCGAAGTGAAAACTTTTAGATCGACGATGACGTACGATCATTCCCGAATGGAAGACAAAATGGATGACATTTGAGTTTCCATGGAAACGTTGACATTTAATTTGACGTACAGGGTGTTTTTTCATTAAGAAAATCGGTAAAATTGATATACGGGGCGTTTTTATTAATCTTAAGTTAAAAATTATTTGAAATTAAATTGAAATATAGCACAGGGCGATTCCTTTTTGAAGGAAATGTTAAACTACTTGCTGCACATCTCTTCTTCGTTTTTTTTAAGCGTAAAATCGTTAATTTTTTCGCAGAAAAAACGGTGGCCTGGAAGCGAGTCGTACAGGGCGTTCGAGAAATGTGCGACGTATGCGAGACGACATTGTTCAATTTCCATTGGGCCTGCGGCAAGTGCGGCTTCGTCGTTTGCATCGATTGCTACAAGGTAACCAAAAAAAAAACAAATCTTCTTTTTCTTCCACAATACATAATAATGCATTTTTCGCTCGCAGAGCCGAAAACGCGGCGCCATCAAGGTATGGGGCGAGGCGAACAAGGACCGCGACGAGTACTCGTGGCTGTTGTGCACCAATCGACAGGTCCACGAGCAGGAGAAGCTGATGCTGACGCAGATCATCGCCGGCGATTCGTTGAACAAATTGGGCCGGATGGTGCACGAGATGCGCGACCTGTGGGGCATCGAACAGTTCTGCGGCTGTCCCGCCGCCAAGGAGGCCTCGCCCAACAAGAACAACAACAACCAACAGGTCAGGGACATCGTCAGGAGCATACTGGGCGATAAGATCAACGGCGCCAAGAAGGAATTCAAAGAGGAAGACGGTTAGTTTTTTTGTGTCATTTTTCATAGCTATTAGAAGGGTTTTATCGGTTGGGGCAGGGAAAGGTACTATGGGAAAGGGTGGGGGCAGAGTAGAGTAAAGTAGGGTAGGATGGGAAAGAGTGGGTGTAGAGTAGTTTAGGATGGGAAATTGTGAGTGCAGAGCAGAGTAGGATGAGAAATTGTGAGTGCAGAGTAGAGTAGGATGAGAAATTGTGAGTGCAAAGTAGAGTATGATGGGAAATTCTAAGTGCAGGGCGGAGTAGAATGGCAAATTGTTGAGCTACAGTAGAGAAAGATGGAAAAGAGTGGGTGTAGAGTAGAGTAGGATGAGAAATTGTAAGTGCAGAGTAGAGTAAGATGAGAAATTGTGAGTGCAGAGTAGAGTAGGATGGGAAATTGTAAGTGCAGAGTAGAGTAGGATGAGAAATTGTAAGTGCAGAGTAGAGTAGGATGAGAAATTGTGAGTGCAGAGTAGAGTATGATGGGAAATTCTAAGTGCAGAGCGGAGTAGAGTGGCAAATTGTTGAGCTAGAGTAGAGAAAGATGGAAAAGAGTGGGTGCAGAGTAGAGTAGGATGGGAAATTGTGGAGCTAGAGTAGAGTAGGATGGAAAAGAGTGGGTGCAGAGTAGAGTAGGATGGGAAATTCGAAGTGCAGAGTAGAGTAGGATGAGAAATTGTGAGTGCAGAGTAGAGTATAATGGGAAATTCTAAGTGCAGAGTAGAGTAGGATGAGAAATTGTGAGTGCAGAGTAGAGTATGATGGGAAATTCTAAGTGCAGAGCGGAGTAGAATGAGAAATTGTAAGTGCAGAGTAGAGTAGGATGGGAAATTCTAAGTGCAGAGCGGAGTAGATTGGCAAATTGTTGAGCTAGAGTAGATTAGGATGGAAAAGAGTGGGCGCAGAGTACAGCAGAATGGAAAAGAGTGGATGCAGAGTAGAGTAGGATGGGAAGGAATGGAGGTAGAAATGAGGGTAGAATTGTACCAGAGTAGGGTAGGATGAAAAAGGTTGGAGGTAGAATAGGGTAGGGTATTCAGATTTCGAACAATCACAATACCGCTACAATTCCCTTTTTTTTTTTCGTAGATTCGTGCCCGGATCGAGTCGAAGTAAAGAAAGAAGGCGGCGGAGGCGGCGGAGGAGGCGGCGGAGGCGGCAGCAGCAGCGAAGACGAGGGCAATTTCTCGACGTTGCGCGAACTCCTCATCAGGCCGTCGCACAAACCGAACGGTTCTCGAGCCGCCTCGCCCACCGCCAACAAAACCGAACCGAAGAAGAAACCCGCCCAGCCGACGAAGCCGGCCGACCTCGACGACGTCATATCGAGCGTCATCGAGGACAACGTGCCGCAGAAGACGGCCGTCGAGACGCCGACGGAGCCGAAGAACGAGCTCAAGCACTTCGTCCGGCGGTACAATTGGCAGGGCAAGGGCCGCGTCCAGTTGCCCATCAGGATCATGACGTTGACCGAGAGCAAGACGCTCTATCCGAACGCGCCGCACAGTTGGCTGTGCGACGGCAAGCTGTTGCGTCTGAGCGACCCGCTCTGCGACGAAAACTACAAGATATTCCAGGACCAATGGAAGCGCGGCCAGCCGGTGATCGTGAGCGACATCACGCGCAACATCGACAACGATTTGTGGCATCCGGAGGCGTTCGCGCGCGACTTCGGCGACGAGAAAAACGACCTGGTCAATTGCATGACGGGCAAAGTGGTGCCCAATCAACCGATGCGCAAGTTCTGGGAGGGTTTCGATCACTTCGGCAAACGCCTGAAAGACGACCGCGGCCAGCCGATGTTGCTCAAACTGAAAGACTGGCCGCCCGGCGAGGACTTCGCCGAGATGCTGCCCACCCGCTACACGGATCTCATGAAGGTTCTACCGTTGAGCGAGTACACCCATCGCACCGGTCGTTTGAACCTCGCCAGTCGACTGCCCGAGTGCTTCGTGCGACCCGATCTCGGCCCGAAGATGTACAACGCCTACGGCTCGGCGCTGCATCCCAGCAAAGGCACCACCAACTTACACTTGGACATCTCCGACGCGGTTAACGTGATGGTGTACGTCGGCATACCGAAAGACGCCGATACCGACGAGCACATCAAGGAGGCATTTAGGGCGATCGACGAGGCCGGCTGCGATATACTGACGAGGCGGCGCGTGCGCGACAAAGGCGAGCTACCCGGCGCCCTGTGGCACATCTACAACGCGCGCGACGCCGACAAAATCCGCGATCTACTCAACAAAGTCGTGGTGGAGAAGGGCGGGCGATTGGAGCCCCACAACGACCCAATACACGACCAGAGCTGCTACCTGGACGGGCCGCTGCGCGAGCGCCTCTACAAGGAGTACGGCGTCGAGGGGTACGCCATCGTCCAGTGCAAGGGCGACGCCGTGTTCGTGCCGGCCGGCGCGCCGCACCAGGTGCGCAACCTGCACAATTGCATCAAGGTGGCCGAGGACTTCGTGTCGCCGGAGAACGTGTCGCACTGCTTCCATCTGACGCAGGAGTTTCGCGACTTGAGCGACACGCATTCGAACCACGAGGACAAGTTGCAGATCAAGAACATCATCTATCACGCCGTGAAGGACGCGCTGTCGGCGCTCGGTGCGATCGTCGACGGGCGGTTGGACGCGAAGCGCGAGAAAGAGGAGAGTTTGTCGTCGAGCAGCAGCAGCAGTAGTAGTGGTGGTAGCAGTAACGGGGGCGGCGGTGTCGGTGGTGGCGGCGGCGACGCGGAACATTCGGCCAAATCGGACTCGAACGAGGCCGCCGTTTGAAATATTTCATTGTGATAACGTTTGCTATGCGGTTGATTTGACGTGTATTTTTTTTCGTTTCGACTACTCTTGGCGGAAACGAGTGGATTTTTCGGGAACATTCTCGTCCGGAATCGGAACTCTTGTTTATTATTTTGTTAAACGAACGTCTGAATTTCATTGTGATACAATTTCTGGTTTATTACTACGCGTTTATTATTTTTTTAACTGTTAGTTTATGGAAGAATTTGATGCGGATCGTGTGTGTGATATATTTTTTCACAGCCCCCGGGGACTTGGCGTGTGCGCAAGAGATTAACGGTGTGCGATGGATATTTCTCTAATAATTGTTGTTTCGTTTCTTCTCTCCCGTGTACATAAGTGTAAAAACAAACACAAAAATTTTTTGAGACTGTTATGTAAGTTGTAATAATTTTCTGTTCGTTTGTTTGTTTTAATTTTTTTGTCGATTGATTTTGTTTTAAATGCTGAATATGCACGGTTTAACTTCCTGTACGTAGAGACTGGTGACGGGCGAGTGGGCGGCGGCGGCGGCGGTTCCCGCCCCCCGTACCGTTGCGTTTATTCTATTTACACTCTCTCGTCTTCTGTATTCTTTTGTAATTAATCCGTACGACGACGATCGAGACATTATATTTGTTATTGTCAACCTTTAAAATGCTGAAATATTTATTGTAAAGTTTAAATTATCGATTAACAAGGATTTGATCAATGTGATTAAAGTAGAAAGGAACATTTTAGTGACGACATTAAGTTGTATCGAGTCGAACAAATACAAGAAAGGATCGTAGTAGGCTTTTAATACAAATATTGACCGATGGTGGCGCTACTTTCGCCCGATTAATTGTTCTCGAACCGCGATCTTTGTTATAGTTTATTATTTTCGTGTTTGAAATAAAAAGAAAATGTATAAAATAGTCCAAAAACAGACTCAAAATACCGATTTACACACTTGACAAAGATTACGCGTTTCGTTTAGTTCAAATGAACATCGCTAGTGTCACATAAAGTAGTGTTTTGCTCAATATGTTGATTTTTTTCTAACCTGTCATTTAAATCAAATTAAACAAATGATGGCATATTTTTTATTATTAACAAATGTATAAGTTCTAATTTTTGGAAATTGAAAATTATTTTATTATTAAATTGTTTCTATTTTATTGGTTCTTTTAGAAAATTATCGCAATTACGTTTCAATTGACACTAATGACAGAATGACAGTTTGAAAAAAATCAAAATGGCGCGATTCTTCTAGAATAATGTAAGTACATGTTCCTTTCTAATACTACTTAAATCGTTTAAATGCGTAAATAATTAAAGATCGTTTCGTCGTACAATTATTTTACGAAAAAAAATAAATACCGGTTGTTATTTCGTAACTATTTGTATACTGTGCCTGTTGTTAAAAGAATTTAAGAAAGAAAAAAAGGATAAATTCTAATGTGGTATTTTTAGCAATCTGCTATTCAGTATTCGATGTGGGTTAATAAAAATGTTTAAATACAAAAAAACTAATAGAAGAGTGTTAGGTTTACGCGACGTTTTATTCGCATCTCTCGAACGAGACGAAAACGATCATATGGAACATTTTCAAAGTGCTATTTCGAAGTGCCAATTCAATTATATAAATAATTAAGAAAAACAAAGATTGGGGGGATGAAAGATGAAAGACTGTTTCGCTGCAATCCGAGGGGTAGCCGTTTGAGTGAAAAAGTGATGACGAGGCGGTGAATTTGATGAAAATGATCTCGATTTGTTTCTTACTTTACAACGACGAATTTTACTATTTTTTACCCGACTATTGTTAGATTAATTAATTTTGGGGGGTCGTTTAATTGCGTCGACCCTCGTTCCTAAATGGACGTTTTATTTTTTTTGAAAATTAATGTTTTTTTTTGTAAATCTCCCGAGATAATCGTTTATCAATCTGCATATATTGTATATTGTTTGAAGGACAAATTATTTATTTGCTTTTGCGGTAATGTACAGTAGTATAGATTTTTGTACAGTAATGAATATATTTTATGTTTTCCTTTTAATTGCCTATTCACGAGGCCCAAATAGTTTTTTGTACTATGTATATTGTGTAAGAATTATAGGTTTGAATAAGAAAATGTTTATTACGATTTCTCTCGTTTTTTTATTCATTTTATCACTTGGGTTATTATCTAATTGGCTGATGCTTTTTTTTAATGTCAATGTCAATATCAAAGCCACCTAGATGATATCGTTAGGTACAATTAAACCTTCGAGGTAAGTAATTACATTTATTTACGAAAATATCAGTTTCATTTCAGCAACATCTCGAATTTATTCGTAAACTATTTAAATTAGCACCGAATTAGTTTTTCCTTCTACATAAACTACCACCCGTTCGAAAAAAAATTCCAACAAACACTTTTGCAACTAAGTACTAGAAAAAAAAAACGAAACGAGATCGTTCGAAGTAATAAATACACCTGTTGTTGCATTAAACCGTAATTATTAGTAAAAATCACAAGTAATAATTAAAAAAAAAATACTATTTCTTAAATGGTTCACGAGTTTTCGTTACGTTTTCTTTGTTTATATCATCGATTTTTTTTATACAACCTGTACAATAAAATATAATTTAATCTGTCACAATCAGTACGCTAAATACACAAGTCAACTAAAATCGTGTGTGTGTGTGTGTGTACGTGAAAGTCTCGTTCGTTCGAATTCAAAGCATCTTCGAATTGTTTTTATTCTCCTTAACACTCACAGAAGGCGGCGGCGGCGGCGGCGGCGACGGAGGCGGCGCCTGCAAACCTCCATCGCTCGTTTTGGCATCGCAATTGCCCTTCGTATCCGATCCGCTACAACCCTTCGGGGGACCCTTCGAACCCCCTCCCGATTCCCCGCCGCACCCCTCGTCGCCCTTCTTCCCCTTCGCCTCCTTCTCCTTTTGCAACGCCTTCAGGATCTTGTCCTCCACCTCGAGGATCTCCTCCTTGTCGATCAGATCGATCAATTCGTCGATTTGCTTCGGGCTCAAGTTCACGTTCTCCTTGCCGATTATTTCTATCACCTACAAAAAGAAATAACAAACGTAACAAAGAGAAATGGGAACGAGTGCGAGAAAGATAGCGCATCTGATTGTTGTGATAACGCTCGGGAAGAAGCTGTCTCTCTCGCATGTGTCAGATACATCCAGTGCTCCTTTCTCAATCAATCGCTTAAAGAGTCTTTAATGTAAACATTCTCCTTAGTTACTCCATAACAACAATGTAAATCTGTCAAATTGAAAGAATCTTCTCGTTACTCCATCACAACCAATGTAAATCTGTCAATTGAAAGAATCTCCTTAGTTACTCCATAACAACAATGTAAAACTGTCAATTGAAAGAGACTGTTTAAACGATTGATCAAAAGGAGCAAGGAGCGTTAAAAAGGAGCTCCGAATACTTCTCTTTTGCTCTCGTGGTTTCCACACAATGCATTAACTTACCCTCAAAACATCCTCGACTTTAATAGACCCGTCCTTATCGTCGTCGATCTTCTTCAACACCGACTTGATCTGATCGATCTTACTCTGATCCGTAACGCCCTTGATCTTATTAATGGCCTCGATGATATCGTCGATCTTCAACAGCTCCTCGCGCTTCTTCTCCGTCTTCTCCGTCTCCAATTCCGCCTTCAGTTGCTTCTCTTTGGCCTCCAAATCGACCAGCACCTTGTCCAATTTGTTGATGATGCGATTCACGCTCTTGAACAGCCGCTTCGCCGCCTTCGTCTCCTTGATCTCGGGCTTCGGCTGCGCCGCGACGGCCTTCTGCAGCTCGTCGACGTCCTCCTGGTAGTCGCTCATCTCGGCCTTCAGCTCCTGGATCTCGCCCTTCTCCACGATCATCTTCTTCTCCTTCGACACGCTGTCGATGGCGTTCTCGATGATCTCGAAGTCCTTCGATTGGAGGTTCTCGTCCTTCTTGCAGACGTCCGGCTTCGATTCGACGGTCGATATGACCGGCGCTTTGTCGACGAGCAGCTCCTTGTCGTCGATTTTCTTCTTCTCGACGCGGTGCTCTTCGCGCTCCTCTCGGATTTTCTTCTCCTCCTCTTTGAGGAGGTCGGCGCGGACTTTGTTGTCGATTTTGCCCTCTTTCTCGCCGATGGCGGCCTGAGTTTGCTTGACCACGTGCTCGGGAAGGGCGGATATGGTGGCTTTGAGCTGGTCGCTGGTGGGAATGGTCTCGGGCAACATCAGCGCCCTGGACAGGAGCAGCAGCGACGGCGGCACCTTTTTGTTGAGGCTCAAATCGAGCCATTGGTTGAGCTGCTGGCGCAGCCTGGCGTCGCTCACGCCGTAGGCTCTCATTCCTCTAGCCCTGCGGACAAACGGAAAAGGTTTACTAACTTCCGAGGTGCTTCTAGAGGTATCTAGATTCCTGCTGCTTATGCACCAACGAAGACTAGTTAGTTTACTCCTTGGACTTCCTAAAGTGCTGGACGGATCGAAGAAATGGTTTTACCTGCAGGCCTGTTGGACTTCGGACAACGTCAGCGTCTCGACGCCCTCTTTCTGTATCATCTTGTCGTCGGCCGCCAACGATCTCAGCTTCATCCTGAGCTGGAACCGCAGGAAATTCGTCGTGCCCAACGTTTGCACCTCCAGCACCCTGCAGAGGGCGATCAATTGGCTTCTGGTCAACGAATCTAACGTGATCTCGTCTTGAAACAGCTTGGCGAATTTCATGATTTCCTCCGTCGATACGTGCTCACCTTAAAATATATCATAATAAATCGAACGGTTGTAGTAATAACAGTATGTGAGAAGGTAGAGTGAAAAGTTCTCGGCCTGAATGGTATAGAGCAATTTTGAAGGTTCAATGGTCATTTAGAATGCTCCAGAATCACTCAGAACTGTCTAGAATCATTTAGAACGCTCCGGAACCATTTAGAAGGCTCCATAGTCATTTAGAAGACTTCGGAACCATTTAAAAGGCTCCATAGTCATTTAGAAGGCTTTGGAACCATTTACAAGACTCTATAGTCATTTAGAACGCTCCAGAATCATCTAGAACTGGCTAAAACCATTTAGAACGCTACAGAATAATCTAGAATGCTTCAGAATCATTTAGAAGGCTCCATAGTCATTTAGAAGGCTCCGGAACCATTTAGAAGACTCTATAGTCATTTAGAAGGCTCCAGAATGCTTCAGATTCATTTAGAACGCTCCAGAATCATCTAGAACTGTCTAAAACCATTAAGAACGCTACAGAATCATCTAGAATGCTTCAGAATCATCTAGAACTGTCCAGAACCCATTGAAAACAACGCGGTCTTCTATTATCAAGCCGATTAATAGAAGATTATATTAAATTATAGAAGCCGATTGTATTATTTACCCGACGTTCGCACTTTGTTGAACCACTCGACGAACTCCTTGGCCTGCTGCGAGCTGCGGTCCTTGTGCTGCACGGCCATTTCGTCGAGCGTGCCCTGCAGGAATTTCGCCATTTCCAATTGGATTTTCAGCTTCTGCTTGAGCTTGTCCTCCTTCTCTTTGGCCGTTTGGAATGTGGACGGCAACATGCCGGGGAAGAATTTGATGAAGAACGGCAAGAGGAACTCCATGAAGGGCACCACGATGAACACGGAGAACGGCACGAGCCGGAACAGATCGCCGACGGTGCGCGACAACAGCCTGTACTCGCGCCTCGACAGCGTCTTGCCTTGGAGCACCCTGTATACTAGGTTGGAGGAGATTTTCACGTCGATGAAAAGGAGCCGGAAGCCGTGGTAGTAATGCACCAGTTCGTCCCATATCCTCTGTCCTAGGGGTTTCTTGGTTACCGTACTCACTGCTTTGGTTTTCGTCTTTTCTTCTTCTTCTTTCTTTTTCAATTCCTGCACGGTTTCCTCCACCTTCGAGGAGGGTTTGAGGGGCTCCTTGTCGAACCGGAGGGCCGTGAGCGATAGACTTCGCGTGGTATTGAGATGTTTGCGGTCGTTTGTGGTGTAATGCGAATTTATAACGAACGTCCGTTTGGTGTGCACTAGATGGGCCCCGTTGAGGGAGTTCGCGTAACAAACGCACGGGCGCTGGTGTGATCGGTGTCTCAGACAATCTGCGGATAACCAAGCGTGAATTACATAACATAACCTCGCTTTTTTTGGGACTTACATTCGAACAGTTTGAAGGGCGCCGCTGGCGAGCGGGGCGATCTGACCAGCGCGTACATTTTTATTTCTTAGTAGGTTATGACGAGTTGTAATTTGAATGGAGTCAGGTTACGTTACGTTCTGGAAATTTCCCATGAATGCGTCGATTCGTGTCTTTTGCGATTCGGGTGGTGCGAACGGCGTGTTTTTTTTTTTTAATTGGGTTTTTTTTAGCGACTTGAAAATTTTCCGATAACAAATACCAATGAGAGTGTCATTTGAACGGGTGACGTTTCTGACATTTGACGGCAACCAGCAATTCAAATGTCAAATAGGAATTAGCGAGTTGATTAACAATTATTGCGAAAGTTTAATGGGTTTCAGGGTTTCTTTTATCGTGCGAACTATCTATGCTTTCAAAATTATATCAATTTATAACATTTATAGACAAGTAACGTGACATACTATGCAGAAGTTTCCAGACCTTGGTTATGCAAGACCGTAATTGACACTTGACAGTCGTTGAGTTTCTTCTTTTCTTAGCGAATAAAAAAAAAGAAGAAGTTTGTAGGTTAGTGATACTTGTCAAATAAATCAACAATTTTTTGGCAATTAATTTAGGGGGTTTGCACACGATTATAAGCCCGACGGACCCTTTAGCATTAACTAGGATGCACCACGAGGAGGAGAATTCTGAAAAACTGGAAAGTACATCCATAATCCTTCTTCCGCAGGTAACGTAAGTTTGTGTCAATATTTGGATTCTACTATTTACCAGGCAATTATAAAACCATAAGTAGAGGGGTTATAATGATTGTGAGAATATTAAGTAATCAAACGGTTTGTTATAGATTCCTCGTTAAATGATACGAAGAATGTGTTGAATCCCACGAAATTGTCCAGACCTATCGATGGATCGCTGTACATCCCCGGTGTAGTAGGCCTAAATAACATTAAAGCTAACGATTACTGTAATGCAGTGCTGCAGGTAAGTCGAGTTAACCGAACGAATTTGGTTATTTCTTAATTTAAATGCGCAAAATTGCAGGCTTTGACTCTTGTTAATCCGCTTCGGAATGACTTCTCGAGAGAAGAGAATTGCAGTAATGTAAAGAGACCTTCCATGCTCCTGCAGAGGTTTGGCGAGCTTATGAGGAAATTGTGGAATCCCAGGAACTTCACAGAGCATGTACGAGTATCAAGAAATTCTCTCCAAGCTGTTGTATTGTGGAGTTAGAAGAGGTTTCAGTTCACTCAGCAGGGTTAGCTAGTTTTATAATGCTTAATTATTGTTATAATTGAGTTATTGTTTGTAGGAGATCAGATAGATTTTTTTGTCTTTGGTTTCTGATTGCCCTTGATTGAGCATTGGATGGTATTAAGAAAAATGACAGTTCAATAATCTACGGAAATTGAGACGGAATCGTCCCTTTTTGTATCTGACTTGCGATCTACTGCCTTCGCTATTTTGTTTATCGATGAATTTCTGAGAGAATAATATATCATTCCTCAGGTATGCATTTCAAAGCGTTATGTTATAATAAGAGTGTATGTAATAATTTGTGATTTGTAGGTGAATTTGTATCATTTCTTCTGTATCATATCAACGAAATTCAACGGGCAAACTGAGGAATACAAAACCATATATAAAAGGAAAATTTCATGATCGTTGTACATCCCCGGTGTAGTAGGCCTAAATAACATTAAAGCTAACGATTACTGTAATGCAGTGCTGCAGGTAAGTCGAGTTAACCGAACGAATTTGGTTATTTCTTAATTTAAATGCGCAAAATTGCAGGCTTTGACTCTTGTTAATCCGCTTCTGAATGACTTCTCGAGAGAAGAGAATTGCAGTAATGTAAAGAGACCTTCCATCTGCTTCTGCAGAGGTTTGGCGAGCTTATGAGGAAATTGTGGAATCCCAGGAACTTCACAGAGCATGTACGAGTATCCAGAAATTCTCTCCAAGCTGTTGTATCGTGGAGTTAAAAGAGGTTTCAGTTCACTCAGTAAGGTTAGCTAGTTTTATAATGCTTAATTATTGTTATAATTGAGTTATTGTTTGTAGGAGATCCGATAGATTTTTTTGTCTTTGGTTCCTGATTGCCCTTGATTGAGCATTGGATGGTATTAAGAAAAATGACAGTTCAATAATCTACGGAAATTGAGACGGAATCGTCCCTTTTTGTATCTGACTTGCGATCTACTGCCTTCGCCATTTTGTTTATCGACGAATTTCTGATCATTCCTCAGGTATGCATTTCAAAGCGTTATGTTATAATAGAAGTGTATGTAATAATTTGTGATTTGTAGGTGAATTTGTATCATTACTTAACGAAATTCAACGGGCAAACTGAGGAGTACAAAACCATATATAAAAGGAAAATTTCATGAAGAAGTTCGAATTAAGTGTACAAATTGAGAACGACACAATGATTTTACTCCTGTAACTTTTTTATATATTAATATTTCGTCTCTATTTTGTTGTATTTAACGGTAGTAAGTTTATTGTAAGACAATAAAAATATTGTTGAAAGTGTTTAGTTTCATATATTTTGAAATCACCAATTCCAGCCAGTTTTCATGTAATTAGCAATTAAAAAATGCAGTAGTTTGGTTAATTTTTCAAAAATTTAAATATATAATGCATTTTAATAAAAAATCGTTCATATTTAATCATTTCTAATGCATTTCTGGTATCTTAGAGGTATTTACAAGATATATTGGTTGCCTACCTAATAGTATCAGTAAATCGATTTTCGATCGATAAATGTAATTCTGGTTGTCTAACTATTGTATTAGGAACGCGCGAGTAATAAGTATCAGGAGTAAACCTCTTCACACATTCTGTTCTCCTAATACGAATTCTTAAATTCGCAAATTTTTAACGAGAAATTTTCAAACGATGTACAAAACTATTCTTCCGATTTTTACAAATTGCCTTGAAAAAGTTTTGCGTTTTTTTTTCAATAAATTCGACAAAAGTTTTGCGTTTTTTTTTCAATAAACTCGACAAAAGTTTTGCGTTTTTTTTTCAATAAATTCGACAAAAGTTTTGCGTTTTTTTTTCAATAAACTCGACAAAAGTTTTGCGTTTTTTTTTCAATAAATTCGACAAAAGTTTTGCGTTTTTTTTCAATAAATTCGACAAAAGTTTTGCGTTTTTTTTCAATAAACTCGAGAAAAGTTTTGCGGTTTTTTTTCAATAAATTCGAGAAAAGTTTTGCGTTTTTTTTTCAATAAATTCGACAAAAGTTTTGCGTTTTTTTTTCAATAAATTCGAGAAAAGTTTTGCATTTTTTTTCAATAAATTCGACAAAAGTTTTGCGTTTTTTTTTCAATAAATTCGACAAAAGTTTTGCGTTTTTTTTTCAATAAACTCGAGAAAAGTTTTGCGTTTTTTTTTCAATAAATTCGACAAAAGTTTTGCGTTTTTTTTTCAATAAATTCGACAAAAGTTTTGCGTTTTTTTTTCAATAAATTCGAGAAAAGTTTTGCGTTTTTTTTCAATAAATTCGACAAAAGTTTTGCGTTTTTTTTTCAATAAATTCGACAAAAGTTTTGCGTTTTTTTTTCAATAAACTCGAGAAAAGTTTTGCGTTTTTTTTTCAATAAATTCGACAAAAGTTTTGCGTTTTTTTTCAATAAATTCGACAAAAGTTTTGCGTTTTTTTTTCAATAAACTCGAGAAAAGTTTTGCGGTTTTTTTTCAATAAATTCGACAAAAGTTTTGCGTTTTTTTTTTCAATAAATTCGACAAAAGTTTTGCGTTTTTCTTTCAATAAACTCGAGAAAAGTTTTGCGTTTTTTTTTTAATAAACTCTACAAAACTTTTCTTATCATTTTTATTATAAAACATTAATAATATTGCCCGATATGTTATACTTTCTGTTTGAAAATGTGTTTTGAAAAACGACGAAACATTTAGAATCTTTATTAATGCAACAGGATTCATCCAGGACTTTCCCTAGAAGAATCTCTCTTGATATAATTAATATCTCCCGATACTGGACTTCCTCACATATTCTCCTTGCCTAATATCCGAAATTAATCAATGGAGATCTACGAAAACTTGTGCTCAAATCTCGAAATAAAACGTGAATTTGAAATTTCGTATTAGGAGAGCAGAATGTGTGAAGAGGTTAACTTGTGACGCTTATTAATCGCGCTCCTGTTCGATTACAAATACATACGAAGGCAACCATTTAATCGAATTTCTGTAATACTGGTTGCCTATCTTTTGTATTAGTAAAGCGCGAGTAATAAGTATCAGGAGTAAACCTCTTCACACATTCTGCTCTCCTAATACGAAATTTCAAATTCACGTTTAATTTCGAGATTTGCGCACAAGTTTTCGTCGATCTCCGTTGATAAATTTCGGATATTAGGCAATGAGAATATGCAAGGAAGTTCAATATCGGGAGATATTTAGTATATCGAGAGAGATACGTCTAGGGAAGGTCCTGGATGAATCCTGATGCGTTAATAAATATTCTAAATGTTTCGTGGTTCTTGAAAACACATTTTCAAAGATAATTTAACATTTTGGGCATTATTAATAATTCTTTATTGCAAAAATGATACGAAAATAGAATATTAAAAATTTTTTAAGACATCCTTAATCCTGATTTTAGAATTCTTAGTATTTTTCGTTCATTAAAAAAACGCAAAACTTTTTCAACGCAATTTGTAAAAATCTGGAGCTATTAAAGCAAAAAAATCGGGAGAAACAAATATTAGAAGTTCGAGTAGTTTGTGTCAAAACGTATGAAAATCTCACGATAAATCGCGAATTTAAGAATTCGTATTAGGAGAGCAGAATGTGTGAAGAGGTTTACTCCTGATACTTATTACTCGCGCTTTACTAATACAATAGATAGGCAACCAGTATTACAGAAATTCGATTAAATGGTTGCCTTTGTAAATATTTGTAATCAAACAGGAGCGCGATTAATAAGCGTCATAAGTAAACCTCCTCGCACATTCTGCTCTCCTAATACGAAATTTCAAATTCACGTTTTATTTCGAGATTTGAGCACAAGTTTTCGTAGATCTCCATTGATAAATTTCGGATATTAGGCAAGGTGAATATGCTAAGAAGTCCAGTATCGGGAGATATTTATTATATCGAGAGGTACTTCTGGGGAAAGTCCTGGATGTCCTGGAAAGTCCTGGATCCTGATGCATTAATAAAGATTCTATCGTCGTTTTTCAAAACGCATTTTCAAGAGAAATTTATCATTTTGGGCATTATTATTAATGCTTTATAGCAGAAATGATAAGAAAGTGGAATGCTAAAAGTTTTGTCGAGTTTATTGAAAAAAAAACGCAAAACTTTTTCACAGCAATTCTTAAAAATCGGAAGACTAGTTTTGTAAATCGTTCGAACGTTTGTAAAATCCTTCAAACGTTCTATTTATTTATTTAAAAAAAACAATATTTATATGTAAAAATTTATTTCATAAATACAATACTGTCTTGTAAATAAAGCTTCCACAGCGTCTGGAACAGTTTCTAGACCTTGGTATGTAAGACCGTGATTGACAGATTGACAGTTCGTGAGACTCTACTTTTTTATTACATCAAATACCTGAAAAAAAAGAAGTTTGTAGGTTAGTGATTCGTACTTGTCAAATAAATCAACAATTTTTTGGCATTCGACTGGGGGTTTGCACCAAACAAAAATTGCCCTGGATAGTGTAATGGTAGCGCAGTCGTCGCGAACCGAGCAGGAGATCGGCAAAAGGGTGGACTGCGGCGGTTGTTTCGGAACGGTAAAATATGTGGGCCCCGTCGAGGGGTATCCGGGCGCCTGGTTGGGCGTCGATTGGGACGACGAGGAGCGCGGGAAGCACGACGGGCGCGTCGACGGGACGCGCTATTTCTACACCAGGTCCGTATCGCTACGAAACGAACGTACGTAGAATTGCACGATGGGTTTCTAGATTACCGAAGTCCGGATCGTTGGTTCGACCGGAGAAGGTGAACTTCGGGCAAAGCCTGCTGGATGCTATCAAATCGAAATACGGACACAAATGCGACGAGTCGATCGAGAAGGAATCCAAAATGGAGCTGTTGAAGTTCCAACAGCAAATCAACGCGCCGTTTTTGGAGTTCGTCGGGTTCGAACAGGTCGCCGAGAAACAAAGGCAGGTGTGTAACGAATTGAAATGTACGATTAATAGTGTAATATTTTAGAGATTTATCTTCCCTGCACATTGTGAACGTTCGACTGCAAAATGTCAGTTCGATCGGGGAAGTGGGCGATTTGTGTACGAACATTAGGGAAATCGATTTATCGAAAAATTTATTATCGAATTGGACCGACGTTTTCGACATGTGCGCCCAGTTGAAACACCTTTTCTGGTTGAATTTAAGGTACAAAATCCACTACAAATATATTCAGTATACAGGGTGTTCCATAATGACATGCTAATATTTAAGGGGGTGATTCTTGGATCATTTTTAATCGTACGAAAAAAGGTCAAAAAGTCAATTTGTTCAAAATTGAATGAGGATTCCGAAAATAATTTTTATTTCAATATTAGGCAGTGGGGTACCATTCTTTTCTCCAAAAATATCCAACGCAAACCCGTACGTACGGTACTGTTGAAAATAATAAAATTATTCGTATTTCAGAAAATGCATCTTGACTCTTAAAAGACGTGTGTAAATTTCATGAAGATATCTACAATAGTATCACAGTTATTACAAAAAAATTGATATTTTTCTTAAAACATATGAAGTTTTCTCCTTAAAACAGGTCCAGGAATCACTTAAATATTAGCATGCGATTTTGGAACACCCTATATACACAATGGTTGGTTTTTTTTAGCGAAAATTTGCTATCGATGCCCGACAGCAACGACAAACCCACCTTTCCCAACGTGACCGTGTTGATATGCGGCTTCATGGAGCTGGAATTCCATCAAATCGAGGCCATTTCCTCGATATTCCCCAACGTCGAGGAGCTGCGAGTGCCTTACAATCACGTCACCGATCTATCGGTGAAGTCCGATCACAATTTCAAGAGATTGAAGTACCTGGATTTGGAGGGGAACAGCATAAAATCCTGGTCGGAGATTAGAAATTTATCGTTGATCGAATCGCTCGAGCATCTCACCATAGAAAACACCGAATTGGATAGCATACAAATAGACGATCGCGATCGGCATTTCAGGAACCTCGAAACGCTCAATATAAACAACAATTTAATTTCGGAGGTAAATTGATCGATGTTTGTTTTTAAAAATAGTACGATTAATTTTACTGTAATCGATTTCAGTGGCGATCCGTAGGCGAATTGAATAAATTAGAGAATCTCCAGCAACTCAGATTCCTGAAGAATCCCGTACTAGAATTAGAAAATGCCGCTACTAGAGAGCAAATCATTATAGCAAGAATAAAAAGCTTGAAGGTACTTTATCCGTTCAGCTTCTACAAGGGTAAGGTGAAAAGTTCTCTGCCTGTGAATGAAAAATCGCGATTTTCAATTGAAAAATTACATTATTCCTGTTATTAAGTCGAAATCTTTAGTTCGAGACTGTTCTAAATCATTCTGGGGCGTTCTAAATGGTTTTGAAGCGTTCTAAATGATTCTAGACAGTTCTAGATGAATCTGGAGCGTTATAAATGATCCTAAACAGTTCTTAACGACCCAGGAGCATTCTAAATGGTTCTGAAGCGTTCCAAACGGTTTTAGACAATTTTAAACGATTCCAGAGCATTCTTGGTTGTTGTAAACGGTTCTAAATAATTCAGGCCGAGAACTTTTCACCGTACCCTCGTATTCCTTGCTAATTTATCACATTGTAGAATTACAACGGTAGGCAAATAAGAGACGACGAACGAAGGGGGGCCGAGTACGATTACATAAAAAAACACGCGTTAGAATGGATGAAGTGCGATAGCGAAGAAGCCAAACGAAAATTCCTGGACGAACACAACCGATTCGCCGAGCTAATCGAAAGTAATTACACCAATTTTTCCGAACCCGATTTTCCATTTGATTTCCATCGATTGTTCCAGTGCACGGGCTGCCCGAGGAATCCGAGCTGATAGCCAAACCCAACATAATCAAATCCTCTCTGCTGAAGCTGACCTTCCGATGCGACGACAGAGTGTTGGTGAAGAACCTACCGCGAAACCTGGTCGTCCAGAAGCTGGTGTTGCTCATCCAGAAGACGTTCAAGCTGAAAGATCGCCCTACCCTGATCTACACCAGCTCCGCCCAGCCCGACATACGGATCGAACTCCGCGACGAGCTCAAAGAGCTGTCGTACTACTCGGTCGAGGACGGCGATACGATCGTCGTAACGTGTCGCTAATCCAATTAATTTATAACCACTGTGAATACACTTTTTTTTTAATTTTTTTTACAACGCGTTTATTCCACCTACTATATTAACGACGCGTCCTTTGTACTTGCCGGATATGTCCGCTTGGATTTCCTTTTGTAGCACCTTCGTTTGCTCGATCAACGTATCGATCACGGGATCGATCGTGTTGGCTTCGTTTCGCAATCGAACGATCTTCTCTTCGAGCGCCGCCTTGCCGGCCCTCATCCTATCCACCACGGCCAATTTCTGGTTCAAATTCCCCGTCAGAATGTCCACGTACTTGGGCGAATGTTTGACGTTGTGCAAATGCTGGATCCTCTTGTCGGTCAGCCGATCGAGGGCCACCTGCAGGCAATCGTTCAACATCGTCGCCGACTCCAAGGTTTGCATCTGGATGGCGGCGGGGGCGTCTTGCATGCGCGACATCGTCAGCACGTCGCCGTCGTGCATCGTTTCGTACAAACGCATCTTGGCGAAGGCGCTCAATTCGACGAGGCCGTCGATGATTCGCGCCCGGGTTTCGGGGTGGTCGAGCAACGTGAGGGCCTCGTCGCCTCGGGCGACGCCCGTCTTCTCCACCACTATGCCGGATTCCTCTAGATTTAGGTCCGAGTGCGAGACGATTTCGAAGCCGTCGTCCTGTTGGCCCCAATCGACGGTCGCCTCGTCGTCGCCGAAGTCGATGGCGGCGTTGCCGTCGTCTCCGAAGTCGATGGCGGCGTTGCCGTTGTCTCCGAAGTCTATGTCGCCGAGGTTCGAAGAGGAGTTATCGCCTTCGGACGGCTCGATCGGTGGCTCTTCGACATCGACGGGCTTCTCGCCGTAAGTGTATTCGTATACAGTCGTGTTACCATTCTTGATGAGGTGGTCTAGTAGAGGCAACGTGGATACGTCGGTAGCCTTACCGGATAGATACTTGTTGAACTCGTTGTACAATTCTAGAGCGGGTTGAACGATTTTGATCTTCTCCGATATGCCTCGGTATATGTCGGGTAAATCTTTGAGCAAACGTAGCAGTTCGGGTTTGATTTTGTCGCCTTCGATGCCCAGCTGTTCGCAGGACTGCTTGAACTCCTTGAGCATGGAGTTCTCGGTTTTGGTGTAATCCTTGATGTTCTTCTCGCACTCCAACTGGCTTTGTTGGAGTTTCTGGACCTGCTTTCGCAGGCCGGGGATCTCGTAGCTGACGTTTCGAATGAGCATTTGGGCCGCTTCCGCTAAGTAGACGTTGTCCTTTTGGTAACAGGCCACTATATCTTGCCAGTCTTTCATGCGCTGCGAACCGTACCGGCCGAAGAGGTTCTTCGAATCCGCCTCGGTTTCTCGGAGGATCTCGATGATTTTCAAGCAGTGGAAATAGTTGATGTGCTGGCCGGAGAGTAGTTTTATGATGCCTTCGTGGGCTGGCATGTCTTGTATGGCGTTGTTGATTTTTTCGCGGATTTTCAACACGTTGTTTTGCCAATCGGTTTTAACGTGTCGCCTGCTCACCAACCAATCCAGCAATTTCGTCGTGTTGATGTCGATCGGAATGTTTTGTTCATCCATATTTATTTAACTAAAAACTTACACTTATGCACATATGTTTTGTATTTACTTTTACTTGTATTTTTTGTAAAACGTCATTCGATTAATACGTCATCTGTCACTTTTTAACCTTTAGCGGCCTTGAATGAACTTGCGTATCCAGCCAATAATTTAGATGTGAAACGTGTTGCATACATTCCAGTTGGTTATTTTCGAATACCGAACAGCGCCCCTACCGGTCTTTCGCAGATTTATCTTTAAGGGAATTACGAGTGGATTTATTTTTAAATAATAATTCAGTAAGCGTCGAAACGTCGAGTGTGCGTGTGTCGTTTTAGCAGTGCTCGCGCAACCGCTACTAAACCAACCATTTTATATCGCCTCCTTTGATCTGTCAAAAACGACGTTTACAAATGTCGGCGTGTTAACAAAAATTCAAGATTTACAAGTTTAAGGTAAATATAATTCCGAATGTATTTATTTTATTGTATACCGTCCGAGTAAATATTTATTGGGCGTCTCGACGCCTGGCTCGCGCGTTCCTGATAGTTTAGTTAATTAAACTTATCCCAAACAATCTAGATACCAATGCAAATATCACGGCTGTAAACCAAAAAGCAAATCGGATATGTAATTCGATTATTAGAGCTTTTAATTGTCGATTCCTGACGGAAATGTAAACAGGAAACTCGGAAATAGAAACTGCTACATCATAACGCAGAAACACAACGAAAATAACCCCGGATACGTTTCTCGGAAAATCGAAATTTCTATTAGGCACTTCCAGAGGTGATTAACGTTACGGGGGCGGCGCTGAAAGTTTTACGTCAAGAAGAAAACCTATACGAGGGTCGCTCGATTCGTATGCGCGCTTATGGAGAACTACGAGGGCGACTTCGAATGTACGTATAGTATAAACCAAATTAGGAGCGAATACGGACCTGAATTTAATTTCATTCAAGATTCATCTTCCATTCATTCCGTCGGTGATCGCGTTTTATTAAAGACTTCCTGTTTATTTTACGCCCGCTCTGCGACTCGCATGCCCTCCTCAGGCAACGCGCCAATATTCTTTTTTGTTTCCTATTTTACTCGAATTTCCAAGTGAAGATTATTTCGAATCGCCCTGTATACAAGCCTGTTTCATTGGATGTGTTCCAGCTGTACAAGGGTGCGGTGAAAAGTTCTCTACAAGAATCATTTAGAACTGTCTAGCTAGAACTATTTAGAACGCTCCAGAATCATTCAGAACTGTCTAGCTAGAACCATTTAGAACGCTCCAGGATCGTTTAGAACTGTTTATAAGCATTTAGAACGCTCCAGAACCACTTCGAACGCTTCATAGTTGTTTAGAACGCTCCAGAATCATTCAGAACTGTCTAGCTAGAACCATTTAGAACGCTCTAGAATCGTTTAGAACTGTTTATAAGCATTTAGAACGGTCCAGAACCACTTCGAACGCTCCATAGTCTTTTGGAACGCTCCAGAATCATTCAGAACTGTCTATAGAACAATCTAGAACGTCTCAGAATCACGTAGGCCGAGTACTTTTCACCTTACCTTAGTATATTCCAAGAATTTGTTCGCATGTAAGTACGAGTACACCCCTGTCACTTTTCGATTGCATTCTACAACAGGACCGTATTTAGGATGTAATAATTTAATTGAAACGTTAAAGACGATTAAAGATTCATTGTACGTCTCATTATATCTCGATTTTGGTGTTACAATGTATTTAATAAAACCAGTTTGACGTTGTCGAGAGGGTCCGGGCGACATTTCCTGAATATTTATGCACTTTACAGACCCGTTTGCGGTCGTTTTATTGGCGTCGTTTAATTTAATTGAATTCGAATCTGTGCCGGACGATTTAACGCGTTACCTGCCGCGTCGATTTTCCGATAAATTCGCCCAATTTTCGCCGTTTAAATGGATTTTTTCGGGGGTTGCCGTGGTCCGCCATTTTGTTTCGACGCACGGCCGCCCGCGTTTTCGAGGATTAAATTATTTAGTCGAGCAGGCGAATTGGTGAAATAATGGAATTTATGGCGGAAAAAGAAAGGATCGAAAACGGGCGTGTAATTTTAGCCTCGCCGACGATCGGGAGGAAAAATAAATTGTCGCAGTAGAATTTAAATTGCACGGACAGGAAACGCGCTGTGCCGGTTTAATTGACGGTATTTCGGCGTCAAAAGGGCCATTTATACTTATACATAAAATCAGATTTTCAACGACTCGCTAAAATTATCGCATTTATAAACTTATATCTATTTAGGTCTCATCGCAATGCACTTTATAATAAGAGTATGTAAGAGTGCGCAATTTCTACTGCGCATATAAAAGTATCGAGGCGTTTTGACAGCGCTGTTGTCAAATGTTTACATTCTTCATTAAAGGGTTTTAGGTTATTTTATTGTATGATTTGGTTTGTTTAAACTTTTTATACTATTTAATTGTGTCCTATTAGATTACTAGTTAATTAATTCTTATACAGGGTTTTCTGTAATTGGTCAAACTTTGGGAGCAACTTTTTGAGGGAATTAATTCCTACTGGATTTTGAAAGATAACAATAGTTTAATAAACTTCATCATTTTATCTCTGATGCTATTAATAAAATTATAAATAAAAATACCTCTTCAAGAATCTATCTTTAACACTAACCAAGTTTTTATCATATTTTGAGGTTCTCTATTTGCTCCCAAAGTTTGACCACTTGTTTCAGAAACACCCTGTATAATAATAATTGGCAAATTAAGCTACATTAAATATTTATTCGTTATTAATTTACGAGTTCTTTTTTAATATTTTTTCAACTTTCCCTTTAATCAAATAAAACAACAAATACTCGGCAACAGCGCCGATGTCGAAACTCTACAAAACGCCTGCTCGATTCTTTTATATGCGCAGTAGAAGTTGCGCGTTTCCTAACTGGTTCAAACTACGCAATCATCAATGAACGTAAAGCATACGGGGGGCGATTCGAATATTCTATACGTTTTTTTTTGAATGAATAATGAAAGAACGAAAATTGGAAACGTCTCGAAAATGGAAACATCTGCACGACCGTCGCTCGTACGGCGGATGTGCGTAAGAAAATAAACACTGGTAGGTTGCGTGTTATACAGGGTGTCCCAATGAAAAGTAGCCTGTTTAGTGTGGTAATAATTTTCTAACGCCTGATCATAAAAACATGCGATTTTCGCCGATTTATTTTATTTTGCTATAACTTTTTGTTACAGTTACACAAAATTTTTATATCGCATGTTACAGGGTGTTTAATAAAAATCCCCTCTTTTAAATTCGCATTAACCGAATTTTATGAAATACTACACCTTCTTTTGTAGAATAACATGTACCTATAAATATTACATATTTGATAAGCACAAGAATGTATCAAAATACCGCATATACGGGGTGTTCTATTTAAAGAAAATTTGGTTACTGTGAATTTAAAAGAAGATATTTCGATAAAACTGCAAGATTAGGCGTTTAAAAATTATAAGCTCAATAAAGAGGCTATACTTTTCATTGAGACACCCTGTATTAGAAAAACAAGCGAGGAAGTCGAGTCGTTTCGACGCGTTAATTAGATTTTTCTCCGTTCGACGCGCACGTGCCCGCTCGCTCGATGTTTATCCCAAAATAATCGCTAAAAAAAATCGATTTTTAATCTATTTTTTTTTGTATCTAATTTAAAAATCTAATGATGATCTAAATCTAATGATGAAATCCTCGAGTACCTACACCCCTGTTTCGAATAGATTTAATTACAGGATCATCCAGGACCGTATATACAGGGTGTTTTTAATAACATGCAACCAAATTTGTTCTGAATCGAACGGAGCCCTCCATAAATAATTTTTATTTCAAGAGAAAGCAGTGGTGTACCAATTTTTTCACCCAAAAATATTTCGCCTGAATCCAGTACGGACGCCACTGTTGGAAAAAATAATGGTTTTTAGGTCCAAAAATTGCTTTTTAATGCATTAACGCCTTACACCAAATTTCACAAAATTTTTTAAAGTGGTATGGAAATGACAGTAAAAAATTGATTTTTTTCTTAAAACTTTAACACCCTATATCTCAAAAGTTAAGACGTTTAGGATATAAGTTCATATGAAGTTTTTTTTCTCAAAATGGGCCCAAGAATCACCCCATTCACTATTAGAATGTTATTAAAAAACACCCTGTAGATATCGTGGAGTATTCGATATTAAACTCGAAATAAATATCCTGATTTTTTTTTTATTTGAGAATATTTTACGATTTACGTTTGAAAAACTAATAAGAGTACAGCACAAATTCGTTTATTTGTAATGCAATATCTTCCTGTGATTCCAACGGGATGAGAGGAAATGGTGTAAAGGTGAACACACTCCGAATCGTAAATAATTTACATTAGAAATTCTAGGCGGTTTTTTTTATTACTCTCGACGGGCGTTAGTGAAATGTGCATGTGAATAAAAAATTCCGTTGTTGTTCCAGGACTTACGATTTCCCATTTCCTATTTCGATCTTCGGCATCCGTCCCGTTGAAAAAGAAGAAGCAGTAGAAGAAGAAGAAGAGGAAATGACCGATGACTTTTTCTAGTCACGTATCGGGGGAATAGTGAAAGATAGCAATAAATACATTATCCCGCCTGCATAATGGACTTCGGTGAGTGCCTGTATATTTAAATTGTGCTTGATTTACATTTATGAAAAATGCACCGAATCGCCCGCACTATTAAATTCGATTATACAGGGGGTGTTTATGAAATAAGCGGTCAAACTTTGGGGGCAAGTAGAGAATCTCAAAATATGACGAAAACTTTTATCAAAATGTCATTGGTTATCGGTATACAGGGTGTTAAAGATGGATTCTTGAAGAGGTATTTTTACTAATAATTTCGTTAATAGTAAAGGTAAAATTATGAAATTCGGTACACATACTGAGGGAATGAAATATCTTACGGTACTATTCAATCGGGTTAAACAAGTTGTCCAGGGGTGGGTTAAAATGGGGGGTTCGTGGGGTAATTCTAACCTAACTTTTTTATTTTAACCTTTTCTATGTGGTGTGTTTAAAAAATATGAAAAAATGAAGTTAGATATACTTGTTGATTTTCCGCAAAATGAACCGTTTTCACGAATAATGACTTTTAAAATTCCGATATACAAATGTAGTTATTTAACTATTGTCATCTTAAAAAATCTAGTAGGAATGAATTCTTTCAAAAACTGGACATTTCGACAAAATGACATTTAAGTTTTTGTCATATTTTGAGATTCTCTACTTGCTCCCAAAGTTTGACCATTTATTTCAGAAACACCCTGTGTATTATAGTCCGGGCGATCGTATGAATAATACCTAATGCGTATAAATACTTGTAATATCATCGTTACTGTAGGTCTCTTATTGTTCGGTAGCACAGCTCAATTCAATCGAGCTCGTAAACACATTTATCAGCGACATTTCATGATCGGTAAACAAACTACATGTGAATCACGCGCTTAATTACGATTAAAATTCTAATTATCGGTCGATTAATTGCGAAAATTAATGAATAACTATTCATCTTGTGACTTTCTGGGTAACTTTTATAGACTCGGCAACGCCGACAGGTTATTTTTTTACGCTATTTCCAGACAACCCCTCGTATTTTTCGGTCGCCAAAACCGAAGAATCCGACGACGACTTCGCCCTACTTCAAAGGCAATTCACCCCACCGAAGGGCAAGGGATGGTGCAGAAACAAACGAATGTACCTCAGGTAAATACGATTTTTTGACAATTATGACAGTTATACGTCAATTATGTCAGTTATACGTCAATTATGACAGTTATACGTCAATTATGACAGTTATACGTCAGTTATGACAGTTATACGTCGATTTTGACAGTTACTCAAAGCCTACTCAAGCGAATCGAATCTATCTCGTCCTATTTGTAGGTCTCTAAGTACGAATTCGGCCGATTCGAACAAGAGCCTGCTCATCATGGGCGAGCCGAGATTGAGCGACATCGCTCCCGATTTATCATTATCATCGAAAAACCCGCCGAGCAGGGCCGGCTCCCTGAAAGGCGACAAATCCGAATTTATGGCGGCCTCCGAGGAAGCCCGACTCGACCACGAAGATCTATCCGAAGACGAGGTTTTCATCGATAAAGAAATCGTCAGGTAAAAAAAAAATTCACCCCTAGATTACCTTATATCCGTCATCTGTCACCTGTCATATACACACACTCAAAAATGTTTTGCTTATTGCATTTTTTTTTATTTCAACTTTGACACTCTTTATCTTTTTTATTTTTAATATTTAACTAAAGCAAGTTGTGTCAGATAGTAATATTTTGAGGCCCAGAATCTTCCCGGAATCTTTTTGTAATTTTAGGACTTTTTCATAGAAAGGAATATGTAATTAGTCGTTTTTATTAATTTTCAATAAAATTTGTACGATAGAAAATATTATTTTAATGTAAATTATTCGGTTATGCTAAATGTGCATTTTTTTAAGTTAATTGATAATTGACAATTTAAACAAAGTGTGGCAAAAATTTCCGATGCTCAGGCTTTATGAGTTACTTATACCTTCTACAATAACCAAATGAAAATATAGAAAAAGTGTATACAGGGTGAAATATTAAGTTTGGAAATATTTACCTCTTTCTTTTGAAGACGGTCCTGAAATCAGTGTGTTGCTGGTTCAAAATGTATACTTTTACCAAAAAACGAACCAAATCGAAATAACCACCATAAAGATATAAACAATAGAAAATTTCGTCAAAATTCACAAATCACCCTGTATCTCCTTAGAGAAAAGGCCGATGGAACTTTTAATGGTCGTATGATATTCACCTTAAGCGCCTCTATACACTGTTAAAATATGTACGATTCCTCACGACTCACCCTGTATAATATGCAAAACATTTTTGAGTACGTGTATGTTACTTGTCACCTTATCTGTCATTTATCGTGTGTGTCATCCATCATTTGCCATCGGTCATTAGTTACCTTATCATTTGTCATTAGTTTCACTTGTCACATCTGTCATTTGCCATCTGTCACTTGTCATCTGCCAATCTGCGCTGTCATTTGTCATATATATATTTTTTTTGATTAATTATATTTAGGTATCACAATTTTCCGGGATCGCAGACGGGCGGCGCCCGAAGGAGGCATTCGATCGGTACGTTCGCGGTGAGGAAAAGCTGCGGGGAAAATTCGCAGCGGGACGAACCGGCCGGTTTCAAGGAGGATTTCCCGTCGAACGGGGGCGATTTCGACGCCGATTTGGACGATCACGCCGTCCGGCACGCTTCCTATCCGAGGAAACGGTGCTTCAAATGCGCCAGAGGTGAGCAACAATTCGTTCGAAATGAATATTTTATACAGGGTGGCCCAGAACTCGGGTGTCTACAGGGTGGATCCAAACACAAAAGTAACATTTTCTCCGTTATTTTAAATGGATCACCCTATATTTTATCGATCTACCACTTTTGTAATGAAGTTTTTTTGATATCTTCTACAATAAGCTTTTCCATACAAATGTGCCACCCTGTAAAGATAATGCGGGGAAAATAGTCGGGTCGCATCGGCGAAATTTGACGGTTGACAGTTATTGGTTCGTTTAGGATTTAATTCCGTGGATATATATATACGATCAAGAACGCGTTGAATTTCAATGAACAGGTAATGGATTTATTTCCGTAAAATTGTCATGCGTCAATAGCGGAAACGCCATATCCGTAGAATATTGGCTACTTGATATTTTAGTACTCAAACATTGCCTTTTTCGTCTCCAAATTATTATTATCATAGACTAATTCACAGTTATTTATTTACAAGAACAATTACCCACTAGGAATCGCTCAATAAACCTACACACTATAGATTAAATCGTTTATTATAAGGGGATCATTATTGGGGAATCGCCTCTAAAAAACTTATTGTAAACACCCTGTATAATATGTATAATATACGAATTTGAATGAGCCGAACGAAACCCCGACGAAACAGGTCACTGTCAAGTCAATTGCAGATGGTCCACTTTACATCTGGAGAACATCTTTTAAATCCCAGATTATATTATTAGGGATATATTCGGAGATTGGCTCCTCGTGAACGGATCGACTGTTCAAACGTGCGCTAAAATAATCCTTGTTTAAATAATCGAAAAGGTTGCGTTTCGTTTTTATCTGGCTTGTAAGGATTCTATTAATGAAATAGTCCATATTTGAAGTAAAAGGTAGAGGCAAAAAATAAGAGAAAAAGTTTCCAAAACCTTATACAAAGATTTTAAAACCATAAAATGATTTGCTTTAAAGCAACAGCAGGGACCTCGAAGCGAAACCTCTTTTTGTTCTCTTCTTTTTATGCATAATACCTTGAAGCGATTCCTTCATTTTTTGAAGCAAAAGGTTGTGCTTCTTTTTATAAATACGGCCTAATGTATAACAGGGATTCATCTACTACGGATTAAATTGTAATTTTATCAGTGCAAATCATCCGCTCCCCGCACATTTGGTCGTTTCCAAGCAGGGCTCTCCGATACCTGGAATATCGGTGACGTGTCTCGGGTTTCGGTGGGAATTTTTTTCTGTACTAAATACATTTTCAGCGAGTGCTAAATTCTGTTATAAATATTCGGGAATTCGTGTCAAGGCGCTCTCGTGTATAAACTATACAGGGTGTCACAGAAAATAGATGTCAATAATTCGGGAGCGTATAAATGACATCAAAATAAGTGTACAACTTCATATAAATGTTGTTAATTTGAGCCACCATTTTTGAGCTACAGGCCTTTAAAGTTGAAAATTTTAAACTTATTTTTACGTTTTATTTCCAAGCTGTACATGGGAACAATATAAAATGTTGGTGGTTTATTACCTACACTAGTGTGCCCAATTTGGTGATAAAATGAATCCTACACTATTCTCTGGAAGACAGTAGTGGCGTGTTCCCAGTGATTAACAATTCGTAACTTTTATGGGGACTTTTATGGGAACACGCCGCCACTGTCTTCCAGAGAATAGTGCAGGTTTCATTTTATCACCAAATTGGGCACACGGGTGTATGTAATGAACCACAAAAATTTTATATTGTTCCTATGTATAACCTAGAAATAAAACGTAAAAAAGTTTTAAATTTTCAACTTTAAAGACCTCTAGCTCGAAAATGGGTGTTGAAATTAACAAAATTTATATGAAGATATACCCCTTATTTTGATGTCACTTAATCCTCAAACTAATTGGTAACCGTCGAGCGTCGATTGATATTTGATAGTTAAATTTTTCTTCTCGTTTTAATTTATTTACGTCTGTATATGTATGTGAATGCGTCGCCATAGAAACCTGAGAAATCTATTGTCATTCAAACGACGAAGGAGGTTTCCCGGAACGGGTACCTAAACAATATTATTTATGCACCGGTCGATACGCATCGAAATTGATTAATATTTCACGCGCGTCTCGCCATCTACCTGCTCGAATCTTCCGAAAAAAAAAAATATATATATAAACAAGCGGCGCAAAAAACAGGCGAATTCTACCGTACTATTATGCAAAAAAAAATGATACGAAAATGTGCTACCCGACTATTGGAGTAAAAGTCAACAATCGGTAACATTTCCCGGACTATCTCGCCGAAAAAATAGAAATCTTTAGTTCGAGACAGTTCTAAATGATTGTGGGGCGTTCTGGATTGTTTTAAATGCTTTTGGAGCGCCCTAAATGGTTCTAGATAATTTAAAATGATCCTGGATCTTTCTAAATAACTATGGAACGTTCTAAATGGTTCTAGACAGTTCTAAATGATTCTGTGGAGTGTTCTAATTGGTTCTGAACCTTTCTAAATGCTTCTGGAGCATTTTAAATAGTTCCAGATAATTTAAAATGATTCTGGACCTTTCTAAATAACTATGGAACGTTCTAAATGGTTCTAGACAGTTGTAAATGATTCTGTGGAGCGTCCTAAATGGTTCTAGATAGTTCCAAATGCTTCTAGATAATTTAAAATGATTCTCGAGCTTTCTAAATAACTATCGAGCGTTCTAAATGGTTCTGAAGTGTACTAAATAGTTCTGGACAGTGCTAAATGGGTCTTGACGGTTCTAAATGATTATGGAGCGTTCCAAATGGTTCTAGGTACTTCTAAATCATTCTCAATGGTTCTGGAGTGTTCTAAATGATTCTTGAGCGTTCTAAATGACTATGGAGAGTTCTGAAATATTTCTATCGAAATTTACCTGTAGCCAGGCGGATAAACGCAAAAAATAAGTTTCGCCGACATTTCTCGGACTATTTCACCGGCAAAATGGTCCGGTAAAATTCGTCCAAAAAAAAAAAAAACGAAACGACAAAAAAAAATATATCGAATATTCCCGCACTATTCCTTCGGGCCGCTCTTTGAAATTCTATTTACGTCTCGGCGGAGCCGCGTAAAAAGAGCGTACGGTTCGAGTACCGGCGACGGCGCGTTCGTTCGATCGCTCCCCGTTTAGTCGAATCGAGAATCGAATGGATCATTTGTGGTGATCCTTGATCTTCGAGAGGCCGGTACGCGCGAACAACGCGGTCCTTTGTGCGGGCCCCCGTTCGAGCCGGAGTACTAGAAAACTTTTATTACCGTCGCGGAGATTCGGTGAGTTTGTCGTCTCATTTTTCGGCGGTTCGCTTCGAGCGTTTTTTCGCCCTATTTCTGAAGGGAGCCGAGATAACGGCCGATAACGGACGATCTACGAGTTCGTGGAATTTGAACCGTCGTCGAGATTGCGTCGATTTAATTCCGATAGTCGGTTATTTGTGTTGACAGTTTGTTTTTCCTATACAGGATCGAACAGAAACCAAAACATGGACGACATCTTGATCGTTTGGTTGAGAAGCAGCGAAGCGGCTACCCTGTGGGTCGACTATTTCACCACCTACTTTCAACAAATCAGCAAACACGCCAACAGGAAACCCTTCAAGTACGTTGTGAAAACCCTACCAACCCTGCACCGATTTCCCTAACCTCGTTACACAGTTGCCACATTAACGTCGCGAATTTTCCAGAAAAACCTCTTCTAGAATCACTGCTACCAACCCTGCACCGATTTCCCTAACATCATTACGCAGTTGCCACATTAACGTCGCGAATTTTCCAGAAACCCCCTACTAGAATCCCTGCTACCAACTTCTTCACCAATTTTCCTAAACTTCCTCACCTAATTTCCCTAGATTCGCAGAATTCCTGCACGTTCCTCACTTCATAGTTGCCACATTAACGTTTTGAATCATCCAGAAAATCCCTACTAGAATCACTGCTACCAACTTCTACACCAATTTCCCTAAACTTACCAACCTAACTCCCCTAGATACGCAGATTCCTGTACGTTCTTCATTACACAGTTGCCACATTAGCGTCTCGAATCATCCAGAAAACCCCTACCACCAACTCCACGCCGATTTCCCTAGATTCGCAAAATTCCTGCACGTTCCTCACTACACACTTGCCACACTAACATCTCGAATCTTCCAGAATCCAATGCAACTCGTCGGAGGAGATACTCTCGAAATCCGAGGAGGAATTGAAAGACTTGCTCGGCAAAACCTCCACCGTCAAGCTACAACTCGTAGTGATATGCCCGAGCTTCTTGGACTTCGTGGCCGAGCGTCCCGACGCCTGCGCCGCCTCCTTGGGCAAGCTCTTCCAGGCCGACAGGACGCTCGCCCTGCTGTTGGGCGTCGCCGACGACGATCTGCTCGACGCGCACAAATCGGCGCTGCCGACCTATTTCCAATGGCGGCGGCGCGGCGTCGGCCAGGACCAGGACGAGAACTTCACCAAGGAGTTCCTCGGCCAGGCGATGGCCGTCCTGTCGGCGGTGTGGAAGCGCCAGATCTCCGTCACGTCGCAGGAGAAGGCCTGCTTCTCGGTGACGCCCAAGAAGATCCGGCAGGGCCAGAACAGCGTGTCGGTGCTGTTGACGCATCCGCTGCAGAAGGAGGACGTGGTGAAGATCTCGGTGGAGCGCAACGGGGAATTGCACGAGATCAAATCGGTGCGGCGTCGCAATCCGTACGTGATGAAGTTCTGGATGCCCGAATCGCTGACGCAAATCACCGTCATCGTCAACGTGCTCGTCGAGAAGAACGGCAGCATCATCGGCAGCAGGCCCGTCAAGTGCGAAAGCAAACTGAGGGAGTTGGACCAGTTGCTCAGGAGCGTCGATAACCCGGTCGATTTCATGTGCCAGGTAATGTACTAATATTACGGAATCTCCTCGATTAGGTAATAATCGGTGCGACGTTTCGCAGGCGGTGGGTTTCAGCCCGTCCGACGTCGATCACCTGGACAACTGGCTGGTGCACAATTTCCAGAAGAACCTGCCGGCCCACTTCGATCTGTTGAACGGCTGCCAGTCGCGGTGCGCCGTCGGCGCGCTGGGCCACAAGCACAGCCACGAGGAGTTCCCCACGCTGTTGCACTTCGCCGCCAAGTTCGGCCTCGAGAAGCTGGCCATGCAGCTGCTCGAGTGTCCCGGCGCCGACGCCGCCTACGACGTCCGGAACATCTTCGACATGACGCCGCCGGAGATGGCCGAGGCCAACGGGTTCTCCGAGCTGGCCGCCATGTTCAAGGGATTCATGGTGAGAGGGTGATTTGTACAATAAAATTAGTCCCTATATGCAGGGTGTTCCTAAACATCGTGTACATCCGAAATGGGGGTGGTTCTTTGGCTTATTTTGTGACTAGAAGTTCATCTAAACGTGGGTCGGCAAACGCTTCGTTATCGATCTACAGGGTGTTGAAATTCGGTTCGATATAATTACGTTTCTTTCAGAACATCAACGAGTTTACCAGCATGTACGCTAGATTGAAAGAGATTACCGAGACGACCAAATCTCAGGATACTGGTAATTCTACAACGTCCGTTCTCCGATTACTTAAATATTAAACTAGTTATTTACCGCAGACGATGAGGGTTACATGGTACCGAAGACGATCCAAGAATTCTACAAACTGTGCCCGGCGCCCAAACCCGTGGTCACCACGCCGGTGACCCCCAAGGAATGGCCGTCGAGCCTCTACATCCCCATGCACACCCCCACCGGCACCGACGCGATTAAACCCGAAGAAACGCCACCGCAACAGCGACAAATCACCGAACTAATACCCAAACAAACGACCAAAAAACCCCAAGATCAGCTCGAACTCGAAGACAAAGTCCAGAAGGAACTGGCCGAAATAATCAACGACTTCAAGGTAACGCACGTTTAGTGTGACCAGAAATATAAGAGGTGACTTTTGAATCCTAAGCTGTAATCTCCAATAAACTCATTAGGGTTTACCCTCAACTTATCATCAATTTTCAATAATATTTAAGGTCGCCAAAGCACGCCCTCAAATTCATAATATAGAATATATCGTTTGCTCCATTTCCGATTGCAACATGGTCATTTCTATGAGTGGAACAAAGAAAGATTAATAAAATAACAGTTGTGAAGAACAGAGTGAAAAGTTGCAATGACACAAATGTCACTCTTTCTTTTTCCTTTGTAAGTGTCTAATAGAAGTTCTCTTTATCGCACCCATGGCCTATATAACCTATGTTGCGATCAAAAATTGAGCAACCTGTATATAGGGGTAATATAAAACTATTTTTGGTTAAATTTTTCCACAATAGATGGGATGAGATTAGTTTAATTCGCTAGTAGATGTTCCGTGTTTGATTATACACTTGGCATAAAATCAAACGTACAAGAGAGTCAAATAAGAAATCCTTTTCAAAATATTTTAAATTCAATTCTTTTCCCTGCTATTTGAAAAGATAAAAGTAGGGTTTTAAAAATACTCATTAAAGTGCTCTAAAAGTATTTCAGTGCACTGGAAATACCTTATTTCATATTACCTGTCCTTAAAAAATTGCTAATTATCCGAAAATCTCTGAAAAACGGAAACTACTGGCACCGCTGTCGCTAGTCAAATTTACAAAATTGTTCTGTGATTTGACATTTATGTCAGGCGATATCATAATTTACAGGAATCTATCATCATCATTGGCTAAAATACTTTAATTAGTTTTTTTTTTCAATTTAATACAGCCTGTGGATCAATATAAACTAGGAGACATCGTTCTGTAATAAGTATTCTTCATCCTACTAAAATTATTCACACATCCGTTCGAGGAAATTCGAGTCTTACTAGAATTACGTTTTGACATTTAAATAACATTGCAAATAAATGACAGTTTTTGATTGCAATTTTCTTAAATATATAGTGAAGTAGGAGAGATTAAAAATAGGATATATCATTGCTTGGGGTCTCTATATTAGGTATAAGAAAGATTCAAATTAATTGATGAAGCCAAATTTGAATCTTACTGGAATTACTAAACCTATGTTTTCTCATTTAAAAATACCCTCAAGTGGCGCCCTTAAGCGAAAATGTATAATTACCAATCTGCATTAGTTCCCTAGTACCTGTTCTCAGCGGGGCACTTGTTAATCGGATGATTATTACCAAATTTTGAAGGGGATCTAAGCGTTAAAAGCATTATAAAATCACCTCTTATACAGCGTGTTTACTTAAGTTGGCAACATATGGGAAACTTTTTTATTAATAAACTTTATTTTTATATTTAATAATTTTTATTTATAAACTATTTTTATTAATTTTAGGAAAAAAAGTTATTCTTTATAAAAAGTTCTGCATGATCTGAAACCGTAGAAACAATCATCAAATATCAAATTTTTTTATTCGTTTACGAGGTTTGTGGAAAAATCTGATTGTAAACATAAATTTTTCATTCCGTCCAGAATGTCATGAGCAAATTTTTACAAAACAAAATTTATTACACATCTAATAAATACACAATTAAAATTAAAATAATTTCAAGAACAATGTAATCACATCCATCTACCTCAACTTATTTTTTATTCTTTAGAAACTTAAGTAATGTCTAAGTTTGCATATTATGTGATACATGTTTTTTGAATTATCTTTTAACTGTTGTCAATAATTAATAATAAACAGTAATCTCTTATTTTTATTGAACAGTTGATGTGTAATAAACATTGTTCTTGAAATTATTTTCATTTTAATTGTGTATTTATTAGATGTGTAATAAATTTTGTTTTGTAAAAATTTGCTTATTACATTCTGGACGGAATGAAACATTTATGTTTACAATCAGATTTTTCCACAAACCTCGTAAACGAATAAAAAAAATTTGATATTTGATGATTGTTTCTACGGTTTCAGATCATGCAGAACTTTTTATAAAGAATAACTTTTTTCCCTAAAATTAATTATAAAAAAGTTTCCCATATGTTGCCAACTTAAGTAGACACGCTGTATTTCCTTGTCATACTACAAACCACTAAAATTCAACAAACAACCTCGCCATTCCAGAACAACATCCATTCGATATCGCAAGCGGAACGATTGGTGGAAGAATGGAAGCGACGCAACGACGTGCAAAAGTCCTTTCGCGAGAAACAGCGCCAGCTGAACGAGATGCGCGTCGAGTACGAGCGCATCCAGGCGCGCCTCAAGGCCGGCGTCGGCGCCGGCGGCGAGCGGAAGGCGACGCCGTTCGAGCGCGTGCGCAAGCTGTTCGCCAAGCCCAAGGAGGAGAAGGGCAAGCGGCGCGGCGCCGGCGCCGACGCCCGTCCCGTCAGCAGCCTGAGCACGTCCAGCTCGGGCTCGTCGGGACGCATCAGCACGGCGAGCGGCTGCAGCCTCGGCGACAGCGGCACGCTGTCCGATAACGAGGATAGGACGGTAAGAGAAGGCTTCGAACTTTGTAAAGGGTGTTTCGATAAGACCGCAAGATTTGAATTGCCCGTCATGTTTGACAGTCATAATGGCACGTGATTATAACATGACAGATCGAAAGTTACCGCTGATTTTTTCAAACTTCAGAGCGTAAACCATCCCGGCTAACTCCGCCCATTATACAATTATTAGATAGTGACATTTGACGTATGACTTTTTTCAACTTAATTATACATTTTTTAATTAATCCAGAACGAATTTAATAAAATTGTATGTCTATTTCGACTTGACGATCTTTTCAAATCTGTCATTATTTTTTACGAACGTTATTTGGTAAAAAGGTTAGCTTGCTTTTGACACATTTGTACAGGAATCCCTACGTCGCATCTTATAAATAACACAGTGTATAATTCCTAAATGTACACATGATAAATTTATAAATATTTCCACATTTTACTACAGATAACATTGTTTTATTGAACCTTAAAATCTCTGCGCTTTTATTGAAACACCCTTTACTAGTTCGGTGGTTGGTTGTCGTAATCGTAATGAGTAAGAGGCCGTTTCTAACAAATCACGTGTACCTACAAGAGCATTTTCACACGGTGCAATGTCAACTACTTTTAATGTATTTAAATAACCAACTAACTACTTTTGTAAGTCCGGAAATACATTTAACTACATTTTTTGTAGTATTTAACTACATCATTTAAATACATTTTCAAATAATTTATTTTTTCTATATTAGGTACCTGAATTGTTATTTAAATGCCCCAATTCGTTGAATTTTGTCATTACACATTTAGTTTTAAATACTATTATACAAAGTAGTTTTAACAACACTGGCAATATTGTACTGCAATATGCAATACATTGCAGTGTGAAAACGCTCTTATAGCACAATATATTGCAGTAGTATGGAAATTATTAACAATTTACCGAATGCAATATTTAGTTGACAGGCTCCAAAAATACATTAGAATGGTAATTTAATAAATGTACTTATTGTTTTTAGGTGGGTTTGAATAGCGGATCGGAGGACGAGTTTCGGCATAAATTGAACAAGGCGGTGCTGGAGTTGAATTACAACACTTTGCCGGCCCCGAAACCGTTGAAAGTTTTGCCTGCGAAGCACACGTTCGAGACCATCGAGGTATTTAGGAGTTTTTTTCGGCGATAAATTAAGCGATGATTTACCGGTAAATTTGTTGCAGGAGAAGCCGATGAATCGTCCCGATACGCTCAACATTCGCAACGAATTCTACATCGAATTTCCTCCGTGCGGTCTACCGATACCAGGTATACAGATAGGTGCAAATTTGTATGTAATGTAGTCTAAATGGGTGCAACAAAGATACACTAACTTCCATTAGTCTCGTGTAGGAAGAGGGTGATATTGTGGAGAGATCTATCCTCGTTCTAATCATAGAATTGACCGTATTACAAACAAACCTGCACTTACCTATACAGTGCATTTCTTTAATGCACCTCCCCCCTTTTATTTTACGAGCACTTTTTGAACTGAACTCAGCTTATTTCCTCAAATTATGATGTTAAATGTCGATGTATTCAGGTAATGGGTGCAGATATTGACTTTATATTCCAGGGTTGTACAGTATTTGATGTTAAATTTATTTCTGAATATGGCGCCCAGTCGCCATCTTGAAATTTTCATCTGTCAATTTTACTACAAAATATAGTAATCATGCATTAGTTTTGTTATCCTAAATTTCAATTTTCTAAGTTGATCCGTTCAAAAAATAAAAGGGGGGTGGGGACATTAAAGAAATGCACTGTACATTATAAAATGCGCTCCATTGTACCAACTATAATTGCTTTGTACTATTAATTGAACTTTATTGAACAGGTATGGAGGATTCGGCGAAAACGTCGAGCAACGAATACATGAACATCGGCTCGAAAACTCCGGATAGTCACGAATATATCAACTTCAAAATACCGGCGGTGCCGCAAACGAAATGAGAACAACATCACCGAGCGTTTGGTCGTGTAATTATTTTCGAATTTTTAATTTATTTATCGATTGGAATTCGACGCATGAGATGGACGATTTGCGAGTCGTACAAAATCGACAAGGCACAGTAGGCTTTGAAATATCACGTTTATAGTACGGTGAATTTCATCGAGCTGGGTCGATTATTTTAGGACAAACGTTGTACTAGTCGGTGTTATTATTAATCTATTGATGTATGTACAGGTTTTCGTAAACTTCCTGTATTCAATTTTCGTCTTTTTTTATATTATACATTATTTACTGTATGAATTTATGTACCTTTATTTAGTTATTTATGTACCTATTTTTTTATACGCCTCGTTAGGTCGAATAAATAAATATTTTTTATTACACAGCGCGTTGTTCATTGAAATATCTACAGTCGGTGCAAAAAAAATATTCATACACGTCACTACTGTCGTCATACTTGACAAGCATTGTGACCAACTTTTAAAAGTAAATTCCACGAAATAGATTAAGCTTAATACCTGCGGAATTTAATTTAATATTAATAAGGGATGATAGAAAATGTTAAAATGCAGAATTAAATCATCCAAAAATATATATTGTCAAAATTCAACGTTTGTGAATAAAATTATTATTTTTTTCTATTACAATTTCTTATTTTTTTAGTTTACTAGCCTCAACTACTAAAGGCTATTCAATCGAATAATCGAGAAATAAGAATTTTTTGCGTAGTTATTTTTTCCACATGTTAGAAATGACAATTTGAGCACTAAATAATTCAGATTCAGAAGTTTTCTCAGAAATTTTACTATGTACTCTTAAATGTATTTCAGATGATAAAGGAATTTTATGATTAATTATAGCAAGCTCCTGAATACATCCTGCGTTTAAAAACGTAAAACAGTTACACCTAATTTTCAAGTTGTTCTCGTCATTTTGCCATTTGACAATTTGTAGAAAATTCTCAAATTTTGTACTGTGTAAAAGTCCGGCAACACTGCCTAGTACTCAATCACAGGTGACGGTTATCGGTATTTATTTTGCACCAACTGTACCCCCGGAATAGATAACGAATCGACAAGGATAAAATAAACTTACCAATATATATATAATTCTTCTCTGATACCAAAAAAAAAAAATCTTGTAAAATCGAAAATCTACAAATAGAATAAGGCGGTTATTTTGAATTTTCGCTGCTGCCCGACGTCGGCTTCTTCGCCAATTTCAAAACGTGCACAATCACCTCGTCGACCGTCTGATTGTTGAGCAGCTCTTTAACGGCCTCGTCGTCGATTACGACAGTAAACAAGAGTTTGGCATTTTCTCGAATCCTACCGATGTAATCGAAATCCTCCTCGGACGCCGGCTTGTGACCGCATTTCGCTATCACGCTATCCAGAACCTACAAAATTACAATCGCCAATCAATTACACAAGTCTATCACTCTCTACTATACACGCCCGTTGCGAAAATAACGTGGGACACACTGTATAAATTACAAACAGTTAAATTGCCGTCGATGACGTTCGGTTTTAAAGCGGATTTAGAGCAAGTTTTGAAGCGGTTTTAAAGAGATTTTGTAGCAGTTTAGAAACAAAGCGGTATTACAGTAGTTTTGAAGCGGTTTTGGTGCGGTTTTAGAGTGGTTTTGAAGCGGTATTACAACTGTTTTAAATCAGCTTTGAAGCGGTTGTAGAGATTTTGAAGCTATTTAGAAGGAAAGCGGTTTTAGAGTTGTTTTGAAGTGGTATTAGAGCGGTTTTAGAAATATTTAGAAGCAATATAGAATGAAAGGGGTTTTAGAGCAGTTTTAACAATATTTTAGAGAGGTTTGGAAGAAGTTTTCTAGCAATTTAGAAGCAAAGTAGATTTGCAGCACTTTTTAAGCAGATTTAAAGAGATTTTTAAGAGAGGTTTTATAGCGGTTTTGAAGCAATAGACAATGAAAGCGGTTTTAGAGTAGTTTTAAAGAGATTTTAGAGTAGCTTTGAAGAGGGTTTAGAGGTGTTTTGAAGCAATATAGAATGAAAGCGGTTTTAGAGCAGTTTTAAAGAGATTTTTGAGCGGTTTTGAAGAAGTTTTCTAGCAATTTAGAAGCACAGTAGATTACAGCACTTTTTAAGCAGATTTAAAGAGATTTTTAAAAGACGTTTTATAGCGGTTTTGAAGCAATAGACAATGAAAGCGGTTTTAAAGTAGTTTTGAAGAGGGGGTTTAGAGGTGTTTTGAAGCAATATAGGTTGAAAGCGGTTTTAGAGCAGTTTAAAAGCAAAGTAGATTTAGAGCACTTTTTAAGCAGATTTAGAGCACTTTTTAAGCAGATTTAAAGAGCTTTTTAAGAGACGTTTTACAGCGATTTTGAAATATACAATGAAAGCGGTTTTAGAGTAGTTTTAAAGAGATTTTAGAGTAGTTTTAAAGAGATTTTAGAGTAGTTTTGAAGAGGGTTTAGAGGTGTTTTGAAGAAATATAGGTTGAAAGCGGTTTTAGAGCAGTTTTAAACGCATTTTAGAGCGGTTTTGAAGAAGTTTTCTAGCAATTTAGAAGCAAAGTAGATTTACCGCACTTTTTTAAGCATTCCTAAAGAGGTTTTACAGCGGTTTTAGGGCGGATTTGAAGCGCTTTCGAAGCCTTTCCAATCAATACCTTATCGACCGGCGCCTCCGGATACCCGAACTCCAACAGACACTCCTCGTCGACCAGCAACGTCAGCAGCTCCTTGATCGATTCGGTCAACGTCAATTCGGTCCAAACGACGTTCTTCGTCATCGCCTCGTCGGCGTCGTCCGACGCCGCCGCCGCCGTCAGCAGCTGCTCCTGCAGCCGCTTCTTCTCCGCGTTGGCGACGATGTCCTCGAGGACGTCGCGATGCCGGCTGCGGATGTGCCGCATCAGACAGTCCCTGCGGATGAACGCCCGGCCGCACGTTTCGCAGCTGCACGGCTGCTCTTTGCGGTGCGTGTTCATGTGGATCTTGAGCGACGAGCGGACGGCGAACGATTTGTTGCACACCTCGCAGCTGAACGCTGTCGATGCAACAAAACGGTAGAACGTTAGAACCTATTACTTAATAGGTCTATGCTATATAACCTATAATGTTGCGATTTGGAATGAAGCACAGTGTATATTGTTTGGTCTATGCTTTACTCCATCTAACGCTCGAGCGCCATCTATCTATCAAAGATGGCATTCTTCGGAACTGTATAAAAGCAAATAGAAGCAAATAGAAGCGATATAAACGTACGTCTTTCGCCCGTATGCGACAACATATGCCTGGCGACGTCCTCCTTCCTGAAAAACGTCTTCGAGCAAACGCTGCACGGCAGCGGATCGGCCCCTTCGTGCATGTATTTGATGTGATTGGTGAGCCGCAACTTGCGATTGAACGCCCTGCCGCAGTACGAGCACGTGTACGCGTTCTCGCCGGTGTGATGGAAGATGTGCGCGCGCAACTGCGACGGCTGGATGAACGCCTTGCCGCAGAACTGGCAACGGTGCGGCTTCTCGCCCGTGTGGATGCGATAGTGCCGGTTCAACGTTTCTTTGGCCGAGAATTTCCGGTGGCACTGAAATATCGATACGTCGATTATTGTCACCTGTTCGAGTAATCTACGAGAAGGTAGGGCGCGAAAAGTTCTCGGCTTGAATCATTTTAGAACTGTCTAGGACCGTTTAGCTACGTTCAGAAGGATTCGGAATTATTTAGAAGTGTCTAGAATCGTTTAAAACGTTTCAAAAATGATTTAGAACTGTCTACAACCATTTAGAATATTCATATTCACCTCCATATTCACTTAGAAAGCTCCAGAATCATTTTTGTAATTGTCTGAAACCATTTAGAACGCTCCAGAATGATGTAGAAGTATCTAGAGCTAGTTAAAAGGCTTCAGATTCACTTAGAACGGTCTAGAATCGTTTAGAATGTCATTTTGAACTGTCTAGAACAATCTAGAACGCCCCAGAACCAATTAGAACCGCATCGAACTAAACATTTCGACTTAATACAAAGAATAAAAGCAATTTTTCAATACAATATCGCCGGTCTTCCATTGTCGAACCGAGAACTTTTCACCATTAATCTTGCAACAAACCCACTTGATCGCAACTGTACGGTTTCTCGCCCGTATGTTTCCTCCTGTGCTTCTTCATGGCGCCCGTCGAAGGGAACCGTTTCGGACACAAATCGCACTGGTAAGGCCTATCCCCTACAAACCAATAAATCGTTTAATACGATTAACATTCCGCATAATTAATTAAACAAAAACGTACCCGTATGAGTGCGCACGTGCACGTTCAACAACGTGATCCCCTGGCACTGCTTCTGACAGTACTGGCACGTGTACTTCTTCTTCTGCTTCGATTGCCCGGCGTGGTTGCGCAGGTGCTCCGCCAGATTGTCCTTCCTCGTGAAGTACTTGTCGCACACGCGACAATCGTACATCTTCCTCGGCTGGCCCATGCAGCCCGTCTGGCCAATGTGCCTGTCGAGGTGGTACTTCCGCGAGAACTCCTTGTTGCAATCCAAGCACTTGACGTTCTTCACCGGATGGACCTTCATGTGATCGACCAGCGCCGATTTGGCGGCGAATTCCCGTTTGCATTCGACGCACACGAACCGGCCCTCGTTCGTCGGATGCTCGATGCTCTTGTGCCGCTGCAGGAAGTTGACCTGCACGAACAGCTTGTCGCAGTGCTCGCACTTGTAGTCGCCTATCTGGAAACCGACGGATCGATTAGAGTCGTACGAGCGGTACCAAACTAGCGAACGATTAGCGAACGCTATCGTCGCTAATCTAGTAGGTTAAAGTTTGATTGAATAACCGTGTGAGCAGAGTCCCAGGGTTCTCCGCAGCACGGGCACAGCTCCAACGACAGGGGATCGTCGAAATCGTTGTCTTCTTTCTTTTCGTGGTAGATCGTTACGTGGCGTTTCAAACCCTACGAAACATAACGAATTTTATCTATTGATTTAGGATATTATAGGGACTTACGGCGAGCGTTCTGAAGGATTTATCGCAAATGCCGCAACTGGAATATTCCTCCTTTTTAACCTCTTGCAATGCAGCAGCATCCACTGAAGTCTTATCGACTTCTTGATCGATCACCATCGCATCGCTGCTTTCTTCGTTTTCGTTCCATTCCCTCTCCTCGTAATACACCGAGTTCGTATCGTCATCTTCGATCGATTCCACCTCGTTACTTTCATCGTCTTCTTCGTCGTCATCATCTTCGATTTCTTCCACTGCTATGGGTTTGTCGTCTAAGCTCTCGCTTTCATCTATAATCTCCACGCTGGTGTACTCGATTAAATTGGAATCTTCGTTGATAACGGTGGTGTATTCAGTACTACCGTCTTCGATGAAATACTCGATGGAATTCTCCCCCTCGCCCGTTTCGTATATAATAGTCTCACCGTCGATACCTTGGTAGTTATCCTCGCTGTAAGTTACTCGTTACTATCTAGTGCTCGCGTGAATCGCTCTAGTTATACCTGATGATGTAGGTGTGTATGACGTCGTCCTCTTCGAGCGTGTTGATCTCCAAGTTGCCGTCGGAATTGGCCTGGGAGATTATCTTGCCGAGGAACTCGATTTGCTGGCCGCCTTCGGTGGCCTCGGAGAGCTCGATGTTCCGCAGGACGACCGTCTCGTTTCGGTCGTTGCCGTCGGAATTGGACTTGTCGAGGTCCTCGAAGTGCAACTCCTCGATGTGGATCTCCTCCTCGGGCTTCACCACCACCTCCTCGCTCTTTATGCGGGGCTCCGGGTCGGCCATAACCTAGCAAAAATGGCGGCCTTTCAGTCGATTCGAATACTTGTTGATTCGATCGCGAAGAAACTGTTATTACTATTATTATTATTATTAAACGAGGCTAATCTATCCATTGCGAACGGGATATGCGATAGTATTCGGTTGTGGAGTTTCTTGTAGCGATTCCATGGGGTTTATCGAAATGTAAACGTTTCGCAAAACTACCCTTAGAGCTCGCGAAGTTCGTGGAGATTATTTAAAAGTAAAAGTGGGTTATTTACTTACGCGCCCCTGAAATGTCGACAACCTGAGTTTCACAATACGCAAAATGGAGGCTGGGCTACCCTCTTAGGTGCGTCGGTTACTAATGCGCATGACCGGTCACGTTGACAGTTGTCTGGCCTGTTACTATTCGATCTATTCAGCCACAGTTCATTGGCCGAATTGTCCAAACAGCCGAGGCCTATTTACATCGAGAAAGAAGAAGAAAAACACTTGTTGCTAAATAGCCGAAAACATTAAAAAAAAACATGAATAAACTTCGAATAAATCGCATTACCGATCTACCGAGTCCAAGATCTCTACCATTATTAGGCCACACTTACCTATTTCTACCAGGAGGTAACGTTGTAACGCGTACAAACGACGATTCAAATCCACTTCATTTACAGGTCCATACAAAGCCGAGCAACTAACCGAAGCCGTCTCGGATCTCACTAAACAATTCGGCCCGATACTCCGACTAAATCTAGGCGGCGCTAACATGGTGATCACCACCGACGCGGATCACACAGAGACCCTCTTTCGCAACGAAGGGCTCCGGCCCGTCCGGCCGCCCTTCCCCGCCCTCTACCACTACAGAAAGCGGACCTTCAACAGCGTAGGAGTGGTCCCCGGCAACGGGGAGGAGTGGCACAAATTCAGAGCGGGCGTGAATCCCCTGCTGAAAACCGGCCTGTTGAATGCCTACCAACGGCAGCAAGAAAACGTAGCCGAGGCTTTCGTGAAGTACGTTAAAAGTCGCTCGGACGAAGACGGCCTTTTACTGGATACGTACGAGCACCTGATGAGTTTCGCGATCGAAGGTGCGAGTTAATCATTAGAATATTCGCTGATTGTTTAAAGGTATTTCTGTTGTTTGTCCCGGTCGTAGGTTCAGCGGATCCGATGGGGAGTTCGAGGATATAAAGATGGCGAGCAAGATGTTTATGGACGGTTTGTACAAGACTCTAGTGGGGCCGCCTTTGTGGAAATTGTACGATACCGAAGGTTATAAACAATTAAAATCGTCGCATCGAATAATTTACAAGTACTTTTAACGTAGCTTGTTTATCGAGTAAGCCCACTTAATCGATTTCAGGATGTTACGGGAGCATTTGAAGGATTTACGATCAAAGTACGATACCAATCCGAGCGATTTAAAGGACTCCAATCCTTTCATGTACACCTTATTGGACAACAAAAGTCTATCGGAAGACGATTGTAATATGCTAGCATTAGAAATCTTCTTCGGTAACACTTCCACGCTAAATTTACAATACAATTTGCAGCTTTTTGTCGGGTTCCAGGTGGTATCGATACAACAGCCACCACTCTGACTCTCACTTTGAATTATTTGGCCCAAAACAAGGACATACAGAACAAAGCGAAGCGCTACTTGGCCCTTGACGATGGCGACTCTTACTTGAAAGCTTGCATCAAGGAAACGTTGAGGTTGTCTCCGACTGCGGGGGCAAACAGCCGGTTCTTGGCCCGGGACACCGTCCTCGGTGGTTATTTGATACCCAAAAATGTAATTAATCGATCGATTCATAATATCTAAAATACCATTCAAAAGGAATTCTGGACTCTAATCAAAACTGTTGAACTGTGTAGATCAATCTAGAACGTTCCAGAATTATTTAGAACTGTCTAGAACCATTTAAAACGATCCAGAATCATATAGAACTGTCTAGATTAACCTAGAACGTTTCAGGATCATGTCGAATTGTAGAGAACCATTATAAACACCTCAGAAACAATTAGAACTCAACAAAATCATTTAGAACTCTTCCATTGGGAAAGTTAGGTGTGAAGTTAGCACACTAATTATTATACATTGCTCTAATACCCTTTAATATTAACTCAGAACTATTGAGAACTGAAGTCTGGTTTCTAACTTCACCCTCTCGGCCAATTAGAGCTATTAATTAGAGCATTTATTGGATTATTTCAGACGCTAGTATCGGCTTTCAGTTCGGTGACTTCGACTAGTCGGGAGTACTTCGAATCGCCCGATCGGTACCATCCGGATAGGTGGCTGCGGAACTCGAAGGAATCCTTCCACAAATTCGCTTCATTACCGTTCGGGTACGGGCCGAGGATGTGCCCCGGAAAGAGGCTGGTGATGAACGAGATGGTGGTTCTTTTGAAGGAGGTACTTATAAAATATGTATACAGGGCGTTAATTAATTGAGAATGACGATACTTTAGGATGTGAATGTTTGGATGATTTTAACAAGGAAAGTTTATATATCGATATATGTCCTAAACCTCTTTAATTTCAAAAAAAATATCTGGAGTAATAGAAAAGAAAATTATGATAGAAGTTATTATTTTTTTACAATTTTAACACCCTGTAGCTCGAAAACTAGGAGGTTTAGGACATACATCGATATAAACTTTTCTTCTTAAAACCAACCAAATATTCACATCCTGAAGCATCGGCACTCAATTAATTAACACCCTGTATATTGATTAAAAATTGATTATTAAGATGATGGTTTTGTTTTAGATTTTGAGGAATTTTGAGTTGAGTACCGACGATACGTCTCCGGTTCGGATGGTTTATCGAATGAATCGTGTACCGGAGAAGGCTGTTAATATCAAGTTTAAATGTTTATAAAGAGACATAAAGGATTCTTTAATGGATGTAATAAATGAGCTTAAAGAATCCTTTAAGCGTACAGTGGCGTATAAAGTTAATTAAGACTAATCCTTCATATCCTTATTTCTTCTTTTTTTTATATTTGGAATAAGCGAAACATTGGAGCCATCGAGGTAATATACAGGGTGTCCCACGATGAGTTAAAACTATCTGTATGCAGGGTGTTCAGAAAATAGATGTCAATAATTCGGGAGCATATAAATGACATCAAAATAAGGGTACAACTTCATATAAATTTTATTAATTTGAGCCCCCATTTTTGAGCTAGAGACCTTTACAGTTGAAATTTTAAAACTTATTTTTAGGTTTTATTTCCAAGTTATACATGGAAACAAATTAAAATTTTTTGTGTTTTTTGTAGGTAATAAACAATATACAGATAGTTTAACCTCGTCGCAATACACCCTGTATAATTAATAATCCATTAATACTTTATATTCCAATATTATTCTATATTAATCGTACATTAAAAAAATGATAATTGAAACAGGTGTGTTTTAAAAACAAAATTAACATCTTCGATAAGTAGGAAAAAGAAATGAAATAAATAAAATTGAAAAAAAAATTCGAAAATACGTCTAACACTAATCGGATGAACGAAACGCATAAAATTCGAACAGAGTAGCGCTGAATACGGATTTAAGTATCTAATAAAAATATTCGTCAATAACTAACATACTCTTTCCCGATCGAAAACTATGAAAAAAAAATATTTAAAAAAAACCGCTCAAGTATAAACGATATGTAAGTTAAAAACCCCGCTTAGAAAACGACCGAATTTGACGAAAAAAAGAAAAAAAAAATAAACGTCAACAGGCCAACCACGGGTGGTGTCTCAGCGACTCCTTCGATCTGTCCCCGTAATCGTACAATATCTCAGAGCCGATATTTATGTCCTCTTTCGCAATCAGCACCAGCCTCGGTTTGTTATCGACCACGATCACCCTCGTCACCAGGTTACCGTTCCTCGAATGGTTCACCAATCGCCCCAATTTCGACGACTCCGCCGTCGCGTCGATGCTACAAACGATATCAAAGCGATTCGTCGTGTGCGCAATAGAAGTTGCGCACTGTTACCTATTGAAATCGAGAGGAGTACGACTTTTTTTTAATTGTTTTTTTTATAAAACTACGGATTCTTATGAAGTCGTTGGTGAAATTTTTTATTTTCTCCGTTTCCTATTAGGGTCAGAATTGATTTTTAAAGTTTGAAATACGTCACAAGTCGTTAACCAATCATATTAAGGATTGGTGGTAACGTTGTTTGTATGTCTATGCTGTAATTTATTTATTGTATTTCTTGATAATGTTATGATTTATTCGAAAAATATAGAGTGAACTTTAAATTGTTAAATAATATAATATGCCTATATTTACGAAGTACTGTAAGTATATAAAATTCGTTTAGTAAAAATGGTAATGTGGCATCTTCAAATGTATACTTTTGACTTTTTAAACTTGTCAAATTAATAAAAAAAACTTAACCTCCACCTAAATCAACTTATACAATTTTAAAATGTCCCATCCGAAGGTAGTTAAAACCTGTTTCATGCCGTTTTGTGAAAATTCTTCATTGTATTCTAAAAAAGTGTTTAATTTTGCATCAATAAACATAAAACAAAGAAATTAAATTACATTAACTTAACCCTAGATATGTCATCTGTCATTTGATGTTACATTTCATTTTTGTTCGTTTTTTCTACTCTTTCGAAACATTTCGAACGAACTCGTTCGTTTTGTGATTGGTTACCGATTTTACACGTCACCTGTCAAAATTTTAAACTTAAAAAGGCAATATTTCCTAAAATATTGAATATTTTCATCAACTGAAAACTCTTTCGAATTCTAATGACTTATTTCTACTTCTAATTTCTTCATATATCCAATTCAAAACCGTTTATCTCACATCGTACTCCTCTCCATTGATTCGTTATGTGCGCAGTAGCAGTTGCGCACCGTCACCGCGTTACTTTAAAAAAAAAATTAAACGCTTACCAATACTGCTGGTTGTTGTGCTTGAAATAATACATGTAGCAACCGGTGGTCAGATCTTTGGCGTATTTTTCCTCTCTCGATTTGGCTTCGAGACAATCGATCAGATCGCCGCTGTACTCCACCACGAAATCGCCCTTTTTGAAGCACTTCGACGCCACTACGCCCCTGCCTTTGTCGTCGAACACCCGTATCTCGAGGCCTTCTTCGATGTTGTTCTTCAGTATCGTTTCTAACGTTTTTTGCCGTTCCTCCAATACGGTTTTCGTCGTTTTCCTTACGGATCTGCGTACGGCGAAGAACTCGGTGAGCTTGTGGTTGGTTTGAACGACATCGGTCTTGTCGGTTTTCAGTCTAAATAAAAATACAAATTACAGTTGGCTGGAGGTTTTTGTACGTCGAAGGCCGCCAAATTCGCTAGCAAGCTGTTCGACGAAATTATGCCCCGTCAAATTGGCTCTATCTGAACTAGAGGCGTGAAATTTTCAGTGAACCAAGCCTCACGTCTTGTCTTGACCTCCACCAAATTTCATCACCCTAGCTCAACCCCAAACGGCTGAATTATCCCTTAGAACGAGACCATGTTCAATTCGACCCAACACGAAAACATGGCCTCATTCAAAAATTGTCAATAGCCAAGGTAGAATCGTGAAATTTTCAGTGAACCTAGGCCCACGTCTTGTCTTGACCTCCACCAAATTTCATCACCCTAGCTCAACCCCAAACGGCCTAATTACCCCATTTGAACGATACCATGTTCAATTCCACCCGATAACGAAAACATGGTCTCATTCAAACGGGTAATTCGACCACTTCTAGTTGAGCTCTCACGATGCAATTCGGCTAAAACCAAGACATACCATTAGGCTAGCCTCACTGAAAATTTCAAGCCTCTAACTTCTACAGGACCTAAGAAAAACTCACTTTCGTTTCGTTTTAGTGGAAGGAAGGACGCCACCTTTGGCCGGTTTCCTATTCTCCTCGGTGCTTTCGCTTCTCAATTCGATCCTGTGAGGCGTCGAAGGCGCCTGCACGATCTCCTCGCACGCCTTCCGCCTCCTGGCGCTCACCGGCGTCGAGGACTCCGTAGGATTCGCTACAAAAAAATTCAAACAAATTAGGTTTCGCATTAAAGACGGGAGCGACTAAACAACCGTTACCGTTACGCCATTTAACGTCTCAATCAACTTGACGTTACGTTTTTTTTTTTTAATATATTATTCTTATCGCCCCCGGGAAGAAAACAATGAGAAGGGACAGTCTTCGAGGGGAGCCCAGCATCACCTCGGAGGGCACCGATAAAAATCAACTGAGAGAAAAAATCGACGATTTATTCAAAGACCAAACCACCAATAACCAGGTACAGTCGAAACCACCGCGAGAACCCCGTTAAAAAAAAATAATTTAAAATTCGCAGGGGAAGAAACAGCCGAAGAAACCCCCCACGAACCAAAAGAGATTGTCCCTGGACGCGGGAGATTCAAATACAGATGTAGATTACAAGTATAAGAGAGAAGTAATTAAAAAAAATATTTTTTTTTAAATTAGAATTAATTTCGAACGCAATTCCAGTCCGTAGGAGGTTCCAAGAAAGAGGCCAGACGATCGAACAGCTCGACCAGCAAGATCCCAGACAACGAAGTACATTTATTAAATTCACAACGCAATTTGTCGCACAAGAATGCCGATTCTTGGGCGACAAATTGGCCTCCAACGCAGTAAGTAATACGATTAATTAGTCGAACGAGGGCTCCAAGCAATCGGTCAACGAGCCGGAGATCGAAGAGGAGGAGGACGAGAAGGACGAGGACGCCTGCAAGGAGGAAATGGGCAGGATACTGAAGGAGAACAACGACAAAATCTGCGATTACATTTGCAATTTGCGCACGCAAAGGGACGACTTGGTGTACATCATCGAGAAGCAATACGAGGAGCGAAAGAGGCTCGAGACCGAAATGGAGAGAATCACCTACAAATTGTGCTTGGTGAATTTACACGAATACAATCGACCCGTTTACGTAGAGTTAAATTCATTGTAGATCAACAAGAGCATGGCGCAGAGGATCAAAGCGAAGTGTTTGTACGATCAGACGATCGACGAAGTGGAGGAGCAGTATTCGAAGTTGGTGAAGGATTCCGGAACGATTTTGGCGTTGGTGCAAAACCGCTTCCAGAAGTTGGACGGGATGATTAATAAAACGACCAGTACGGACGAGTAAGAAGTGATAATAAACATTCGTAGAGCTTCGTTACTCGACTAATTTGTGTTACAGGAAAAGAAATAGTAATAACGACCAGCACACGGTAAAATACGTTGCGAAACGAGCGAGTTACATGCGTAAAATTAACGTGTTTGTAGGTATGTAATTGCTGTAAGTGCAGGGAAAAGAGAAAGAAATCTATGGATTTGAATGGTAATCGACAACAAGCTAGGAAGGAGTGCCACCCGAAATGCGATTGCATATTCAAATCCGCGTGTTAATTATCCGTTTGCGCACCCGATCAAATTAAAGTTGTTACACAGGAATTATCGAGCCTCTAAGTTATGTAAAAAAAGCGACTTACCTCTGACCATTTTTTTTTTCTCACCGGTAAACTGCTATGGAGACGAGCGGGTTGTTAAATTATACGGCTTCAACTGGACATCACATTTTTTAAATGTAAAACTTGCAGATCTAATGAAGATTAATAGACGCTATACAATTAAAAATTGCAAAACAAATCGAGCGTTGTTGATGGTTGAAATGAAACGACAAACACGTCAATGTCAACTGTCACAAATAGCAGGTGTCAAGTAAAGGTCGCCGAATAACATAGTAGATAAGGCCTATTTGGAGGAAAAACAAATCAAAGTAATCGCTAGGTTATTACAAGGAATTTTACATAATTGTTGTAAAAGAAATGGATAAATGAATACCAAACAACGTAAACCAACGGCAAACGTCAATATTTGACGTTGACAGATTTCAAATTATTTGCTTGAGACTAAAACTTAAAAGTATTCAGCTACCAGTCATTCTCAATGTTCTTCTTTTTCTCCTTTAATATTGTTCGTACTGCAATTTTCAAACCAAATAGTGCATATCTACACTAATTTAGCGCTTATTTCTGCAAAAAATTGTATAATTCTTCTTTTTATTTAATCAGAATCCGTCAACTAAACGTCAAACCGCACGTGAAGTTCCTGAAAAGTGAGGTTAGAAACAATGTGTACTTTTTCGCTTCTCTAGGATTGCCCCAACCGAAAATCCCGTCGCAAGCGAAGCCATGCCGAGCGCCGTAATGGAATGTCCGGACTTCAGCGAGTTTCAAGTAAACCCGCCGTATCGCCCGGCGCCCCCCTTTCTAACCTCGAACGCTCTTTCAGGAGGCCCTCAAGTCGATGCGGAGGCCGCACGATATCATAATAAACACCATCAACGACGTGGTCCCCACGGGCTCGTTTCACAGCGACGAGGCCGCCGCCTGCAGGAGCCTCTACGAGACGCTCGAGAGCGGCAACGTCAAGCGGGAGAACTACATCAAAAACTGCATCACCATCACAGCTGATAACGTGAAAAAATTGCGGGAAACCAGAGAGAATAATGCAGATGATACGCGGTTATCCAAAGCGCTAAGGGCCGAGCAGACTAAGGTAAATTCGATTCGGAAAGCTCCGATTATATGCTAATAAAAATGTATTCGATGGTACTTTTTAGTTACGAATGCTGCAAGTGGAGCTCACCGTGGAGGATTTGCTGAAGGACCGAACCACCAAGGTGTTTCATCAGAAATGCGGGAAATACTACAAGCCCTTATGAGTTTACGAGATTGAATCTGGATAGGTACGAGTAGTTAGAATTTTTTTATAATGTGCTTTACATTTTAGATGAATTGTTTAATAAACGATTGTTCCGTTGGGACGGTTTACTATTTAGTTCGTGTTCTTGTTGTAAATCTAATCGACGGGAAATTACGAATAGTTTTTTGGGGCATTGTACGCGAATAAGCGGGACTTTGAGATGCGTTCGATGGTGGGAATCAATTTTGTGTGTGTAAAGTTGCGGTAACGACTGTTACAAAGTAACCGTTATTTTTTCACTTCGTAGTCCTGATACCTACTCGAAATTTTAAAGCACAATAAGGGATTGTTATTTTGGCGGGGAATTCCGCAACACCGAATATATCCATTAGAATAGAACATATAATTTGATTTTATTGTAACGATAAATCCTATAAAACTGAATAGAATACACAACCTATTTGAGTGATTGATGCGAAATAAATAACCTATTTTATTTATATTAATTAGAAAAAAAACAAATCGTTTACATTTTAGTCCTAGAAATCGTAATAAATAATATAGAATAAATTTTAGTAGAGTTTAAACTACTGTTCGTTATCACCAATACTGAAAGAACTTAAATTTGAATAAAAAAAAATTTGCGTTGAACATTCCAGTATCAAATTCCGAGATTTTAGACTTTGCATAAATTTTTAAGTAGCACCGATATAGAAAAATAAATAAAACGCACAGCAACGGAAGGAATGTCGTGAAATTAACCTCATTTAGAACTACTTAAAAACGAAAAGAAGAAGAAAAAAGTTATACTAAATTACACCTAACATAATCGCGTTTTACAACAACAATACCCTTTCAGATAAACAAACAAAAAAAAATACATAAAATAAATCGTATGAGAAATGAGAGCTTTCGGGGGAGCCGTTTTACATCGAAGTCGGAGACCAGAAATTCATCTCGCGCAATTCCGACGGCTTCGCCTTGTAAACCACCGGGCGTTTTCCCGGGAAATCATCAACGCTCGCCGTCGAAGCGGCCTTGCCCAATTCTTCGGGCAGCTCCTCCTTTATTTGGCCCACCGATTGGGATATTTCCCGTCTGGCCAGCAAATTCGACAACAGCCAACTACCTGCAATCGATTAATAACAATTCATTTATTTATTTATTGGTAATGCTAATAATCAATATGTAGAGTTGTTATCATAGATAGTTAAATAAAATTAGTAAAACTCGTATATTATAATAAAATTAATCCGAATCTACTCTAAATCTACTCTATTCTGAATCTAATACCTTTATACTGAATCTATTGTACCCTGAATTGAATCGAATCTACTCTGAACTAATTTCGTTACTCTGAATCTGCTCTATTCTGCTCCGAATCTATCCTATACTGAAACTAATTTCACTCTGAATCTACTTTATTCTGCTCCAAATATATTCTATTCTGAAACTAATTTCACTCTGAATCTACACAATTCTAGTCTGATTTCAATCGAATCTACTCCAATCTGAACTAATCTCTCTACTCTATTCTGAAACTTATTTCACTTTGAATCTACTCTATTCCAGTCTGAATCTAATATCTCTATACTGAATCTACTATACTCCGCTCTACTCTACTTCACTCTGAATCTACTACTGTATTCTATTGTGAATCGAATTTAATCCACTCTGAATCTAATCTCTTTATTCTGAATCTACTTTGCTCTACTCAACTCTGAATTTACTCTATTCTGCTCCGAATCTACTTTACCCTGAATCCAATCTACTCTATTCTGAAACTAATCTCCCAACTCTAAATCCACTCTATTCAACTCCGAATCTATTCGAAATCAACTGAAAAACCACCCCCTTTACCTTTCGATTTATCCACATCGGTGAACGCCCCGGTAAAGTACTTGTTCATCTTCCTGCCGGCCTTTGGGCTGTTGCCCGGCGACGTCAAAGGCGAGGCGGGCAGGCTCCTGCTGCCGCGCCGCTGCCGCTGGTAGGAGGCCGGCGGCGGCGTCGCCGCCTCCTCCTCGCCGCCGCCGCCGCAATCGGACCGGCCGCCGCCGGACGCCCTGCCGGACACCATCTGCGTGGCCACCTTGATGATGGAGCTGCCGCATCGGGCCGCCTCGCCCTTGAAGCCGTCGTCGGTGCCCGACGATTTGGTCTTCATCTCGGCGGTCGTTTGGGCCTTCGGGCTGATGTCTACAAACGAAAGAGACCGTTAGTTAGTTAGTTAGTTAAATGGGGCGTGTGCGAAGTTAGCACCGCAACTGTAGTTGTTGATGTAAATTTACGTTTGAAGTTAGCACCGCATGTTTTAATTAGAAAAAAAAACAATGTGTTAAAACACCAGAACTATTTTTTTTTGTACAAAACAACTCCTAAACTATCTAAAAGGAATCCAAAACTCTAATCAGAACTACTGACAACTACACTTGCGGTGCCAACTTCACACACGTATTTAAATGCAATATCAAAATGTGTTAAATCATGTTTGGACTGAAGTTTACAAACAAAAGAGGCCATTAGTTACTTAAAAGCAATATCAAAATGTGTTAAATCATGTTTGGACTGAAGTTTACAAACAAAAGAGGCCATTAGTTACTTAAAAGCTATATCAAAATGTGTTAAATCTTGTTTGGACTGAAGTTTACAAACAAAAGAGGCCATTAGTTACTTAAATGCAATATCAAAACGTGTTAAATCTTATTTGAACTGAAGTTTACAAACAAAAGAGGCCATTAGTTACTTAAATACAATAACAAAACGTATTAAATCTTATTTGGACTGAAGTTTACAAACAAAAAGAGGCATTAGTTACTAAAATTCAACATCAAAACGTGTTAAATATTCTATGGGCCGGTGTCCAAAGACGAAATATACAACTTGTCGCCGGCGAAAACGTACCTAATCCATTTTGCAGGTACTTCTGACAGGGCACCGGGTGATGGGAAAAATCCTGGTGCTTTTTCACCGCCGAAACGGTAATGTTCTCCGGCAGATTCGCCTTGATGACGGTCGATTCGTTCGCTTTGGTCTCCTTCTTCGGATGCCTGTAGTACAATATGAAACTGTCTTCGAGTTCGGGCGGCGAAAAGGCGTTGGGATCCAATTCGAATCTGTACAAAAAAATAAATAAATAAATAAAATAAAATCAATTAATAATGAATGATAATCAGCCGACTCGGGGCTGATGTGATACGCGTATCGTGCATAAATTTGGAAAAAGTAAAAAATAAATAAATGGAATAATTTCGAATGTATCGCCCGGAATTTTCGAGCGAACTAATTTACTATTCGAATACGACGAAATTTTCGATGCCAACAAACTTTGACATTTTTTTTTAGTTTTTCGATTGCGTCATCCAGGCGGGTAATTACCTTACGTGGTTTTTTTTTTTCGTTTGTAACGCGTATACGCGATGGAAAATATTTATCGATAATCGATATACAGGATGTCCCGCGTAAGATAAGACATTAGAAAGCTCCAGAACCATTTAGAACTGACTAAAGCCGTTTAGAACTCTCCAGAACCATTTAGAATCATATAGAACTGTCTAGAACAGTCTAGAATGCTCCAGAACCATTTAGAACGCTCCAGAATGATTTAGAACTGACTAGAAATTTTCAGAACGCTTCAGAATTATTTAAGACGCTCCATAGTCATTTAGAACTATTTAGAACGCTCCAAAATCATATAGAACTGTCTAAAACAGTCTAGAATGCTCCAGAACCATTTAGAACGCTCCAGAATGGTTTGAGAACTGTCTAAAATCATTAGAACTATCTAGAACAATTTAGAATGCTCCAGAACCATTTAGAACGCTCCAGAATGATTTAGAACTGACTAGAAATTTTCAGAACGCTTCAGAACCATTTAAGACGCTCCATAGTCACTTAGAACTATTTAGAACGCTCCAGAATCATATAGAACTGTCTTGAACTAACAATTTCGACTAGATAAGAAGAATAAAGTAATTTTTCATCTAATAATGGCGGTCTGTCGTTAGCAAATCGAGAACTTTTCACCTTAACCTTGTAGTTTTTATTTATTTATAACTTCATTTTGAAGTCCTACAACTTCCCAGGAATGTAAGTTTCTAATAAGTTAAATTGTTAATATAATTTATAGGCTCCCCCTTACACTGTGCTGGTTCTTATGCGGGACACCCTGTATTTATCGATACATAAACAAACCTTCGAAATGTTTGATTAGTAATTTCCATTGTGCGATCGATTGATATTTCATTAAAGAGTATTCCAATTGGAATGATAGCAATTAATTCGATTAAACTGTAGTTTGGCGAATAAATGTAGTTCGGCAGTTGAAAATTGGATTAGATGTAATATGTAATAGAATAAATGTTCCAGGAATGTTCAATCGAATTTAAAAATAGAGATTATTAAACAAAAAAACCTCTCTCTTTCTTAATTTTTCTCTGTACCAAATCCAACTGCCAAGCTACATTCGATGAAGTATAATAAGTTATCGAAAAAGGGCAAAATTTGACCAATAATTCTTCAGTAAAACAAATGTCTTATTAATAGAATCATTTCGGGTTATCGCCAAACAAATTTTAAAAACCACCATACAAATTACACGAGATTATTTTTCGGAATAAAAAAAAATACAACCAAACAATTCAGTTAGCAACAATTCTAGCACACAGGGAGTTACAAGGGAACTTACTTACGCGATTGCTTCGATAAACATACAAAACTGCGTTATTTTTTTTTTACCTGTCTTTGATGGGATTGGCCATGTTTATTTTTTAAAAGTTTTTCTCGTTTCAAACGTTCGTCGAGCGCTCGATTCGCAGCGGAATCATTGCCAGACGACACGAGAAATATATCTACTTAAATTTACACTAAATTTATCTCGAACGTGTCATAATCACATGCTCCGCACAATACACAACAAACTCTCGGAGCCCGAACAAATTTAAATTGTACTTTCGCGAGATTTACTTTTTGCACAAACAATCCGACGGTACTCCGGTACTAATCGGTTTTTGGTTCTATTTATAAAACGCGCTCGTTAATAAGTTTGATATTTATTTAACTATACAACATTTCGTTTTTTTTCTTTCTAAACGTATTTAGTGCAACGTTAACATTGACCCTTAATGGCCTCTTCGTTATTACTTATTCGGTTTATCGGCGATAAGATGACGCAATCGAGTAACCTATGTATAAAGCCGCATCAGTTATACACCGAGTGGCTCGTTGATTAATTTGAAGTGGATTTAATTAATGAGAAACAAACAAAAACATCCTGTTTTTTTTTTCGAATATACGGTTTTAAAAGGTTCTAGACAGTTCTAAATGATTCTGGAGCATTCTAAATGGTTCTGAAGTGTTCTTAATGATTCTGGAGCGTTCTAAATAGTTCTGGCCAGTTCTAAATGATTCTGCAGCGTTCTAAATAGTTCTGAAGCATTCTAAACGGTTTTAGACAGTTTTTAGAAAGTTTTTTGGAAAGTTCTAAATGATTATGGAGCGTTCTAATTGATTCTGAAGCGTTCTAAATGGTTTTTAGAAAGTTCTAAATGACTATGGAGCGTTCTTAATGGTTCTGAAGCGTTCTAAATCGTTTTAGAAAGTTCTAAATGACTCTGGAGCATTCTAAATGGTTCTGAAGTGTTCTAAATGATTCTGGAGCGTTCTAATTGATTCTGAAGCGTTCTAAATGGTTTTTATAAAGTTCTAAATGATTCTGGAGCGTTCTAAATGGTTCTGAAGCGATCTAAATGGTCCTGAAGCTTTCTAAATGATTCTGGAGCGTTCTTAATAGTTCTGAAGCGTTCTTAATGGCTCTGAAGCTTTCTAAATGATTCTGGATCGTTCTAAACGATTCTGAAGCGTTCTAAATGATTCTGGAACGTTCTTAATGGTTCTGAAGCGTTCTAAATGATTCTAAACGGCCCTAGACAATTCAAAATGGTGTGCTAGGTGACTATTTAAGTAGCCCAAGTTTGTCAGATAATTGTAAACGCCCTGTATATGGACCGTAAAAATCCAGTTTAGTTTCATTTAGCACTATATTTTTACTTTATCCATACCAAAATTCAAACTTCCAGGTGCATTATTAACAGAGATATCATAGGAAATACATTCGAACGTTTAAAAAAAAAATTCCAAAAAACTTCAATAACTCAAAAACAGTACATTTTTCGCATACAGTGTCATTATCAAAGTCTCGTTAAAAAATGCCGCGGAATCCAAAAACGGTACTTTCCATTCGAAATAACTCCAAAATGATCAAATTCGCGAGTCTTTCAATTACTCCTAAATAAACAAATAAATCGATCAATTCTCAACGTACTTCTGGTGGCTTTTGGTCCTCATCCACTGGGGGAAGGAGATGCCCGAACCGAGCGTACGGTCCTCTTTGGTCGCCATTTTATTTTCTCTTGTAAACGAAAATTCTATGAATCGGAGTGATGGTCGATCGATCGTAAGCGATCCTACGAGGTACTGCGATTGAAACACGATTGATGCTCGCCGGCTTCTAAGAGTAGGCCTTGCAAATTAGACAATTCTGTAAAGATGAAAAAACACGAAATGATCATCAATTAATTTAAATTTCTCATCCTATTCGCAAAAATCAAGCTGGCGGATTCTTTGTATATCGAGAATTTTGTTCGAGAAAAAAAATCAAGCTATCCGTTGAGTAATAAACAACAGAGACGGTGACATAACATAAAACAAACGAATTTGATTGTGTTTCCATGGAAACATGCCTCGAGATAACCTGGCATTGAAAGTGTTATTATTATTATTATAATTCCAAGTGATCTCGAAATCTATTTTTACAGGTCCTTTTCGAGCGCTCTTCAAATACGAGCAATATTATAAATATACATGGGAATGATATTACCAGCCGGCTAGATATTTTAAAGGAATTGTTGAGTAATTGTTAATTAACGAACCATTTTTTTTGCAATTAGTTACTAAGTTGTGACGTGAAATAGACCTTGGAAAAAATTATTTTTTTTATGGAACTACGCGATTGGAAACTTCCTTATTAATAAACAATAACCGTTCGAAACAGATAAGCGTATAATTAAGAATGATGCAATGTCAGCTTTGTATGTAAATTAACAATAAACTTATCAACAAGTACTGTTGTTGTTAACAGGAAACGTCCGCCTATTTTCGGAAGCCCGAGCGGCGAAAATTCTTTTAGTATAACAAACGAAAACTAATTACCTTCGAAATGATATCCATGGTTGTGAAAGAACTGTTCCAGAAGCCCATTTTCGGAAAAAAATCTAGAAATTAAAATGGCACCTATCGTCCCACAATTCGACAGACGGAAGACAATGACGTTGACGTTGACAGGTGATGGGAAATTCGCCAAGGTCGACATAAATTCGAAGGTTGCGTCATGCGCATGCAGCGACATCTGTCAGTTTGTGGTAATTATACACGAGTATCTTGAAGTTATGCAACACTTTTTACATAGATAACTTGATTTCTACAACTACAATTATTTATAACACTGTGCTTTAATTTAATAAACGTAGCCGATTTATCCTTACGTAAAAAATTTTGGATTATATCTAATTTTTGAGACAATTATTTTAATTTATGTCCTGCTAATTTCTTAACGATTATGTTGCTTGTTCTGCGAAAAAATCCACTTGAGCATAACTAATGTAAAATTCGTAAATTACACGTAAACGTTTATATACAGGGTGTAACAAAAACGTAAATAAATCCAATTGACCTCAAACTATGTGGTATATTTTATTACATACATGTATTGTATTTTGTTTTTGTTACACCCTGTATGATATAAAAAAAGTAGATTACTCGAATTATATTTTGGCTAGTCCGTTAAATTAACCTTTGTTCAACTAAAAAAATCTTCCATATAAAAAGTTTGTGATGAAAATCGGGATACTGTGTAAGTGTCCATCTAATATTTTTTTAATCCAGTTAATATTAATAAATCTACATCTACTAAATAAAACCAAGTAAGTTCCTAATGAATAAAAATTAAAAATGTCTAGATCATAGTCGGCAATTCAACGACAAGCCTACTTTAAAAAATGCAGGAAAATGTTAATTTATCATGACATTTGACACAAATGACGTTAAGTCGAAATTGTACCGGGGAGCTCATTTTAACGACAAATTTTTAGCCCAGTTTCGGCCATTTTTAGTCCCCTTTTAACCATTTTTATCCCACTTTCAACCAGTTTTAGCCAACTGTCAACCATCTTTCCTCCACTTTCAACCATTTTAACGCGATTTTCAACAATTATTAGACCATTTTCAGCCAATTTGAGCCCAACTTTCATCCATTTTAATGTTTTAGGCCATTTTCAACCATTTTGAGGCCAATTTCAACCATTTTTATCCCACTTTCAACCAGTTTTAGCCAACTGTCAACCATCTTTCCTCCACTTTCAACCATTTTAAGGCCATTTTCGATCATATTTAGTCGGTTTTAGCGATATTTCTCAAAGGATAATCTCCAATTAACGGCCGTTTCGCAACGCGACGATGTAATTATAGCCGGTGTTTTCGCAAATTGATTTTATTTAGAAGCCCGCATGACCCGAAAGGTCGAAAAATCTTTTAAATTTAAATCCGAATTTAAAAAAGCCACGATTATGTAAAATTTCGAGCGCGATATTTTCACGCGAATCCATTTCACATTGTCGAAACGATTAATTTTATATCGATTGTTCGATTATATCGCGCGAAATTATAAATAAAATAGATACCTCAATGTTATTTTGTTGGAAAACAACATTTTACGTAATTTAAAGGTTTATTTTTCACATTAAATTTTGCATTAAAACAATAACTTGCATCATTTAAAACTAAATCACCAGCAAATAATTGCGAAAAAAAGCAAAGTTTATCGTTTGACGTTTGATAGTCGTTTGACGTTTGAGAGTCGTTTGACGTTTGAGAGTCGTTTGAGTCGCGTTAACCGCTTGACTCTTTCGTTTGACTCTTTCGTTTCACGAATAAAATTTTACGTAATTAAAATGGCGATAAGTAGGCTTTATTATTTACATTCAAAGACGATTTGCATTGTAACAAAAACTTGCATCATTAAACAAACCAAAATTCGACAAACATAACAAATCAGCGGCTAAACAATTGCGCAAAAAAGTCAAAGTTTTCCAGGGAATTTACGCTAATAAACAGTGCGATTTTTTCCGTCCATCTTTCCTGTTATATGCACAGTGCTCTCTTTTAATCAAGACATTTCTAATCGCTTTTACATAATGATTAATGATGTTTATTAAAAACCGAACGTAAACCGTACGAGAGAAACAAACAAATAATTTTTCATATTTTCCGAATAAATAATAAATTTGACGCTCGACGCCCAGACGATAACGAGATTATGTATTTTGTTTTAAATTCCCGCGAAATGGACCTTTTCACTCGTACAAACGTCCAGTAGGCTATGGCCAAATAGCGATAATATTTCTGACAGATGACGTAATTGACAGTTCGACTATTGAATGGAATTTTTTTTATTAATGAAATATTACCGTTCATTCATTAATGTGTAAATAGAATACAAACGGAGCTACATCGTAAAGTTTAATTGGAATGGAATTTAATTGCATATGAGATGGAAGGAAAGCGATTTTTTTTTAATATTATCTACAGACAATTTAGATTGGCGTTTAAAGTTGTCATTTGTCAAGTGTCAAGCATTGTACGTCATTTGTCAAATGTTAAATGTCACGTAAACCATTTTTGATAAATTTAGCCGTTTCTACAAGACGTACTAGATTTGCTCACTAGATCTCTCCTAGATCTTATTTTGGCCCTCTTAGAGTTTTTTTCTTGGAAAACAGCGATTTAATTGAGAAATCAATAAGTAATGTCTAGTTAATTTATAATACTTCATCATCTACCTTATTCCGGCTATCGAATAATAATATTTAATTTACGTTTGACTCAATTGAAGTTTGACACAATTGAAGTTTAACACAATTGAAGTTTGACATAATTGAAGTTTAACAAAATCGAGGTTTGACTCAATTGAAGTCGTTTAACTCGTTTGACTTTTTTTATTAGTATAACTATAGTTTGACGTATGACTCAATTTACGTATGACTCAATTGACGTATGATTCAATTATTGAAGTAGTTTAACACGTTTGACTAGTTTGACTGGTTTGATTATTGGATTGACTCGTTTGACGTTTGACCCAACTGACGTATGACTCAATTGATGTATGACTCAATTGACGTATGACTCAATTTACGTATGACTCAATTGACGTATGATTCAATTATTGAAGTAGTTTAACACGTTTGACTAGTTTGACTGGTTTGATTATTGGATTGACTCGTTTGACGTTTGACCCAACTGACGTATGACTCAATTGATGTATGACTCAATTGACGTATGACTCGACAGACGTTTGACGTGCCAATAGACGACGTTTAGACGTGCGATAAGAGAAGGAGAAAAAAAATGAGGACTCGTTACTTGTTAGTAGCGCATTAAACTCGTCGAGATTGCGATTGCGACCTTATTAATTTTTATCAAAAACCAAACAAATCGGATCGAATGTCGAATGACATAATCGGCGTTGCATCTTCGCGTCGTCACGGCCGCCTGTCTAGGCCCGTTCTCGTCCGATAAACGTTCCGATTTCGGACGTAATCTCGCGAGATTTTCGAAAAGTATCCGAAAAATAACAAACATAATCTTCTACGTATGGTAATAATAAAAACAATATTATAACCGAGAACGGGGCGCCCCGATAAAGGCTCGAAATTTCAGTTGTTTTTCTCGAAAAAAAAAAAAAAATAAAATAAAATAAAAACGATAAGCGAAAATGGGTATAAAGCCGGCCGTGGCCGGTCCGTGCCGGTCACAAAACGCAGCGCGATCGACGCGAAACGGTCGAAGAATTGAGCGAACAATTATTTTCCGAAAGAGTATTTCGAGCGGGATGTACGGAGCGGAGGAGGCGCCGGAGTACCGGCCCGGGGGCGGTTCGTTCTTCGAGCAGAACTGCGGGCAGATCTTCACGAAGGGGCCGGCGCTCACGAAGGAGATCCTCGGTAAGGTCAACGCGGAGATCGTGCCGAAGCGGACGAGGATGTTCGGCAGGGAGTTCAGGACGAAGCCGATTTTGAGTGAGTACCTATACTATTCCGAATGTGTTGTTGGTAGAATTTAATATGCTCATCCGAATTGGTAGAAAAATGTTGTTCTGAAATTGCTTGATTGAGTACTAAACTCTTATGTGATGGTAGAATTTAATATGCTCTTCTAAATTGGTAGAAAAATGTTGTTCAAAAATTGCCTTGATTGAGTACTAAACTCTTATGTGATGGTAGAATTTAATATGCTCTTCTAAATGGTGGCAAATGTTGTTCTAAAGTCAATTTTGATTGTAAAACTCTTATGTGATGGTAGAATTAAATATATGCTCTTTCAAATTGGTAGAAAAATGTTGTTCTAAAATCACTTTGATTGAGAACTAAACTCTTATGTGATGGTAGAATTTAATATGCTCTTCTAAATGGTGGAAAATGTTGTTCTAAAGTCAATTTTGATTGAGTACTAAACTCTTATGTGATGGTAGAATTTAATATGCTCTTCTAAATGGTAGAAAATGTTGTTTCGAAGTCGATTTTGAATGAGTACTATTCGAATTTGTTATGGTAGAATTTAATATGCTCTTCCAAATGGTAGAAAATCTTGTTCTAAAGTGCATTTTGAGTGAGTACTAGACTCTTATATGTATGTGATGGTAGAATTAATAAACTAGAGTTAAAATACTTAAAATGGTCAAAATTAATTAAGGTAGAGTTAATATGCTTTTTCAAATGGTAGAAAATGTTGTTTCAAGTCGATTTTGAATGAGTACTGTATGGTAGAATATGTTATTCCAAGTCGGTTTTGAGTGGGTTTTGATATGGTATAATATTGTCTTCCAAATGGTAAAATATATGTGTTTCGAAATGGTAGAATAAGTTCTTTAAAGTCTGATTGAGTGGGTACTACTTGGTAGACTTTGTTCCTTCAATTGGTAGAATATGCTCTTCCAAATGGTAAAATATACTATATGTTATTTCTAGTCGACTTTGAGTTAGTTTATACTAAATATGTTCTTCTTGAACCGATTTTTGAGTAATGAGTGAGTACTCCATGGTAGAAAATGTTCTTCAAAATGGTAGAATATGTTCTTCAAAGTCCATTTTGAGTGAGTGCTTTGTGGGTTTTGGTTTCGGTAGAACAAGCTTGTATTTTTTGGATTTTTGTTACATTTTTGAGATGATTTTTTTCGAAATTTTGCTTATAAATTTGATGATTTTCTAAAAACGTTAAAAAAATATCCCATTTTTCACATAATTTACAAGATTCTACAATTTAAATTTGGCGATTTTTCAAAATATTTTACAAAATTACTCCATTATTCACATGATTTTAGCACATTTGACAATTAAATTAATAATTTTCCGGGCGCTATTTTGGACGGAATTTGTTACATCGCGCATGCGTATTAAACTGATGCTAAGAACTTGATTAAATCATTCCTTACTTGACTGTCAACTGTCACAACTGACACCTGAAATATTAACAAGTGACAACCGATCTATTGTAGTTTAAATCTGTTATTCGTATATAAATATGACAATTTGATCAAATAAGACACTGAATCTGATCTGTCACCTGACAACCTGACATATTGACAAGTGACAAGTGACAAGTGACAACCGACAACTTGATCTAGTTAAAATCTGTCATTCCAATATGTAAATATGGCGATTCGATCTGATAAGGAATCGTTACGAAACGATCGAAGGAAATACTCGAGTGATAATCATTTGTGGCGTGATGTTCATGTCAATAGTTTATCGTCGATTGTTTATGCTATAGTTAATTTACGAGGTTACTTTTACGATTCTACATAATCGATTCTTCGTAAAAATCCTTAAAAAAAGTTTTTATCGATTTAAATTACCCGCCCGAAAACGGGAGAGAACCTTGAATGGACGATATTTTTGGATAGATGATTTCCATTTTGACAAAACTGATTTATTATAAAATAAATAAAAGTTCATTTAAATGGGGGAATGTCAATAAACATCAGAAAAGTATCAACAAAATGGCGGTATGTCAATGAACAGAAGAAAAATATTAACAAAATGGTGGTATGTGAATGAACAGTAGAAAAATATCAACAAAATGGCAGAAAGTGGAATAATCAGCAAAAAATTATAAACAAAATGGCGGTTAAATTTGGTAGAATAATGAATAACGGAACTTTGAATGAATGTTTTAATACTACAATGATAGTAGATAGTAGTACGATAATATTACATTGTATCGAATATACGCATCAGCGTAAATTAGAGTTAATTTATTAAATGCATTTTAAATGTAATTGAATAATAATGTAGGCAATAAAAAATAGCCACTTTGATCGATAATTATTATAGAAAAAAAAAATTATGTTTAACACTAATAAATAGAAACACTCAATCAATTCGACTCTATTGTTTTCGAAAGAGTTTCGTATAGAAAACCTAAAAAAAATATGTTTCGTCCGAAGATTTCCCGCCGTCGAACAGGTGAGAAAAACATAAATTTATCTTTTTATTTTTTAAAGAAACAACCGAAAAATTATTCTTCTTCTTCTTCTTCCTTATCTTCCCTATCTTTATTCTTCTATTGGTCGCTGATCGCGACGATAAAAAATCCCAATCGATTACCCAACAATCGATTAAAATATACAGGGTGTCCCAATGAAAAGTAGCCCCTTTAGTGAGCTAATAATTTTTAAACGCCCAATCATAAAAACTTGCGGTTTTCCCAGATATATTTTATTTTGCTATAACTTTTTGTTACGGCGACACGAAAATTTTGTATCGACTGTACAGGGTGTTTCATAAAAATCCAAATTTTATTTATATTTAATTTTTATGAAATAGGACATCTTCTTTTGTAGAATAATATGTACAAATAATACATTTTTGAAAAGTAGAAGAGTAGGTATATCTTTCAAAATACCTCTACATATATGGGGTGTTCAATTAAAAAAAATGGTTATTGTGAATTTGATAAAACACTGCATAATTTCTGGATCACTGTAACAAAACTTCTAATAAAATAAAACATTTATTATTAGGTTATAGGCGTTTAAAAATTATAAGCTAAATAAAGGGGTTACTTTTCATTGGGACACCCTGTATATCGATTACGTCAATTAACGCGTATCGATATACGAATTTATCGAATTTCGCGGGTCGTCGCACCGCCGATTCATCAAATAATAAATTTCGAAAACACCATATCAATCCTTTAAAATAATTATAAAATTACGCGATAATAATTACAAATTCGAGACGAAACAAACATTAAAAATTAATGATATCGATTCAACCAATTTTTCGTTCGATCGTAGTATTATATCGATTCCGAATCGAACCGGTTTCGATATACAAAATGTTAAAATCGGTTATCCGATAAAAATGGTGTCGCTACTACATCGATAACCTCTCTCGTCTAGACTGCATATAACACTGATAACGGATGTAACAACGATTGTATTTTTAGAAGTACCATCGATTGCATCGTAAACTACCCTTAAATATACAGGGTGTTAATGCTAAATGGAGTAAATTCATAATTTCGGTACATATCTGTACATATTTACACGACAAATTTTAATTATAAATTGACATTTTTTAACGTCAAAATGTGAGTCCTATCTTCAACCGACCTTTCAAACGATATATTACAAGCCTATACTTCCCATTTAAAAAAATAGGGGTTGTTACTGTCATTCGAAGGGGGTTGAATATAGGAATCACATTTTGACGTTGAACATTTAGAACTGTTTAGAACCATTTAAAATGCTCCAGAATCATATAGAACGGTTTCTAGAACAATCTAGAACGCTCCAGAAGCATTTAAAACTGTCTAGAACTATTTAGAGTCCTCCAGTTCTATTTAGAACACTTCAGAAACATTTGGAACTGTCTATAACCATTTAGAACGTTCCAGAACCATTTGGAACTGTCTATAAACATTTAGAGTGCTCCATAATCATATAGAACTGTCTAGAACAATCTAGAACGCTCCAGAAACATTTAGAACTCTCTAGAACCATTATTTAGAATGCTCCAGAACTATTTAAAACGCTCCAGAATCATTTGGAACTGTCTAGAACAATATAGAACGCTCTAGAAATATTTAGAACTGTCTAGAACTATTTAGAATGCTCCGGAAACATTTGAAACTGTCTATAACCATTTAGAATGCACCAGAATCATTTATTAGAACGATCCAGAATTATTTAGAACTGTCTAGATCCGTTTATAGTGCTCCAGAAATGTTTAGAACTGACCAGTACCATTTACAATGCTCTGGAAACATTTGGAACTGTCTAGAACCGTTTACAACGCTCCGGTTACATTTAGAACTCCCTAGAACCATTTAGAACTGTCTAAAACCATTTATAGTGCTCCAGAAATGTTTACAACTGCCCAGAACAATCTAGAACGCTCCAGAGAACCATTTAGAACTGTCTAGAACTATTTAGAACGCTCCAGTTCTATTTAGAACGCTCCAGTTCTATTTAGAACGCTCCGGAAACATTTAAAAATGTCTATAACCATTTAGAATGCACCAGAATCATTTATTAGAACGATCCAGAATTATTTAGAACTGTCTAGATCCATTTATAGTGCTCCAGAAACGTTTACAACTGCCCAAAGCAATCTAGAACGCTCCAAAGAACCATTTAGAACGCTCCAGAATCATTCCAGAACTCTCATGCACTCAAAAAAAATGTAAAACTTGTAAACTATAGTGTTTATTTTATCTAATCACCTTAGATATAGGGACATTAAACGATTAATTTAATCGATTTCAGTGACATCGGGCATCTGTCTGCTCCTCTTCGCCAGCCTCCTGGTGGCCTTCGTCACCTGTCTGACGGACACCATCGACGATTACATGCTATCGGTAAGTCGGCCACGATCGATATTCCGAATCGATTTAGAATCGATTTACAACTTTGCCGGGTTTTTTTTCCTTCCGCAGCAATTGGCGCTGAAGAACGGCTCGGACGCGTTCGCCTGGTGGCAAAAACCGCCGGCGAAGGCCTTGTACAAATTGCACATATTCAACTACACCAACATCGAGGACTACGCCGACGGGTTCGTCGATAAATTCGACGTGAAGGAATTGGGACCGTATACTTACGAGTACGTAGGCAGCTGGTACTTTTTTTTTCCCCTAAGCCCCTCTTTTTCTGTCCTATCTCGATTCATCTTACTTGATCCCAAGCGATATTATCTCATCCGGAGCCTTCCTGTCTTATCTCAAGTGATTCTATCTTATCCTATCTTATCCTAAGCAATTCTATCTTATCCCAAGCCTTTCTATCTTATCTCAAGCGATTCTATCTTGTCCCAAGCAATCCTACCTTTTCCCAATCCTTTCTATCTTATCTCAAGCGATTCTATCTTGTCCCAAGAAATCCTACCTTTTCCCAAGCCTTTCTATCTTATCTCAAGCGGTATTCTCCTATCCTAAGCCTTTTTACCTTATGTCAAGCGATCCTATATCATATCCTAAGCAATCCTATCTTTTCCCAAGCGTTCCTATCTTATCTCAAGCGGTATTCTCCTATCCAAAGCCTTTCTACCTAATGTCAAGCGATCCTATCTTATCTCAAGCGATCCTATCTTATCCCAAGCCTTTCTTTCTTATCCCAAACGATCTTATCCCAAGCGAACTTATCTCAAGCGATCCTACATTATCCCAAGCCTTCCTACCTCATTTCAAGTGATCCTGTCATATCCCAAGCCATCTTATCTTATCCCAAATGATCTTATTCTATCTCCAGCCATCCCATGTTATTCCAAGCGATCCCATCCTATCCCAAGCGATCTCATCTTATCCCAAGCGATAACGAATCCGAAATATTTCCAGGGAAACATTGGAGCGAGTGGACCTTTCGTTCCCAACCGAAGACACGATATCGTTCAGAGAAAAACGATCCATACGTTTCCTGCCGGAGCTCTCCAAGGGCAGCGAAACCGACAAGCTGGTGGTACCCAATCTTCCTCTACTGGTAAGTACTCTTACACTTTAATCACCGCCCTAGTGGTACCCGAACTTCCTCTCCTCGTAACGTAAGTATCCTCTTCTACACTCTTCTGCAATCTTATTCAATTTTCTACACTCTTCTATAACTCTTCTATACCTCTACTACACTCTTCTGCAATCCTATATAATATTGTACACTCTTTTATAACTATTCTACACTGTACTATACTTCTTCTACACTCTTCTGCAATCTTCTACAATCTTCTACACTTTTCTATACCTTTTCAACAGTCTTCAACAGTCTTCTACAATCTTCTACACTCGTCTATACCTCTTCTACACTTTTTTACAATCTTTTACAACTTCTACAATCTTCTATACCTCTTCTACAGTCTTCTTGACTCTTCTACAAACTTCTGCAACCTTCTACAATCTTCTATACCCCTTCAACACCTTCAGCAATATTCTAGAATCTTCTATACACTTCTATACCTCTTCTACACTCTTTTACAATCTTTTACAACTTCTACAATCTTCTATACCTCTTCTACACTCTTCTACAATCTTCTACACTCTTCTATACCTCTTCTACACTCTTCTGCAATCTTCTACATTCCCCCTACATTTCGCCCTAGTGGTACCCGAACTTCCTCTCCTCGTAACGTAAGCATCCACCACCACCTCTCGCATTTCAATCACAACCATAATAGTACCCGATCTTCCTCTGCTGGTACTTGCACTAAGTAGTCACCTCCACCTCTCTACTCTTTTTTGTATGGTTTAATTGTAATCCGAATATCTTCGGTGAATCCAGAGCGGATCGGCGGCCACCAAATCGAGCAACTACCTGGTGCGCTTGGGCTTCGACATCGTCGTCAACGGCATGGAGGAGAACGCGTTCGTCGAGGTCGCCGCCGGCGCCTTCGTCACCGGCTACCAGGACAAGCTCTACGAATTGGCCAAGAACTTCCTGCCGCCCGGCACGCCCGGCAAAATGGGCATCATGGCGGACGTAAGGCGATCGTTGTCGAAATCGAAAACTCCTCTTTTTTATATTTTCTTTTTCTTGGGGTTACAGAAATCCGGCGTGTCGCCCACCAGGTTCACCATCAACACCGGCGCCAAGGACATCGCGAAACTGGCCGCCGTGTCTGAGGTAGATGGCGCTAGCGAGTTGGGATACTTCTCCAGCGGCGAGTGCAACAGGTACTGGAAACTAGTGATTTATTCCATCGTGTAGTCTTTCTCTACTCTTCTACACTCTTCTAGTCACATTCTACACTCTACTATACTATTCCACTCTCTTCTATGCTCTTGTATACAATTCTACTCTCTTCTGGTTATTTATACAGTTTTCCGCATACTTATACACCCTTCTACACTCTTCTGCACACTGCTACATTCTCTTCTACATCCTTCTAAACTTTTCTACATTCTTCTATACTCTTCTATACTTTTCTACGCTTTTCTATACTATTCTACACTCTTCTACGCTTTTCTATACTATTCTACTCTCTTCTAGTTACTTATACACTCTTCTGCACACTTCTGCACCCTTTTACATTCTTCTACACTTTTCTACACTCTCTTCTAAATCCTTCTCAACTTTTCTACATTCTTCTATGCTCGTCTATACTTTTCTAAGCTTTTCTATACTATTCTTCACTCTACTACGCTCTTCTATGCTATTCTGCTCTCTTCTGCACACTTCTACACTCTCTTCTACATCATTCTAAACTTTTCTACATTCTTCTATGCTCTTCTACACTTTTCTACGCTTTTCTATACTATTCTACACTCTTCTACGCTCTTCTATACCATTCTACACACTCTTACACCATTATACAGGCTTCAACATTCTTCAACACTTTTCTGCACTCTTCTACACCATTCTACACACTCCTACACCATTATACAGGCTTTAACACTCTTCTACACGCTTCTACACTCTTCTAGACATTTCTACACCATTTTACATACTCCTACACCATGCTACAGGCTTCAACACTCTTCTGCACTCTTCTACACTATTCTACACACTCTTAAATCATTATACAGGCTTCAACACTCTTCTACACGCTTCTACACTCTTCTAGACTTTTCTACACCATTCTACTTATTCCTACACTCTTCTACACTCTTCTAGACTTTTCTACACCATTCTACACACTCCTACACCATTCTACAGACTTCAACACTCTTCTGCACTCTTCTACACTATTCTACACACTCCTACACCATTCTACAGACTTCTACACTCTTCGAGACATTTCTACATCATTCTACACACTCCTACACCATTCTACAGACTTTAACACTCTTCTGCACACTTCTACACCATTCTACACACTTCTACACCATTATACAGACTTTAACACTCTTCTACACGCTTCTACACTTTTCTAGACTTTTCTACATCATTCTACTTACTCCTACACTCTTCTACACCATTCTACACACTCCTAAACCATTATATAGACTTCTAACACTCTTCTACACTCTTCTACACTCTTCTGGACTCTTCTACACCATTCTACACACTCCTGCACCATTATACAGGCTTCAACACTATTCTACACTATTCTACACTATTCTCATATTCTTCTTTGCAGCGTCGAAGGTACCGACGGGGCGCTGCACCCGCCGACGGCGGTGCGCGACAAACGGCCGTTGCACTACTTCTTCCCGCAGGCGTGCCGCCGGATGCCGCTGGTCTACCAGCGGGAGACCCGGGTGCTCAACGGGCTGGTGCCGGCCTATCGGTACGTCCATCCGGAGGACATCTTCGACACCGTCGAGGAGAACCCGCGGAACGGGTGCTTCTGCGACGGGCTGTGCCCGCCCAAGGGGGTGTTCAACATCAGCGCTTGCAATTACAGTGAGTATTGTTGTTTTATTAGCCGTGGGTTCCGGGGAACTGGGTGCTATATTTAGAATCTAGGTACTGTGTGGAAATATATCGTAGATTCATTGAATATACTAGAATCCGGGTGTTGTATAAATAAAGCTAGAAATCTAGTCATTCGTTCATATGAGTACTAGAATCTAGGTACTGCATAAATAAAGCTGGATATGTCCCAAAATTATTCTGTGAAGTTTTTTTTAAAATCAATACTCAATGTATTGTTTTAAGTCATGTATTTTATTGTATTAATTGTACTAGTAGTACCAATATTGAGAGTAGTACTAGTAGTAGAGGTGCAGTTACGACTGTTACAAAATATCGCTCACCTGATTACTCTACTCTCTTCTACTTTATTCTACACTCTTCTGCAATCTTTTACAATTTTCTACACTCTTCCATAACTCTTCTATACCTCTACTACATTCTTCTGCAATCCTCTATAATCTTGTACACTCTTTTATAACTCTTCTACAGTTTTCTATACTTCTTCTACACACTTCTGCAATCTTCTACAATCTTCTACACTCTTCTGCAATCTTCAACAATCTTCTACACTTTTCTATACCTCTTCAACAGTCTTCTGCAATCTTCTACAATCTTCTACACTTTTTTACAATCTTTTACAACTTCTACAATCTTCTATACCTCTTCTACACTCTTCTTGACTCTTCTACACACTTCTGCAATCTTCTATAATCTTCTATACCTCTTCTGCACTCTTCTATGCCTCTTCTACACTCTTCTGCAATCTTTTTCAATTTTCTACACTCTTCTATAACTCTTCTATACCTCTACTACACTCTTCTGCAATCCTCTATAATCTTGTACACTCTTTTATAACTCTTCTACACTTTTCTACACTTCTTCTACACTCTTCTGCAATCTTCTACAATCTTCTACACTTTTCTATACCTCTTCAACAGTCTTCTACAATCTTCTGCAATCTTCTACACTCTTCTATACTTCTTCTACACTCTTCTACAATCTTCTACACTCTTCTGCAATCTCCAACAATCTTCTACACTTTTCTATACCTCTTCAACAGTCGTCTGCAATCTTCTACAATCTTCTACACTCTTCTATACCTCTTTATCATTCTCCTGCAATCTTCTACACTCTCCTACACTCTTTTACACTCTCCTACACTCTTCTACACTTTTCTACACTCTTCTACACCCTTCTACACTCTTATACAATCTTCTTCACTCTCCTACACCCTTCTAAACTCTTATACAATCTTCTTCACTCTCCTACACCCTTCTAAACTCTTCTACACAAACCTTCCACCTCCACATGTACCGAACAGTACCAGCAGTACCTAATCGGACATCAATTCTTCTTCTTATTCCAGACGCGCCGATGTTCCTGTCCCATCCGCACTTCCACCGAGGCGATCCCAAGCTGATCGAACCGTTCGTCGGTCTGCAGCCGAACCGCGGCGACTTCGAGTCGTACTTCGACCTCCATCCGACCATGGGCTTCGCCATGAGGGTGCGCAACCTGGTGCAGATCAACGTGCAGGTGCAGAAGGCCCTCAGCGTGGACAAGGTGGACATGTTCGAGGACGGCGTCATCTTGCCCATAGCTTGGATGGAAGGCGTGAGTTTTATTTTTACATAGTACATAGTACTACTATATTAATAGTACCTACTATTACATGAAGAATACTACTATTCATATCATCTAATGTACCTACATATCTTAGTATCTGCCATACTAGCTGGTACTATACTAATCGTGAGAGTGGATGAGCTATACTAGTACTAACAAAGTACACAGTACTTACGTAGTACCGTAGCCTCTAAAGTAGATTCAGGTGTAGATTCAGAGTAGAGGAGATTCAGAGTAGAGGAAATTCAGAGTAGAGGAGATTCAGAGTAGAGTAGATTCAGAGTAGAGTAGATTCAGAGTATAGAATAGTGTATCAAATAGTACTTCCACATCATCAGAAATTTTTCGATTGTAGACATTTTTTCAAATTTCTGTTATACATTAAGATGTACCTAACTGGAAATACACTCATTCATTCATCTCGCTATACCATTATAAGGCATTTCATAGTACCATCCGAGCCTAGTACTGGCGTAGTACTATTGATAAACTATTTCTTCATTTCGAGTAGGTCGTGGACGACACTCGCCTGCCTGATGAAGTTAGAGACATCATCGATCTGGTGACCTTCACGGTGCCCATTATAAAACTGGCCCTCGAATACGGCTCGTTGCTGACGGCTGTCATCACGACGATTTCGCTGGGATTGGTGTTGAGCAGGTACCGCAGGAGGTCCAAGGGGCTTCTGAGGCTGCAGCAAGGCTACTCGTCCAGTTAGAGGCTTTCCCGATTGGACGGACGAGCTCTATTAATAGCCGGGCAGGATTGGCAGTTGACGGATATGAGAGGAGGCTTTGACAGATGACGGGGCTTTGACGGATGACGTGTTACGCACGTGTCAAGTTCTAAGATGGCCGATCGTGAGGCTCTAATGCGGGTTTTCTGGTGTATTAGGTTTGTTCCAGCGGGATGTTCTAGTTGTGTTGTGAATATTTACTCTTTTTTTATTGTTTTGTAAGATTTATTATACAGGGTGTGGAAGGTTTGAATAGGGAAAATTTGTGTTGATTGTTAAAATGCGTATATTTTATTTTATGAGTAAATTGGACGATTTTTTTTTGGAATATTTTACAAAATTAATCGATTAATTCACATGATTTTAGAAAATTCTGAACGTTCTGTTGGAACAAACTTGCAAATTCGTTGCTGTTGATGATATGCGAGATGATTATAATTATTTTTTAATTTAATTTTTTTTTTTGTAAAAATTGTTTATTTATTTATTTGTTAATGGTTATTGTTACAGTGATTTTTTCCGGAGGAAAAATAAATTTCGTTTCGTATGAATTCGTTTAATTTGACCCATTTATTTTTTACATTTCCGGTAAATTTAATTCGTGCAAATCGTATATAAATTAACGCGCTCGAAATCGAATTCCGAATCGAATTTTAATCGATATGGCCGCCGCAAGATCGATTATTTGCTGCTTGTTTTTGACCATTTGCCTTTTGGTAAGGAATTTTTGCTATTAGATAAATTAGATAGGTAAATTAGATATATTGCGCTTTATTCAGCGCCTCACTTTAACCTTAAACAGGACTATAAAGTTCTTGTTATGGAGTAACTAAGAAGATTCTTTCACATTTGACAGTTTTACATTGTTGTTATGGAGTAACTAAGGAGATTCATTCAAATTGACAGTTTTACATTTGTTGTTATGTAGTAACTAAGGAGATTCTTTCACATTTGACAGTTTTACATTGGCTGTTATGGAGTAACTAGGGACTTTGTTCACGATAAAGCGACCCTTTAAAAACATGTTTAAGTTTAAGATATATTAGATATAGATACTGGCTGTTAGATTCATGGTACTATTTGGGTGTGATCATGGGAATATTTCAGGTGCAAATCGATGGTAAACCAGATGGTATTTTGGAGAAGAAATTACCTCCTAATCCAGAAGGAAGAATGTTAGTAGGAAGTGCTGATGATGGAAAAAACCATCACGGAGCTAATTGCAATGGAAGACGCGGTAAATATATTCTCTATTTTTTTGTTCGTATTTTTTATTACTTACTATTTTTTATTTAATAGAGTAGATACATATGTAGATTCAGATGAGGGTAGAGTAGATTCAGAGTAGATTCAGAGTAAAGAAAATTCAGAATAGAGTTGATTCAGAGTATAGAATAGAGTAGATTCTAATGTAGATTCAGAGGAGAGGAGAATAGAGAAGATTCAGAGTAGATTCAGATGTAGATTCAGATGAGAGTAGGGTAGATTCAGGTGTAGATTGAGAGTAGAGGAAATTCAAAGTAGAATAGATTCAGAATATAGAAATTCGGCATTTTTTTTATCGAATTTTGACCCAAATTTTCCTCTAGGAGGTTCCACGGCAGCGCCTTCTACGACAACAACAGCAGCTGCAGGAAAATAAGACATACTTGTAATAAATAAACGCAATTAGCAAAATTTATGTAATTAACTAACGAAATAAACAAATTAAAGCGACGCCAATTATAGTTTCCTTCAATCATTCTCATAGCTAATATTAGGTACTATATTGTCACGCCAACTGGATGAAATTTCGAACAATTCGAATTTTATCGCCTTCATCTCGATTGATTAAAATAAATGCTTCGAAAAACATCCAAACAATATTAAAATATATCATAATTTAGCATTTCCTGTCAATTCTACTCATATATCAACGGTACCAATGAGTAGTACCAATCCGAAATCGTCACAAAATGAACCTGCCAGATTCCACTACTGTCGCTGCAATCGCAATTCTCATCCACCTTACCGTAAGTACTATCTATTCCCAATAAGTACCTAGTACTACCACAAACTAACCCAACGGTACTTTCTTTAATTAGAAAAAAACCTTCCATATTTTCTCAACAATCATTCACAATATTCATTTTATCTGTCTCCCAGTAAGTACTAGTTACCACTACATAGCAACAATATGTAAGCACTATATATGTAAGTACCTACTACCTATTCCTAATAAGTACCTAATATAGTACTGCAACATTACCTAGAAGTACTTTTTCTAATAAAAACATAAAAGAAACTTTCATATAGGTACCAACTTTACTCCTCAATCATTCGCAACCCTCATCTTATCTGTCTCTCCTAGTAACTACTACCCTTACCCTATACATGCAACAATGTAGGTACTATAATGACCTCGATAGTACCATTATATAATAAATTTCCCTATTATCTTTGTCATCGCCATTCTCATTCACCTTACGGTAAGTACTACCTACTCCTAATAAATACCAAATGGTACTACAACACCTACACATTAACCCAGCACTACATTTTTCAATAAAACGAAACCTTTCCTCATCTTATCTATCTTTCCCGAACAAGTACCACCCCTATACGTATAGCAACAGAGCAGGTACTACAATGACCTCGGTTAGTACGTAGAGAGCGGTCCTCAATTCGGGTTCAACGAGCAACGACAGCAACAGAGAACCCAGCAAATTGGCGGAGGTTTCGGCCTGAAACTGGACCTCGGCGTTTCCAACGGCATGTTTTCCAGGACCAGCCAGAACGAGCAAATCGGCAGGAGTTTCCAGAAGAGGTCACTCAGAGAGCCCAAAAAGTGCTTCGTGCTGATCGTCCAAGCGCCCCCACAAGGTACCAATTCGAATAATTCACCATTTTTGCTGATTAGTTACGAATTATTGCCGATGGAAAACAAAGTATTGCTTTAAACTTTAAACTTTTTAGTAGCTGATCAGTTACAAATTTGCCTATTCACAGCAAAGTACCTACTGTTGATTAGTGATAAAGTAGAGCTGATTAGTAACAGATCATTGTAGTTTTTAACAATCAATTGGTGATTATTTACAAAGTATAGTTTTTTTAGTAATAAACTATAGTTGATTAGTAACCAAATATTGCAGATTCGTAACAAACTATGCCGATTAATAACAAACCATTGTTGATTAGTAACAACTATTTGTGAATTTTTTATTAATAACAAAGTAATGTTCATTTGTAATCAAACTACTGCTGCTTTACTACGAACTATTGTTGATTAGTTACAATTAATTGATGATTTAATAACAAACCGTTGTTGATTAGTAACAAACTATTTAAGATTAGTAACAAATTTGAGCGAACTAACGTTAATTTGTAATAAACTACTGCTGATTTAGTACAAACTATTGTTGATTAGTTACGATTTATTGATGATTTAGTAACAAACCGTTGTTGATTAGTAACCAACTAATGTGGATCAGCTACAATATATTGTTGATTCGTAGCAAATTGTAGCTGAATTTCATCATCGCTTTTTTCAAATTACTTTTTAAACTCATTTAGCTGGTTATTGGAGGCTGATTGGTGCGTTTATTTTGTTCTAGTAAGCAGTAGTACCGGGGCCAGTATCGATCCGAGGGGACAGAACGTATCTGGTACTGCCGCTGGGCGGCGGTAATGACATTAGAATCATTAGATAATGCAATTGCATGCCGGTAATCGAATTAAAATTAAGTGCAATTATTTTATTCGTGTATGTACATCCGTTTTAAGTACTATGTAGAATGATAAGTAATAATATATGTACAGGATGTCTCATAAGTTGGTACTTTTTTTTAGTTGCGTATAGATCTTTTAATTCTAAGCAACTTTTTCAAGTTCAATCTTTTTAATATTCTGGAAAATAAGAGAGCATATATGTCTTTTTTTTTCAATTTTTGATTATTAATAAGTTGTTTAATACGATCCTGTTGATTAAAAGTTGAAGAAACTGCTCAAAATTGTCGCCATTTTGATTGGAAACGCTTTGGAAACACTCTGTATAAATAATCAGAATGTCCACCAATTTATTATTTGTATAAAAATGAGCCATTTTCAATTCAACAATCGAAAAATTAATTTTTTGTCATTAAATATTTATTATTTTTTTGACACCTGTATTGGTAATGTTACCTGCAATTGGAAAATATTCGAAATTAAAGTAATTTTCAAAATTTCCATCTTTTTTATTTTCCAGAATATTAAAAAAAATCACTTGAAAAAGTTGCTTAGAATTAAAAGATCTAATACACAATCAAAAAAAAAGTATCAACTTATGAGACACCCTGTATAATGCGATATAAGGTTTAAGCGTGTAGTAATTACAAGAGCATTTCCGAAGCGTCCAAGGATGATTCGATTATAAAACAAAATATGAAATAATAATTTTACTGTATAAATAGATAGGTACTTATCGGTTCGAAAAAAACGAATTTTATTTCCAAAAAAAAATAACAATAAAAATTCACCCTTATACACCTATCCTTTTCTACATCATATCCTATACATTTACATATAGCATGCGTGTAATTAGAAATATTCCTCTAATTACAATCAATCGATCTAATACTAGTATCTATTAGCAACACGCCATACCTGCTGGTAATTACCAAAATGTAATTAACATGCAATTACGCTATCTGATGGGCACGTAAAGTTATACCCGATTTGGGACACAATCGTTCGAGTAGTACCGTTCGAACTATACAGACAATCGAGATGGCTTTGAGAAAAATCGCCGTGGAGGATTTGTACAAGAAGGACGAGAAGCTGAAGAAAGAGGACGTCGATGCTTTGATGGATTGGATTAGCAAGCAACCTCACCTGCCCCGAGCTTCAGGTTCGATGATTTTTTTTAACGAATTCATTTAGTTCTAAACGCTGATTAGTAACAATAATTTGTTGATTAGTAACATGATATTGTTGATTAGTTACGAATCGTTGCTGGTTAGTAACAAACTATTGTTGATTAGTATCACATAAGATATCATAAGTATAACACTATTATTAATTAGTAAAAAACTACAGGATGATTTTTTAAAAATCATTGCTGATTAGTATTAGACCATTTTGTTGATTTTTTAACTATTAACTTATGTTTGATTTATAACAAAGTATTGTTAATTTGATAACTAACAAACTTTCCGATTTTAAACAAACTTTTTTTGTAAAAGTGTAGTTGCTTGTCAAGAAATCATTGTTGATTAGTAATAAACTATTGTTGAGTTTTAACAAACCACAAATAGCAAACTATTGCTGATTAGTAATAAACTACTGCTAATTTACTACTATTAACAGTCGATTAATAACAAAGTGAACTGATTAGTATTAAGCTATTGTTGATTTTTAACAAACCATTACTGATTATTAACAATCATTTATTGATTTCTAGCATAATATTTCGAATTAATATTACATTACAGATATCTGATGTATATAACTGATATCACAAATAGCAAAATATTCCTGATTAGTAACAAACTATTGCCGATTTTTAACGAACCAATACTGATTAGTAATAATATAATAAACTATTTCCGATTTTGAACAAATCGTTACCGATTAACAACAAACTATAATGCTGATAAGTAACACACAATTACTGATTAGTAACAATCTATTGTTGATTTGTAACCAATTTAATGCTGATTATTTTTTTTTTTGAGCTAGAATTGCAGGTGGCTTTGTTTTTGCACAGTTGCTATTATAGCAACGAGACGGCCAAAAGTACAATAGATGCCTATTTTACGGTGAAAACGATTTGTAGCGACATTTTCGGTGCGAAAAACATCGACGAACCCGTTTTACAGACATCTTTGAGAACCATGTAAGTCCATTTATAATCGATTATAATCGATTTTTTTCTACAGTGAGGACCAAAAGTCCCTCGCCCGCCCTTTAACTTTTTAATGGTAAGAGCTTTTGTCGCGTAATTTGGGGTGTTTATATTGGAGTAAAAATACTATTTTTTGACGTAAAGACAAATGACAAATGACAGTAGAAACTTTCAAAATGACAGTTAGGCGCCATTTTGAATATTTTTTTCTTACCGATAGGGGGGTCAAGTGACACCTCGTTTTAAAGGTAATTTCATTCTTAAGTCAACCCCTAAATTTGAAAACATTTTAATAACGCATATTCACGTAAAGACCAATTTAGTTTTGACCCCCGGGCATATTGATATATTTAAAAATTAATTCTGAACGTACTATAAAATGTGTCAATTAATTGTTGCTATGGTTTCTTGTCTCTGACATTTATTTGTCAAATTTAAAGTTGATGAAAGTGACAATTGACAATGGCTCGTCCTTTAAACGAAAAAACTGTTGATGAAATTGACAGGGTGTTCTCGAACTTATGACACTAAATTCTGGGGGTTGTAGTTTGCATAATTTGAGACCGATTCGCAGATTTCGCTAGAATTTAGTGCCATAAGTTCAAGAACACCCTGTATAGTTTCGATAATAGATCGGTAACAACCGTTTTATTAACGATTTTTCAAAACTTCTACTACAATATCGGTTGTAAATCAATATAAAATCGATGCATTAACGATTTAATCGATTTTTTTTAGCTTCATATCGCCTCTACCGAAGGCGACCGCCGAAGGCGAGAGGATAATCTTCGGGAAATTGATCGACACCGATCCGGAAAATTATTTCCTCGCTTCCCAATGCAACCTGTTCGATTTGGCAACGTTGCAGCACATCTATCAAGAGGGCCCCGATCAAGGCGTGCACATCGTCATTGACATGAAAGGCGTCGTTTTCGGCCATTTTCTCAAACTCAACCCGATGGTCATCAAAAAGTTCCTCTACTATTTGCAGGTAACGCGATATTGGCCTAACGAAATTTTGCTGATTATTTGTAACAAACTGTTACTGATTTTTAGCAAATTTTTACTGATTTATAAAAAACTGTTATTGATTTTTAACCGACTCTTGCTGACTTGCTGATCCTTAACAAACTGCTACTGATTTTTAGCAAATTTTTACTGATTTTTAAAAAACTGTTATTGATTTGTAACAAACTTTTATTGATTTTTAACACACTGTTTATTTTATTTATTTTTTACAAGCTCCTGCTAATCTGTAACAAATCGTTAGGTACTGATTTTTAACAAAATGTTACTGATTTTTAACAAACTCTTACAGACCTGTATACCAATTAATGATTTATAACCAACTGTTACTGATTTGTCACAAACAGTTACTGATTTTTAACAAATCATTACTGATTTTCCGAACAGGAGGCGATGCCCATTCGTTTGAAGTCGTTGCATTTCGTCAACATCGTGTCGTTCATGGATAAAATTCTGGCCTTGATGAAACCGTTTATGAAGAAAGAGCTAATCGACGCCGTAAGGATTTTAATATTTCTTTTTATTTTCCTATTTTCTTAAACCCTTCGTTAATTTTCCAGCTCTATTTGCACAACGGCGTCGAGACGATTTTCTCGCAACTTCCCAAAGAGCTGTTTCCGCAGGACTACGGAGGCGACGTCGAATCCGTACCGATTCTACACGGTAAAAAAATAACAAACAATTGTTGATTAGTAACACACCAATGTTGATTAGTAACACACCAATGTTGATTAGTAACACACCAATGTTGATGAGTAACAACTTATAGTTGATTAGTGACAGGCTAATATCTATTACTGATGAAATATCGTTAGTTAGTAACAAACATTAGTTGATTAGTAACGAACTATCGTTGATTAATAACAAATTATCATTGATTGTAATGAACTATCATTGATAAATAACAAATTGTCGTTGATTAGTAAGAAATTATTGTTGATTAGTAACAAAGGTATTTTTTTTTTCAGAAAAATGCAGACGAAAAATCGTGGAAAACGCGGAGTTTTGGAAATATCTGGCCGATCAAAGGGTAGACGAGACGAGGCGTCGCGGAAAATCGAAATCGAGCGAAATTTTCGGCGTCGAAGGGAGCTTTAAAAAGCTCGAAGTCGATTGAATTGTTTTTTCGTTTCGCAAGGAGAAAAAAATATAAAGTAATATTTGGCATTTTCGATTTTTTTTTGTTTATTTCGTTATACAGGGTGGCCCATTGAAAAGGAAACTTGTAAAAATGTGTTTTCCTGATTGTCCATGTGTTTTCAATTAGATCCATTTTAGAACAACTAGAACGATCCGATACAGTTCTGGATGATCGGATGGATGATTTATAACTGTTCCAGAACAAATAAGACCTTTTTTGAATCAATTAGATCCATTTTAGAAGTGACTAGGATCATTTGAATCACTTCAGAACGATCTTTGAATCTTTGAATCATTTAGAACGGTACCAGCACAAATAAAACCTTTTAAGAATCAAATGGATCCATTTTGGAACTGACTAGGACGATCATAGGACCATTTGAAATAGGTCAGGATAATCCTAAATTAGAACTGTCCCGGATCATTGAAAACAATTTTATATACGACTGATGGAAACCGTTCTAAACAGTTCCGGAGGATCTTACAACCGCTCAGAACTGTCCAGAACACTTTCGAACCGTTCAAGAGTCACCAGTACCATTTAGAACGTTTTCAAGACTATTTAAAACAAATATTCGACCAAATTCGAACCTTCCCTAGATCAAATCCGCTAACTCTGTTTTTTTAACAAAACAATAGGTCGTATTTATAAAAAGAAGCACAACCTTTTGCTTAAAAAAATGAAGGAATTTCTTCAAAGTATCTACATAAAAAGAAGAGAAGAAAGAGAGGACCCTGCTGTTGCTTAAAAGCAAATGGTTTTATGGTTCTCAATTCTTTGTATAAGGTTTTAGAATTTTCTTCTCTTATTTTTTGTCTCTACCTTTTACTTCAAAGTAAATGCTTCATTATTATAAATACGGGCTAATAAATCAATCAATCGTGTTCATATAAAAAATATTTATTGACCATTTAACAATATTTTACATTATACATATAATTATAGATAATTTTATATTTGCAACAATCTATCTAATGACCAGCTTGTTTTCCACGTGAGACACGACCCCTTGGGCCACTTGATTGGGCGTGGTGGAATACAATTTAACGGGCAAACTCCACACCATCGTCTCCACGGTGACGTCACCCGGCGCCTGCCAATGGGCGTCCTCCATTTTGGGCAAAGCGATGTCTCTGTTCGTACTGGTCACGAACTCGAAGTGCAATCTCCAACTCAAACCGACTGAAAAGAAATGAGAAATGAGATGTATAACGCGTTGTAGTTTGAATTTTGATTGTTAATTCGATTGGAAATTGAATTGGTTTAATGAAATTAAATTATGATATAGTACAATAAAATTGGATCTACTCTGAATCTGCTCCATTGTACTCTACTATAATTTAATTTACTGCTATTCTACTTTGAATCTACTCTACTCATAATCTACTTCAATCTAAATCTACTTCAATATGAATCTCCTTTGCTCTGAATCTACTCTGAATCTACTTCACTCTAAATCTACTTCAATATGAATCTCCTTCACTTTGAATCTACACTAATCTACTCTTAATAATACTTCAATCTGAACCCATTCCACTCTGAATCTACTCTACTCTGAATCTACTTCACTCTAAATCTACTCCACTTCAATCTGAATCTACTTCATTCTAAATCTACTTCAATCTGAATCTACTTCACTCTGAATCTACTCTACTCTATTCTTAATCTGTTTCAATCTGAATTCACTCTACTCTAAAACTCTAATATATTCTACTCTAATCTATTCTACATACTCTGAAATTACTATATTTTACTATTAATCTACTTCACTCTGAATCTACTCTAGTTTAAATCCTCTCTACTCCGAATCTACTCTACTCTGAATCTATTCTCCTCTAATCTAATCTGAAACTACTCTACTCTACTCTACTCTACTCGATTCTTCTATACTCCGAAACTAATCTACTCTACCTTACTCTGAATATACTCCACTCTAAATTTACTCTAGTTTAATCTAATTTGAAGCTACTTTACTCGATTCTACTCTACTCTGAATCTACTCTACTTAAACAAACCAAACGCCAAAATAACACAACCCGAAACTCAATACCGTAAACATTTGGCAACAGCGCCTTACGAAATATATACAAAACTCTATTCTTTAGATGCGCAGTACAAGATGCGCCCATCAAACAACATCAAAATAGGCCACCTGGAGATTCGACTCGACACTCACCCAATTTCGTAGCGAATTCGGGCGTAACGTGCAACGGTATAGGCACGATCAACTGCACGTAATCGTAGCCCAAGCACACTTCGTGGAAATTCCCGAACGTCAATATCCTCTTTTGTTCGTTACAATCCCCTGCCAACGTGGTTTTCTCTTCGCATTGCAAGGACACCGAGACCTGCACGCAACTGACGGTCGCTACGGTGAAATCGAACGTACCGATTATGTCTTCGCCCAGCCTGTAGGCGGACTTGAACAGGCAAAACCTCACCACTTTGCCCCTGCCGTTGGTTATCATGTAGTAATTCGGGTTCCTTCTGGCCGTTATGTTCTACAATTGATAATCGAATTGTAGAAGCTCGTTTCGAAACAATCGCACGATATTCACTTGTAATCCTTGCAAGGCGATGTCCAACGGGCTCTCTTTTCGTTTGACCTCCATGAAGGGATTCGTCGGGGTCAATTCGTCCGTCGTATCGTTACAAAGGGCCATCGCTTCGTTCAATAGAGTCTCGCAGAGGGGTAACACCCTGATGGGCACGCGCAGTAGTCGTACCGGACTGTTAACGCGTTGAGTACCTACTGTGATTTTGTACGAGTACTTCACCAACTGGCCTCGGTACGATGGCGGGGAATCGTTCGGAATGTGCTCCACGTACGTAACTAAAACACAATAATTAGAACAATAGGTGCATGAAAATTGTATGTAATCGATTGTACAAGTCTTCGTTTGGCCGGGGGACAATCTCAAATCGCAGAAGAGGATCTTGGGCTTGGTGCTCACCACCACTTTGGCGTTTTCGTTGGTCGACGGGCCGAGCGCGGTGCCGGGATAGGGGGACAGCTTGTCGGCGTCGGCGACTCGGGTGACCTTCGAATCGGCGAAGCAGTAGCAGTGGATTTGGGCGGAGGCCCAGGCCAGGCTTTCGAAAGCGTCCTCGTGGCTCTGCGCCACCGCCGACGTGGGGGACGGCAGGTGGGCGAAGGTTACGTGGCATTCGAGGGACTCGCCGGATAGGTAGATGTGCCCGCGGGGCAGCTTCGCTATCACTTCTATCATGGTTTCGTCGAGCGGATTGTTTACATTTTTATAACCTGCATTTGTAAATAAATTGAAATGTCAGTGTCACTAATGACATTCTTCTTTTTTGTTTGATGGTAGAACAATGTATGACAGTTGACAGGTATGATATATTTTCGATTGAATTTCATGATTGTGCAAATAATTTAATGAAAAACCACGTACGTTTACTATTTTTACTAATCATTTTAGTAAATAAGTTGAAAAGTTATTATTAATAATGTTATTCTTCTTATTTTTTGTAGTAGTTAATTAGTAGTAGGTTGAATAACCGAATGGATAAGGCGACTTTTCTCATATTCAACCAGACGAAGATATTGACAGTTGATTGACAGATAATAGTATGACACATTTTCGTTTCACTTTACATGGTTGTGCAAAAACTCTGATGAAATACGACAAATCGTAAATAAAATACCACGAAAATGACTGATAAACGTAATCTATCCTTATCGCCCGAACGTATCGGCAAATAATTAAAATCGGATTATCCATTTTTATGCGAACAGTTTACAGGTGAAACGTAATGCTGACGGTGGGCTTGGCATTATTTTTGTAGTTTATAAAGTTTATATTGGAAACGCATTTACGGATAAACATGAGTAAGTGGAATTAATAAATAAACAAACAAACAAATCGCGTAGGTAGTAGGCGTGTTAATTTCCTCAAGGTTCACACCTTGGAAGAAAAAAAAAACATGACACACATACCAAAATACGAACGATAATCCGTTATAACGCGCACAATACATCATCGTTATTAATTTTCTTCTTTTTTCAGGCAACAAAGTAGTGGTAGAATACGATTACACGGCGAAAGAACCCGACGAATTGACCCTACGAAAGGGCGATGTGATAACGGACGTGGTGAAAAAACAAGGCGGCTGGTGGGAGGGCACCCTGCACGACAAAACCGGCATGTTCCCCGACAACTTCGTCCGCTCCCTCGACAAAGACAACGCCGTCGTGCTGCGCAACCAAAAGGACGTCACCCGGATACGCCAATGCCGGGCCGTCTTCTCCTACGATCGAGACCACGAGGACGAGCTCAGCCTCAAAGTGGGCGACATCATAGACATAACGGGCGAGGAGGAGGAGGGCTGGTGGCGGGGCGTTTTGCACGGCAAGGAGGGCGTTTTCCCTTCGAATTTCGTCAAGGAAGTGGCCTGGCAGCCGAGCCCTTCGCTTCGCGTATCGACCGATCCGGAGCTGAACGGCACCGAACACAAACCGCCCAAACTACCGGCCAAACCGAGTAAATAACACGCTCGTACGTAGCTATTACAACACCCTGTATATACATATATCGTTTAATTGTAGGTAAACAGCTCTGCGAGGCGACGTTTCCCTACAAGGCGCAAAACGAGGACGAGTTGTCGTTCGAAGAGGGCGACTTGATAACGATAGTGAGCCGCGATTGCGCCGATCCCGGCTGGTGGTTGGGCGAAATCAACGGCAAAACCGGCGTGTTCCCCGACAACTTCGTAACGCCCGTTACCGATAGCAAAACCAACAGGAAATCGACTGCGATCGATTCGAAAGGTACCAGTTTGTGTTTCGATGCGTCCGAATAGCTCCGAGTGGTTTTGAGACGATTTAACGTGTTGTAGGTGCCATAAAATCGGTCGCTTCGCAGAGGAAATCGATCGAAGTGAAGAAGGAAACGGTCCAACCGGAGACAACCAAACCGTCGCCGGTCGCCAACAAACCCACGGTGTCGTCGATAAAGTCGCCGTTGAATTCGGGCTTCCTCACGGAGATCAAAAAGAAAATCGAAGATACCATCGACGGCGCGATGAGCAGTAAAGCGGGCGTCGAAGAGGGCCCCGCTAAGGAGACCAACGCGTTCGATAACGTCGAAAGGCGGCCCCTTTTGACCGACGTCAGGGCCACCAGAGCCAAAGCGCCGGGTAATCACGACTCCACCTAATCGAGTCCTCCTTTTGAAAGCCTTTTCGTTTTGTAGGCCGCCGTCTGCCCACCGCGGCTGCGCACAAGGACGAGGCGGTGCCAGCTGAATCGCCCGAGGAGGTACCCCAGGAGGCCCCCGCCAAACCGAAGCTGCGCGAATGGGAGAAGCACAAAGCCCCGTGGTTGGAGGAAATGAAACTGAATCAAGTCAGGCGCACACTCGTCAGCTCGGTGGACGAGAACTCCAACGAGCACCAGCACAAAGTAATAGGATATGTAGGCACATTCAGATCTATTCCGGATAGTGTCAGGATACGTGATAGATCTGGATGTGTTGTGGGTTGTATGTCGAATCGTAACGGGTTGATTTTCTTTTGCAGAAGGACGTGGAGAAGGAGGAGAAAGTGGAGAAAGTGGAGCCGGTTGTTGGGGAATCGAAGCGTTCTCCGGAGGACAAGCGATCGATGGAGTACGTGCTGGAGCGTTTGGAGCGGCTGGAAGGGATCGTTCGGAAGCAGGCGAGGGTGATCGAGGAGATGCAGGAGAAGTTGCAGAAGTTGCAGGCGTAGTACGCGTCCGGAAGAGGATGTGTCCGGATCCGGTCGGAGTTATTGTGGAAATGTGACCGGGTTGATCTGGATGTGTCCGTGTGTATTATTATCCGTAGGTTGTATATAGAGAGTTGATGAGAAGGTTGTTGAATACGTTGTAAGTAAGAGTGATGAATCGAAATCGATGGTTTGAACGTAGGTTAAGTAAGAAATTCGCCTTATATGTATTTAATTTAATTTTTTTTTGTTATTTGTTTTTTATACATATATATTTTTATCTTTATTATTTTGCGTAATAAATTTTGTACTTATTGATATTTTTTTTGGTATACACTGGGTGTTCCTAACGTCGAATTAGTGGTTGAAATATTCCGTTTTTTCGACGGTAAATTAATGAAGGTATTTAAATAAGTATATTGAAATATTTTTGTATGCGAGCTAAATGCGTATTGTGTTTTGTATATTTGCATTTTACTGTACAATTATTTTGAACGCGCGTTTAAATAAATATGTAATTTTGCAAGTATATTTTGTGCTGAAGCCTGTAATTGTAAATCTCTTCATTTCTTTTGTACTCCTTACCGTAATCCTGATAGGTAAAAGTCTATTTTTAAATAAGGGAATACCCCGTAGTAAACAATTTTCCATTTACATGTAATAAATCTCAAAGGAAAAGTCCGGTTTATTTGGAGTTGTTTTAAATGGCCTTTTATATCTCGGTTAGTAGAATACCATTAACTTTTTGCTTCTCTTTTCACTGATAGCGGAAATAATTTCTATGGGAACTTCTAAATAGTATTAAAGAGAATTATTTTGTAGAAAACCAAAACTACATAAATCTAATTTTCGAAAATATCCATTTATGCAACTCAACCTGTCAAACCAAATGACATTAAAAATGTCACAAATGTCAAACTTCACGTTGCAAGAAATTTAAAAAAATTCCAATTTTCCCGTAATTTAATTAATCATAGTTTTTAATGTTAAAATAGGAATTATGAATGTAATAAAATTATGGCGAACAGCATTCCAACCGTTTAAACTAAACAGATTACCGTTGAGGAGACACGGCTACAAAATCGCTGACAGTCGCACCATAACCTCAAACTTACCGTCCCGACGGTTTTTAGCGAATTTTAGGCCAACGCACGCGAAATACGCGCTACCCGCGACGCATTTCAGACTCGAATTCACCAGGCATTACGCCACAGGCAGCCCCGATGGAACCGACGGACAAACGGGCAGCTACAACCCCCAACTACCCGCCACTGTGGCGGTACCAGAAGTCTGGCCCCACGTACCGGTCATCGCCATTAGCAAAAACATAGGTAACTGTACAAGAAATCTCGCATTCGCATCTATACATCGATAATTCGTAGTGTTTCCGAGATTCATCAAACTGATCGAGCTAACGAATCCCCAATTGATCCAACTGATCAGGCGCAAAGTGAAGCTAAACCAGCCCTACTGCGGCATATTCCTGAAGAAGAAAGAGGACAACGAGTCCGAGGTGGTGGGCAACTTGAGCGAGGTGCACAAGATCGGCGTGTTCGCCCAAATACACGAGATGCAGGATCTGGGCGATCGGCTGCGTTTGGTCGTGATGGCCCACCGGCGCATCAAGATCACCAATCAGATATTCGACACCGTCGACGATCAGAAAGGCGAGTAGTGGCTGAACAATCTCCCCGATCGTGCGATTAATAGTAACCGTTTTTCAGAGGAGGCCGAGGCCGACAAGCGGCGACGCAAGATGCGGACGATCAGGGCGATGAAGAAGACCATATCGGGCGCCCCCGCGCCCGAGGCGCCCCCTGCCGACGCCAAGGAGCCGCCCAAGGAGGGCCTGCTGATGGTCGAAGTGGAGAACATGGTGCACAACAAGTTCAAGCAGACCGAGGAGGTGAAGGCGCTCACGCAGGAGGTGATCAAGACCATTAGGGACATCATCAGCCTGAACCCCTTGTACAGGGACAGCTTGCAGCAGATGATGCACCAGGGCCAGCGGGTGGTGGACAATCCGGTGTATCTGAGCGATTTGGGGGCCGCCCTCACGGCCGCCGAGAGCAAGGAATTGCAGGAGGTTCTCGAAGAAATGGACGTAAGAATTTATACTAAAACTATCGTACGATTGTCGAGTTTCGAGTTGTTCTTTTAGATACCCAAGAGACTGATGTTGTCGTTGTCGTTGCTGAAAAAAGAGTACGAACTGTCCAAGTTGCAACAGAAAATCGGCCGGGAGGTCGAAGAGAAAGTCAAACAACATCACAGAAAGTACATTTTACAGGAGCAATTAAAGGTAATACGTGCAGCATGTACTTTTTAGAGTACCGTTTTGGAAATGTTTATTGCTCGTAGGTGATCAAAAAGGAATTGGGCCTGGAAAAAGAGGACAAGGACGCCATAGCGGAGAAGTTCCGGGAACGCATCAAAGACAAGAAGCTCCCCCAAGCGGTGTCGTCCGTCATCGAAGAGGAACTGAACAAGATGGGCTTCCTCGAGAGCCACAGCTCGGAATTCAAGTAAACCGTACAATTCTAAACTAACCGCATCGAATCCCTATATATTCAGGGCGCTCCATAATGACATGCTAATATTTAAGTGGGTGAATCTTGGAGTCATTTTAAGGAAAAATGTCCAACAAAAAATGTCCTACACGTCCTAATTATTGAGATACAGGCTGTTGACTTGGTTATTTAACTGCTTCAGTACAGAGGAGCTGTCTGCTTCTTCGAGCTAAATAATTAATAAAAAATAAAAAAAAAACTACTTGTTGCAGCGTCACCCGCAACTACCTCGACTGGCTGTCGTCGTTGCCGTGGGGCGTGCAAAGCGAGGAGAACCTGAACCTGCGCAGGGCCTCCGAGATCCTCGACCAAGACCACTACGGCATGGAAGACATCAAGCGGCGCATCCTCGAATTCATAGCCGTCAGCCAGCTGAAGGGCAGCACCCAGGGGAAGATACTGTGCTTCCACGGGCCCCCGGGCGTCGGAAAAACCAGCATAGGTACTTCTATTGTATGTATCATGCATAGTATGTGTAGAAGTATTGTGTTGTAGCTCGTTCGATAGCCAGAGCGTTGAACAGGGAGTACTTTAGGTTCTCGGTGGGCGGCATGACCGACGTGGCCGAGATAAAGGGCCACAGGAGGACGTACGTGGGCGCCATGCCCGGCAAGGTTATACAGTGCTTGAAGAAGACCCGAACAGAGAACCCCCTGGTGCTCATCGACGAAGTCGACAAAATCGGAAAGTAAAGTAAACCGAATCACTCGCTAATGTGTTTCGTTTAATCCGTCGCTTTTTTTATCCAGAGGTTATTCGGGCGATCCGAGTTCGGCGCTGCTCGAGCTGCTCGATCCCGAGCAGAATTCCAACTTCCTCGATCACTACCTGGACGTGCCGGTCGATCTGTCGAAGATCCTGTTCATATGCACGGCGAACGTGGTGGACACGATACCGGAGCCGTTGCGCGATCGCATGGAGATGATCGACATGTCGGGCTACGTGGCCGAAGAGAAACTGGCCATCGCCAAGCAGTACCTTTTGCCGCAGGCGATGCGCGACAGCGGCTTGAAGGACGACACGATCAAAGTGGACGACGAGGCTTTGAACGCTTTGATCAAGAGCTATTGCAGGGAGAGCGGCGTGAGGAATTTGCAGAAGCACATCGAAAAGGTGATTTGTCTACGAGCGATTTCTACGAGTTTATGTTTGCGTCGGTTTCGGTTTTAGGTGGTGAGAAAGGTGGCTTATAAAGTGGTGAAAGAGGACGCGACGTTCGTGAACGTGGGAAAGGATAATTTGCAGGATTTCGTGGGGAAGCCGGTGTTTACGCACGATCGAATGTATCCCGTTACGCCGCCCGGTGTCGTCATGGGTTTGGCTTGGACCGCCATGGGTGAGTTGTGTTCGTTTTGTTATGTTAATCACCTTTGTGAACGGTGGGTCGGGCCGGCTTTGGAGAGTCTCGGGAATTCCAGTAGAGGAGTCCAAGGGTGCTCCAAAGGTGATGGTATTAACGTCATCTTATTTGTGTAAAACCGACTGGGATTATTGGAGCTTGTTATTATTGTTGTCTACTCTGTGGTTTTACACAAATAAGATGACTCTTTCTATTACTTGTACTTTTTTTAATACAACTGTACAATGAGTGTAAGAATGAACGAATTTAATTGATTTAAATGTGTTATAATATTATAGGCGGTTCGACTTTGTACATCGAAACCACCACGAGGAAATTGGCGGACGAAAAAGATAACGAAGGTAGCTTGGAATTGACGGGTCATTTGGGCGAAGTGATGAAGGAATCGGCCAAAATCGCCCTGACGGTAGCCAGGAATTATTTACAAAAACAGGATCCTTCCAATAAATTCCTCTACCACAGGTAAGTTTCCGGACTTACAAAAGTAGTTAGTTGGTTATTTAAATACATTAAAAGTAGTTGAACTACATTTTTAACTACTTAACAACACTGTATAAAATTAATTGCAGCCATTTACATTTGCACGTGCCGGAGGGAGCGACGCCGAAAGACGGACCGAGCGCCGGTTGTACGATCGTCACCGCTCTTCTGTCATTGGCAAAAGGGGAGCCGGTTAGACAGGACGTCGCCATGACTGGGGAGATATCGCTCATGGGGAAAGTCCTACCCGTAGGGGGCATCAAAGAGAAAACCATAGCGGTAAAAGAATATCTATAAGTAGAGGGTGGCCAGAAAATAGATGTCAATAACTCGCGAGCGTATAAATGATATCAAAATAAGGGGATATTTTCTGGATACCTTGTATGAATAGATTTTTTATTTTGTTGTGTTTTGTCGTAGGCGAAAAGGTCGGGCATCAAGTGCATCATTCTGCCCGATGAGAACAAGAAGGATTTCAATGATTTGCCGAAATTTATTACCGAAGGGCTAGAGGTGCATTTCGTCGCCAACGTGGATGAGATTTTCAAAATAGTGTTCAGTACGAGTAATACGCAACAACCCAATTTGGGCATTTGATAATTTTATTTTTTTATTATTTTTTTTTGTTTGTTTGTCGAATAAAACGTTAAGTAGAACTTAAGGTATAGTTTATACGGATTCTATTTGTACCTAATAAATTACGTTTTGGATGTTTTTTTTTAATGGGGTATGTGTTTGGAAATTACTCAAGTTTTTACATACAGGGTGTTCCAAAATGACATGCTAATATTTAAGGGGGTGATTCTTGGAGTCATTTTAAGAAAAAAAACTTCGTTTGAACGTATGTCCTAAATCTAAAATTTACTATTTTTTAATCTTAAAACAGCGGCTAATGTTGTGTGAATGCATTTATTTTTTTTAATGCGATATGATGAGTCGTACGGAAAAAAATCAAGAAATTAAATTTGTTCTAAATTGAATGAGGATTCCAAAAATTATTTTAATTTTAATATTAGGCAGTGGCGTACCATTTTTTTCTTCAAAAATATTCAATGCCAAGCACGTACGGACGCCACTGCTGGAAATAATAAAATTATTTGTGCATCAGAAAATGCATCTTGATTCATAGAAGACGTGTTCCAAATTTCATAAAGATATCTACAATTTTATCACAGTTATTACAAAAAAAATGATTATTTTTCTTAAAACTTTAACACCCTGTATCTCAAAAGTTAAGACGTTTAGGACATAGGTTCATACGAAGTTTTTTTCCTTAAAATAGGTCCAGAAATCACTCCCTTAAATATTAGCACGTCATTTTGGAACACCCTGTATATTTTCTACTTACTTTTTTTTAGAAGTTTGTGTAAAATCTAATACTGTCAAGTAGCTTAATTAATTAAAAGGTATTGGTCGGTTTCTATTTCAACACTAAAATGATAGTAATCATATACAATTTTAATGAAAATCAAATCAACATTGTCAAGTAATTACAAACTAAAAAGAAACCTTATAAGTCTACGCTTTAATACATACAAGTCCACCTACAGTTCTAATCAGGTATTGAATTATATACAGGGCGTCTCGGATATCGATTTCACCAAATACTCCGCGACATCTACGCATCGATTTACCCCGTACGTATAGTAAAAATAAAAAAAAATAAACCGCCTCATTCCTGCCTCAAAAAAATCTGCCTGTCCCAAATCCTGGCCTTCTGCAGCTCCCGCGCCGCCCTCGCCGCCTCCTCGGGCTCCGCGAACACGATCTTCGCCTCGTCGCTGGGCGTGTTGTTCGGATTGTACCGCCTGCTCACGTTGTTCGTGTGCCGGTACCCCTCGAAGAACTCCAATATGTCGCCGGTGGTCGCCTTGTAAGGCACGTTCTTCAAATACAACGTGCACCCGGGCGGCGCGTCCTCGAACACGTCCCGCCCCGCCGGCGGCTGGAACCCGAACCGGTTGTTGAACCGCGGCCCGAACCGCGGACCGCCGCCCCCGCCGCCCCGGTGCCCGAACGACGGGCGGAAGTTGAACAGCGGCTGGCGCGGCGGATGCTTTTGCTCCTGGTCGTGTTGCTGCTGGTGCTGGTGCTGCTGCTGCTGTTGCTGCTCGTCGGGTTTCTTCAGCGCCTCCAGCATTTCCTCTCTGGCGATCAGCTCGACGGCGACGGTGGTATCGTCGATGGCGGTGCCGTTCTTGCGCTCGGCCTTCGCCGCCTCTTCGGCGCCGGCGAATTCGCAGTACGCCCGACCCGAGAAGCCGGCGTTGTCGTCGATCAGGTACACCTTGACCGGCACGACGCCGATGTCCGAGAAGAAATCGGCCACGTCCTTGTCGGTCGTCTTGTCCGGCAGGCCGGTCACCCGACAACAGTCTCTATCTCTCGCTTGTTGTAACTGTTGTTGTTGTTGATCGTCGCCCAAGTTCACCTCGTGCTTGCGATTGATTTCGTCGAATTCTTCGTCGCCGCAGGGCCGCACCGTGACCGGCTTGCCGCCCACCACGTGGTGGGCGTCCTCTTCTAGCGCCTGCCGGGCCACGTCCGCTCCGCTGAACTTCACGTAGGCCACGTGCCCGCCTCGTTTCTTCGTCGTTAGGATCAGAGCGACGAGCGGATGTTGCGAGAACATGTGCAAGATGTCCTGCTCCTTGCAGTACGTCGGCAAATCGTCGACCGTCAGACAAGAAAACGCTTTGGCATCCTCGCCGGTACCGTCGCCGTTCCTGCCGGGTTTGTTGTTGAAGTACTTGGTGATGTTCCGGCTGCGGAACGTCGCGTTAGTAGCTCCGTCGTCGATCGGGCGATCGTCGTCGATCCTCGGGTTGTACCGGTCGACGGCCTCGTCGAATTCCTCGTCGGCGATGTGCGTCACGACGGCGGCGACGCCGTTCAGCGGCCGCCCGTACATGTTCATCGCCTCCTCTTTGAACTTTCTGCTGGCGAAGCGGACGAAGACGACGCCGGTGCTGCGACCGGCGCGATCGTTGATGAACTTGATGCCGGTGCTGCCGATGAACAGCCCTTGGAAGAACCGCCTCACGTCGCCGTAGCCGCCGTAGAACGGCTCCAGCGACACGCAACAATCCTCGCCGTCCTGGTGCTGGTTGTGGTGGTGATGGTGGTGCCTGTTGTTGTTGTTGTTGTTATTGTTTAGGTAGTTTTTGGGGAAGCGGTTGTTGAACAACGGCGCGGGATTGTTGTCGACGTGGTGGTAGTTATCGTGTAGGAACGGAGCGGCGGCGAGCGGCGGCCAGTCTCTCATCGGCGGCGCTCTGTTGTTGAACAACGAAGGAAACTGATTGGTATTGGCCAAAGCGAATTGGGCGCTCAAATTGTCCAATCCCTCTAAGCTTCTGTTGGCGTTGAACGCGAGCAAAGGCAACGCCGCCGGCGCCGGCGCCGCCTCCTGCGGTTTCGACCACACTTCGGGCACGATTTTCTTGGCGGCGAGATCGTTCGCGTCGCCGCCGCCGCCGCGTTTTCTGTCCCTGCTCTTGCGCTCTTTGGACTTGGAGCGGCCGCGGGAGCGGTCGCGGCCGCGGCGCGACTTCCTGTCGTTGCGGTCGCGCGACCGCGAGCGGCTGCGCCGGTGGCGGCGGTCGCGCCGGTCGCGGGACCGGTCGCGGCGCTCGCGCGACTTGGAGCGCGACGAGCGGCGCCGGCCGGCGTCGCGCTTTCGGTCCGGTTTGGTGGCGTCGAGGGCGGGCGGGGCGGCGGGAGCGGGCGCGGCGGCGGCGACGGCGGGCGTTTGCATGAAGGCGCTGAACGATTGGGAGCGCGCCTGCTCGATGACGCGCTGCATTTCGGTGCGCGAGCTCAGCGTGAGAGTGATCTGGACCTCTTTGATCTTGCCATTGCTGCGGGTGAACGCCTGCCGGGCGTCCTCGTCGGTGCTGGAAAAGAAACGGGTTGTGTGTGTGAGATAGAGAGAGAGGGACGGAGAACGTCACTGAGGGATTCCCCGGATTTACTTCACTTAAAAGTGTAGCGGAGCTCTCGGGCAAACATATTTCAATCTTATATTCACACCTTATAATACACACACCGGCAAATTTAAAGGAACAGATTGAAAATGTAATATATTTCTATATTTTATTGTCTTATAGTCTACACCTTGATCCATTTCCGATTGCAATATGGTCATTTCTATGAGTGAGAAATTTTTTTTTTTTTCTAAAACTGTAACACCCTGTAGCTCGAAAACTAAGAGGTTTAGGACATATATCGATATAAACTTGTCTTCTTAAAATCAACCAAATATTCACATCCTGAAGTACCGGCACTCAATTACTTACCACCCTCTATAAGTACTGTATTATTAACGTTCCATCTACCTCAATCTTCATAGCTGGGTACTTGTTGGAACTACATTCAAAACTACAATGTAACTGATACTACCGGCATGACGTCATCGCTGTATTAATATACCTATACCTCATCCAATGTAGCTCGACAGTTGGAATATTTCAGCTTCAACTTTTAGTGAAGGGATAGGATAGGTCAATTTCATTTCCTCCGAAGCAATTTTCAACTGCCAAGCTACATTCGATGAGGTGCTTTATAGTAGCAGGCGCCTCGGAAGAGTAGATAATTGTTTGGTTTTTTCGGTGGTGTTTGTTTTCCCATTTTTCGATCGATTAGACGCGAAAAGAGAGCAAGAGAGAATTTCATATTTTTTTTTTTCGTTCGCGGTTGATTTCATTTGTGTTAAGTCCATACCTGAATGCGATGAATGCGTCGCCCAGCTCGCCGCCCACGATGTGCACGCCGCCCTCGGGGATGCTCAGCCCGTGGAAGTACTGTCTGATATCTAAGGCGTTCGCCGACCAGGGTAAGTTTTGTAATCTTATAATGACGCTCATTTTTCGCTCGACCTCACGATCTTCCCTTCCTTTTTCGACCTTAAAATGAATGCAAGATAGTTGTGTTGAGAGTGCGCCCGGCACGCGCCTTTTATTTCATTTATTTACTTATTTATTTATTTATTTATTCGTTCGTTTGTTATGTATCGATTTGCGGTAATTTTTGGTAGGTGGATAAATTCGCATTCCCCTCGTAGATTGATGGGAACAAGTTGAAAGCACTTCGCGCATTTTATTTCATTTATTTATTTATTCGATTTGCGGATAAATTAGCATTATCCTCGTATACGGGGCGTTTCAAAATTGTTTGGTAAAAGACGAATGATCGAATGAATGAATCGATCGATTTGCGGTACTTTTCGTAGGAGGATAAATTCGCATTCACCTCGTATACGGGGCGTTTGAAAATTGTCGGATACAAGTTGAAATAATTCTTCGCGGATTTTATTTTATTTAATTACTTATTCATTTATTTGCTAGTTTTTTATATCGATTTGCGGTACTTTTCGTAGTAGGGTAAATTCGCGTTCCCCTCGTATACGGGGCGTTTCAAAATCGATGGGTAAAAGGTAAAAGTAGAAATGATTTTGTATTTTTTTATTGTTTCTCGTGTCTTCATATATCTTCTTAGTATGTGTTTAACATTAAATCTGCGAATCGATCTCAAATTATGTAAACTAGAAATTTGAACCCCATGTTCGAGAACACCCTGTATAATGTCATTTTTCGATCTACAGCAGGCTTTGACATTCGATATTATACGTCCCTTATTTATTTATTTATTTATTTTTCGACTCCTTTTCTAAATTATTTTCTTTGTACGTAGGTATAAGGAATTTTCCGCGTCCATTTTCAACCACCCTGTATATACGAAAGAAAAGTTGGTTATATTGAGAATTTAGGTGAATAAATGAAGATTGTGTCGTATTATTTTTACGCCTTGGACAGATTCTGGGACACCCTGTAGAATGATTGTATCGGCGCTTCGGCGAGATAAATCGAAGAATAGGCAAAAATTAGATATCGATATAATTTCGAATATAAGAGGAAAAAATAAGATAAGGTTTTATTTGTAATTAACGCATATACATTGTTATATCCGATCAGATTGCTATTTTTAAAAGAAACTAGATAAGAAATGATTAATATTAAATAAGTATATTAGATAGGAATCATTTATACGAGTTTCTATTATTGTTATTTTTTTGTTAGAGTTATTAGAAGACTCCCGTCTCCCTCCTTCTAACCTCCTCTATCCCCTTCAGCCTTCAAGCGATTTAAGTGATTCCCCCAAATCTTCCAGTTTCAGCCACAATTTAATTTTTCACGGTGCTTTTTTTGTTCTATTTCGAGTGGAAATAGCCGAAAAATTTAAATAGGATATTGCCCGACAACAAGAGACATTTCCCCGTTTTCGTCAGTATTTTTTTCGTTGATTAATTATGTCAATTGACCGGAATATCGGAGAACTTTTTGTATTAATCAACTATTTCTTCGTAAAAAAACACATTCGAGTACTTTTACTAAAAGATTTTCATTTAGGAAAAACGGATTTTCCAATAGGAATTTCGACGCAGGCCTTTTACTGCACGAATTTACGACAAAACGCTCGATACAAAGCAATGTTTCTTCTGTAAGTATATTTAATTATTTACAGACGAACTCGATAAGAGAATTAAAAAAATAAATTAAAAAAAAATCGCAAAAATGCACCCTAAAAGTGAACAAAACTTACCTTTTAAACCCGCTTATAAAGTAGATTTCGAAGTATATTTTCGAAGCTCATTTACTCGTACAAATATCTCTTACAAAATCCTACGATGCTCATTTGAAAGACCACAAACAGCCCTAAAGACAACTAGTACAAGTACTACAATATATCCATATACGCTAGTATAACACAACCAGTCCTAGTACGAGTACTATAACTTCAATATTTTGCTCATATAACGCACCTAGTAAAAGTACTATGTCAACATCTGCCCGTACAAGACAACCGGTTCTAGTACAAATACTCCTCTTACATCTGTTCGTATAAGACAACTAGATCTAGTACGAGTACTAGACAACCTCCGTAACCCCTCGATACTCAAAGACCGCTCGGCTGGTGCACAATCTAGTCCTTAATGTATAAGAAACGCCCTGTATAAGGAAATGCAGCTGTTCCGTGTGCAGTCGATGACTCTCCGATGGCGCTTCTCCGAGCTAAACGAAATCCCATTGGGCAATCATGAATTAATCGTAATTTACCCGTTTAGTGTTCTATGAGGTTATTCATCGTAGATATTCGAGGGATGCGCGCTTATATAGCAAAAATCATTAGTAAAAGTATCGTATTGGCTGGTGTAGAGGGCGCTGGAAAGTAATTTAAGCTAGGAAATGGGTAAACGTGTGGCGTACGTAGATGTTCGAGGAATCGAAATAAATCGTTAAATCGTCTCCGGGTGGATTGGAAAACCTCGCTAAGCGACCATTAAACGTACGAAATTCGCAATTTATCGTTTATTTTCATCGACAGGACAATTTTCTTATAGTATGCACGATTAATTCGGTTAACGTAGAAGCTTAAAGGCGTGTAGGATTTGATAGGATTTCAATCGTAAAAATCCAACGTATAATATTAAGTAATTAACGGTGTCTTTTTTTTCGTTGTAATATCGAATATTTCCCGATGATATAATGCTATAAAACTCACCTAGAATAGAATTGCAATATCTTCACCTAATATATAACTTTTACTATAGAATTCTCTTCCTTCGGGTGTAAACGACTCATCGGACGCAAAGCTATCACGAATTAATAATTCTAATGGTTATTTCAAGTTCTAAAAGTAATCCGTTTGAGGCGAATAAACATTTAGTTTAGCTTTTTGTTAAAATTCGCCATTAATTACATGAACATGACAAATATGGCGTCTTGTCGACTGTCAACGAGCGGTAATTTTACCGTTGCCAACATTATATTTCACGATGAAATGTCACTGAATGTTTCTGCGAATTTTAACTAGGCAACTCACATTACACTTCAAGAAATTTTTAGGCGTTGGAAAAAGCCCGTAGAAATCGTATTTATGTGCTTTTTTTGTTCTATTTTGAGTGTAAATAGCCGAAAAATATAAATATCGCCCGACAACAAGAGACATTTCCCCGTTTTTCGTTGATTAACTATGTCAATTGATCGGAAAATTGGAGAATTTTTTGTACTGATAAACTCTTTCTTCGTAAAGCACATTCGAGAACTTTTACTAAAAGTTCTTTATTAGAAAACACGAATTTGCCAACATAATTATAATCCACGATTAAATGTCACTGGGAATTTTAGATTAGGCAAATCACATTACACTATAACAATTAGATACTTGTAAAAATTAATAAAGGATATTTAAAGATGAACAGAAACAGGGACAAATTTAATTAATATACTTTCATTATTTGAAAAATCGAACGAAAACATCCACACTTTAATTACCGAAATGAATAAACTTAATTCGAACATTTACAAATTCCTGACAAACTTCGAGCAATTGCCGATACCCCTTCAGCGGTTCCTGTTATATTACGGGTAAGGTTAGACAACCAACTAAGTCTAGGTAAACCTAGGTTTAGTGGTTTATCTTACTTTACCCGTAACATATACACCAAACGAACGACCAGAGAAACTTTAATTATCCGGTTCCTCGTTGATCGGTTGAACGGGATTTTGCCCGAAGCCTCTGATGGACAAATCGTACACGACCTCTTCGATTTTCTTCACGTCGTACTTCAAGGCGTCGAATCGTTTGCGCAACGAATCGTTCTTCAAATTCAACAGTCTGAAGCCGGCGTTCAGCTCGGCGACGAACCGGGATATCTGGAGGGGTTTCTGGTAATCCCCGAGCGTCACCGAATTAACGGCGTATCTGGACTGCGAAAAAAAGGAAAAAACGGGTGATTTTCGCGTTATTTGTACTATCGGACGCTTTCTGTTGATTTGGTAATTACGGTAACTGGCTGGAAAGCGTCCGATGCGATGGGGATTTGTAATTGGTAAATTGGCTTACTAATTCCGTGGCTAAGTTGAGCAGGCCGATGAGGTAGTCTTCGAGGTCTAGGTGAATGTTGGCTTTATCGTTCGCTGGAAATTTGTTTGCTTTAGAAAATTTTTATCTCGATTGGTTGTAGAGATAATTGGTGGTTTATGCGGAATAGCGCCAAAGAGAAGTTGTGGTTTCTTTTCTCAAAAACTCGAAATATTTTGAAAAATTTTAGTTTTTTCGAAATTATTCAAATTGGAAAATTGTATAGAAACAATTTCTTTATAAAATGGTGAACATTTCTTTTTTCTATCTCAAATATTCTTTGAGATAATTGGTGTTATTTGTGGCAAAGATAAGTTATCGTTGAAAACAATTACCTCCTAATATTTCGGCGGTGGTTTCCTTGTTAATTAAAACACCTTTTTCTAAAAAGACAATTAGCGCCGCCAATGAGCACAAGCGCTGCGTAGCGAATCTCCAGTGATCGTTGTACCGGTAATATTGTCCCGCAGGGACAATTTTGTCTAATCTATCGAAGCCTTTACGGACTATTTCGAAAGTTTGCCTGGCGCTTAATATGGCAGCGTGAACTACAAATAATACGTACAATTATCAATCATTATCTGTAAATATTAATTAACAAACCTTGTTCGATGTCCCGGGCGTGATGGATTACTTGCAGTATGGTGATTATTTCGCGCAGAGGAGATTCGATGTCCTTCATTATTTTGCGTATCTCCTGAAATGTACATTTCACAATTCTGTAGTTTTTTTGCAAGTATTTTGCGGTTTACTTAAATATGGGTTACTTAACCTACCTCTCTAGTTTCTTGTTCTGAATTAACGTAATCCTGAAACGGTGTAAAAATGTCCGCTACAATTCCCGTTGGCGAGCACATTTTGCATTACTTTGTAATAAACGAAGAGTCGTTTTTTTTTGTATGTAATTAAAATTACAACCTCACACCGACGATCAAAATATAAACATAACCAAAAATTTGCAAATGTCAATTGTCAAAAATCGGAATTGGCCGAATAGGCCCGGCAGATGAGGCCAAAGTATGACAAATGAAATTATGCGTTGTGGCTATAGCACCGTTACCGTAAATAAAACATATCGTTTTTCACATTACGAATAGTATTGTTATCCGTATGTTTAATTAATTAATCCCTTAATAAATTTATCTAGGATCATTATCATTACACAAATTTCAAGTTACCAATATCGATTTTAAAATCTTCCACTGATAAGATGTAAATAAAAACGTATTTAACACAAATTAATCACGTACTCGACTGTTGCCAAGGCAGATTAGATATAAAAGATATCCCAGATCGAAATCGAGCCAGTAGCGAAACAAAAAAATGGCTCTAACGTGTGGAAATTCCACGAGCTTGCCGACGAACTATGGGCATTACACCGCGGGCGGCATCCGCGGGGGAATCACCTCGGACAAGCCCAATTTCTACCTCAACGACAAGGAGATATTCCTCTACAGCGGCGCCATGCACTACTTCAGAGTGCCCCGGGCCTACTGGAGGGACAGACTGAGGAAAATGAGAGCCGCCGGTCTGAACGCGGTTGAGACCTACGTGCCCTGGAATTTGCACGAACCCCAATCGGGTAAGCGACCCCCTTCGGATGATAATGCTGATTCTGGACCATGCTTGATGGTTTGGGATGGTACCAAACTACATTTGATGGTACTAGAATAAACATAGCTCTTATTACTGCCTAAATAGCTGTAGCAATCTTAGATAGAAGGCACTTTTTACAAGTATAGTTAGGTACCAACAGAGCACTTTTGATGGAATCGACATAGCCCCATTACCATCTACTCCACGTCCGGAGAACCATAGACATCCTTACATTACCTCTAACGAGACAAATGCATCCTTTTTGTAGTGCTCACAAGTAATAATTTGCAGGTAAATTCGACTTCGGCGACGGCGGCAACGACATGTCGGACTTCCTGCACCTGGAGGAGTTCCTGAAGACGGCGCAGGAGGAGGACCTCTTCGCCATAGTGCGCTCGGGGCCGTTCATTTGCGCCGAATTCGAGTTCGGCGGCCACCCGAGCTGGCTGCTGCGCGAGAAATCCATCGATTTCAGGACGACGGAGAAGACGTACGTGAGCCACGTGACCAGGTGGTTCAACGCGCTGCTGCCCATCCTGGCGGCGTTGCAATTCACCAAGGGCGGGCCGGTGGTGATGCTGCAGGTGGAGAACGAGTACTCGGTGTCCGGCAAACGGGACAAGGCCTTGCTGAAGGTGCTGCGGAGCCTGATGCTCGAGCACGGCATCGTCGAGCAGCTGGTGACGTCGGACAATCCGATCAGAGGCGCCCACGGCACGTGGCCGGATCTGTTCCTGATGACGGGGAACTTCGACCAGAAGCCCAAGGAGCAGTTCGATATGCTGAAGAAGATCCAGCCCGGCAGGCCGACGATGGCGATGGAGTTCTGGAGCGGTTGGTTCGACTTTTGGGGCGGCGCGCACACCAACAAGACCGTGGAGGAGTTCCGGTACAACTACGAGGAGATACTCAAGTATCCGGCGTCCGTTAATATTTACATGTTCCACGGCGGTACCAATTTCGGGTTCTTGAACGGCGCCGGAAATTTGGCCTACGACGATTGGAACACTGGTAAATTTGTGTATTTTTTATCTAGGCATTTTCTAAAGGTCTGCTGAAGGTCTTCAGAGATTTTTCTGCCAACAATTGAAGAAGGAATTTTTATTCCTTTCTTATCATTCTACCTGATCTCATCTAAACTAAGCATTTGTGGTCTTCTGAAGATACTAGAGAAGCTTCTGAGTATATAAGAGGAAAGGGTACGGGTTAATTTTCATTTTTTTGTATCATTCTTTAAGACCTGATCTTCTAAACGCTTTCTAAAGATCACCTGAAGGTTTTCGGAGATTCCTTTTAAGCAAAGACGAAGGAATACAAATAAATTATTTTGTTCATATCATTCTTTATGACCTGATCTTCTAGAGTAGACCTTTCCAAAAGGTCTTCCACAAGGTGTTAGAGAAGCTTATGAGTAAATTTTCATTTCTTGCACCATTCTTGGTCTACAAACAAGCTTTCTGGATGCGTGAGAGGAACAAAAATTGAAATATTCTTCGCTTTCAGATTACCACTCGATAATCTCCAGCTACGAGTACTTATCGCCTCTGGACGAAGCCGGCGACTACACGGACAAATACTGGGCAACGAAGGAACTTCTGAGCAAATACAATCCGGTGAAAACCCTGCTACCGGCGGTGCCGGATCGTCCGAAGAAAACGGCGTACGAGAGCATAAAAATCGAAAAGGAAATGTTGCTCTACGACATGCTGGAAACCATCAAGCCTGTGGCTTCGAAGGAAGTCGTAGCCATGGAAACCTTGGACATAAACAACGGCAACGGACAGAGTTTCGGGTACGTGGTGTACAGAAAAACCGGGCTGAACATACCGGCCGGAGCGGTGTTGAAGATACAAGGGCGAGTCTGCGATACGGTGATGGTGCTGGTGGACGGCGTCCTCGTATCGCCCTGGTTGGAGAGGTCCAAGGACCTCGCCGGTTTCGGCACCTGGAAAATCCTGGATTCCACGTTGGTATTGAGCAACCGCTCGCTGACGAACGCCCGGCTGGAGCTGGTCGTGGAGAACTGGGGCAGGGTCAACGTGGGGGTCTACAAGCAATTCAAAGGGCTGTGGCAGAGCCAAGTGAAATTGAACGATGAATACATTACGGATTGGTCGGTGTATCCTCTGGAATTCAAATCGGCGTGGACCAAATCGCTGAGTAGCTGGGGCAAGGAGCTAACCGACACGGTGGGTCCTGCGATGTACAAGGCCACTTTGCGGGTGGAAGGAGAGCCGGTGGATACTTTCGTGCACATGGAACAATGGATCAAAGGCATCGTGATCGTGAACGGGTTCGTGTTGGGTAGGTACGCGAAAATGGGGCCCATACAGACGTTGTACTTGCCTGCGCCGCTTCTGCGCACTGGTGACAACGATATTATCATATTCGAGCACTACAAACCGGCGCAACGGGTGGATTTCAGCGACGCTCACATTTACAAAAGATACTGATTATTTGGATGTACGACTTGTTCTACAAATACTTATTATAAATGTAAATATTGCAATATCGGTTTCCTTTTTGTTGTTTTTTTTTTCACACAAGCAGTAAAATACATAATACTTAAATAGGAATAATTTGTTATGAAACTCTATGAAGAAAATAATCAGAACAGTCAATAACAGTATACAATATGACAATATGGCTATATCTCCCTAACGAAAGATGATATCAAAAAAATCCTAAAACCGTTTCTAGGGTATGAAGGGGGTCAACTAAAATGACATAAAAAACAATTCACTCCCATCAACCCTCTAGGCCCCCAACTATCAAAATTTATATGGCAACCCCCAACTTGTGATACATCACTGAAAAGCCTATAAAAATGTTATACAAAATTCAAAAATTAATTCAAACTCTGTACAGAATAATGAGGAATAAATAATCCAATGGTATAAATAACAATAGTACAGGGTGAAAGAAGAAAAGCAACATTTTCTTCATTAAGGACAATTTTAATTTAATTACAATTTAAATACAAAGTCACAATAAGCGCAACACCCCCACTACCACAAAAAATGCCGAGTTTCCAGACCTGTATGTACAAAACCGTAAGTCGGAAAAATATTAAAATAATTGTAAAGTTACCTTCTTCGTTCGTTTATGTTTATCGTAGAAAACTCGAAATACCTAGAAATTATAAATAATAGTTCTTAATTTGTTAAAATTTACATCGTTACTTTTCTTATATAGAATGTAAATGTTATCTGTATACCACGTTTAATCGCTAAATAAAATTATGTACCATCATTGTTATCACACAAAATTTTAAGTTACCAATATCGATATTAAAAACTAGTATTGATAAGACGTAGATAAATAAAGATACGCATTTACGCGCTTTAAAAAATTTGTCTAAAATAATGCAATTAATCGTGCACTCGACTGTCGCCAAGGCAGATTAGATATAAAAGATATTCCAGCTAGAAATCGAGTCAGTAACGAAACAAAAATGTCTTTAACGTGCGGAAATTCCACGAGTTTGCCGACGAATTATGAGTATTACACCGCGGGCGGCATCCGCGGGGGAATCACCGCGGACAAGCCCAATTTCTACCTCAACGACAAGGAGATATTCCTCTACAGCGGCGCCATGCACTACTTCAGAGTGCCCAGGGTCTACTGGAGGGACAGACTGAGGAAAATGCGAGCCGCCGGTCTGAACGCGGTGGAGACCTACGTGCCCTGGAATTTGCACGAACCCCAATCGGGTAAGCGACCCCCTTCGGATGATAATGCTGATTCTGGACCATGCTTGATGGTTTGGGATGGTACCGAACTACATTTGATGGTACTAGAATCAACATAGTTCTTATTACTGCCTAAATAGCTGTAGCAATCTTAGATAGAAGGCACTTTTTACAAGTATAGTTAGGTACTAGCAGAGTGCTTTTGATGAACTATAACTGGCACAGTCCTATACCTTAATTCTGGAAGCTTTCCTATGTAGTACCTAAGTAGTTTTTACAAATACCTAGTATGGTGCAGAATTGACATACACTTATACCTTAATCCTGGAATTATTTCTATACACCTTGTCTTTTTAGAAAATACCAAAAAAAAATTTAAAACAATGAAATGTTAAATAAAAGAGAAACTATCGACTTTTCGAAAAAGTGTTATAGGTCATTTTTTGTTCAAAAGTGTACTTATATAATCACCTCTTTAAGTTTGGCGGTTTTTATAGTAGACACCCTGTATAGAAGGTATCCAGTTTTTACAAGTTTTTTAGGTAGACACTAGAGTACTCCAATAAACGAGATGCAGATTTCTCAGCCAAATTCTAGCCTACAAGCGAATAGTTTGTTTTGTAAAACCCAAGGTCGGGTTGATGGTTTAATTGTAGCAAGTAAATTTCCAGGTGAATTCGACTTCGGCGACGGCGGCCACGAAATGTCGGACTTCTTGCACCTGGAGGAGTTCCTGAAGACGGCGCAGGAGGAGGACCTCTTCGCCATAGTGCGCCCGGGGCCGTACATTTGCGCCGAATTCGAGTTCGGCGGCCACCCGAGCTGGCTGCTGCGCGAGAAATCCATCGATTTCAGGACGACGGAGAAGACGTACGTGAGCTACGTGACCAGGTGGTTCGACGTGCTGCTGCCCATCCTGGCGGCGTTGCAATTCACCAAGGGCGGGCCGGTGGTGATGCTGCAGGTGGAGAACGAGTACGCGGTGTCCAACAAGAAGGACAAGGCCTTGCTGAAGGTGCTGCGGAACCTGATGCTCGATCGCGGCATCGTGGAGTTGATGGTGACGTCGGACAATCCGATCAGAGGCGACTACGGCACGTATCCGGATCTGTTTCTGATGGCGGGGAACTTCGACCAGCAGCCCAAGGAGCAGTTGGATATGCTGAAGAAGATCCAGCCCGGCAGGCCGACGATGGCCATGGAATATTGGGGCGGTTGGTACGACTATTGGGGGCGCGCGCACATCGACAAGCCCGTGGAGGTGTTCCGGTACAACTACGAGGAGATACTCAAGTATCCGGCGTCCGTTAATATTTACATGTTCCACGGCGGTACCAGTTTTGGGTTCTACAACGGGGGCCGAAATTTGGCCTACGACGAATGGGACACTGGTAAATTTATATATCTTTTTATCTAGGCACTCCTGAAAGTCTTCGGAGATTATTATGCGAGTAAAGAGGAAGGGATACATACTTATCATCTTCATGACCTCATCTTATAGACTAGGACCTTCCAGAAGATCTTCTGAAGGTAGTAAGAAGCTTCTGAGTACGTAGGAGAAAAGAATTCAGATAAATTTTCATTTTTTTCCTCTACTATTCTTCAAAATTTGATCTTCTAGATTCTAGACACTTTCTAACGGTCTCCTAAAGGTTCTCAGAGGTTTCAGGTGTAGGTAAATAGGAAGGAATACAGTTCAATTTTTACTTCTCATCATTCCTCATAATCTCGTATTCTATGCATGGTCTTCCGAAGGTATAAAGAAGCATCCGGATATGTGAGAAGACCTGAAATTGAAATATTCTTCGCTTTCAGATTACCACTCGATAATCTCCAGCTACGACTACTTGTCGCCTCTGGACGAATCCGGCGACTACACGGACAAATACTGGGCAACGAAGGACCTCCTTAGCAAATACAATCCGGTGAAAACCCTGCTACCGCCATTGCCGAATCGCCCGAAGAAAACGGCGTACGCGAGCATACAAATCGAAAAGGAAATGTTCCTCTACGACATGCTGCAAACCATCACGCCTTTGGCTTCGAAGGAAGTCGTAGCCATGGAAACCTTGGACATAAACAACGGCAACGGACAGAGTTTCGGGTACGTGGTGTACAGAAAAACCGGGCTGGACATACCGGCCGGAGCGGTGTTGAAGATACAAGGGCGAGTCTGCGATACGGTGATGGTGCTGTTGGACGGCATCCTCGTATCGCCCTGGTTGGCGAGCTACAAGGACCTCGACGGCTTCGGCACCTGGAGAATCCTGGATTCCACGTTAGTATTGAGCAACCGTTCGCTGACAAACGTCCGGCTGGAGCTGGTCGTGGAGAACTGGGGCAGAGTCGACGCGGGCGCCTACAGGCAATTCAAAGGGCTGTGGCAGAGCCAAGTGAAATTGAACGATGAATACATTACGGATTGGTCGGTGTTTCCAGTGGAATTCAAATCGGCGTGGACCAAATCGCTGAGTAGCTGGGGCAAGGAGATAACCAACACGGTGGGTCCTGCGATGTACAAGACCACTTTGCGGGTGGAAGGAGAGCCGGTGGATACTTTCGTGCACATGGAAGAATGGATCAAAGGCATCGTGATCGTGAACGGGTTCGTGTTGGGTAGGTACGCGAAAATGGGGCCCATACAGACGTTGTACTTGCCTGCGCCGCTTCTGCGCACTGGTGACAACGATATTATCATATTCGAGCATTACAAACCGGCGCAACGGGTGGATTTCAACGACGCTCACATTTACAAAAGGTACTGATTGCTTAGATGTGCGACTTGTTCTAAAAGTATTTATTATAAATGTAAATATTACAATATCGGTTTCCTTTTTGTTGTTTTTTTTTTCATACAAGCCGTGAAAATACATAGTACTTAAATAGAAATAATTTGTCATGAAGCTCTGCTGAATTTCACAAAACTAATAATTGGTTTCTTTAAATACAAATTTTTCGGATTATTGTGCGCCATGTTTACCGATCTCGCAAACCTATCCTACGGAATACACAAATGACAAGAAGAAATGGCACGAAAAACACACGAGGAATGATCAACCTTTTTTTTGGGAGGCTCCGAGTTCGCGTCGTTCGAAGCGTCCCGTATAATCCACAATTATAAAAAAAATAATCAGAACAGTCAAAACAAACACGGATGAAATTCGAGATTCGCATTTCTCTGACGCTCTACGAACTAAAATTTACTGGTCGTCCTCTTCCTCTTCGTCCTCCTCCTCCTCGTCTTCGCCGCCATCCTCGTCGGCCGAGTCTTTGGATTCCTTCTCCTTCTTCTTCGGTCTGCCGCGGCCTCGACCTGCGCAGGTAAACGGCCAATTAAGCAAAGGGTGCTACTAGATTATAGCAAATTGGATATTTACCGGATTTCGGCTTGGGTTTCAACGGCGACTTCTTTTTCGTGGTGCCTTTCGGCCTGCCTCTGCCCCTTTTCGCTGGAACCACGTCCGTTTCTTTGTCGTCTTCGTCCTTCTGGTCCTAAAAGGGCGCATAGAAAAATAAGAATAGTTTCTCTTAAAACTGTCAAAATTGACATTAATGACAGAAGCTTAATAGAGGTGGGAATATTTTTAGGTATAGAGGCACAGTAACGACTGTTACAAAATAACCGTTTTTTTTATGTGAATATTTAAAAATTGTCAAATTACCTTCTTCGTTCGTTTCTTTGGCGCGTCGTTCTTCTCTACTTTCTCCTCGGTTTTTTTCTCCGCATTCGCCTTTCGGCCTCGCTTCGCCGGCACACTAACCGCGTCTTCAGACATTATATTTTATTAATCGTACCGTCGCTACCTAAAAAAACCAAAATAAATCGTGAAGATGGCGTTAGTTCCTCAATACATAATTATTGACAGATCTAGTTGACATTTCCATCCGCCTAATCGAAAATAGGCTTAATCGAATCGGGTAAGCGGTGGAAGGAAATGAGTAGAGCAACGCGCGATATCGATTTGACGCGAAATTTAAAATGTACATAAAAAATGCTACGGCAACACCCAGATATTTTTCGCAGGAATTACTCGGGAGCTGGGTTAAAACCCAGCCAAATAACAGCGGGCGAATCGCCGTACTGTCAGAGAAATTAATTTCCGACGGTGCGATTTCGATCGCGGTCGGCTGGGTCGTAAGCCGGACGGTCGCCATGCTGCGTATCGCGTTTGCTCGATTACTTTGCGAATTTAATTGGCCCGCTACGGCGGCCCGGCGGCGGCGGCAACTGTCGCGGTAAATTAGAGCGAACACGATAATATCGGCCGGTAATTTCGTCCGATGGCCAGCGGTTTCGGCTGATTTTATATAAAATCTCGAAGTGAAGTAAATAAATCGACTTACCCAAACAAACGCCACAATCTGCGACTGGTAGTTCGCTGGCGTTGCGAGCGCGGCGCTGCCGGTCGGCCCGCCAAAACGATTCGACCAATCGGAGGCGGTTTCGGGGGGGCGACGGTTTTTTTTATTATTCATTTGAATATCTTTATTGATAGATAAAATATTTATTTGCTTTTTTGTGTTTTGATATCGTTATTTCTTCGCTGTTTGATTTGGTATTACTAAAATAAATCAATACCCGCCTTCTTTGATGAGGATTCAAATTCGCGCTAATTGACATACATTGAATTTGATATTAAAAACTATTCACTGCTTCAATAATAGATTATTTCTAATTTGTTTATAGAATTTATGCGATTCTGATGTGTTTTATTTATTGTTTTACTTACATATTGAAAATTGAAACAAGCAATTACATTTATTAATTGAATAAATGGATAGTACAAGGCCATATTGGATGTGTAGTGAACTGCGACATGTGACATATAAATTGACAGCAAATGTCATTAATCATCATTTTATTTGTGTTTTGGTAGCTGCATTTTGGAATAAAATAAAAACGATCGAAAAGCATAAAAAACCGAGTTTTTCCACATTTTTTCGTTGAAATATAATGAGTGAAGTCCGCCCTAATGGTAAATATAAAAATATTGTTGAATTTCGACAGTAGATAATTCAGTTCAATTTTCCAACTTCCACGATAATTCGTCAAAAACAAACTGATTTGTTATTAATTACCTAGTGTTGTGGACAATTCCGTTAATTTGCGCAACACCAATAACTTAAAAACTACACAACTGTCAAAGTTTAATGATCTTACTATGATTGTACTATATGATCGTTTGATTGTGATTTTGCAGTAATCAAATTGGTTAAATTTCAGGCCGAAATGTCACGAGAAGACGCCAATTTGCTCGATTCGTTGGAGAAATTAGAATTGGATGTTAACACTCTGTTCAAATCGAAAACGGGCCACAACGAATCGAACCCGTTCGTTCGCAGGAAACGCTCCAAATCCCTCTCGTCCCTCACCAGCGCGCGCAAAGTGAAAACCTCCCCCTGCCCGCCGGCCAAATGTCCCGATAAGAAGAAGCGGATCCTCCGCGAACCTATACTGAAGTACCCGAAGCACTTCGGCAAACCCTGGAAGATCGGCAACCACGGCTACCTGTTCGGCGGCAAGTTCTCCAACACCAAAGACTTCAAATCGTTGATCAGAAGTTACGAACTGTTGTGCTTGCGCGACAAGAAATCGCCTCCGACGGGAGATGCAGTCGAGAAATCTAGTTTTACGCAGAGTCGCTCGATCAACGCGGATAAATGCGAGAGTTCGGTGCCCAGGTGCGTCGAAACGTGTTCGAATCAGGCGCGTTTGAACGCCCACCCGCCCTGCGACATCACCATGGACGAATTGGCTAGTTATTTCGAGACTTTTGTGCATATACCCAAGAAGATGAGCTCCATGGCCGAGATGATGTACATTTAAATTCGCTAGTTTAAGTTTAACGGTCTGTTAATATGGTAAATTATTCGTTAATCTAATAAAGAGAGTTTTGTTAGACGTACGGTTTATTTGTAAACAACACGCACGTACGTGTTTTTATTAGAGCATTTTTAGATAGCGGGAATGTACTAGTTAGGCAACCATTTTGACGCCTTGAAAAATCGGAATTTTTTGAAAATTGCGAGAATTATGTAGACTATGGAATTGTAAATTAATATTATGAAGTCAAAACGAAGTTTATATCATAATATGTTTGGAAGTTATGAAAGAAAACAGTGTTTTTTTCAAATTTACTTACAGCTCCACTTTGGCATCAACAGATGGCGCCACATTGAAAATTATGCGAAAAGCGAATTAATAGAGTTTGTGCATAATTAAATCGAATTTAAATATTAACTACAAATACCAGACGAATTTTTATTTAAAATTTCATACTAACAACCGGTACGCAGTGAATAATAAAAAAATTATAAATTATACGAATGAAAAAAAAAAACTAGATTCTATCGACTAGCGCATGCTCGCAATAACTCGAAAAATATGAGGTAAATCAAACATCACGGTGAACTTTTCCGGCGTAAAGTCTACGGAGAGTTTTCCACCCGAATCAAAACGCGCAAATTAAAAACCGCAGCGCATTTTTTGGCGGCACAAATTCGAATTACACCCAAGCCATTAAGTGTTGGGCGTGTTTTACGACCGTCGATCACGGACGTACGTCCTCGCCCACCCCTCGTTTGACATCGGCAATCTAGAAAGAGACGCACGCGGTGCACGCGCGTCTTTGATAGCCGTCGAAAGGCGTAGCCATTTTGATTTTGACGAATATTGACATACGTCTTGTCGTCTAGACAGAAACTCATTTGTTACGGAAAGAGTGACATGTAAACACTAGAAATTTTATTAAAAAATCATTTCGGGTCACATGGTGCGTTCGTTGTGCGTGTGTTTAGCGTGAATCCGACGGAATCTCGGCAGATAACGCGGGTGCCGTGTAATTTTCGCCTCTTTCGGCGTTAATTCGTGCGTTTCGAGGAAAAGATTGGCTGGTTAACCTTGCCGGGTTCGGTTCTCCCGAGTTTTTCCGTTCGTGCGATATGCGAGAAAAATCGCGGAAATATGACGGGGATTTATGAAAATATGTAAGTATGTAAGTCGATTTGTTGTCATAGCGTTTCCGAATTTTAGACGAAATCCAATCGGATTGACGTTTAGCGAAAAAATCTAGATACCCAATTTTCTTCTTCTTTTTATAAATAATTTTAGTAACTTACAATTAGCATTTTTGTATAATAAATATTATATATTTTTAATAATTGAATATTTTATTAAATATTTGAGTCACCTTTTGGCTATTTTCCGCTTTTTTCCTATTAAATTTTACATACTAATTAATAAATCTAGTTAGTCTTAGAATAAACGTCAAAATATTCGAAATGTCAATTTAATTATTCAAATGTAAAACCGATCAAGGAGTGCGAATTTTATCGTAACTTAACACGAGTGTATTATAATTTCAACGTTAAATAAAGCAAGGAAACGTGTTAAACGATTTGTCCTTGGTCATACAGCCAGGTTTTCCCCACAGGTTTCTCTTTTAATTAAATCTAGTTACCTTTGATTAAACGTCAAAAAATTCGAAATGTCAATTTAATTATTCGAATGAAAAACCGATCAAAGACTGCGTATTTTATCGTAACTTAACACGACTATATTAAAATTTCAACGTTAAATAAAGGAAAAGGAAACGTGTTAAACGATTCGCCCTTGGTCATACAGCCAGGTTTTTCCCCACAGGTCTTTTTAACACAATTTACCGCGTTATTTATCACATAGGCCGCGCGCAAACAGCGCTCCATTTAACGTAAGAGTGTCGAAAAAAACATTTTTTCTCAATATTCAATTAAAAATTCGAAACGAATTTTAACCGGCCGATGGTAAACATAACGATAAACGCGCCGGTAATGCGTTTCAATAACGTTACCGGTACGTAATTGGCGCTAATTGATAGGTAGTTGAGGATAATAACTTCATAATAGGACGAGGAAGTTAAGTGCACTTACTTATACAGTTTCTACGTTTAATGCTAATAAAATGCAAACTCGAATGCGATATTGGTATTTTTATAATAGTAGGCTGTGCTTGTTCGCTTTACTAATAAACACTATAAACAGTTATTGTTTATCTTTTTAATTTAACGAGGTACTCGCGCCGCGAATTTGTTGTGTTTTATGTTTATTCTCTTATTGCCAGTCGCGTCTTGTACTAGGTGCTCGTAAATAATAATTGGTAATTAAGTTGAATAAGTATTCATTCCGTTCGAATTTGACGTTTCTGTGACATATTCCAGGTAACTAGACTAACGTAACGATCAAGGTCGCTAAAGCGAGAGGTTTGCTCACCTCGGTACGTCAATGACGTCACGAGAGGTTTGAAATTTTGATATTTTCGAAATGGTTAAATTGCGCCCGGAAGCCTCTGGATTAATCAATTTTAATAATTAAAAAAAATGGTAAATTAGGCGTTTTGGTGTAAAATAATAATTATATTTGGTGAATAATTTTTCGAAAAAAAAACCGGGCCGCGCGCCGCTGCGTTTTTTTCGTTTCCGACGTGTTTCGTGTTTTCTTTTCGAATCGGACTCTCCTCTCTTGTCTTTGTGTACATGTCTAAAATGTTTATCGCTCGCTTATCCATAATTTGAATATAAAGTGAAATATAGTGCTTTACGGATTCCGCATTAAACGTATATTATTCCCTTCCTTTCTCCATATACTTTTGAAAAATTTTACGTTGTCTCGTTTCCGCTCCTTTTTTTCCCAGAAACTGGAGGTGTATTGCTACAAACGCAAGTCTAACAGGGTGTATCACTTTTATTACTCCTCGTGTACGAGGGAAGGGTGAAAAGTTCTGGTGCTGAATCATTTAGAACTGTCTACAACAATCTAGAACCCTTCAGAACCAATTAGAATGCTCCAGAATCATTTATAACGCTCCATAGTAATTTAGAATGCTCTAGAATCATTCAGAACTGTCTAAAACCATTTATACAGAACGTTTCAGAATCATTTAGAACTCTTCATAGATATTTAGATTGCTCCAGAATCATTTAGAACGCTATAGAATCATTCAGAACTATCTAAAACCATTTAGAACTCTTCAGTTTCATTTAGAACTCTCCAATAGACATTTAGATTGCTCCAGAATCATTAAGAACTGAGTACATAGAACCATTAAGAACGCTCCAGAATCTTTTAGAACCGTCTCGAACTAAATATTTTGACTTAATTAATAGGAATAGAGTAATTATTCGATTGAAAATAGCGGTCTTTCATTGTCAGACCGAGAACTTTTCACCTTACCCTCGTACATTAACGCAGAAATATATACAGAGGGTGTTGCGTTTAAAACTGTAAAACTTGTGACCAACCCTGTATATCCGATTCCGTAACTTCTACACTTGCATATATTTCTCGATTCGTTTTTATTATTGTGAAGCGTGACGTTGGATACAAACGATGTTAAAATAGATGAAAAATATCCTTCCAGCCATGCGGATCGCCAGACTTGACATCCATCGATTTTATTTACTGGCTGCGCTGTATGTTGAAATATGGAAAGGTTGGCATTTTCCTGGACAGGCGAAGGGCGAAATTTAATAAGGTCAGGAAAATTTCCGCGTATATACGGGGCGAATTAAAATGGCCCTTTCCCGTTTATTCTGCAGCCATTACTATAAGATGCCGTGGATTCGATTAAATTAGTTAAATTAGTGAAGAGTCCGGTCCCGGAAAACCTTGGAGGAAACCGGGGAAACTGCATAGAGACGCGAACTCTCGACGGGAAGTGCGCCTCGGAAAACTCCAGTCGATTTTCCGAGACTCTCGATGAAAAAAAGAAATAGAATTTTCGCAAAATTCATTCGAAACTTATTGACCAGAAATACATCTGCTATTATATTCATATTTTGTTATTTGTCGTGGAAAAAGTTCAGTAACGTACTCTTCACGCATTGCCCTGTTCATGTTTATACAGGGTGACCCGTTGAAAAGGGAACAGATGTTTTCCCGGTAGAAAAAGTTGATTTTTGGAAAATCGATCGGACACAGAGGTCAATTTTTTATATCGACCGGGCAGGAGCAACCCCAATCCTTAAAAATTGTCAAATAAAAACTTTTTTACAATCATTATAAAATGATTGCGCGAAAAATATGTTTTATGCATTTTTATAGTAAACTATTGCCCCGAAACTCCCCGCGCATTTCCGATTTCTCCGCTACCATATAAAATGGAATACATCCAGAGCTCTCCGACTAATCCCTCCTGCATTGTAATATCTTTCCAGAACGTTTGCCGTCTTCTTTTAACCTCTTTCCCGCTGGATCCCGTCCAGGTCCGTACCGGCATCGATTTGTCGATGAAATAACAGTTTTCGATAGGATTTACAATAGTCTCTATTTCGGTTTTTTTTGACATATGACATATGTCAATATAAAAAAAATCGATTTCATCTCTTTTTTCCCTGAAATTGTCCGGCCATTCTGTCAGATTTGACAGGTTCGTTCGATAAATGACATACGTTAATATTTGTGACATCGAGTCTGTCAACTGTCAAATCGTTTACGTGAATAAACGCCACAATTCGCGTTTCATCTAACGAGCGAAACGGAAAATAAAAAGGGTTGCGTTAATTTATTCTTCTCGTTCTCGTTTCTTATATCCTTATATATATATATCCTGCTCTCGCATCGAGACGGCGGCGGGTCTGGTCTGGTCTGGTCTGGTCTGGTGCGGGTTATCCAGCTAGCGTATAATGGAAGCGCCGCTCGCGCCCCCCGATATGTTTAATTCATCCCGTCCAGGGAGGGAAACACAATTATTGTAGTCTTGAATCTCTCCCCCGGTGACACTTGTTCATAATGACTGCACGCCTCGCCCTATCTTTCGCTCGGGAACTTAGTTCGTGGGCCATCGCCATTTTTATCACCATCCATGGCCCGCTCGAACGCGTTTTTGACATGTTGGCATGTTTGACAGTTGACGGTTGTGACAGTTTGTTCTTTTCATGACAACTGACGTGTTTGACAGGTAAATTTAATCGGGTGGGGGGTTGAGTGTTGCGAATGATTTTTCTCGGTTTGGAAGATTTTTCGGGCGAAGACGCCGCTGCGGGGACGGCGTGCGGACGTCGGCGTCGTGACGCGACCGCCCGCCGACTGTTCTTTTATTAATTTTAACCAAATATTGCTTGGACCAGCTGTTTTTTATCTTTGAAAAACGACCCGGGGATCTTTCTTATTTAAGATTTGCACATCGGGCGCTCGTTCGCCCGGAAACCTTTTGCGGCGTTGCCGAATTTCTTGTATCCAATCAAACGTATCATTAATAATAATTTGTGGTAACATTGGTTAGAGTAACATTGGTTAGAGTGAGAAAGTTGCAATGACATAATAGTATTTCTTTTTCCTTTATAAGTGTCTATTGATGGAAGTTGTCTTTGTTGCACCCATAGCCCACTTATATTGCGAACTAAAATGCATCAATCTGTATGTATGAGTTTCTCAAGTATAACTACGATATTTGTTCATTTTATATGATTTTATCAAGGATCACTATGATAATTGTTCATTTTTATATGAATTTCTCAAGTAAAACTACGATATTTATTCATTTTATATGATTTTATCAAGGATCACTATGATAATTGTTCATTTTTATATGAATTTCTCAAGTATAATTACGATATTTGTTCATTTTATATGATTTTGTAAAGGATCACTATGATAATTGTTCATTTTTATATGAATTTCTCAAGTATAACTACGATATTTGTTAATTTTATATGATTTTGCAAGGATCAACCGCGATTTGTGCATTAATTCTTCCACAAATTTCGCATCGGATCACTATGATGTTAGTTATATAATATTATTTCGTCATCGCAGGTGAATGAGAAAATCATGGAGTGCGGCGTCCAGAGCGCAATGCTGAGTGTACCGCCCGAAACGGGCGTACAGCAGCCGTTGCCCGCCGTCTATTCGCCCACCGACGCCGATCAAGCACAATTCGAGGCCGACAAAAGGGCCGTATACAAGTAAGTAACCTGTGACGTCATCCGTCGGTTAGCCTGAATGCACTATATGCATTAATTCTTTAACGTAAACAATGTCCCTAGTTACTCCATAGCAACCAATGTAAATCTGTCAAGATGGAAGAATCTCCTTGGTTACTCGATAACAACCAATGTAAAGCTGTCAATTTAAACAATGCGTCCTTAGTTACTTCATAACAACAATGTAAATCTGTCAAATTGGAAGAATCTCCTTAGATACTCCATAACAACCAATGTAAAACTGTCAAATTGGAAGAATCTCCTTGGTTACTCCATAACAACCAATGTAAAACTGTCAATTTAAACAATGCGTCCTTACTTACTCTATAACAACAATGTAAAACTGTCAAATTGGAAGAATCTCCTTGGTTACTTTATAACAACCAATGTAAAACTGTCAATTTAAACAATGCGTCCTTAGTTACTCCGTAACAACCAATGTAAATCTGTCAATTTGAAAGAATCTCCTTAGTTACTCCATAACAATCAATGTAAAACTGTCAAATTGAAAGAATCTCCTTAGTTACTTCATAACAATCAATGTAAAACAGTCAAATTGAAAGAATCTCCTTGGTTACTCGATAACAACCAATGTAAAACTGTCAATTTGAAAGAATCTCCTTAGTTACTACATAACAACAATTGTAAAACTGTCTAATGAAAGAATCTCCTTAGTTACTCCATAACAACAATGTAAAACTGTCATTTTGAAAGAATCTCCTTAGTTACTTCATAACAGCAATGTAAAACTGTCAATTTGAAAGAATCTCCTTAATTACACCATAACAACCAATGTAAAACTGCCAATTTTAAGAATCTAACCTATAAGCTGTGTTCAAAACGGCCCCCACCACACCGGCCTCTGTACCTTTCTAGCCCAACACCCTGTTAGATATATGAACAAATAATAAAAATCGAATAATTTTGGTACTTATGGCATATTCCAGACATCCGCTGTTCCCTTTGCTGGCCCTTTTGTTCGAAAGATGCGAACTGGCCACCCAGTCGCCGGATCCCCAATCGAGCGAGGCCTTCAATTTGGACATACAGGCCTTCGTGCAGCACCAGGAGCGCGACAGGAAGCCCTTTTTGGCCAACGAACCCGAAATAGATGGACTGGTGAGTACCCTGTACCCGCAGCTAATTGGTTTAATCGATTAATTTATACATACAAGGGTAAGGTGAAGAGTTCTCTCTGAATTAGTCTTATTAATTAAGTCAAAATCTGTAGTTCAAGACGGTTCTGAATGATACTGGAGCGTTGTAAATGGTTCTAGATAGTTCTAAAAGGTTTTAGACAGTTCTAAATGGTTCTAAACAGTCACAACGTGATTCTCGAACGTTTCAAACGGTTCTAAACAGTTCCTAATGATTCTAGAATGTTCTAAACGGTTCTAAACAGTCACAACGTGATTCTCAAACTTTTCAAACGGTTCTAAACCGTTCCTAATGATTCTGGTACTGTTCTAAACTGTTCTATATACGATTCTAGAGCACCCTCAGTGTAGAGAACTTTTCATCCTACCCTCGTAAATGCTTTTTTACGTGCAATTGCATTGGAATGTTCGTTAATTAATCGACGTTCGTTTCTACATTTTCAGATGATAAAAGCAATACAAGTGTTACGGATACATTTATTAGAATTAGAAAAAGTGCAGGAATTATGTAAGGACTTCTGTAATAGGTACATCACTTGTTTGAAAGGGAAAATGCAATCGGAAAATTTACTTAGATCCGACTATCCGCAAGGTAAATTATTACATTTATAATATCCGCCATTTTGTTGTACCTACTCTCGTTGACAAAATGGCCGACTTACGCCATTCTTAGGGGTTCGTAATATGCGTTTGTTTTTTTAGACGTTTTAGGTAATAGTTTGATGAACAACATGGAGAACAACAACAACAACAACATGTTGTCGCACGGGAATTCGGAGAGCGGTTCGGCGTCGAATAGTCCCGTACAATACTCCATTAGTCCACCTCAACAAGTGAGTTTTATTTATTTATTATTTATTTTATTAGTGGTGTAATGTTTGCCGGAGGATGTGCGATGGAGAAAACGGGTAGCTTGAGCAAACGTTTGCAGAACATAAAAAGTTTTACCGTATGTAGGATAGCTTTTGTTGTTTGCTTTTTGATTAGGATCCCTTTGATTAGTCGGCGTGTTCGATGAGTCGTTGATCTTGGAAGTGTTACGCGTATCATGTGGGTAAAAGTAAAATATTCTTTATACAGGTTGCTCCATTTTGATCGCAACATAGGTTATACAGTGAGGACCAAAAGTCCGTCGCTCCCCATATTGTAGTACTCCCCAAAACTAGTAGAATTTAAATAAAATTAAAAAAATCCCTATCGAAATCTAATGACATAACAATACCATTGAAAAAACCCCCAAATCTAGCTCTATTCCACCAAAAATTGCCAACATTTTACTCATCAAAACGGCGCATTTCAAGGTGCTCCCGACGCCCGCCATGCTCGACCGCCCCGTCGACGCCGCCGCCACCGCCGCCTACGTCATACCCTTCGGCGCCGGCGGCGCCCCGACGCCTCCTCTGGCGGCCGTCCAACCGCCGGCGCCGCCCGAGAACCTCATCGTGCACGGCTCGACGCCGCTCGGCCAGATCGGCGCCAACATAGCCGCCGGGGCGACGACGCCCGGCGACGTGGGCGGCGTCGGGCCGCTGTCGCCGGCGCCGACGACGCCCGGCGGCTCCGCCGACGACTGTGATAGCGATTTCAACACGAGAGGCGGCAGGAAACAGAAGCGCGGCGTGTTGCCCAAACACGCCACCAGCGTGATGAGGTCGTGGCTGTTCCAGCACCTTGTGGTGAGTTGAGATCGGTTTTTAAAAGGTTCAATTGAAGCGAAATTGAGAAGTTAAATTGGGGCTGTTATGAAGCTAAGTTGAGAGGATAAATTGGCGCTAATTTAATGTTATAATGAAGCTAAAAATTGATCCCGTTTTTCCAGCACCCCTACCCCACGGAGGACGAGAAACGCCACATAGCCGCCCAGACCAACCTGACCTTGCTCCAGGTGAACAATTGGTTCATAAACGCGCGCCGGCGCATCCTCCAGCCCATGCTCGACGCCACGACGCCGCCGGACGCCAACAGCGCCGCCGGCTCGCCCGGCCACAAGAAGAAGAATAAGAGCCACAACAACAACAGGCGCTTCTGGCCGCAGGACTTCGCCAACATGCCCGCCCAATTGGACACCAGTAACTATCTTTCTTATTCATTTTTCGTTAATTATCTCGCGCGCTGCGCGAGCTTGCGCTACACCGTGCTCGGTTTCTTGTTCCAGGTATATTGTCGAGCAGCGAGGACGAGGGGGATTCGTACAGCAGCGACGGGGACGAGGGGAGCTTGGTGATCGACGCGCCTGCGCAGAGCGGCGGCGGCGGCGGCGACGTCGGGAGGCAGAACGGCCATCAGGCGGAGGTGTTGGGATACCACGATAGCCCCGAAGAAGAAGGCCACTGAGGGGATTTCGCGTTCCATAGCGGTAACTTGGTTCTGTCGTTGTTGGTAGAGAGTAGAGGGTTTTCGGACTAATATCGTGGTTTTCTGAACGGTTCTCAGTAGTACTGGGGCGTTCTAGAATGTTCTGGATGGTTCTCATTTGTCCTGAAGCGTTCTAGATTGTTTCGGTCAGTTCTCAGTTGACCTGAGGCATTCTAAACTGTTCTGGACAGTTTTACATAATCCTGAAGCATTCTAAATTGTTCTAAACATTTGCAATATGTCCTGAAGCATTCCAAACAGTTCTGGACGGTTATCAGTTGGCCTAAAGCATTTTCAACTGTTCTGGACAGTTTTACATAATCCTGAAGCATTCTAAATTGTTCTAAACAGTAGAAATATGTCCTGAACCATACTTCTTAGTCCACCTAAAGCATTCTAAATTGTTCCGGACAGTTCTCAGTTGATCTAAAGGATTCTAAATTGTTCTGGGCAATTCTTAGTTGACCTAAAGCATTCTAAATTGTTCTGGACAGTTTTCAGTTAATCTAAAGGATTCTAAATTGTTCTGGTCAGTTCTAAATCATCATAAAGCATTCTAAATTGTTGCAAAAAGGTTATAATATGTCCTGAAGCATTTTAAATTGTTCTGCACAGTTCTCATTTGTCCTGAAGCGTTCTAAATTGTTATGAACAGTTCTAAATCAACCCGAATCATTTTAAATTGTCCTGATCAGTTCCAAATCGTCCTGAAGCGTTCTAAATTATTCTAGACAGTTTTCAGTTGACCAAAAGCATTCTAAATTGTTCTAAACAGTTACAATATCTCCTGGAGCATTCTAAATTATTCTACATATTCTCAGTTGACCTAAAGCATTTTAAATTGTTCTGGACAGTTCGCATTTGTCCTGAAGCGTTTCAAATTGTTCTGGAGAGGTAGAACATCAATAAACACGATATTACTAGCAACTTACACTTTAATATTTGGTCTTTTCGAATGGCTTAATCGAACATAATCGTTTTCTGTTTTCAGATAAGCTTCTAGGCCGGACGTCTTCGGTCATCTGACTCGTTTGGATTCATTTTGCACAGGTAAATTTCTCGAGAGTCAATTCGTAGATCATTCGAATTGAATGCAAACGATCTACGCGTGTGTTTTTTTAATATATTATAAAAAAAGGCTGATTTAGATCGTACGATGTTGTTCTGTTGCGTTGAGATTGTTTGTTTCTTTTGTTGTTTATATCGAAAAAAAAACCGAAACCAGTATACGTAATATATACCTCAGAAAAGTACGCGATTTAGCCGGATTTTCATGTATACGCAAAATTACAAGCTCATTTCAGTATTAATATTAACGAAGAACCGTAATTTATCGATTAATGTAAGTGTTTCTATTTCTAAAAAAAAAATCTGTTGAATGTTGATTTTTTTCGAACGGGCAGTAAGATTTTGGTAAATTCGCGCTGTACCATCGAGTACAATTAAAAAGTATACTATTTGGAACTTATATACGTAATTATATACAATAAATAGCGTAAGAGAAACCAGAAGAGACGTTTCCATCCAAACAAAAAAAATTTAATATATTTAAGAGTTTGTTATTGTAGATCTGTAATTTTTCGACTATTCCCCTTCGATTTATTGTCGTAGCCGCGCCGGCCGAGGCGGTATCGCCATTGAAACGCTCAAATATATTTACCAAAGTTTATTTTATGGGAAATAATCGACGCCAAATATCGATGTACCAAGTTTTATCGGGCGCACCGAAACTCCCCGCCGAATGTGGGACTTTAAGATGCGTATGATGATACGTTAATGTCAAAATTTCGTTTGATAGAGGAGGATATAAATTTTTTTGGTGTAGAGGTGAAGTAACAATTGTTACAAAATAACCGTGGTTTTTCATATATTTCATTCTTCTGATTCTACTCTATTCCTACTCTAATGTATGTTAAATGAGTTTTTTTTGTAAATAAATGCGACTTTAATATGCGTTCGATGATATATGAACAAAAACTCAACATTGACATTAATGACGTTTCGTATGACAAAAAATGAATAGAGATGGAAATGAATTTTTTCGTGTAAAGGTGCAGTAACCACTGTTACAAAATAAGTGTTATTTTTCCAAATGTTCTCCTGATTACCAAATTCTACTCTATACGCTATTCTATTTTACTCAATTCTACTCTTCTCTATGATAAATTACTAAACTCTTTTGCATTGTTCGCGAATAAGTGTGAATTTAACAAACAAAATTGACATTAATGACGTTTCGTATGCCAGAAGTTTAATAGAGGTGGGAGTCGATTATTCGGTATAGAGGTGCAGTAACGACCGTTACGAAATAACTGTTATTTTTCGGCGTGGAATTCCGGTGCACCGGTTTTATCTGTTCATACCTCAGCCTGATTTTCGTCCGATATCGCGCCGGCCGTCGATTTTCTTCTCTAATGTATACGTAAACCTTTTAAAGAAACCGATGTATATATACAATGTTTTTTAGTTATCGTCGAATTGCTGTAGTGCGTTTTCAATTTTTTTGATTGAAATGTGTAGAGGTGCGATCCGAAAGATGCCGCGCGCGAATAATCGAGTAGTACTAGACGCGGACGTCGGGGCATTTTTCGGATTAATCAAGTCGAAAAAACGCTTGGGAATATTACAAACGCTTTTATTTTGATAAATCCGATCGGATTCCATGAAATTCTATGTGATATATCGGAGCGTTCGTCGGGCAACTGGCGTTTTTTCGACGCGAATATGTTACAATTTAAGTTGCTATGTCGGTCTGTGATAAATTTAACGATTGCTCGAAAAGTCATTACAAAATAAAAGAAGCAGTAGAAAGTAAAAAAAAATTAACGCTCGCAAGTACCGTCGACGAGACGGTACTCGCGAGTCGAGGCTTGAATTTCGAAACTATATATGTATTTTAAGCATATTGGTGCTTCTTATGACTATATGTATACGCTGAATACTCAGTTAATTAGACGTTAAGGATTTACCGTTTAAGATATGACAATTGTAGTATTAACGAAAAAAAAAGAAAATTAGGTTTTTTGCCTTTGTAATTGATACTTTGCGTCGCAATCGGAGATCGGGTGGTTTCTTCAAAAGTGCCATCTTAATTTTTAAGAGTGAAATAACGTCGCAAATTCGTTGCAGATTAATTTATTGGCTCATTTTTAGGAACAATGGAGAGTACTTTTTTTATTTTTTTTTTTTTTCATAAAACTACATCTTATGAAATCATTAGTGAAATTTTTAATAAAATTTAACAACCTTACAAACATAACGTTAATAATTACATATTGAAACGTAATTAATTCCTTAATTATTCAACAGAAATTACCTTAAATTGTGCGACAATTTCATTTATTTATCATACATTCCTCGAAACGCCTGGACTTCCGAATGCGATCGATAAATTTCCGAAAAACCCGATCCCGTTTCCGTCGAAATCGTTTAGTTTCCATCGTTCGCGTATTATTTTTTTATCGGAATGTTGTGTTTTTGCTGTGATTCTTTTTTATATAGTAGTATAATTAATAATAATATAGCGGAAGCGGGACCTCGATTTTTCGATTCGAAATGCGGATATTTTTTATTAAATCGCAATATTTGTTAGTAAGCTAAGTGTATTTTGATTGTATCGATTAAATCAGAAACTTGATAGATCTCTCTTCGGCCCTTAATTTATAAGTATAAACTAAAACAACCCTCATTATGAGTAAAATTAACAAAATTTACTTACATACTAACATAAATACTGTTACTGGTATTATAATAATCTTATAATTAACTTTTAAAGTCTATGTATGTATACGGGGTGTTCCAAAATGACATTCTAGTATTTAAGGAGGCGACTTCTTACACACCCCCATTAAATATTAGCATGTCATTTTGGAACACCCTGTATAGAGAGTAATCTGAGGAATGTTCTTATTCGAAAAAAATCCACCAAAATTCTACCAATCCAATTCTTCCGGTAAACCACCCGGATAATCGCCGGTCAAACAAGCCGTACAATGTCCAGGTTTAACGGCCGGTTTGATTTCTTTATGTACCGCCTTAACCAAACCGTTCACGCTCAAATATTCGATACTATCGGCATCTAAAACAACATCAACCATCAAACAACCATTTTACGAGCAATCCAAAGTACTAACCGACTATCTTTGCAAACTCTCGAGTATCCTTCAATTTGTTCATGATCAATTCGCTCCTCGTCGGTATATTGATTCCCATGAAACAGGGATACTTCAACGGCGGACTGGCCACTCGTATGTGAATTTCCTTGGCCCCCGCCCGCCTCAGCAGCTTTATAATGGGCCCCACGGTGTTACCGCGCACGATCGAATCGTCTATCAGTATTATCCTTTTGCCCGACACGTTCCTCAATATAGGACCTGCGTACGATTCAATTAATAACACTCCATCGTTCCAAATGGATATAATCGACTCACTGAACTTCAACGACACGTTCATCTGCCGCAATCTGTTGTTCGGCTGGATGAAGGTCCTTCCGACGTAGCTGTTCTTCGTCAACAGCTCCCCCAACGGTATACCCGACTGAAAAAAAAAACCAGCAATCGTAAGTAATTAGCATCGCTTTAGGCTCAATGAAATCATCGCACTTGTGTTGAATAACCGAAGGCCGCCGCGTTACCGGATTCCGGTATCGAACCGACCACGTCCGCCTCGACCGGATGGTCCACGGCCAATTGCATTCCGCAATGCACCCGCACCGAGTACACCTCTTGCCCCTCGAACTGGCTGTTGGGCCGAGCGAAATACACGTATTCGAATATGCAGAACGCCAGATGGTTGTTTTCCGGCGGCGGTACGATGTCGATCGTTCGGACGCCTTTGTTCGTCATCTCGACTATCTCCCCGGGCAATACTTCCCTCAAATATCGAGTCATCTAAAATGATTAGGTCGAATTGTAATTGTTCAACAAGTGGCTGGATGCTTACTAGCATGAAGGCGCACGATTCGGACGATACGACCCAACCTTCCGGTCGGTAACCGTTGATTTCGTTACTGATAGCTAGAAAAAAAAACACAAAAACCGATTAACGAATCGATCGACTGACAAAACAAATTCGCTACTGACGATCGTGATCCGATGGTAGAATGATGCCCAAGCACAACGGCCTGTTACCGTACGGATCTCTCACGGCGTATATCCTGTCTTTGAGCATCAGGCACAGCGAGTAGCTCAACGGGGCGAGGCGCATGAGGTGTTTGATGCGCGCCGGCCAGTCCGGCCCGTTCACCTCGCCGTCGGGCGGGATCAGGCACAGCGCTTGCGTGATCAATTCGCTGTCCGAGTGCGTCGACAGCCCCACGCCTCTGGCCAGCACCTGCAAACCGAAAGGTAGATTCGATGCGATCGAACAGGCCGCTCTTGGAGCACCTGTCTGCGCAGCGCGGCGGCGTTGACGAGCTCGCCGTTGTGCGCGACCGCCAGGGCGCCGTGCATGGAGTGCACCACGAACGGCTGGCAGTTGATCTGCTCGGATTTGGCGCTCGTGGAGTACCTCGTGTGGCCTGCGAATGGATAGCCGAATTAGTTTGACTGGAATCGAGGCGATTTAAACACCGTTCTACCTATTCCGAGGGAGCCTTTTAGTTTGGAGATGCCGTCGTTGGTGAACACGTGCTTCACCAGGCCCATGCCCTTGTGGTAGTGATAGTCGTTGGTGCCCTCGCTCACCACGATTCCCGTGGATTCTTGTCCTCTGAAAGTTACCGGTCGAATTTACCGATGCGCTATGGGGGTTGTGGCGATCGTTTTAAAGTCTATTCACCTGTGTTGTAGCGCCTCGAGGCCGATGCAAATGAATTGGGCGATTTCCGAATTGTTCGACCAGTTTTCGTTGCCGATGGCGCCGAACACGCCGCACTCGTGCGTTAAACCTGTCGGCGCTTCGCCCCTTTTCTCCCGTCTGTTTCTCCATTCTACGCTCTCCTCGGTGTTGTCCATGTTTTATGTTAATTCGATTTTGAATTCGAATTTTATCAACAACGTGGTGTGCAGTGCATGCACTTTTTTATAACGGACCTGTCATATACGTCAATCGAATGACAAAATGACATTGACACGCGCTAATTACAGGAATCGACTCCAATGTTGCCGGTTGTTAACATTAATACAAATTTTTAATAAAAGAAAAACGTTATATTATTCTATTCTTACACATGTAAAGTTTATATGTACAATTAGACGTATTGATCACTATTATATTAAAAACGAATTGCTTACACAGCGGATTGACGATAGTTTTTGGTACTAATGATTTTTTTTCCACACATTGCACATATCCCTTTCTTGTAAGCGCAGGCTTGGCAATAGTGCGAGCCGATTTGATGAACTTTCTGCCTACAAATTCTAAAAAAAAACAAGATGTAATATCCAATTACTCGAAACACTAATGCGAATATTTACCTGCAAGTTTCGAATTTCGTCGTGTAAGGATTGAACCTGTTTTTACTGGCGGTGAGAGCTTTGTTTTCGTTGACCTTTCGCCCGCCCGATTCCGTCGTATTTCGGGCCCCGCTTTTCCACGGGTCCGGCGTGATGACTTTCCCGCATTTCTTTTGACAACTATCGCAAACCATTTTCGATTTGAAATGATTTTCTAACGCAAATTAACGCACCTACCCTGTTGTTTACTGTTTACAATTTACAACTGATTTTTGACTTTTGACATTTGACGTTTGAGTTCTACTCTACTTCTTATGAAATTAATGGCCTCAGCTAGTTGGATTGTTCGGGCACTTACATCGGTTCATGGTAAAAAAAAAGAAGTAGATTATGAAGTGAGCAGTGGTTTGATTTGAAAGTCGGCTTTGTTTGGAATACTAATTTAATTGTAAATTCTGTTTACTTTAATTATTTGTGTAGATTTTGTGTTGTATTTAATCATTACAATGGCCGCTAAATATTGGGGTGAAATAGTCGTTAACAAATCCAACGAAACAGTTCCGGATGTAAAGGCAGAAATCGAGAAATCCATGGATAGCAACTGTTTATCAGAATATGCCGAATATAGCGACGAAGAACGATTAGAAGATATCAAGTAAATACAATTTACGACACATCTACAACATTTATTTACAATTTATATATATATTTTTTTCAGGTTAGGTCCTTTAGATCCTTTCATAACCTACGCAGTATCCTTACACAAATACGCCGGCAACTTGAAGAGTCTCATAGACGAAGTAGAGAGCAATACAGATCAGAATTTCGTAGCCCCGGCGGCGCCTCCTTTGCCCGAATCTCCGGATATTCGCATCAAGCACAAGCCCGTTTGTTTGAATTTCATCCCGAAAGATTCAACGTAGGTACAATCTAACAGTCCCGATTACAACAAATCGACGGCCATTTTGTTTTCTGTTTCAGCCTACTAGATAAATGCGAATCGAAAACGCCCGAATTAAACGAGACGGTCGTTAAAAAACTCTCAACGAAATGCATTGCCGTGATGTTCGCTCACATCGGATTCGCTAGTAATTGCTCATATTTATTCGTAATTTTAATTACTTATTGCGGCATTAATGTTGTAGCTACGCATCAAAGTGTGCTGGATTTAATGACAGATGTGTTGGATTCGTTTATGCAGAAATTCTGCGGCAAAATCGCTAGAGCCTTGGATGATGGAGATTCAACTAAATTCACAGTAAGAATCGTTTAACTCTGTACGAGTGCAACAAAAGACATCCATTGGGATTGCAATTATTTCACTCTAACCCACTGTTATTCGAATGATCTTTCTTTGTTCAACTCGTATAGGGAAAATTGTACTGTTGTATAGAGATGGGCGTTACTACAAGTAACGGTTATTTTATCGCTTATTAGCATGTGTTTCTTTTTGTAGAATATCATGGAGGCGGTTCTGATAGATATGGGTATCGGAGGTGCGAAAGATTTACACGATTACTACCAGAACAGAGTGGTGAATTACGCGGAAACGTTAAGGAAACGGTGCCAGAAGTTACACGATAAATACTCATCCGTTTCCTCGCCAGCGGGCCTGTCATCGGTTAAATTCGAAAAGTACTCGTGTACAATTGAATACAAAGTTCGCGAATAACGTGAATTTATTTCCAGCGTGGTCAGAGTAAAAGTGGAAGGCGATGCTGACGCGAAAGAGGCCGATAATTTGAACTACCATTGCGTGACGTTCGATAGCAATCCGTCCGTGTTGGAAACCGGTCTGCAGTTGCTGCAACATCTAGAAGCCGGCGAAGAGTAAGCGCTTTTTAGACGTTAATATACGGGGTGTCCAGAAAATAGCCGTCAATAATTCGGGGGGAGGGGGGTATAGATGACGTCCAAAAAGTTAATTTTATCGACTTCCAATGTACAAGAGTACATTTTTGTTAGTTTATCGATTAAGAAATGTATTTACGATATGTTAGCGTTATACAGATTGTTCCCATAAAAATTACCAATTTGTTAATTACTGGCAACACGCCGCCACTGTATTATAGGAAGTGGTGTAGAATCATTAGGACCCTTTAGAACCATTTAGAACGCTCCAGAATCATTTAGAATAGTCTAGAATAAGCCAGAAGGTTCCAGAATCATTTAGCAGTGTCTAGAATCTTTTAGAATTGTCTAGCTAGGACCATATAGAACGCTTCAGGGTCATTTAGAATCGTCCAGAACCATTTAGAATTGTCTAGCTAAAACCATTTAAAACGCTCCACAATCATTTAGAGCCAAGTTTTCATCTTTAAAGGCCTCTAGCTCAAAAACGGGGCCTCAAATGAACAAAATTTATACGAAGTTATACCTTTATTTTGATGTCATCTATATACCTACGCTCCCGAATTATCGACATCCATTTTCTGGACATCCTGTATATTTTTTTACGCGAATTTTAAATGAAATTGCGCGCGTATTTTGCAAATTGTGCACACAAACAAGTAATTTTATTGTATCGTTTCAGTTTAGAAACAGCGTGAATATCGTACAGCAACTTTTTTTATCTCCCCCCCACCGCCCTTTCATCCCTATTCCTTCGTTTACACGTATCTTCAACGCCAAAAATTTCAAAAAAAAAAAACAACTCAAAAATCATTTCATCGCTCCGAAACTACCGCTCGCGCATACAGAAAAAAAAATCCGCCCCGTTTCCCGCGCTCCTACGCCCCGCTCGCCCCCTCCGCGTTTCCTCGACCACCTCGAACGCCCCCTAGCGGCGCGATTCCCGAACCGCCGCCGTCCGCCCGCCCGCCCCCGCCGACCGGCGCCCTCTCGACTCGAAGCCGCCGCCGCTCGCCAGTCAACGCGCCGCCATCGGGCCGACCCGTGGTGCACGACGACGCTGACCTAGCGCGCTGAACGAAAGAGTAAGAGTAAGAGAGAAAGAGAAAGAGAGAGAGAGACCTGGTGCATCGGCGACGGCGCCGTCGATCCAGGACCTGGTGCACGTGTATAGAGATGCGACGGGCCACCCGGTGCCCGGGGGGATTCGTTCCGGAAGACCTGCGGTAGAGGTATCTGGTAGAGTATAGAGACCCCGGTGCATTTGGAACTAATTCGGAGAGACCTGGTGCAGTACAAGGGACCCGGTGCATTACAGAGACCTGGTGCATTACAGAGACCTGGTACAGAACGGAGACCTGGTGCAATATAGGGACCTTTGGGTGTGAGGAAAAAAGCGAGTGAGCGTCGCGATGCGACCGTCGACGGCCGTCGGGACGGCGGTGCGAGCGTGGTGGTTGTCGGCGGTGGTGGTGCACGTCGCCGTCGCCGGTAATCCGGACGCGAAGCGTCTCTACGACGATCTGCTGTCGAACTACAACAAGCTAGTGAGGCCCGTCGTCAATACGTCGGACGTGCTCAGGGTGTGCATCAAGTTGAAACTGAGCCAGCTCATCGACGTGGTGAGTACTATTTATTTATCATCATCATCATTTTTTATCATTATCATCATCATTATCATAATTTTTTATCGTCATCATCATCATCATTACAATACAAGGGTAATGTGAAGAGTTCTCGGTCTGACAATGAAAGACCGGCGATTTTCCGTTGAAAAATTACATTGTTTTGCATATTATATCGAAATATTTAGTTCGAGGCAGTTCTAAATGATTCTGGAGGCGTTCTAATAGGTTCTATACAGTTCTAACTGATTCTGGAGCGTTCTAAATACTTTTAGTAGGTTCGAAATGGTTCCTGGAACGTTCTAATTGATTCTGGTTACGTTCAAAATGGTTCTGGAGCGTTATGATTATTTTTTTGCAGCGTTCTAAATGTTTTTAGACTGTTCTAAATGATTCTAGACAGTTCTAAATGATTCTAGACAGTTTTGAATGATTCTAAAGCGTTCTAAATGATTCTGAACAGTACTAAATGGTTCTGAAGGGTTTTGAATGGTTTTAGTTCTGAATGATTCTGGAGTGTTCTAAATGACTATTGGGCGTTCTAAATGTTCTAAAACCTCATGTTTTTGTGATTTAATTATAAGCTCATTAAAGGGGCTACTTTTCATTGGGACACCCTGTATGTGACCAATTAGGATTATAATTGTGATATATTAATTTGAGTTGTATATGCGCGATTTAGAACAAACAAAAAGTTCTATTATTCATTGTATTGTGTGACGTTTACATGGAAATTTAGAAGTTTGGAACGGGAAATAGGGCGAATGCATGGCCCTCTATGGACTGTCAGGGCTAATTAAAGTTTTAATTGTATTCTACGAACAACAAATACACATTAGATAAGTGGAGTAAATTCGAAATTTTAAAGGAAATTTCATACAGGGGAAGTTATTCAAATTATTCGCATATCAGTTTGTGGCAGGTACACCCTGTTAGAAGACCTATAATGAGAAATCCCGGTCGTAAAAGAAATTCGCGAAACTTTTTGGATATTATACAAAAGAGGAATTCGCTTCCCCTGCAATTCGATAAATCACGAATAAGGAAAGTTTCACCAAAAACTCTCTCCAGAATTCTCCGCGCTTTCCAGCGCGCGAATATTAAATGTTGATTTATCTCTTATATTTTCCTCTGGATATTTCATCTAATGCCCGGCTGATTCTCCGGATTCGAATGGAATTTTAACGTTAAGCCAGCGAAAACAAATTCAAACAAATATCTCACGAATATCTCGCCGGATTGTACAGGGTGTCCAGAAAATAGAAGTCAATCGCGGGCGTATAAATGACACCAAAATAAGGCTACAACTTCATATAAATTTTGTTAATTTGAGCCCCCATTTTTGAGCTATAGGCCTTTAAAGTTGAAAATTTAAAACTTATTTTTACGTTTTATTTCCAAGTTATACATGGGAACAAAATAAAAATTTTGTGGTTCATTACCTACACCCGTGTGCCCAATTTGGCTAAATCTAGCTTAAAAATGGGGGCTCAAATTAATAAAATTTATACGAAGTTGTACCCTTATTTTGATATCATTTATACGCTCCCGAGTTATTGACATCTATTTTCTGGACACCCTGTATTCGGGGATACACGACACATCCTGTATACACATTGCTTCAAGTCAGAACGCAATATGGTCATCTCCATGGGTTGAACAAAGAAAGATTACTAAAATGACAGGTGTCAGAGTGGAACAATGTGTATAAGGCTCGTTTGGGAATCCCCCTATTCAAAATAAGTCATTACAGTATATTTTCCATTTCCCGTTTCGGCTCATTCCAACTGGAGTGTACGGGGAAGAGTCTTTTGTGAAATACTCGCTGTATAATAAACAGGAAAAGCGAAACAAAACAATGAATAGGGAGGCTCGCAATGAAAATTTCTGCTTATCATTTATTAGTCGATATTTCGACTTTTCCGCTTTTCCGCTTTTCACCGGGGCGAACGTGAGGGATATTCGTTTGCATAATTGCGTTCTTACATTTACGCATACTCGGCCTTCATTTACGGGGAAATTCTTTTGATTTACGGCGACTTTCCGTTGGAAAAGCGACGGGTTGACGTTTTTCGCAGATAGGGGGAAACGTACAACGCACGTTTTCGCGATGGAAATTCGGAAATGGGGAAGATTAATGAAAAACTCCGCGCTAATTCGTGTAAAATTTATTACAATTTTCGCCGGATTATTTTACCTATTCGAGCATGAATGAATCTATAAATTCTAAAATACATTGTATAACTTCTCGCGTAAACTACACGGGCGAGTTTTACGGGCTTTTCTCACGAATTTAGGGCGCGAAAACATCGATAAAACCGAATTAACGATGCATTTCGGAGCGTTAGTCGGACCAGGAATTTTCCGATTGTTTAACGGGAAATTAGAGCGATTTTCGCCGGTTTCCATACGCGGGTAATTAAATCATTAACCGGTTAGAAACGGGCGTCGGGAAGTCGGGCGGAAATTCACCGTACGTTTCGCATTTAATTGACAAGTTAAGACGCGGGGTTTTCCCCCGACCCTTATCAAATATAAATTAATCCCCGACGATGCGCGGCCTTCTCGAAACAACTTACTGACGTGCTTTCCCGTAGTCGAACGGGTAAACAAGCCCGGCAAATCGACCGGCTAGATTTCGGCGGAAAATCGCGAAAATCCCGGCTTGTTTTGTTGGAGCGTTTCGGAGAAATATCGCCGAGTAATCGAAAAGTAAAAGGCCATATTTTTTCGCGGATTCGGAATAATTTTTTGATTGCTCATCCTCCGGTTTCGATCGATTTCCGACGGGAAATCTGCCGGGTAGATTATATATCCGGCCCGAGACGTTTTTCGCGGAAAAACCGAAAGGAAAACTCCGATGATTAATTCGACGGGATGCGAATTTTAAGTGGCCTTTTAATCTTTCGCCTGGACGATTTGAATGATTGATATGTATATGGGTATATGGGAAAATGAATAAACTAGAGGAATAAAATGGAAATGATCCGTATAAGAAAATGGATAATAAAATTTCTTGTTCGTAAAGTTAATTTTATGGATAAGTTTCGCCGGATAAGCTTTTAAAAGGTTCATACAGAGGTCAAATTATCGCAGATTATGGGAGAAAATCTTCTAAAAGTTTAGTTAGAGGTTTAATAAGCGACGGATTTTGGTCGAAAACCCTCTGAAAATTATTTTTTGGGCTAAGTTAGTGCAATTTTTGGTGGAAGTTCAAATAAAGGTTGAATTTTGGTGGCAGATTTTGGTGGAAAACCTTTTGAAAAACTATTTTAAAGGCTTATTGTAATTTTGAACAAAAGAATTTTTTTAAAGTTCAATTCAAGAACTAAGTTGGTGCAATTTTGAACGAATGAATTTTTTAAAAGTTCAATTCAAGAACTCAATTAGTGCAATTTTTGGTAGAAAAGTCTTCTAAAAGTTCATTTATGACTTAAATTAGCGCACATTTTTGATGAAAAATCTACTAAGGATAAATTAGTGCAATTTTGCACGAAAGAATTTTCTAAAAGTTCAAGTACGAGCTAAATTATTGTAATTTTGAACAAAATAATTTTGTAACCGTTTAATTTAAGAGCTCAGTGCAATTTTGAACAAAACAAGTTCAATTACAAGCTAAGTTAGTGCAATTTTGAACAAAAGAATTTTCTGAAAATTCAATTCAAGAGCTCAGTTAGTGCAATTTTTGGTGGTAAATCTTCTAAAGTTCATATAAAGGTTGATTTAGTGCAATTTTTGGTGGAAAAGTCTTCATTTATGACTTAAATTAGCGAACATTTTTGATGAAAAATCTACTAAGGATAAATCAGTGCAATTTTCCACGAAAGAATATTCTAAATGTTCAATCAAGAGCTACATTAATCCAAATTTTAGCAGAATAACATTTTCTAAATGAGTGCAATTCCTCCAATTGACCCTGAATAAATCATACAAATCGCCTCGCATATTCTGCACCACATTGGGCCACCCTGTATACGTTAAATATCCTAGATTCGCGCACTCTAGATGTGTTTCAAGAGAAATGCCGATGGCGCGCACACGATAGTGTCACGTGGGCAAATCGATCCAGAAACAGTGCCGTTTCGGCATCAAAAACTCTGGAGAAAAGTCGAGCAACCTTTTTTACTACTATGTATATACATTTTCGTTTTTATTTTTTCCCTTTTGTTTACAGCGAATTGTTTTAATAAAACCTATATACGCTGCTCGTAATAGTTGTTGTGACCTTTTCGTATTAGTGTATACCTACACAGGGTGTCCCTGTAAATTGTGGATAATATTCATGGCATACTTGATCTATTAAAAGTACGATTTTGTAAAAAAAAATCCACGGTTTATATATTTTTTTGTTGCAGAATTTGAAAAACCAAATAATGACGACGAACTTGTGGGTGGAACAGGTGAGTATATCGAGCCCTTAACATTTATTTATCGCACATCAAATCTACCCTTATGTCTAAGGGCGAGAATCGACCGCTTTTCCCGTCGCTCAAGAAAATTCCTTTACGCCCTTGTATGTATTTTTTTTTCCGGCTCTTCTTACCCCGTTTTTCCTGCCACCCTTTACGCTCTCCCTCCAATTGCCACATCGAATTCCGGGTGACGGGGGGGTTGTTCTTCAGATCGGCCGATCATTGAGTGATATACAGGGTGGACAAAGTGTAGATTTGCTCTTAAAGTGCGAGTAAAAATAATCTTAAAATTCGACCATTGTTCGGTGTGTTATTTGGGCCACCCTGTATAGGGGATGATCGGGGCATTCGTGCGTAAATTATCGCGTTTCTTATTGTTCTTTCCAGTCCTGGTACGATTACAAATTGCGATGGGAACCGAAAGAATACGGGGGAGTTCACATGTTACACGTCCCGTCCGATCACATATGGCGGCCTGACATTGTCTTATACAACAAGTAAGTTTGATTTATTTATATATTTATTTAATTGTACGCTATGTACACATGTATATAATGTATATAATTAAGCTAGTTGTTTAGCTGTTGTAACGACATCTGCTGGTAAATTGTGTAGGTGTTTTTTTTCTTTCTTTTTTGCACGATAGTTTTGTACAGGGCGAGTCGAAGAAACGATGCATAATTTTGGAGAGTTTGGATTTAGGTAGATACGTTTCTTTGAGACGCCCTGTATATACGGTTTTTTTTATTTGTAAGGTGTAACTCATGCTTTTAAAAAAGGTTTCGAAAGCACTTTTTAGCGTCACACTGTATACGGCTTTTTTTCTGTGTATTTCGCACGTTTTAAGATATTTCGAAAATTTATTGTTAGCACTTCTTCGAGACATTCTGTATACAGCTTAAAGAATCCTCTTGGTTACTCCATAACAACCAATGTAAAACTGTCAATTTAAACAATGCGTCCTTAATTACTCTATAATAACAATGTAAATCTGTCAAATTGGAAGAATCTCCTTAGTTACTCCATAACAACCAATGTAAAATTGTCATTTTGAACGAATCTCCTTAGTTACTCCATAACAACCAATGTAAAATTGTCATTTTGAAAGAATCTCCTTAGTTACTCCATAACAACCAATGTAAAATAGTCATTTTGAAAGAATATCCTTAGTTACTCCATAACAACCAATGTTAAACTGTCAATTTAAACAATGCGTCCTTAGTTACTCCATAACAACCAATTTAGAACAGCCAAATGACAGGTGTCTCGTTCGAGACTCCCTGTACCCTCTTTCCGTACGAAACATTAAAAAAAAAAAGACAAAAAAGAACCAAATTTCAAAAATTTATTAAAAACCACACATTGTACAAAAAAAAACTCACAATCACCCACATTTTCTCCATCGGTCACGCGAATTTGTCCGCGTTACTCTCGCAATAGCTCTTCATCTTCCTGATGCCCGCTATGTAATCGTCGATTTTCCTCAATTCCGCGTCGCACTCGTCCTCGATGTCCTTCATGAGACGCGACTGCGGCGCCGCGACGCCCTTCTCGCCGTCGCCGACGTTTCGGTACGGCGTTCCGTCATCAGGCGCGCCCGCCAAACGGCCGTCGGCGTACTGAAAGAGGCGCGACATATGCGGCAAATCGTGCGTTAGAGAGCGACAGAGATTGAAACGAAAAATTGGATAACTAAGAGAGAGATTCGAATTAGATGAAAAAAGCGAAATGGAGAGATGCATTCGATGAGTGAGTGTGAGGGAGAGCGATGGAGGTATGTGAGTGAGTGAAAGTGATGGGGTGTTGGGAAATTGAGAGGAACGAGCGAGCAAGAGAGAAAAAAGCAATAAAATAAGTGATTTAATTTGATTGAAAATGAGTGATTGAAAATCAAAGAGAGAAAGAGACGAGATGATTTAGAAGGTGAGAGAACGAGCGAACAAAAGAGAAGAACCAATACAAAAAGAGCGATTTGTTTTTATAGAAAATGAATGATTAGAAATCAAAGGGAGAAAGTGACAGAGTGATTTAGAGAGTGAGACAACGAGTGAACGAGAGAGATGAAAACAATAAAATAAGTGATTTTGTTATGATAGAAAATAAGTGATTAAAAATCAAAGAGAGAAAGAAACGGGGTGATTTAGGGCGTTAGAGAAGGAGCTTTAGATAAAAAAATATTTTTTTGATAGAAAGTGAGTCAAAAAGAGACAGAGACGGGATAATAGGGATTGTTAGAACGAGATGGAAGAAAAAAATAAATAAATTGAGCGATTTGTTTTGATAGAAAATGGGTGATTTAAAATCAAAGAGAGAAAGAGATGGGATGATTTAGAAAGTGAGAGAATGAGCTTGAGAGAACGAGTGAGCAAGAGAGAAGAAAGCAATAAAATAAGTGATTTGTTTTGATAGAAAATAAGTGATTGAAAATCAAAGAGAGAAAGAGACGAGATGATTTAGAAGGTGAGAGAACGAGCGAACAAAAGAGAAGAACCAATACAAAAAGAGCGATTTGTTTTTATAGAAAATAAATGATTGGAAATCAAAGGGAGAAAGTGACGGAGTGATTTAGAGAGTGGGACAACGAGTGAACGAGAGAGATGAAAACAATAAAATAAGTGATTTTGTTTTGATAGAAAATAAGTGATTGAAAATCAAAGAGAGAAAGAAACGGGGTGATTTAGGGGGTTAGAGAAGAACCAATTTGTGATTTGTTTTAATCCCCCTGTAATTTACCTGATTTTCGTAAATGACGTCCGTGTTATCCGGCTCGATTCCAATGTATTCGGGCACGTTTTCCTCGCTTTCCCTAACGCGATTTTCCAGGTATTCCCAAACGGCCGCCGTCTCTTTTTCCATCGAGTTTCTCTCTTTGTTCGTCTGCAAACGTCAATTATCTCAATGTCACAAAATCCGGCTACATCCGGTTACATTTTGACAATTGACAGATGTCAATAAGTGTCAGCTCGATTAATTAACCAAAGAAATTGGCGATTTTAAACAGAGCGATTCTTCCTAAATACCCCCCTGTTGCTTAGGTGTCGTGCAAAGCGATGGGGGCAACAGGGGCGGATTCGAAATATTTCATTGTTGAATTATTTTTGAAGTAAGTTTGCGGATTTTGAATGAAAGACGGCAAACTTACCTCGCTTTTCAAGTAATTCCTGATGTTCGTCCGCTCTTTCTCCAGCAAGTTTTTCTCGTTGTTCAGCTGGAATTTCATCTGGTTCGCGTAGTTTTTCATTTCGTATATCTTACCGATCAGACTCATCCGGTATTTTCGATCTTCGATCAGATTTTGAACGGCGCCGTCCCCCATTGAATTCAACATGTTTTTTAAATTGTTTCGAAACGTTTTTTTATCGAAAATTCCGCGCGAAAACGGCTAATTTTGATATAGATTTATGCGATTTTTCTGTGACATTTAACGTTGAAATTTATAATTTTGTTATCGCCTAGTATCGCGTCAAAGCAGGCCGATAATAAATTGGTTGGATTGCGTTTATTCGAGGCTAAAACAATCCAAAAAAAAAGAAGAACGATGAACTTCAACATTAGTTTGAACAAGACGAGGATGATTTCAATTTAAAAAAAAAGAAGATTTTGATAATTCAAAATGGTTTTTATCCTTAGATCATATACAGGTTGCTCCATTTTTGATCGCAACATAGGTTATATAGGCCTTAGGTGCGATAAAGACAACTTCCATTAGACAATTATAAAGGAAAAGGAAAGAATGACATTTGTGTCATTGCAATTTTTCACTCTGACAACTGTCATTTTAATAATCTTTCTTTGTTCCACTCATAGAAATGACCATGTTGCAATCGGAAATGGAGCAAACGATATGAAGTTTTTATCCGATTACTATTAATTTAATATTGTCCCGTGTTTAATTTAATTAAGCGAGAGTGTTTATTAAAATTTTCAATCGCATCCTGCGGCGCAGCGCGGGGCCTTTTACACCGCTTGCATTCGGCGATGTATCGTTTATCGCACGGGGAAATCGCCGGGATCGCGTACAAAAGCCGCGGGAAATTAAGGCCCCTTTTCGGCCCCCAAAGCCCCGCGCGGGATGGGGTTTAATTAAAATTTCATTTTACGTCGATAACCAGACGTCTCCGGGCGCAACATCTCCTTTTATTTTCTTCCTTTTGTTGGTACGCTCCCGTCTGAACTGAACCGCCGGCAATCAATCTCGCCGTCGGTTTTTCCCCGAGTATCGGGGTTAAAAAAAAAACAACCGCAAAAAACCTGCTTTTCGATGATTATGTAGGCCATCTTGATTTGCCGCGGGTAACTGTCGTTTGTCACTGTCATGTGGTCTCGCTCGGGGCCTTCTTTAATCGATATGTCGGGTAACAAAATCGTCTCTTGCGCTTTAAATTGGGATAAAACGTAATTGAAATTGACATCTGTCAATTGTCGTTTGTCAAACATCGTATCGCGGCCAATTTTTAATCATTCCCATCTGTCAATTGTCGTTTGTCAATATCGCGTCGCAGAGCCAACTATTAATTTTTCCGCATACAGGCCGGGTTTTTTTTCCGGCGTGTACGTAAGCCTGTATTTATTATTCATTATGCGTTTCTGGTCGGAAAGGGAGACGAGATAAGGACGAAAAAATAAAAAAGAGGAAAATGCGCCGGTTCGATGTGAACTTGGGGCATTTGAAGTGGCCATGAATATAAAACGAGCGGTTATTTTTCGAGCGACAAAATTGAAAAGAAAACAATTATTATCGCGTATTCTATTTCTAGTTGTACAGGGTGACTCTAAATAAGATGTTTTTTTCTTCAACAAGTTACGCAATTTGATTTGAAACGTGTGAAACTCGCCTAAAAACCATTGCAAAATCTCATTTATTTCGAACCGACCTGTATAGCATTGTATACCTAGCATATAGCTTATTACCTAGTACTTAGTCTCTTGCATAGCATTAGAAATGGCGTATTAAATTCGAATCAACACCAGCACAGGCCCTATAAATCCGCAGGTACTGTACTTTACCCTCTGTTCTTCTTCTGATTCCTCAGAGAACTCGGACTCGATTTGTGTTCGGCCACTATTATAATTAATTATTAGTGTTTTAATAATGAAATCTTGCTCCCTTTTTTTTTCGGGAATCTCAGCCGGAAAAGTTTAGTCCGTATCCTCAAGGGAATATTACAGCACGGTTGCTTCTCTTTTTTCTAGCGTTTTTATGGTCTTTTATAGATGCAATCTATTATATTCCTCTTAATTTATACACAGCGCACGCAACCTGTTTAATCCCATAACCTCAAAATCCCAATAGTTCGAAATCCCATAACCTCGAAATCTCATTACCTCGAAATCCCATAATCACAAAATTCCGAAACCTCGAAATCCCGAGAAATGAAAAAAAAGAAAATGAAAGGCTAGTACATAGAGAGCGTTAACGCAAGAGTTTAGCAATGGGCCGGTGTTTAGTCGTTAGTGTTGATTGCCTTGCAGCGCCGACGGCAATTTCGAAGTGACCTTAGCCACCAAGGCCACCATCTATCATCAAGGCCTCGTCGAATGGAAGCCGCCGGCCATATACAAGAGCTCCTGCGAAATCGACGTCGAATATTTCCCGTTCGACGAACAGACGTGCGTTTTAAAGTTCGGTAGTTGGACGTACGACGGATTCATGGTAAGGAATCGCATGCGCGCGCAGCGACATCGCTCACTTGATTTTTATTTTTTTTTTTTTAGTTTCGGAACTTTCTCGTTACCACCCGTATATTACTCGAATTTGTAATGTATGGGTAGAGAGATGTGTCGAAATTTTTGTTCTGTTGGGATGATTTTAATGATGATAATGATGATGATAATAATTCTTCATTGGTTTAAAGTTAAAAGGTCCTAGAAAAGTTTCTTAGGTTTAGGATGAGAATTTACAGTTCTAGATAAAGAGCTAGGGCGCTGGAAAATGGTCCAAAGTTCTCGAAATGGATAATGAATATACTGGGTGTTTCAGAAAAAAGTGGTCAAATTTTGGGAGCAAGTAGAGAAAACCTCTAAATATGACAAAAACTTAAATGTCATTTTATCGAAATGTCAAGTTTTTGAAAAAAATCATTTCTACTAGATTTTTAAAAGACGTTTAAAATTTTGTGTATCAGAAATCGATAAAATGACATTTAAGTTTTTGTCATATTTTGAGATTCTCTACTTGCTCCCAAAGTTTGTCCACTTATTACAGAAACACCCTGTATAGGGTGAAATTTGTTGAAGATAGAAATTGTAATATTCTGCATAAGAAACCAGTTTCTAAAAGTATAATTCATAATATAGTAATTAAAGTAATAATTACAGCTTTATTGGAATATCAAATAAATTAACCATTATTTAAATCATCTTAACAACATTAATTACTGCAACTTAATAGCACTTTTAAGATTTCGGTCTATATAAAATCAGTTTTATTCGAAGTTTTAACCCGTCTACATCCAACAAGTGCCATTAAGAGCGTAATTCTAGTTAGTTATTTACTCAGGGTGTATTTTTTTTTAAGTTTGTTGTATCTACTAATCGTACACCCCTCGTAAATAAACTAAACAATTTTAGCGAATCCAAACCGTTTTGCCGCTTGTTTTCTAGACGAGTAGCATTTTAATTTTACATTTAAATACCACATACAAAACAAAAACCACTTTATAATAAAATTACAACCCTGCTATTTAATTAAAACATTGTTTCGTTCTTGCGAATACCAGGTGAAAATGATACGGGGTGAAGCCGATAAGTTTCATCAACGTCGAGATGTAATTAAAAATGATACGGGGTGAAGGTGAAAAATGCGATACTATAAAGGATACATATTAAGTTGTATACGGGGTGACAGCGAAAAGTACGAGATTAACTGGACGAGTTGTATATACGGGGCGAAGGCGAAAAGCGGCGACCAAATACAATATAACGTTTATACAGTGTGTTATTTATAAGATGCGACATAGGGATTCCTGTACAAATGTGTCAAAAGCAAGTTCAACTTTTTTACCAAATAACGTTCATAGAAAATAATAACAGATTTGAAAAGATCGTGAAAAAATATGTCGAAATGGATATTAAATTTTCTTAAATTCGTTCTGGTTTATTAAAAAAATGTATAATTAAGTTGAAAAAAGTCATACGCCATAAATAATTTCTTTTTATAACACTATCTAATTTGTTACAAAAGAGGCGAAGCTAACAGAGATGTTTAACGATCTGCAATTTGCAAAATTAATCTTGAAGGAATGTGGTTCAAATTTGTTTTTCTTTTTTTTGGTTTTTATAATGTTTGTTTTTGTCTAAAAAAATGTTAAATAAAAGTATTTAAATTAAGACAAGCTTAATTGGATAATTTTTTTTATTTTATTAAATGTTCAGACAATTTTTTATTGGGTTTCCTAAAAAATAAGGTTGCTGATAATATCAACCAAAGACAGAAGAGGAATTGAAAAATATTATTACTAACGAATGTCAAAAAATTAGTAGAACTTATAATGATTAGTAGAAATAATCGTAATTAATAATGTACGGCGGAACTTTTATCATCGTTTGAGATTGTTTAAGCAGCAGATAATGGAAAACAATTTGAACATTTAATTAAATAAAAATAAATTTATATCCTAAATAAGCTTGTCTTATTTTAAATACTTTTATTTAACATTTTTTTTAGACAACAACATTAAAAAAACAATTAATTAATTAATTAACAATCTCTGTTAGCTTCGCCTCTTTTACAACAAATTAGATAGTGTTATAAAAACGACTTATTTATGGCATATGACTTTTTCAACTTAATTATACATTTTTTTTAATAAACCAGAACGAATTTAATGTCCATTTCGACATATTTTTTCACGATCTTTCCAAATCTGTTATTATTTTCTATGAACGTTATTCGGTAAAAAAGTTGAGCTTGCTTTTGACACATTTGTACAGGAATCCCTATGTCGCATCTTATAAATAACACAGCGTATACGGGGTGATGGCGAAAAGTGCGAATTATATTAGAGGATTTTTGAGTGTTTTTGGTTCCAGCGCGGACGGCAACTATGAGGTCACGTTGATGACGAAAGCGACCGTTTACCACACAGGTATGGTGGTTTGGCAACCGCCGGCCGTCTATAAATCCTCTTGCGCCATAGACGTTGAATTTTTTCCCTACGACGTGCAGACGTGCGTCCTGAAGCTCGGATCTTGGACGTACGATGGTTTTAAGGTTCTCGTGCCAACGCACTCACTCACTCAATTTTTCCGGTCGCCCTCGTATTATATTACAGGGTGTTCCTAAAACATCGTGTACAACCGAAACGGGGCGATTCCTTGGCTTAATTTATGACTAAAAGTTCATATAAACATAGGTTCGCAAACGCTTCGTTATCGATCTACAGGGTGTTGAAATTACAAGATTTTTTTTTGTCACTTTCGACGTTTATTACAGGGCATTGAAGCTAATAAATTACTTAGTTAAATTTTGAATTTTCTCATGTAGAAATGTACAAATTGCTAAAATTGCTAAAATTAGTATTTTTAAAAAACAAAGAATCACTAGACGAAATAGAGTGTTGAAAAAATATCACCCTGTAGAATTCAACAACCATCTGATATACCCAATAATGTGTGTCGTATTGAAATTTCAACACCCTGTAGATTGGTAATGAAGCGTTTACAGATCTATGTTTATATGAACTTTTAGTCATAAAATAAGCCAAGAAATCACCCCCTTTTCGGATGTACACGATGTTTAGGAACACCCTGTATATATATTTCTTTTTTTTTATTTGTGTACATACGTGTGTGTCGTTTTTTTTAATCGATGAGAATCGAGAGGGAGTTGTGAGTAGGCTGTGAAAATGGGGTGTGGTATTTATCAAAATTTTCGAAAGTACCAACCTCCGAATGGATTAAAAAATTGATATTTTACGGCCTGCTTAGATTGTGATGTTTTTTTTTCACAGGAAATTTCGAAACGATTTACTTTTTTCTACGATTTTGACAATTTTGACATTTGACAGTCGATGTAATTACATTATAATAGGCCATTTGTTGAGGCATTCGTTACGAAATTTCGGATTTAAAAAGAATACAGGGCGACCGTTTATATTCGTGTTTTGGTTTTTGGTATAATATATACGTTTTTTGAGTGGAATATTTTTTCGTTAGAATCTCCCTGTAAATATGAATATATCGAACGATTGGGAAAGGTATAAAATTTGTATCTGTATAAAAACGCCTACTCGATTCTGATTTAACGAAAACCATTTAAAATATAAACAATTTAAAGCTGTTACAGCACTTTTAAAAACAACGTAGAAATTAAAATAATTTCGATCTGACAGATGACAGATGACGTACTAACTTCATTGACAGATGACAGTTGATATTAATGCTCGTGTAGGGAATTATTTTTATTTGAATATTATCGAGTAATTCGATGATGAGGATGGGAGATAAAAAGGGATTTCCGCGATAATTATATCAGAGAGAAGCGTGCCGAGATTAATTAGTTTTGCGCCATTTTTTTTTCGAGCGGAATTAATTTAAAATCAAATAAAATCGTATCTACTCGAGTTTATTAGGATAGAAAAAAGTGGATTCAGGAATGAGGACGAAAAGGATTCATTTGGTTTTTTTTTATTAGAAATTACTGCCATATTTCCCGGAAGTATTATTTTTCTCCGACTTTTCCGCGAATATTTAACTTCGACCACTCTCGACAGTTTAATTGGATTTGGAAATTGAGGTGAATTTGGATTATTTTTTTGTTGCATTTTTCTCGAGTTTCCCTCAATAACTTTCTTCTTCTTTTTTTTTATCTAATCATAATATAAAAAAATAAACTAAACAAATAAACTAAAAAACAAACTTGAATATTTTTATTGGTGTACAAATTTTTGAAACACCCTATTTTATACCTTTTCCATAAAAATAAGAAAAATAAGCTTAGAATGCGTTACGTGTAGATGTCGCTGATTGGCTGAAGGACATTTTTGTTGTAGAATTGCCGTGTGTACATTATTTTTAATTTAAAAAATTTTAAACAATTAATTCTCTAATTATGTCATATGGGAGATATTTTTTGACTTGCATGGAAACGGTTTGTTCTCTTTGCATCATTCGACGTCCATTTTGTGTTATTCATCGTCCATTTTGTATTATACAACATCCATTTTGTGTTATTCACCGTTCATTTGTCGATTTTGTGTCATTCGTCGTCCATTTTGTGTTATGCATCCAACCATTTTGTGTTATTCATCGTCCATTTTGTGTTATTCGTTTAAAATTTTGGGTTTTTTCATAATTTACGAGAATTTTTGTCGATCCATGTAAGCCGGAAAGTGTCATTTTTGGCAATTTAATAAACTGAATGGATTTATTCGAATTAAATTAAATTATTTATTGATTTACTAACGCATGTCGATTTTATTGTAAATACGTTTTTGTTACATATATGTTATTTTATTTGAATTTAAAGCGATTTTTTTAAATAAATTCGTGCCCGAGACTGAATTTCGGGTTATTATCCAAAAAAAGGAAGAAGAAAATTAAACCGGGGAAAAACCGATTAAAAACTTTCCAGTCGAATTTCGTTTAGTTTGTCGGATTATATTAAATTTCCCTTGTCATTCGTGAACCTAATTTATACAATTCTCCTCTAATTTAATAAGAAAATAAATCTAATTTAATCCCTAACTTTTCAATAATCGAGTCACTCCACAAAATGGCGGTTTAACAGCTGACGTTTGAACTGTCGAGAGAACAAGAATCGAATAAATTTTACCTAATAAATATTAATTAAATTAAACATTTAATAACGTAATCGAAAAAAAAAAACTTGCTAAAATATTATCTATACAATTTAGGTATTTTAAACACGAAGATTTTCCTGCATTATCATACTTTTCGACTAAATGTTGCAACCCCGCATTTTGCTTGAATTACCAGTCGCTGTTTTATTAATTAGGGAGTTATTGCAATCGGCTTTTTTTATCTTCTTCGTATTCCTCTGTAATATTTTGAAGCCCTCAGATACTTAGGCTATCCAGCCATTTTGTATTTATCTATTATTTCTTCTTCTTCTTTCTATTATAGCCTTTTGTCTGGGAAATACAGCCAGGTTATTATTTCGCTCATCAATGTACTTTGTTCGTTTTTCTCTTCTGCTATAATTTTATGAATGCCTTATTTTTCAAGACTATTCAGCCACTTTACAATTACAATTAATTCCCGTATTTATTTCCTTTAAAAATAAAGGCAACGTATAAAAAGATCTCTTATTTTAACATGGCCTTTTTCTTCGTTGTTATACAAAGATAACAAAAAAGCTACCTTTTACTGCATGTACATACAGCTACTTCAACTTTTGGAAAAAAAATCAACGCTTGCTATGACTCCCTATTTATTCTTTAGCATTTATATTAATTTGAAATGTTATTTTATGTGAAACTACTGCACATGCGTGTTGTCTATTTCTTTCGTTTATCGTGTGGTTTACGTGGTAAATGTTTATTAGTCATTCGACCTGATTGGTATCTTTATAATACAAAAGAAAATTGACGTTGATTTAGGTGGATTTGAGGCACATGGACGAAAAGACCGGCAGCAACGTCGTCGACGTCGGCGTCGATTTGTCCGAGTTCTACATGAGCGTCGAATGGGACATATTGGAAGTACCGGCAGTTAGGTGAGCTACTTTTGTCTAAAACACTTTTTTTCAAAAATGTATATTTTTTGAGTTAATAATTTTTGTTTGAAAAATTTGACCCTGTACCTTGTACAATAAAAGATGTCTCTTCGATGGGGAAAGTACCAGCGGTTGGTTTTTATGCTAAATGTTGTTTAGGAACGAAAAATTCTACACTTGTTGCGACGAACCATATCTGGACATAACGTTCAACATAACGATGAGAAGGAAAACGCTCTTCTACACCGTCAACATCATCATACCCTGCATGGGGATCTCCTTCCTGACGGTGCTCACCTTTTATCTGCCATCGGACAGCGGCGAAAAGGTACAATTTTTTTTTCTTCTTCTTTTTTCTTCGCCGGTTACACGGCCTCTTGCGAAGCAGCGCATCCGGCCAGCTCGCTTGTTCAAATTGTAATAAAAATCCAATGAGTAAAGGAAGGGTCTTTGGGGATCTTCCCGAAACCTACAGGGTGGCACATTAGTATGACGTAAAATACATGGTACGGAGAAAATGTTACTTTCGGTTTTTGATCCATCCTGTAAGCGACATGATTAAAATTAAACGGAAAATATTCGTTTTGTACATTTTCAGGATATTCGCAATGTTGTAAAACCGAAACTGAAATTTAGTTTCTACAGAATGCTAAACTGAGTAGGATCTTCATTGAAAAGTGGACATTTAGAACTGACTGACACCATTTAGAATGCTTCAGAATCATTTAGAACTATCTAGAACATGTAACAGTAAACGACAGAATGACAGTTTGACGTGTACGTCGCTTGTCAATCGAAATTGACACCTCTACGAGCGGCCGACTCGATTTGTTATAGTATACGTTCCCGTGCAATTAATTTTGATATTATTCGATTTCAGGTGACCCTATCGATATCCATCTTGATCAGTCTCCACGTGTTCTTTCTTCTAGTAGTCGAAATCATACCGCCCACTTCGCTGGTCGTACCGTTGCTGGGCAAATACCTGATATTCGCCATGATACTCGTCTCTATCAGGTAATGGCGGTCTTATCATAAATCTATTAATTATCGGTATTTTGAGGTTAGTTATTCAGCGTTCCCAATGATAGAGAGACAGAGAGAGGTCCGTGAGAGATGGAGATGGAGCCAGTTAGGAACTTTCTCACTCTGACAACTGTTATTATAATAATCTTTCTTTGTTCAACTCATAGAAATGAGGGTTTTCTTTATCTATGAAAACTTGTATGACTGTAAACGTAACTCACTTTGATCTTTTGCTTTCTTACTATTGGCTAATGCATCGTCCAATCTCTCGTTGCTATATGCCCAAGCTAGCTGCATCTCTCCTCATTCATCGACAACACCACATCTTTGTCTACACCGCGTCCATAGTTAGTAGGTCTATACAGGGTGTCCAGAAAATAAACCACAAAAATTGTATATTGTTCCCATGTATAACTAGGAAATAAAACCTAAAAACAAGTTTTAAATTTTCAACTTTAAAGGCCTCTAGCTCAAAAATGAGGGTACAAATTAACAAAATTTATACGAAGTTGTACCCTTATTTTTGTGTCATTTATACGCCCGCGAGTTATTGACTTCTATTGACTTCTATTGACTTCTATTTTCAGGACACCCTGTATAATGGGTTTTATTCGTTATTCAAGCGACGTATATGCGATATTTACGAATTCGTTTCCAGCATTTGCGTGACCGTCGTCGTGTTGAACGTCCATTTTAGATCGCCCCAAACGCACCGGATGTCGCCCTGGGTGAAGCGGGTCTTCATACATATTTTACCGAGACTGCTGGTCATGAAGCGGCCCACCTACGTTTTCGAAACGCAAAGGTAAACGCGAATTTACGCGGAATTTCAAACTCGATTTCGATGGCCTTTTATCGATTTATCGATACGACCGTACGGCCACCGGTAATGTGTTTAAGGGTGAAGAAAAAAAAGACGAATTTTCCGAGTTCTGTATGACACTAGATGCTCTGTAGGTAGGTGCAGGAGGGTAGGGTAGGGTAGGGTAGTAGGTGGAAGGATTGAGTAGGAGAGGTTATGAGGTAGGGTAGGAGGAGGTAGAGGAGGATAGGAGGAAGTAGAGGTGGGTAGAAAGAAGAGAGAGAGATCCAGAACCATTTAGAGCGCTTTAGAGACCGTTTAGAACGTTCTAGAATCAATTAGAACTATCTAGAACCATTTAGAATGCTCTAGATTCATTTGGAACTGTCTAGAACAATTTAGGAAACTCCAGAATCATTCAGAACTCTCTGATACGGAGAGGTAGAGTAGAAGGGGGTGTAGAGAAGGGTAGAATGGGGTAGGGAGGATAAAAGGGAGTAGGTAAGCGATAGGAGGGGTAGATGGGGGTTTATTTTGAGTGTTTGTTTTATGTTGCAGCAAATTTCTATCGAATCGTTTCGTATCGAGAGGCAGGCAATATTCCACGTGCATGTACCCGTACAGAACGACCGTACATCGAGACGACGGCAGCCCGAAGAGGCGGTATCTATCAAGCCGAACGTCCAGCAGGGAGAATTTATCGCCGAGGTAATCGATAATGGCCTCTTACTGATCTATGAATCGACCGAAAATTGTATAATTTGTAACCGCGTTTCTCGTATTCTCCAGATTATCGGACGGCGGCGGCCCGTTCGGTGGCAGTTGCCAGATACACGGACCGCTCGCCGGCGCTCTGCCCCTCGCCGAGACCGACGAATTGGACGCCGATACGGACGTCAAGAGCCCCGTGCTGTGCAATCCGGCCTATTCGCACAGCAAATGCCCGCCGGAGGTGCACAAGTCGTGCTTTTGCGTGCGCTTCATCGCCGAGCACACCAAAATGCTCGAGGATTCGACGAAAGTGAGCCACACGAGAACTCTCTGAGCGGAGCGGCTCGTTGCTTAATCGAGCAACCGGTCACTAGTTTTTTTTTTTTTTTTTTTTAGTCGCTCTGCTTGTAATCTTAGATCGTATACAGGGAAAAACGGAGCTTACGATTGTCGTGAAAATTTGGTTATTTACATTTGGTCATTGGTCCTGCTCTATCGATTTAAAATATTTTCAACCTTGCGACGTTGCTACTTCTATCGAAAAGTAGCAGCAACTTTGTTATTTTAAATGAGATACCCTGTATATTTTTACATTTTTTTTTTGCTCCGCTATTGCTTTCCGATTATTTTTGTATAATACTTCGCTATACCTATGTTAAGCGCTTTTCGAGAAATTCGTTTTATTTAATTTTTTATTCAAAACATAACTCCAATTAAATGTTGATTACTACTATAGGACCGTGGTTTAAAAACACCGTTTCTAATGATAAATTCGTCGTTATTTCAGGTGAAAGAAGATTGGAAATACGTAGCGATGGTGTTGGACCGGCTGTTTTTGTGGATATTCACGTTGGCCGTGCTGGTGGGGACGGCCGGTATAATTTTGCAAGCGCCTACTTTGTACGACGATCGAATTCCGATCGATAAGAAGTTTTCGGAATTCGCGACGACGACGGTGGTCAGGTGTCCGCCGCCGTCGGCTTGAATATTTCGTTAAACGAGCACACGTTTTAGAACCGTTACTGGATTTATACAGTGAGGACCAAAAGTCCGTAGTTTTTGACGTCAAAAAATAGCATTTTTACTCCAATATAAACACCCCAAATTGCGCAACAAAAGCTCTTACCATTCAAAAGTTAAAAGGGGGGGGGAGACGGACTTTTGGTCCCCACTGTATGAGTTTTCAAAAAAGCGCCTACTCCGGATAATGTTACGCCCGAATTCGATATGTACGTACACGCGTAATCTGAGCAATGTTTAACTAGTTTTTATATCGTTTAATAGTCGAATTCGAATTGGATGAATTGTTGCTCGGTTTGTACCGCCGGTCTGGCGTGCAGGTCTGGAAACTTCGGCGTGTTTCCGCGAATTTCTTTTGTATTACACTTCGATAAGATACACGATTTAATAAATATGGTATTGTTGTAAATAAAAATTACACTTGCAAGGCAAAATGGCGAAATGAAGGAATTAAACAATTAAGGGGATTAGAGATATTAAAGGAATTAAACAACATTACCTGATATTAGCGCCATCTGTGGTGAATCGCATCGTCCGCAACACGTTTTACATAGGAGTTTCCTGACCTGTTATATTCGACCACGGTTTATACAGAAGGGCTCCTTTCAATAGTGAAACACTTTCGCGCGTTAATGTCAAATACGAAATCGAAAGTGGCGCACTGTTGAAATAGTACGAGTACATATCTTTGTCTATTCCTCTGTAGATTTCGAAGGAAAGAAATTACGGGCAGCGTGAAAAGTTGTCGGTCTGAATCATTTAGAACTATCTGGAACAATCTAGAACGCTCCGGGATAATTCAGAACTATCTAGAACCATTCAGAACGCTCTAGAATCGCTTAGAACTGTCTACAACTATTTTGAACCTTCAGAACCATTTAGAACGCTCCAGAATCCTTTAGAACTGTCTAAAACTGTTTAGAATGCTCCATAATCTTTTAGAACATTATGAGAACTGACCAGAACCTTTTGGAACTGTCCAGAACCTTTTGGAACTGTCCAGAACCTTTTGGAACGCTCCAGAACCAATTAGAATGTTCCAGAATCATTTAGAACTGTCTAAAACCGTTTAGAACGCTTCATAACCATTTAGAATGCTCTCGAAGCCTTTAGAACTGTCTAAAACCATTTGAAACGCTCTAAAATCATTTAAAATTAATCCAGAATCATTTAGAACAGTCTAGAATAATCTAGAACCCTCCAGAACTGTCTCAAATTAGAGATTTCGATTTAATACGAAGAATAATGTAATTTTTCAACTGAAAATCGCGGTCTTTTATTGTCAGGCCAAGAACTTTTCACCTTACCCTTGTATATGTTTTTGCTGAATTAAAATGTCGTCCTGAATCGAGCTGATATTATTAATAATACAAAAAAAGAAGCTTATGACGTTTTATAATAATAAAATTAACCGACATATACCTGATATAATGTACATACTTTTACAATGAATAAATTAATATACTATCGAAAAAAAAAAGTAATAAAAGAAGACACCGACATATTTTGTATTCTTGTAATAGTAATAACGGCGATATTAATAATATGTATTTATTAGATGATTTATTTGTGATAAACAAATTTTATGCGCGATTTGCTCTAATCAACAGCGAATTTAATGAACTTGTTGGTGAATTCCTTATGAAAAAAACCGTCTCTCTGTTATAAGGAAAAAACTCGAATAATAAAATAATAATAAATAAAATAATTTATAATCGAGTCGATTGTTGCTATTGTTTAAAGCAAATCGTGAAACACGTAGTGCCATTATACGTATATTTAATACGACGAACAAAATGTTTTCGTCGAATAGATTAATGTGAATGTAAAATTAGACTAATCGGTTAGGATGTGGATGGGCTCAAAAAAACAAAAAAAATATAAAGTAATAAACCGAAATTATACTTAATGATAAATAAAAGAAACGAAATAGGAAGCTATACATTCGTAGAGTAATTCGTTATTTGTGCGTTATCGTAAATGTATTCGGTTCGCTTTTGATTTTATTCGAGCAATTCCTTTGAATTTCAACCAACACTACAGGGTGTCCCAATGAAAAGTTGCCCAAATTGCGCTACTTGTGAGCGGGCTACTTTTCATTGGGACACCCTGTATCGTTAATGAAACGTTTTTGTTGACTTATTATGTTGATAATTTAACGAATAAGTATGTTAAAGGTCTTGACTAACGAATTCCTTTACCCCTCGATAAGGGTCACATTAATATACATTTATTATCCGCCCCTACAATTAATTATAAAACTTCCTAGCACTAAAAATTAAGCAATTTAGTGGGCGAGACGCCTATTATGCAGCAAGTAATTCTAACGTTACGCCGTGACGCGTTTTAAACGAATGAAAAGTATTATTAATTTTAAAAAATGGTTCTTACAACCAGCATTTGTGGGCCAAAAAAAACTTTAGTGTTTTCGCATCGACGGCGACGTTATAAATAATTTACATTTACAATTGCGAGAGAAACGTTGAAACGTCGACGTGCATGCGAAATTGGATCGTAGTGGTTTGTTATTCGAATAAAAAACCACGTTTATAATCCACCCCAACCGCAGAACTGGCATGCAATTAAAGTTTTATAATGTTGACATTTTACATTGTTTTTTATATTACGTTTGTAGACGATTTATTGACGCATTCGTTGAAATATAATTTCTTAAAGTTCCGTTTACTTAATAACCTTCCTAATAACATACCAGCTACAGCATAGGTTAATAGTTTAATTCCCATCGAGTAAATACAGCGTAAAACTGGTTGCCTAACGTCAAGAATCTAATTCCTACAAATGACATGGAACGCTAAATTTCGAGTTATCGATCGCGGTTGATTCGCGTTCCGTGCGCGATCGGCCATCTCTCGCCGATTTATGGTCTCCTGGTCGACGGGAAGACGGCATTTCAATTTCTCCCCGCCAAGGACGGGTTGCCGGGCGGTAAAAAAATCGAGATGTTCGAGCCCGAAAATTTCGGACGTCGCGGGGCGGCGCTTTCGTCGCTCTTCGAATCGGTCCCCGAAAGGCGATTTTTACAAAACGTGTGAGGAGGACTCGTTCGCTCCGGACATTAGGACAACATGATATCGAAAGGTTAGTTGCAGTTTAGTTACCAGTCGTTTACTAATACAGATAATAAGGTGGACATTTTATTAATAGTATATTTTTTTCAATCATCGACTCCTAAATTAAGAAGAATCTTAATTTGTCATATTTGACATATGTCATTCATAAAGAGTGACATTATGGAATTAGAACAATAAATCAAGAAGAAGAAGAAGATCAGTTCGAATTCGTAGAAAAATATACCCAATTTTTAAGATTCAAGACAACTTTCTTTCTCTATGTAAGTAATAAATGTCTTTATATTAACAAAAATGCAAATAAATTCATCCCATTAATTAGTGTTCTGTACCTGAAATTTATAGACATTGACAGATGAATGACAGATTATGTAGACGATCGATTTCGAGTAGGCCAGCAGCTAAAATTGGCTACTCAACATTGTTCATAAATAGCACAGTGCTATTAGAGCGTGTGTACACGTGGAATCTCCGCGTTATTATGCTCTCCTGCTGCCTCCCGTCGAAATAATTCCAAAGATTTAGTTATTTAATTTTTGTTTATTGGGGATTAAGCAGGAGGATTTAATTTTTCGAAACGGTCACGAGCGAGCCTCGTTCACAGCGTACGCGATTATTACGATATTATTATCGATTAAGGGCGATACAAAAAAAAAAGACGAGGAATTTGATCGTTTTCGATTGCCCAATCGATTGTAATTTTATTAATTATAATATATTCGATGAAAAATGTATCGAAAGATATTCGGAATATGCAAATCATGAACAGTTTCTAACAGGAGAACAGAATCGAATGGGAACTCGATTTTCGTGCCGCTTTTTAACTTATTAGCGCTAACGATTTTTGGTATTCTTGCATGAAATAAAAAATAACTAAACTAGTAAAATTGTTGTTAATTATAATCTCGCGTTATTAATTAGTTAATGAGGCAGGTAAGTATTTATCAAGTAGTCGTATTTGTTTGCTTTAATTGTTATGTAAAATATAATTATGTAGTACATATGTATAAAAAAAATTGTTTTAATCGATTACATTGTTACATAATTAGCTACGTATTAAATTGGTAATTACGTTGATTTAATGAGGCAATTAATCAAGCGATTTGACGGTTACTTTATTTAGTATACAAATGAATTTTGCGAATGGCAAAATGATGATAATTTTACGAATTCGATGTGATGATTTTGCGTTTCAATTCGACTGGAAACGGCGGATTTTCGCTAAAAACGAAATTTCCAATTTCCATCGCCCCGGAGTTGCTGCGGCCGTTTTTCGAGACTGCGTCGCGTTTCTGCTATCCTGCTACGTTATATAAAAATTTTCTGGAAAAAGCCCGAAAACCGAATTCAACGTTTCGCGGAAACGGTCGGGTAATTTTAATAAAATAACTAATAAATTTCGCGGTTTTTTTTTCCTATCGACGCGACCGCTCCACAAAAATATTACGAATATTACGTGCAACGCGTATGATCGCGAAAGCGAGACGGTGCGAGACGTTCCTCCGGCGCGACGAAGACGCCTGCTGTAACCGTTACTGGATAACGAGTACACCTCTACACTTGTTCGTATTTTCTCGTTTTACACCTTTGGAAGCTCTTATAATGTGATTTATAATTCAACAATGTGGTTGTATAGAATAACAATAAACTTTTTATAATCAAATTAGGCTGAAAATTTCGAATGGATACAAAGAGTTACTTTGTTTGGTTTGTCACATCTCTATGCTTTATATGAAACATGAAACGCAAATATGTACATCTCTTGTCATGTGTCAATATTTACACGGAACAACAGCTAGCGTGTATGGCCTTGTTCATTTCAGTTATAAATACTTTTACAGGTGTCATCATAGACAAAATAAATGAAATACATAGAGAAAATAAAAGGAATAAAAGAAAAATTTTTCTCTCTCTATGCTAACCAATCAAAATTAGACTTCCTAATAGCCGAATAGTCTAGTTAACAGAGACATTTGTATGAAGGAAGTAGAAGTAGATTCGTAGATTGCGTAAATAGAAAACTTTTTTTTACCGCCCGGCAACCCGTCCTTGGCGGGGAGAAATTGAAATGCCGTCTTCCCGTCGACCAGGAGACCATCAATGGGCGAGAGATGGCCGATCGCGCACGGAACGCGAATCTACCGCGATCGATAACTCGAAATTTAGCGTTCCATGTCATTTGTAGGAATTAGATTCTTGACATTAGGCAACCAGTTTTACGCTGTATTTACTCGATGAGAATTAAACTATTAATCTATGCTGTAGCTTGTGTGTTATTAGGAAGGTTAATAAATAAACGGAACTTTAATAAATTATATTTCAACGAATGCGTCAATAAATCTTCTACAAACGTAATATAAAAAACAATGTAAAATATCAACATTATAAAACTTTATAGAACATTGGGGTCTGTTCCAGACTCTGTAGAACCGTATTTACAAGACAGTATTGTATTTAGGAAATAAATTTTTACATATAAATATTGTTTTTTTTAAATAAATAAATAAAACGTATGAAGAATTTTACATAAAAGGCATTTCGTATTGAGATTTCTGAAAAATTGACAAGGAATATGAATATTTAACAAATATTTAACGAGAAATTTTCGAATGATCGACAAAATTATTCTTCCGATTTTTACAAATTGCGTTGAAAAAGTTTTGCGTTTTTTTTCAATAAACTCGACAAAACTTTTAACAGTTGACTTTCTTATCGTTTCTGCTATAAAGCATTAATAATAATGCCCAAAATGATAATTTTCTCTTAAAAATGTGTTTTGAAAAACGACGAAACATTTAGAATCTTTATTAATGCATCAGGATTCATCCAGGACTTTCCCTAGAAGTATCTCTCTTGATAACTCTTGAAAACAAATATTAGAAGTTCGAGTAGTTTGTGTCGAACGTATGAAAATCTCACGATAAATCGCGAATTTAAGAATTCGTATTAGGAGAGCAGAATGTGTGAAGAGGTTTACTCCTGATACTTATTACTCGCGCTTTACTAATACAATAGATAGGCAACCAGAATTACAGAAATTTGATTAAAGGGTTGCCTTTGTAAATATTTGTAATCGAACAGGAGCGCGATTAATAAGCGTCATATGTAGACCTCCTCGCACATTCTGCTCTCCTAATACGAAATTTCAAATTCACGTTTTATTTCGAGATTTGAGCACAAGTTTCGTCGATCTCCATTGATAAATTTCGGATATTAGGCAAATCTAAAGGCAACGCAAAACTTTTGTCGAATTTATTGAAAAAAAAAACGCAAAACTTTTCTCGAGTTTATTGAAAAAAAAACGCAAAACTTTTGTCGAATTTATTGAAAAAAAAACGCAAAACTTTTGTCGAATTTATTGAAAAAAAACCGCAAAACTTTTCTCGAGTTTATTGAAAAAAAAACGCAAAACTTTTCTCGAGTTTATTGAAAAAAAAACGCAAAACTTTTGTCGAATTTATTGAAAAAAAAAACGCAAAACTTTTGTCGAATTTATTGAAAAAAAACCGCAAAACTTTTCTCGAGTTTATTGAAAAAAAAACGCAAAACTTTTGTCGAATTTATTGAAAAAAAACGCAAAACTTTTTCAAGGCAATTTGTAAAAATCGGAAGAATAGTTTTGTACATCGTTTGAAAATTTCTCGTTAAAAATTTGCGAATTTAAGAATTCGTATTAGGAGAGCAGAATGTATGAAGAGGTTTACTCCTGATACTTATTACTCGCGCTTTACTAATACAATAGATAGGCAACCAGTATTACAGAAATTTGATTAAATGGTTGCCTTTGTATATATTTGTAATCGAACAGGAGCGCGATTAATAAGCGTCATAAGTAAACCTCTTCACACATTCTGCTCTCCTAATACGAAATTTTAAATTCGCGATTTATCGTGAGATTTTCATACCTTCGACACAAACTACTCGAACTACTCGAACGAATTTGTTTTTCCCGATTTTTCTGCTTTAATAGCTCCAGATTTTTACAAATTGCGTTGAAAAAGTTTTGCAATTTTTTTAATAAACTAAGAACAAAAAAAAACTAAGAATTCAAAATTCAGGATTAAGGATGTCATAAGAAACTTTTAATATTCTACTTTCTTAACGTTTTGGCAATAAAGAATTATTAATAATGTCCAAAATGTTAAATTTTCTTTGTAAATGTGTTTTGAAAAACGACGAAACATTTAAAATATTTATTAATGCAGGATTTATCCAGGACTTTCCCTAGAAGTACCTCTCGATATAATAAATATCTCTCTACTGGACTTCCTCGAAGATTCGAGATTTCGAGTTTTATTATGTTGCTATACTAAAAGTTGTATCAAGTCGTTAAAATGGTAAAAAAAGAAAACAAACAATCCGTATTTACATTTTTGAATAAATTAAATAATCAATCAACAATTAACTTAATTTAATTCTTAATTACAAGTTGGTAGTACATTCTAAACTTGTACTCACTTAATTATAAACGAAAATAACAATAGTTAGGAGTTTACACTATATATATTATACAAAAAAAAGAAAAATCAAATCACCATACTAGCGTTTGTAAAATGTCTTTACTCAATTCACTCGTAGAGTGCAAATCGCAATATTCGAACATTCGAACATTCCAACATCGTACCGGCTATAAAGCAGTACTCAAAGTAATTTCTTCGTTTTTTTCTAAAAACTTCCGAACGTACGCCTTGATCTCACTTTCGTCTGAAAAACAAATCGAAACCCTTATTAAATACTCGCAAATTTTACCAAAAAAAAAAAAAAAAAACAACCAACCTTTATCGGCCAAAGCGTGCGATATATTCCTAGCTAAAATCTTAAAAGTCTCCCTCGACTCGAACCGTTTCTCCGCGTAAGCGGGCGTCAGCAATTTAACCACGAGCCCCCCGACTTCGCTCTTCTTCAACTTCAACCTCTTGCGAGCCCTCGAATCCCCATCCGGCCGGCTCGAGTACTTCATCACGTTGACATCGGTGGCTTTCTGGCGCTTGTGATGGTCCTTAGAAGAGGGCGACGGGTGCTGTTGCGGTGAAGATCTCTCCTCTTCCTTACAATCCTCCTCTTTCCTGCGCTTCTTGTCCTCGCTTCGCTCCCTGCTGAGGCTCCTCTTGTCCCGATTGTGCCTATTCGCGTGCTTCTCTTTGGACGAGTACACGTCTAGAAATAAACGATGCTTGTATAGGGGTTATAAATTTTATTAAATATTAAATTATGGGTGTAATGGTACCTTTGCTGTTCGAGGATTTCGAGCCGCCTTCATCGTCGGAGTCCTCTCCGAACAGGCTCTTGAAGTTGCGCTGTTTGCCCGTCGCGCTCATCTCTCCGTCCTTCGGGGCGGCGTCCGCGTACAGTCGAGAGGCCGTTGTGAATGCCGGAGCGGTCTCGGCGTCGTCGACTAGCTCGCTGGCGCTCCGGAAGCCCGGCAAGGCGTCCGCCTCGGTGCTCTGCGACTGTCGCCGTTTGCTTAGGTTCCTGAACAGATCGGTGAGGGTCTCATGTTTGGCCGGCTTCGGCTCGAAAATCAGGAGTTTTTCATAAACGATTTCATCGTCGGTGAGCTTTTTGACGTTGGATATCTGGAACAATCGGAGCCTCGGGTATCGTCGGTGCGTACAACTGTGGGACGGTCGCCGGCGCCGTTTGAATCGTCCATTTGACGGTACGGTTTTACCACGATTTTTCTATCCGTTCAATTCGGCATTTTATGTAACTATACGTTTTTGTTTTTCGGATATTTACTTGCAATTGTGAAAAATGTGTCGCGCAAATACGTAAATAACTTACTGGAGGTCATCGATTGACAGTATTGACAGATGACAATAATGACATTTAAAAATTGTGGCTACGGTCGTATATTACAGATCAAGAAACTGTGCTGTGGATGATGTGACTCGCGACAGAGGACGCTAGTATCAGGTAGTTCAATCGTACACACATAACGCCACTTTTCCTTCATTCCGCTGTTTTGCCTTCCAATATTAATTTAATTTGACGACATATTCGTGCATAGTCACAATAAGCGCAACACGCTCACTACAACATAACGCCCAGTTTCCAGACCTGTACGTACGACCGTGCGTCTATGTGATTGTGGCTAAGCTTCCGCATACGGATTAATAATTATTTGAAAATATTTGTGGCTAAGTTTACAGTAACGGATATCTAAGAAAAAAAAATCGTACCGTTTTCGCTAAAGCGCTCCTATACATCGTAATGGTCGTATTAGCGGAAAATATCTCGTATTCCATATCAATTGAACAATCCTCGACGTCTTGTCTATCTAAAGTGGGTTCCTCTTGGCATTTAACGTAGTTTTCGTGCAAAACTTCCAGTAACTTCGTTACGTATTGTTCTCTCGTAGCCAAAGTGAGGCCTTTTACTTTGCTGGAAGAGGAAGCAGCTGCTTTGACGCGGGCGTGTTTCGATATCAATTTGTCTATGGTGTTTTGAGACATCTCCTACAAAAACAATTACATATTTTGTATACTAAATAGAGTGCACTTTGTTATATTATTATACAGGGTGTTCCAAAATGAAATGCTAATATTTAATAGGGTGATTCTTGAGCCCATTTTAAGGAAAAAACTTCATATGAACCAATGTCCGAAACGTCTTAACTTATACAGATAGATACAGAGTATTAAAGTTTTAAGAAAAAATATCAGTTTTTTGTAATAACAGTGTTACTATTTTAAATATCTTTATGAAATTTGGCACACGTCTTCTATGAATCAAGATGCATTTTCTGATGTACAAATAATTTCATTATTTTCAGCGGTGGCGTCCGTACGGGTTTTGCATTGAATATATTTGGAGAAAACAATGGTACGCCACTGCCTATTACTGAAATAAAAATTATTTTCGGAATCCTCATTCAATTTAGAACAAATTTGATTTCTCGACTTTTTTCCGTACGACTCATCATTTCGCGTTTACAAAAATAAATACAGTCACTTGTCCAATAATCACTCCCTCAAACATTAGCACGTCATTATGGAACACCCTGTATACCTGTTGGTTTCTTCGCAAAGAGAATTGTTTCTTAATAAAATCACTAGTCGCCTTTTTAGCTTTCTCTTCGAGCGCCTTTCGATTATCAAAACCCGCCCCGTCGTCGTCGTCACCGTCAGAACCAGCGGTTTTGTTGTAATCTGATTGTTCTCTAAAACACAAACCACATTAATAGTCCTCATTTATAATAATGAAGCATTTACTTTGAAGTAAAAGGTAAGAAATAAGGCGAAAATAAGAGAAAAAGGTTCTAAAACCTTATACAGAGATTTGAATCAGGGTCTTCGAAGCAAAACCTCTTTTCCTTCTCTTCTTTTTATACATATACCTTGAAGCGATTCCTTCATATTTTGAAGCAAAAGGTAACACTTCTAATTATAAATACGGCCTAATATCATTTAACTAGGCCCCAAAGGGGCCGTCGAGTACCTTTGTAAACCGTACCGTCCCTCGCCGTACATATCGGAGTAATCAATCTCCGAGTACGATTGGGCTTTGCTGTTAAACTGAATGCTCTTCGTGAGGAATTCCTCGGCCAAATCGCGCACCTTCTTCCCGTTCGCGCAGAAATCGCATCTGTTCGAGCACTCGGGCGGCGGCTCGCCGAAGTGATCGGTGAACAGTTTATGGCGGCATTCCCTGCGAAACGAATTGTAAAATTAACTCAAAAACTCTTTCAACGGCGTATTGTCGCTTACGTGGGGTTCTCGCAGTACTCCAATATCTTCCGGAACCCCTTCAGGGCCCGCTCGGAGCGTTTCTTTTTGTGCTCCACGTCGCCCGCCTTGCTGTAGTCCTGCGACAGGTGGAATTCGATGGCTTTGCTGTCGGATCTGTTGTAGTAGACGCGGCACTTGGACGGCTTGCCGTCCCTGCCGGCCCGGCCGGTCTCCTGGTAGAACGAGGCCGGCTCTTTGGGGCTACCCCAATGCACCACGAACCTACGAAAAATACGTTACGATTAGCACCGGGTATTTGTTGTTGGAGTTGTACGAGAGAGTACCTTACTGTTGATTTGTCTACGCCCATTCCGAAGCTGATGGTGGCGCAAATGACGGGTACGTCGCCGTTTTGCCACTGTTCCTGGAACACCCTTCGCTCGTCCGACTTCAAACCGGCGTGGTAACACAGAGCCTTCACGCCCAGCTGGTTGAGTTTCTCCATCAGCAGTTCGGTCTGTTCGCGCGTCCTGCAATAGATTATACCGCAGGATTTGCGCTGTTTATCCATCGATTTCTCCTCTTTTTCATTCAAGCAATCCAACACGAAGTCCCTGAGGTGTTTGTAGGGATCCGGCAGTAGATTGGGGTAGTGTACGTCGTAGAAGAGGTTGTTGCGAAAGCAGGACGTTCGAAAGGTTCGATAATCCGGGGCTAATTTCAGACTGGCTACGATGTCTTTGACTACATCGGAGTTGGCCGTTGCCGTTAGGGCTATGCAGGGCACGTCGACGTTGTCGCGTAGATCGCCCAGTTTGCGGTACTGCGGTCGAAAGTCGTGGCCCCATTCGCTGACGCAATGCGCCTCGTCTATCACTAGATAGGCGATTTTGTTGAATTTGTACAGGTTTTCGTATAGAGCCTGCAAAAAGTGCGTTTGTATTGTATTGTATAAGTGTTGTAGTAACTTGTAAGTACTTTGAATGTGGCTGTGGCTGCTTGTTCCGGTGTTACGTACAGTATTCGAGTATTTGGCGAGGTGGATTTCAAGTCCATTAATACGGATTCTCGTTGTGCTGAGGTTATTTTGGAGTTTATCGTCGCTGCTCGTATTTTCAAAGCCGTTAAATGGTCTATTTGGTCCTAAAAATCGCTTGATTTTACTATAAAATTGAAGGTAGTTGTGACCCATCGATTACTTTAATAAGAGCTAATAGCGGTGAGAAAACTATGGTGATTTTTCCCGGGTGCAAAACGGCTGGTAATTGGTAACAAAGGGATTTCCCAGATCCAGTTGGCATGGAGATGAAAACGTCTCGTTTTCCTACAAATTATTCATTTAGCGATGCGTGTTTAATCGAAATTTTTACTTACTTACTTTGACATATTTCTACTGTAGCCTTACGCTGGAGATCCGATTTGAATTCGTCGAATTTAAAATGTTTTTTTAAGCCGTTGAATATTGTTGTCTCTTCCATTTCAAATAAATTTTCATTTGACAGATGATTTAGTGAGGTTAGGAAATCTACTTCTACTTCCTTCATTCGAAGGCCTGTGTTACTAGTGTATTCGGCTACCAGGAAGGCTAGTTTTGTGATTGGTTAGTGACTATACACGTGTCTGTCAAAATTTTACTAAGTAAGTAAGTAATTTTACCATTGAAGTAAGAATAACTTCTCTATTCTAAAATTTAAAAATTTTCCTAATTAGTCTAAGTAACAGACACCCATAGACAAAATAAAAGTCTTTCATCTTCAAAAATCATCTTTCTTTCTCTATGCAGACACCTCAAGACGTCTAAGATGAATACGTCAAATGAAACAAAAACTTATGACCAAATAGACAAGAGACTGAGGCCGTAATACTTTAAAGAAGTAAGAAGAAGAAGTGTCAAATTTAGCGCGTTTTTCATTCGTTTTATGATTTTACTGTATTTTTATTTTTGCATTATTATACCGTTTTTAAACATTTTAAAACTTCGGAATAATATAAATTGGATTAATAGCGTGCGAAAATGTCCGCGAAACACGAGGACCTCCGATACGCTCACGACAGGGGCCACACGGATTTGTGCTTTTTAGAAGATGGAAGGTTCGTTTTTGTCTAATAAAACAACTAAATACTAAATAATGATTGAATTTTTAGTAAATTTGTTACTTGCGGCACGGACGGCGATATCAGAATTTGGTCTACAGACGAACAGGACCCCGTAAATAACTATTCCACAGGCGGCGAATGGTCCTTATCAGTAGCCAACAAAGGCGACAAACTCTACATATCTACAGATAACAACGACGTTGCCATTCTATCTCTGGAAAATGGGGCTAAAACCGGCGTTCTACACAGATCAATAGCGGCATTTAATCACATCGCAATCGATAAAAATAACGAGGTATTGTTAGATCCACCGAGTTTACTTGTGTACCCGTTAATACGAACGTTTTTCAGATAATCGCACTGGCGAACGAAGCCAAAGAAGTCGTAGTGATCGATTCGAAGTTGTCGCAAACGAAGGTTTTCAATCAATTCGATGGACCTTGCTTAAGTGTATCTTTGAATGCAACATCGCATTTATTAGCAGTATCTTCGGGCGATACGAAACTCCGAATATTCGACTACAAAACCGAGACATTGGTGCACGAACGATGTTGTTTCCCCAAAACCAACAGCTTCTCCAACGGAAAGTTGCTCCATCGGATGGATTTTGAGCCCTCTCGCGGCCAGCACTTGGCCTATCCCGAAAAGAATACTGTCGTAGTATTGCGAGTATCCGAATGGTCTACACAAATTATATTGAATTGCCCAGATGTGGACGTTTCCTACTCGATCGTTCGCTATTCGCCTTGCGGTAAATACGTAGCGGCTGCTTCGGAAAAAGGCGATTTTGTCATATGGAATTGGCTGAACGGAGAAGTAGTAAACGTCAGCAAACATTCCCTTTCTACCGCTGTGTGTGGACTCGCTTGGAATCCGCTAGGTAATACAAAAAAAAACGAATATTTTGTTCGCTTTAACGTGTATTTCGATTGCAGAAACAAGCCAAATAGTTTATACGGACGTAGAAGGACAACTAGGAATAATGCGTTGGTCCAATTCGAGCACATCGAAATCCGAAGAAGCTCCGAAAGATACCGTTGAAAATCAACTAGACGACGAAGACGACGAAAACGTATTCTCTTTGAGCAAACTCAAACAACAATTCGGCGACTTAGAACCAGTAGTATCCGATAAAGGTACCCAATTTACTCAACACCGATGCAATAAATTCATTTACCTTTATTGTAGACTCGTCCAGGTCGAGCACGCCGAGACCCCGAACGCCGGATGCCCCGTTACAAGCGGCTTTCATGCCCTCTTCGACGCCCGAACACCTCGATCCTCGGTACATGTGCTGGAACGACATCGGAGTGATCAGGTGCTACGGTAACGCTGCGGACGAGGCCAGCTCCGGGTCCATCGAAGTGGAATTCCACGATGCCAACTTCCACCACAGCATGATGATGCAGAACTATCAGGATTACACGATGGGGGCGTTGAGTAAAGCCGCGTTGGTCGTTGCGAATTCCAAGTTCGGTTTTATACATCGTGTTGCGGTGCATGTATAATTCATGGCGTTTTTTTTTTTGTAGTGTTATACATGTGGTGCCGTTGATGGCTAGTTCTAAAGAGTGGACGTTGAAGACTGAGGAAGAGGTGGTTTCGATAGCTGCCTCAGGACGATTGGTGTGCTTCGCTACATCGAATTACATCGTGAGAATAGCTTCGATTTATGGTACACAAAGGGCTGTAGTATCAGTTCCGGGGCCTGTAGTTGCGATGGCCGCTTTCGAAAACGTCCTTATGGTGGCCTATCACTGTTCGGGTATTAGAAACGGCGATCAGTGCATCGGTATTCGCTTGATTAGGTTCGATGGTAATGATGTAATATCGCTTAATCGAATCGTTTGTAATTTCGAAAGTATTTGTAGGTGCTACGATCGAGTGTAGGGATATACAGTCGGCTTTAGGGCCGGAATCGACGTTGGCTTGGCTGGGTTTCTCGGACGTCGGGACGCCCGCTATGATGGACTCGTCGGGTATGCTGTCGATGTATCCTCGAAATACTAATCTTTGGATACCCGTTTGCGATACGTCGAAACACGTAAGAGATAAGCTCGAATCGCCTACGAGAAATTAATTGTATATTTGTTTTGTATTTTTTTAGAGAAAATCCCCCGACGACGGTTTCTTCGCGACTGCCGTATTCGAATCGTACGGAACGATAGGAGGTATCAGATGTAAGGGTACTATTTATCCGGGTTTCACTCCACGGCCTACTGTGTGCGAAATACCGATCGAGCCGCCATTTGCGGAAACTGGCAACGATAAAACTAAAATGGAGATGAACCTGTTCGCTTGGTCCACTTTACAGGTATCCAATACCGAGAAAAAGTTTAAGGAAACCGCCATCAAAACGTTCGCTGTAAGTGAAGAGGGATAACTCGGTGTGTACAATTTAATTGTTGTTTTCTTATAGTTGGCTTGTAAGAATGAATTGGACGAACGGGCTTTCGAGTTGATGGAAATGTTGGTCGATCCGCAAATAACGGCGTTGGCCTTGAAATATTCGACGAAATTGGATAAGAGACGTTTGTCGGAGAAATTGAACCAGTTGCTCGAGAAGATCAACGATGATGGCGAGGATGTGGATGAGAAGGTAACTACCAATTTTCATTTTTTTTATACGTTAAATAATATATTTATTTTAGGTAGAAGAGAAGTCGAATTTGACAGGCGTGACATCGAACTTACCGAACGTGAAACTGAGTAGGAAGTTGGCCTATGGTCTAAAGAGAACTCCAAAAAATAAACCACTAGAACGATCGAACGAGGTCTGCATAATATGCTACTTACATCTACTAATACTTCTAATATTCTATATATTTTTTAGATACCAAAAACTCCTGACGTAATCGAAACGACTCAAGAAGTAAGTTTTTTATACATTCATCCAACTTCCTAAATAATTATTTCATTTTCGTTACAGGAAATCTCCACTCCCGTTTTGGACATTACCTTCAATAAGTCAGTTACTGATTCCATGATTAAAGTAAGTTATTCTAAACATTTCCTATTCTCGTAAATTTATTATGCTGTTTATTTTTTAGGAATTGGAAAGTCGAGAAAAGAAGGTCAATCCGTTTTTGAAGCGCTTGAAATCGTCCCAAAATGACGCACAAAGTCCGAATCCTCTTAGCCTCACCGACAAATTCGCGGGCGTTACTTACCCAAAGGAATCCAAAGAGAATAAGGATAAAAATTTAGAGGTAAGTTCTATATTAATTATGTATGTCGGATGCATCTATTTTCGCACGTTTTTTTTGTTTTCTAGGCTGGAGATAAACGGAAACTGGCCCAATTGGAGGCGGGGAAACTGACTGGAAACGAAAGTAAAGTAAAGCAGAGGAAACTGGATTTGTTCAAGTTTAAGAAGAACCCTTAGTTGTTAACCACAGATATCGCGTTTTTTTATTTTAATATATTTTTGATAATGTTAAGTACGAATAAATGAAGTTTTGTTTTTTAAATAAATAGCTTTTATTTTTTTGTTATATAACTTATAATTAAATCAAAGAATTGAATTTATTCCAATCGCTATTATGTAAACTACATATGTGTGAAATATACACGGACTGTCAAAAGAAGCACATCGTATCGGCAAAAATAGTCTTTTTATCCATTCAAACATTTAAAATCTGCACACAATCGAACACGGTATATCTTTACCCTCGACTCGTGCGACTCCCAACAATCTAACAAAAAAAAATATACACAAACTTTTACCGTTAACGTCGTCGCTTCGAAAGAGATATTGGCCAAAGAAACGTGGCGATAGATAACGAACTTTGTAATAAAGTAAGCGGCTTATTTCCTGGCGGTCGTATCCGTAATGTGATCCGGCTTCAAACCGGCCGAAAAACGTTCCCACATCTTGAAGTAGAGCAACTCCAAACCCTGAGCGTACTGTTTGCAATCGAACAACGGCGACAACGTCCTGGCCGTCCACACCTTGTGCCTCATAGCTTTCAAACTGCAACAACAAAATCATCAATTTTAAATATCCCGAAACAATTCGACATCGTTAAAAGTGTACAATACAGTGTTGTTAAGTAGTTAACTACAAGTAGTTAAAAATGTAGTTCAACTACTTTTATTGTATTTAAATAACCAACTAACTACTTTTGTAAGTCCAGACTCTTAAATGAATTTATTTAATTTTTTCAAATAATATTAAATTGCCCTCTAAAAAGAGCCTATTTTATTGTTCAAATAGCAATTTCAGTGTTTCTATTCTAAATGAGCAAATCGGTGGTCCTGTAAAGGGCCATTTAAAAAAGAAAGGTCGATTAACTTGTGAATTATGAGTAGTCCACATCTTTCCCTCCACCTTTATTTGAATTTAATGCTATTTATGAGTATATTTAATATACTCATACCGCGCCGCTTATATTTGAATTTGACATGACTCCTGCACCATTTTTTAATAACATTGACAGATGAGTCACTTTATATCGATTTGAAACTAAAGTGTAGTTGTAGTATGTAGTTAACTACATTATACAAAGTAGTTTTAACAACAACAACACCGGGACAATATCATTCGTCGCAACTTACTATTCCTTATCGGTGCCTAATTTAATAGCGATATCCTCGTACTCCTGCCTCGAACCGGCGATCAGCTCCGGACAACCGAGCGTATTCAATTGGCTGGCCGCCACCCTCGAGGCGAGCGTCTCCCCGGGAAACGTCACCACCGGCGTGCCCGTCCACAAAACGTCCATGCTGGTCGTGTGGCCGTTGCACAGCGGCGTGTCCAGGCACACGTCGGCCAGCTGGCCGCGTCTGACGTGCTCCTCCTTGGCCGCCACGTTGCTGAAGATGATCTTGTCGGGCGGCAGGCCCAAGTGGCGCGCCGTATTCAACAGATTCGGCTCGCCGACGGCGGGGAAGCGCAACAGCCACAGCACCGCGTTCGGCACGGCCTTCAGTATGTTCACCCACGCGTGCAACGTGGCCGGATCGATTTTGTACAATTGATTGAAGTTGCAATAGACGACGGCGTCGTCGGGCAGACCGTATTGTTGTCGCGTGGTGACGACGATGCTTTGGGGCACCTCCTCGCCGGTGGCGGCTTTGTTGTTCGTTTGCGTGGTGGCCAGTCCGTTTTGGACGACGACGCCGTTCAGCGACGTCTGTATCTGCCCCGAGGCGATCATATTTTCGATGGGCGTGGTCGTCGGTAGTTCGGCCACTTTCATACTGATCTCCACCGGCCTGGCGGCCCGGACGATCTCCTTGATCTCCTTCACCTCGGTGCTTTCGACCAACGGCGACAGATCGGCGGCGTTGATGATGGCCACGTTATCGGCCAGATGTTGACCCGTGCGATCGCTGACGATCAATCGCTCTTTCAGATGCGGAAACATCTGCCGGTGATCGCCGACGAAGTACGTGTGCGGCATGTACGCTAATTTCTCGCTGTACTGATCGGCCAATTCGACGGGCGACGTCACGGCGTCGGTCACCAAATAGTCCATGAAATTGGCGCCGCTCGTGCCCGGATAGCCGAGCCACATGACTTGCACGGGCGCCGGTCGCAGGGCGAATATCTCGTTGCGGGCGCCCTTCGTGTAACCGTTCATATTCACCAATATGTGAATGTTGTCGGAGTAAATGCGATCGGCCGCTTTGCCGTTGCACGCCACGTTCGACAGATCGATAAAGTGCTCGGCCTCGCGCGTAATCTTACTGCGAAACGTCGTCCCGTCGTCCTGGCTCAGCGCGTAACAGAACACCTCCACTTTGGTTTTGTCGTGCATGCCGGGCACCGATTGCATCAGATGCGACGTCGGATGATTGCCGAAGTCGCTGCTCACGTAGCCGATGCGCAGGCGACCCTTCAATTCGACGCCGAACTTGTACGGGTACTTGTGCAACACGTTGATCTTCTCCAAGCAGAGGTTCGCGTGCCGGGCGGCGATCGCCTTGCGGAATTCGTGCGACAACGGATAGAGCATCGAATGGTGCGGATGCACCGACGGCAGCCGGTTCTTTTCGAGCTGTTCGGCCACGATGTTAACCAGCTTCTTCATGCGCGCGTCGTAATCGGTCCAATCGCAGACGATTTGTAGGCAATGGGCCAGGTTGCAGTAGGCGTCGGGAAAGTCGGGTTTCAGCTTCAGCGCCGTCCGGTAGGATTGTATGGCTTCGGGTATGTTGCCCGAATCCTTGTGGATGCTCGCCAGGTTGCTGTGGGCGTCGGCGAACGCCGGATTGATCTGGATGGCGCGCGTGTAACATTGCAACGCACCCGACACGTCTTGCATCTCCTTCAACGTGTTACCTAACAACAACAAAAAATTCACCCTTTAATTTCATCGATACGACTAACAAAAGATGAAGATAGTATTTGTGCTAGCGCCATCGTATAATCGTACACCGGTTAGTTACAAGGCGGTTGTACGCGGAGTTCTAGCATTAACCGAACGATTCTTAAATAGCTTTAGAGGGGATTAAATGAAAAAAAAAAACTTACCCATGTTCGAGTAGGCGTCGGCGAATGTCGGTTGAATTCTGATGGCTTCCTTGTAATGCATGAGGGCTTCGTTCAATTTGCCCTGTTGCTGTAAAACCGAGGCCAGATTGCTGTGAGCGGCGGCGAATTCGGGAAACACCTCCAAGGCTTTCAGGTACAATCTGGTCGCTTCTTCGATGTAACCTTGTTCCCTGCGGAAAACGCAAACAACCTTAGATCATATATACTAACGTGGATGCATCAATGCCATAAGAATTACATGTACGTTTCTGTTGCCAACATCTACAACATGCCTAAATTATACTCTCTTTTCCTTCGCCTATATAACCTATGTTGCAATCAAAAATTGAGCAACCTGTATATGATCTAAGCAAACAACTAAACTTAACGACTAATATCGAAATAGCTAACTATTAAAAGGCACTTTAAACGTTACCAAACAACTTATACAGTAAGTGAATATACAGTACCTTTTGATGTTGGCCAAATTGTTGAGCGAATCGGCGTGCGTCGGGCACAGGCGCAACGCCGTATTGTAGCATTCCTCGGCATCGGAAACTTGGCCCTTTTCCTTCAGCGCGTTGGCCAAGTTGCAGTAGGCGTCCGGGAAGTTCGGCTGCAATTCGATGGCCCGCCTGTAAGTGTCGATGGCCAAATCGATGAGGCCCTGTTCGTAGTAGACGCACGCCAAGTTGCCGTGCACCACGGCGTTGTTCGGCGACAGATTCAACGCCCTCAAATACGCCGCTACCGCCCTGCGCGAAGAATATTAAAACGATCGAGTTAGTAAAAAAATTGACAGATATCGATACGAGTTTTTTTTTTAATCAAGTTAGCCTCGGATGTCAAAATTGACAGATGTCGGTACGAGTTATTTTTTCGCCAATCAAGGTCACTATACTTTAGAAGGTTGGTTCGTTTAGGGAAGCGAATGACGTCATAAGATTCTCACGAGGTTTTTTTACTCAAGTTTCGTTCGTTTTTAATTCAGCGAGCTACAATTCGTGTAATAATTAGTGCGGAAAAGAAGTTAACAAAAAAAATATGGAACCTTTTGATCTGTCCTTTGATCCAAACGAGACAACCGTCGTCGGTTGGGCCGTCGTCGCGACGCTCCTTCGTCGCTTGTATATCGACGACCGTATAGACGATGACGCATTGTAACTCCATGCCGAATCCGAATCCGAAACGTCGTCTATCATCATCGGCATCGCAAACGATCTATATCGACGGTCCGGCCGTCCCCTAAACGACGCCCCGGGCGTCGAGTTCGACGCGAGCTATCGAGACGGCGCGACGGAAAACGCTCACTGGCCGGAAAAATTCGACGAGTTTTTCTCTCGAACATGCGGGCGATTAAATTCGACCGCTTGCGTTAGTTAACATTAGGTAATTTTCATGGCTTTTTTCAGTTTAGTGTTCGGAAGCGTGTCGACATGGGCGTCGCCACTCTTTGATCAAACTGGTTTATTTGTTAGGTGCCATTTAAAAGAGACTAATCTGAACGGCGATTTTTTTTAAGAGTTAACTTTGAGTGCGATTTTAGATGACTTGAGTACGAGGGTAGGGTAATAAGTTCTCGGTCTGAATCATTTAGATCCGTCTATAACAATCTAGAGCGCTCCAGAATCATTTTAGAACGGTCTAGAACCATTTAGTACGCTTCAGAGTCGTTTAGAACGCTCCAGAATCATTCAGAACTCTCTAGAATCATTTCAAACTGACTAGAACAATTTAGAACGATCCGGAATCATTTAGAACTATCTAGAACAATTTAGAACGTTGCAGAACCATTTGAAACTCTCCAGACTCATGTAGAACGCTCCAGAATAATCTAGAACTGTCTAGAACAATTTAGAACGTTCCAGAATCTTTTAGAACGCTCCAGAACTCATCCAGAATTATTTAGAACTGTCTCGAACTAAAGATTTCGACTCAGTAAGAAGAATAATCTAATTTTTCGACTGAAAATCGTGGTATTTCTTTGTCGGGCCGAGAACTTTTCATCTTACCCTTGTATACGCTTGCGATTTCAGTTGGTTTCGTTTCAGGATAATCTACGATTAAAAATTTCGAACCCCTTTTATCATCTTGAAAAAAGAATTATTATCTCGAAAGTGGAATTAACATTTATACCCTTTGGCTACGCCCGTGCACGCCGATAATTTATTTACATCTAATTTTAGTCGCCAAATAAATATAGAATTATTTCAAGGTTTTTCGCCGAAAAATCCCAACAACTTTGCGCGTTTTTAAAATCCATAATCGAAACCAATAAGCACCGTCGAGTCATATACTCACTCATATTAATCACTTTCTTAATACGAAAAAAAAAATCTATTTATTTTAATCCAATAAGGACGCTTTTTGTGGTATGATCCCTCATTTTATTGTCGTACGATAATATACAAATATAAGCAACAATTGTACGCATATACAAATCGAGCAGTTACGAGTAAATCGTTCAACAGGGGATGTACAGGAACGATATAAGAAAATACAGACACAAGGACGAAATAAAAAAGAAGAAAGGCTTGTAGAGTTAGAAGTAAAAAAGGGAGGAGGAGGAGAAGAAGAAGAATAAGTGAACAGAAAAAAGCACGCGCACGCACTCACACACACATTCACGCGCGTTCTCGACGATGGCGAAAATTAAAATAAGGGGTTGTGTAGGTTCACGCAACCCCCCATTCGGGGCCAGCTGGAGGCGGCGCGGAGGTTGTTTTTCGAGCCGAGCCGTCGCCAACGGCAACCCGAGAGGCTGCGCCATGGCGCACTATGTGACGTCAATCGCTCTATCAATATACAGGGTGTCCCTGTCGGATTGAACGCGGGTAACACACCACTGATTTTATGGCAAAAATCCTGTATACATTTCGCGAAGTACGTTTTAGTGACAACAAAAAATCCACAAAAGCCGTAATTTTCAATGATATGCAATACTCGTATAGAGACGAAGTATTGCTAGTTAAATAAGGGACACCATGTATATACTGTGGAGGCGATTTCTCCATTCGATATTTACCAGTAGCGCGGAGAGTGCTGCGAAAATCGAATGCAAACCGTTCTGTACGTATAAGGATTGTGATATTCGATGGTTATAAATTATTGTTTCGCACGGTATAAGGTAGACTGGGACAAATCGGTTGTAAAATTTGAATAGTTCAAATTAAATCCTAAAATGTGGCTTTATTTTTTCTCTTAATAGAAATGCTGATACCACATTAAATTGACAACTTCCTAAACTAAAGAATCGAGGTATTAAAAAGTTTTTTTTGAAAAAGGAGGAAAACGATTTTACATATTTTTTAAAATGTTGACACGCCCGTACCAGGGGGTAAATGTAACAAACGGGTCTAAGGAGACAATATAATTATGTAGAAAAACATATGGGGCAATTGTAAATACATATTTAGTTCCTTTAAAATTTGATATGCTGTTTATTTATTTCAAAAAATAACAGAACTACAAAATAAAAAAGAAAAAATAAAAAACAAATCCTGTCTAATGCACAAAAGAACTACAAAAATAATAAAAACATTAACATAATAGGTAAAAATATTACATTTACCTCATTTTTACATTTGCACCAGTCTACCTTACTTCATTTGAATAGAAAATAAAAATGAACTAAAGAATCATTTTTTGTTTGTAAAAATACACTTGTTGCTTAAGATTTAACAATATTTATGATAAATTTGATGAAAATTTTAGAATATACCGGATTATCGACCTCTTAGGAGAAACTAACTCAAAAAAACATTTATTTGAAAATTCCACAAATACTGGCAACGTTCCAACGTCCAATAGTACAAATATTATTTCGATTATACCCGAGCAATCGATATTCGAAGGAAGACAAAAATAAAAAAAACCACCACGATATATAATGACTCGAGATATAATTCTCTCGTCCATTAAATTCGTATTTTTTCCGATTACTTTTTCCATATTTGTCGAGTTAATAGCACGACGAGCGAGGCGCGACATGCACGAAACCCGACATAATATCATTTCCAATTTGTTAATCTTAATGGAAACCTGTCAGTATACTTTTTTTTCTCATCGAAATAAATTCGCCACATTTGTACAAAAATTCCAAGCAAATTAATGCGAAATTACTGGCTATTTCTATGGAATTACTGTCTTTCATATTGTATGCTTATGCAGTTACTTGTCCCGCTATTATGAGGCCGGAACTGATTAATTATACAGGGTGTATCTGAAATAAGTGGTGAAACTTTGGGAGCAAGTAGAAAACCTCAAAATATGACAAATGTGACTAGAAGAATTACAATGATCACTGTTGTAGATTAATAACAGTTTCTGTTATTAATTCGCAGTTCAATAAAGTTTCTGATCCATTATTGATAAACAAAACACCACCGACTTAAACGGTAATTTTGCAAATCCGACGTTGCCAAATTGTTATACGAATTAACGAGATTTAGGTAATAAACAAGAAAAATAAAAAACGTACCTATCGAAGATCCTGGCCTCTTTGAGCACGTTCCCCAGGTTGATGTAGGCGTCGAGGAAATTCGGATCCAAACCGACGGCCTTTTCGAAATGGTGTATGGCCAGCCATATCTCCCCTTGGGCGTTGAACACGCACCCGAGATTGCTCCAGGCGACGGCGAAATCCGGTCGCGTTTCGATCGCCTTCAGATAGCAGGCCTTTTTTCGTTTTCGCATCGAACAAAAATAAAAGAGAAACAGAAAAAAACGCCACGTTAATTTCGATCACACTGTATGCGGGTTCTGGCGAATGATATAAATGTGTCGCAATAGCGCCGTTAAGATTAAAGAAAAAAAATATCGCCTGTACGCGTTTTGAGACCTCTCCTGAATTTTCAGTAGTTTTTCTTATTGTAGAAAACAAAAAAAAAATATAGTGTCGCCAAAATGTAAATTACGCCGTGTTACGCACTTGGATTTTTGCTGGTGTATCGGTGAAATACCAAGTCATATTTTTAATCTAAATTAATTTCATATGTACTCGATTTTTCACCAAAAAAATAATATAAAAATGGGTTGGATTTATCTACTATAATAATTCGCAATTAATAGTTTACACATAAATCCAACCTATAAATATAATGACCCTTGTTCAGCGCCTCACTTTAACCTTAAACATCCCTTTAGAGGGTCGCCTTAACGTAAACAAAGTCCATAGTTACTCCATAACAACTAATGTAAATCTGCCATTTTGAAAAAATCTCCTTAGTTACTCCATAACAACAATGTAAATCTGTCAAATTGAAATAATGCGTCCTTAGTTACTCCATAACAACCAATGTAAAACTGTCAATTGAAAGAATCTCCTTAGTTACTCCATAACAACAATGTAAATCTGTCAATTGAAAGAATCTCCTGAGAACTGTCAAGTTAGAGGCGCGTTTTTTAACTTTTAAAATGAGACGCTGAATACTGACCGTTAGATACAAAAAAAAGCTACGCCAAATACAAAAAAAAATCCACCAGTAATACAGATTTTACGCATTTACGCAAAAAAACGCCGTCGATAAAGAGCAATTGACGCCAAAAAATAAAAAGCCTATGCCAAACGAAGCGCGTTAGGAGGGTCCCACAAGCTCCCGTTTTACTAAACGAGCATACCTCCAATTTTACCTAAAAATCAAACCACCGACGATCGGAGAGCGAGATTCGCATTAGAAGAGACAACCACATAACGTATCCTCGTTGTCGTGTCGTTTCAACGAATCGAACAGTACCAAAAATAAAAACCAATCCAAATTCCTGGCCCAATAACCGTTTTGGGGGGAGGTTTAGGTGAGATAGAGATATACAGAGAAGGGAGGTTGCGGTTGCGGTACTTTACCTGACAACTCTCGAGCTCGCATTATTTTCGCCCCTTCACCGTCATCGTGTCGCGCAAAATCGACCAAAATCTGCCACACGCACCTATATCATCATACAGCAACATAGTAATTAACCATTAGTCAATAAATTCTATTACTTAAATTGTAATATAAATAAAAAAAAAACAAAAAAAAGAGAAAAATTGAAGCCGTTAACTGTTGCGATTCGACTGGTCCCAATCGAAACTCAACGCTTACTGTGTGTGCGATAGCCGGGCGAAGAAATCGAATTTCGTGAGCTCGATAACCGTTTTATAAGAGGCCATAACACTTCAAAATGTAGCTTATAATTACTAACGTAACGGACTGAATAGTATTATTAGTAAAGGTCTGATATTTGCGATTTAACTAAATTTACTAATGAGGCTACAAAAAAAACTATTTAATTTCTTCGCCCTTTATCGAAAACGCAAAATAAAACAGTTCGGGTACGATTGAATGTGTGAACGAAAAAAAATATATCTATCGATTTCAATTTATTCGACTGGTTTTTTTCAATTTCGAATGAAAATACGAGACTACGGTTTTACGCAATAAAATAAACGCAACGGTCAATAATTACACATTTCTTTTGTTTCAATTACGCAATACCTAAATTTCGCTTGTAATTAATTATTGACCGCTTTCGACCTGAAATAGAAATATCAAATAAAACGCAAAAAATACAAAAAAAAAAAACGGATAATATAACGCCAAAACGTACGATGGGGTCCCCCTAAAAAAAATCACAAACACCCGATTCGTTTACGCCACTTTTTCTACCAACATTACGCAACACCCTGTACATTACGATTATACGCAGATAGCGCGGCAAATAGCGTTGAAAATCTCCAGTCGAACATATTAACGTATTATTAATCCCATTTAAACAACAACCAGTTGTATTTACGTAACCAAAACGTACCATTAACCAATTACAATAATTCATCTCTACAAACAAATTCAACGACTGGTCGTTAATTCTCGCGCTTCAATTAACATCGATAAAAATATTTTTTCTCTCTAATAAACGAAATCGAAACCACCAAAAACGAGCACCTCGCCGATATTTGATCACTTACTTTTGCCTCGTCTAAACGACCTAAAGCTTTTAGGAGATTTCCCAAATCACTACGAACACAGTAGAGATCCTGCAAAGGAAAAAAAAACAAATATTAATTCGGCACACAGTTATGTTAGGGCCAGAAGAGCTTATCTAGAGCTACTACACTTCTAAGATTTCACCAAGCAGTTCTAGATATGCCCACTGAGGCCGAATAGCCTCATTAGCCGAGGCCTCAAATTTATTAAAACAAGAAAAACTCACTGGTTTGTATTGTAACGCGGTTATGTAAGCCTGTACGGCCTGCTCCATGTCGCCGGCAGCCACCAATGCCGCCGCCAAATTGATATATCCATCAATGAAGTCGGGCTTCAGCCTTACGGCGTGCCTGTAATTGTCCAAGGCCTCTTGCAAGTGGCCCCTTTCTTTGTACACGTTGCCCAAATTGCTGCAACAGAATATTAAACTTAACATAGCCACAATATTGGATGGAAGAATATAACAAATAGAGTGTGGAAAATATGCACTAAAAATGGAAAAATATGCATACAAATATGCAATTGAATCATTAGCTCGGCACCGAGCATTCGTTAGCATTCATGAACAAACATTATGCATATGCACTTGAATCATTTGAAACTGTCTAGAATTAGAATCATTTAGAAATGTCTAGAACCTTTTGGAATCCTCCAGAAGCATTCAGAATTAAATAGAACCGTTCAAGACAATCCAGAATGATGTAGAGTGCTGCAGAGTAATTTAGAACTGTCTAGAATCATTTAGAATGTTCCAAATCGTCCAGAACACTATATTTAAGACTTCTCTGAATGGGCATCGGGTATTTCTTTTAGTTACCCGAATTTATTAAGTTTTTTATTTAGTATTGTAATAGTTTATTGGCAAAATATATTGAAAAATGCAATTTTATTTTGCATATTTTCCAGGCCCTAACAATAAGTAATTGTATTATTGCATTTAAAGAACCTGAGAAGTAACCCTGAGAAGTAACAAATAAGTGTTAAATAAGAGGGTAATAAATGTGGTAATTAAGTAGATTAAATGACAGCGTTTGTTTGTAATATATTACTGCAACAAATTAAATATATTTACAAGTTTTACCTGGGGTTTTTCCTTAAGAAAACCCGTTCGGAATATTGCAAGAATGTATATTTTTATCTGAATTCGACCTTAAAAGTTGTAAATATTTTCGCCAGTAACGTTCGTAAACAATTTCGTTATCTAGGAAATTTTGCACGATATATTAAACGATCCTCGTACATAACGAATTGGGATTAATTTTATATTGGTCCCTACCGGTATTGAAAATATTAACACGGAAAAGTCAACGTCAAGTTGCGAAAAAAATAAAAAAGATGGCCTCTCACCTGTAAGCTTCGGCCAAAAGGGGGTTCTGTTTGATGGCCAAAGTGCTGAATTGGGCTGATTTATCGAGTCGCCTGCATTGGAAATGTATGCTGGATAACAACAACAAAACGCCGGTGTTGGTTTGATCCTGTCGCCATAATTGCATGCAATGCTTTTCGGCGTTTTCGTAGTCGCCTGCCTGGTACTCCCGATGCGCCAGCTCCAACAAAGCTGAGAAAATCCAATCGTTCGATGGCGAATTTAACGAAATTTGCTGCGTACTTACCCACGGACGACATCGGTATGGCTTCGTTCATTTTGAGTATCACTTGACTGCCGATCGCGATGGTCTTGCTCGACGAAATCGGCTGATTTTGAGCGTTCACCACCGCCTGCTGGCCCTGCATGATTTCTAGTATTATTAATTTCACTTTCCGCTAAATTAAAACCTTTCTAAACCGAACTCAAAGCGCAACCGACGAGTGAAGATCGAATACAAAACGAAAACATAAACCACTACCAGTCGTAAAAACCCTATTGATTACTCGAACAATGAAACAGAAAGAGATGGCGCGATTCTGTCTTTTTTTAGCGCATGGTAGACTGGATTCGTGGAATTTTCCAGGGGTTATTTAACGATTTTTTTCGTTATTAGTAATGCTAATCTGTCTCTAGTTGAACGGGTTACAATATGTTTGTTAATCCTTACCTAATTAACGTGTTAATAGTGCTGATTCGCTGTTTTTTCCATTTTTTTTAATTATCACTAAATACACGCACTTAATTGACTCACCACCATTGACAATTGTACCAACATAAACCTATATAACAGTTATGAAGATCTAGTTATTTTCTTCTTTTTTAAAATGTTTGTAACCATGTAGCTTATGCGGTTTAGACCTCTATTGAAAATTTTTGACAAAAGTCAACAATAAATTTTGAATATAAAAAAGAAGAATTTGACTTTGACAGTTGTCATTTACAATTTAAAAATAATATTTTTAAAATATAATAAAATGAAAACTTTAGGAACAATTCTCAAGAGAATCATTCGAAATGTACATTATTCAACAATCGAAAGCACCGCAAAGCCTACTAATTGGAATTTGTCGCGGGCAATATATCAACAAATCCAAACGTCCGGCCCCATATCTGTAGCGGATTACATGAAGCTGGTACTCACGCACCCTTCGGGCGGTTATTACATGCACAAGGAAGCGATAGGCGAGGAGGGCGACTTCATAACGTCCCCGGAGATATCGCAGTTATTCGGCGAGATGATAGCCGTTTGGTTGATAAACGAATGGCGAAAAATGGGCTCGCCGAAACCCTTCCAAATCGTCGAATTGGGACCCGGTAAAGGCAGCTTATCCGCAGACATACTCAGAGTGTTTAATTATTTCAAAATCGATCAAACGGAGCTGCGATTAGTCGAAGTCAGCCCTCGCTTGAGGCGAGCGCAAGCCGATCGGTTGGGTGTTAAAGTCGATATGGATCAGTTCGAGAAAGGTCGGTTTGTTTGCAATAAAAGTATCCTCGAGTAATTAAACTGTTTTGATTTAAAGGCACAACTGACAAGAATATCACTGTTAATTGGCACAGACATTTAAACGAAGTACCTCGAAAGTTCTCCTTGTTTGTAGCGCACGAGTTTTTCGACGCTTTGCCAGTTCACAAATTCCACAAAACCGATGCGGGTTATAGAGAAATTCTCATCGATATCGATAAAAGCTCTGTCAAAGACCAGCCAATGTTCCGGTAACATCATCGATGACAGTAAATCGATTGATCTATTAAACTTTTGTAGGTATATCTTAGCTCGCAATCCCACACCTATGCAAGTTCTTTTGGACTCCAACGAAGCGAGGCACGACGTGGAAATTTCCCCCGAAAGCGTATTGTTGTACAAAGACATCTGCGAAAGGATCAAAACCGACGGCGGCGTGGCCTTGATCTGCGACTACGGCCACTTCGGTGGAGACATCGACAGTTTCCGAGCGTTCAAGAATCACCAACAAGTTCATCCTTTGAACGAACCGGGCTCATCTGATTTGACTGCAGACGTCGATTTCAGGGCGATAACGAAAGTAAATTTATTCCAATTTAAATTACGCCTCGTAAATTGTATACGAGTTATAGGTGGCCGATGATGTACAGGGTGTTCTGACGTTCGGTCCTGTTACGCAGCGAGATTTCTTGTTGAGGACCGGACTGGATGTTCGAGTGGACTCACTGAAACAAACCTTAAAGGATGCCGAGCAATTGGAGAATATCGACAAGTGTTTCGATTATTTGACGAACAATTCGAAAATGGGAGAGAGGTTCAAGTTTATGGCGATTCTACCGGAAACTATGAAGCCTATTTTAGATGTTCATCCCGTTGTCGGTTTTACGAACCAGTGAGACTCATTAAATTTGTTAGTTTTTTTGTAATTCAATATTCAATATACGTTCTCAATTATTTCTACCGTACTTTTGAGTTTGTCCAAATGCAATGTGACTGAAGAACCGAATTGTCAAGGTCACGTGTTAAAAATTTATCATGTTTGGGTTGGTGCACCTGCGCCAGGTGTCTTGTCACCCCATCTGTCAGAAATGTCAGTTGGCGATTTTATTTTCCAGAAATTCGACGCTATTGCGCAACTTTGACAAGCGCCAGTAGAAAATTGCGTTTTTTTGCAGGAAAATTTCGCGTCTCGATCGTTTCCCGTTTCAGTGCGAGAATGTGCGATGATCGAAAATTCCACGTTAAAGTAAACCATCCAGCCGGTCCAGCCGTTGTTGACAATGTGTTGTAAATATCAGGCCAGTGGCCATCTTGTTTCGCATTGGAAATGAAAACATGGAAACGGACTTTTTTCATCGAAACTAAACGTATGTTTGTTCGACAGTCGATAAACGATGGTCCGTTTCACGTGAAAGTAAGCACCAAATCACCGCAAAGTTCCCACGGGAATCGGTCGAATGGTTTAAGTAGGGCAATTTCGGGTTTTATTGGTGCATTTTGCTTTTTTTGGCGCCAATTATACCTATTCAAATTGACTCGTTTACAATTACCTATCATTTAGTACGTACAATTGGGATCATTATAATCATCTGATCATCAATACTCGATTATTTTTACCTGTTCACAAATAATAACAACAACCTTTTAAACAGCAGGGTATCATACTTAACTTTTGATGATCAGTGGATTGTTATTAAGAAAATTGTAAGATGCGTAACGTTTTAGGCAACTAACAATGGCTACTAATGATGGAACCACCGCAGAATTGTTTCCCGGTTGGTCGTCGGTCGTACACCGACCGGCCGAAGAACCCGAAGAAATAGACCTACCCAGCACCGTAGACATAGCCGCCCTAACCAACACAGAACCGGTCAACGATCGCACCGACTCCGACAACGATTCAGACGCCGAATCCAGCGTAAGTATCGCACACACGACCCGCCAGACACAGGCCAATAATTCGTTCTCATCGCAGAACTCCGATGCGTCGCAGTCGCGCAGCCAGTCCGACGACTCCTCGGACTCGGACAGCTCGTCGTCCAGCCAGGGATCGTCGTCGGAGCGTTGCAGCACGCCGCGCAGCCCCGAATTCGCCGTCACCAGCTCGCCGACGGGCCTCCGGCTGACCATACGCAAGGCGAGCGCGACGCCCGAGCCGCCCGACGCCGCCGCCGCAGCCGCCGCCAAATCGGCGTCGTCGAGCTCGGACAGCTCGAGCGGCTCCGACAGCGATTCGGAGCGCAGCGAGCGCCGCCGCCGGGCCGCCCGGCGGTCGCCCGTGCGCCAGACGAGGCGGCTGACCGCCAAGGCGAGGGCCATGGTGGCCGATAGGAAGGAGGAGAAGGCGGCGAGGGGCGCCGCCAGGAAGGAGAAGGACGGAGCGGCGGCCGGCGGGGCGAGGGCCGGGAACGTGAAGCTTCGCGCGACCGTTCGTAGGACCAGAAAGGTGAGGATTTCATGCTTAAAATCTCTATTTACTCGCCGTGTTTTCCCGTTAATTAGGCCAGTTAATAAATTATCTTCGTACGATTAGCCCTGATCTCGATTGATGAAAATAGTCCCGTAAAGTAGCATCGGAACTCGAGAAACAGTTATATTTTTATAGCGCTATCGTTACATGGTTATTTCTTTTTTCCTTTGGGTTATTTCTATCCCAAAACTGAATTCTCGTTCCTTTTCTAGTACACTCTTTCTCTTATAACGATAGTAAAAGAGCTACAGCAAGCGATAGGTTCTTTTTTTTGTGTTTGCTATGATTAATTCGATTTGCATGGGGTATACAAGTGACAATAATTATTATTTACCCCCTTGTCGTGTGCAACCCCTTTTCGTGTACGTGCGTCCGAGCGCGACCGTTTCCTCCCGGTGTACATTTGTCTTTGTTTGTTTTATACGCGCTTTGTGCATCTCTTACTCTCTCGCGCAGCACTGGTTTTGGGTAGAAAGTGGGGGGGTCAGGAGGGGCCCTGTTTTAGTTACTCATTCGACTTGACTGGGATATTTTAATCGTGTTAATCGACATGCGACCGGCTCGTTTTACGCGCGTAGTAATATTTCGGATTGTAGAGCGGTTTGTGTGTTTATTTTTTCGTTGATGGTGCGGCATGTTGATTCGGGGGCGGCCGGTTGGGGCGGTAGCGGCGCCCTGGCCGAAGGCGTTTGGGAGTACGTCGACGATTTGGTGGAGTCGTACGGCCGATGGCAGGATTCGGAGCGCTATAAGGTTTTTTTTTGTTGTTCAATGAATGTTAACGTTTCGACTGTAAACAGCTTCAGGGTCTGTCTGTATTGCATTTTTCTGTTATTTTCTACCTTTTTTCTGGCTTTTTCGAATGGGAAAAGATCGAGTACGATGTAAATCGACACGTGACATTCAAAAAACGACGTTTCGACTGTAGAAAGTTTCATCTTCAGGGTCTGTTTGTATTGCAAAAGCTCCTTTTTTCTGTTGTTTTCTACCTTTTTTTCTGACTTTTTCGAATGGGAAAAGGTCGAGTACGATGTAAATCAACAAGTGACATTCAAAAAACGACGTTTCGATTGTAGAAAGTTTTATCTTCAGGTTCTGTATTAAAAAAAAAACAATCTTCCACCGGGAAAAGGACCTATTTCGACGTAGATTGACACGGAAAATTCAAAAATTTACGTTTCGACTGTAGAAAGTTTCATCTTTAGGACCAATATTGCCAAAAACATCCTTCGTTTTTTTATCCTTGGAAAAACAAAACGATTCAATTTGAAAAAAAAAGTGTAATAAACCGAAAAAGCGCGTAATTTCGCTAATATGAGACTGAAGATGTAATTTCCGGAAGTCGAAACGTCAATATCCCAATCTGCCGTATTCTCGTTTACAAAGAAATTATATAGGGTGGTAATTAATTGAATAAGGCCGATATTTCAGGATGTGAATATTTGGATGATTTAAAGAAAAAAAGGTTATATCAATGTATGTCCTAAACCTCATAGTTTTCGAGCTACAGGGTGATAAAATTTTAGAAAAAAATTACTTTTCTATCACAATTTTCTTATTACTCTATTACTAAGAGGTTTAGGACATACATTGATATAAACTTTTCTTCTTAAAATCATCCAAATATTCGCATCCTGAAGTATCGGCATTCAATTAATTAACACCCTGCATAACTATATTATTATTTCAAATAATGGTTCTTATAAGTACCTACTATCGTATATCCTCTGAGAATTTAATGTATATCAAGGGCAATTGGAATGTTTTGAACCAGACGAGACGACGTCTCACCTTGCACTCGTTGCGAGCGGTACCTGTAATAACTTAAAATGTATTGTTTTTTCCTTCATTTAAATCATTTAATTTATTCGCTAATTCTCGTCCTTATTCGAATCAATTAAAGCATTTTACTTAATTCGTTTTAATTCTAACGATGTTTGTTAATTTTACATGTTGGTAAGCGCAAATTTGTTTACAATATGCTCAATTGTGCGAGTAGGACAAAGACATATAATTAAAATAACAGTGGGTTAGAGTGAGAAAGTTGCAATTCATTTACCAATATTAGTCTTTCTTCTTTTCTTTTTCCTAATGGAAGTCGTCTTTGTTGCACCCATATTGCGTACAAATTTGTGTTTTTTGACATTTTTGACGTATGTAGTTGTCAAATTCGTGCACAGAACGATGAGTTATTTTACTTTCGTACGTCTTTTACGGCTTTTTATGGTAGATGATGATAATATAGGTAGGTCAAATCGATTAGCATAAAGACAAAGAATCTTAAATGTAATGAAAACGAAAATCTCTTTGTATAATTACCGAGTAGGGCTCCTGGGGTTAGGGAGTACCCTTCCCATGAAGTCGCAACTTCCGTTTTATTTAGATTCGTATATTAAAAAGAAAAAGAACTCTTTTATTACGGGGCTCTTCGATTGTTATCGAAGCCCGTTTTGGTCGAATTACAAAGTAGTAAATACAGGGTGAGGTCGAGAAGTTACGAACCTGTTACAAGTAATAAAACGCTCTGTAATATCGGTTATGACGGTTATGATTTATTAGATTCAGATTATTTGTAACCATTTTCGTGGTTAAAATAATACGAATTGCCCCGTATATTGTTCGCGAATTGTTTTTATCGCATCGAAATCTTTATTTGCGAATCTCGTTTATTCCGTACTTACATCGTAGTGTGCGTTTCTCGTTAAAGTCAAGGCCGACTAGGCGCGTATTGGTCTCGATCGAATCGGGCGCCTCTTTGGGAGGAATAAGATAGGGGTGAAAAATAAATCGAATCAATTCAAATGCGTTTAATTGGATAAAATTCGAATAGCGAATAGCGAATAGCGCTCAAAAATTGAAAAAAAAACGTCACGATCGTGTCGTGAAGGGTTTAAAATTGGCTGCTGTCAAACTCGTACGGAAATGACACCCATTTGACAGCTGTCAAATTCTCAAGAAGCTTGACAATGGGCATTTTGTGTGGCTAGTTGGATGACTGAGCATTTACCTTGAATTAGCCCGTGCGAATTTCCGAACTTAATATCGAAATATACAAATTGAATCAAACCGGTTTAACAATTAGAAAAAAAAATCTATTTCTAATGTATATTACCAATGACCTTTTCGGTTGTTCGTTAACCTCACGTCGACTTGTTTTTTGACAGTACATACTCGGATATGTCATGTGTCAATTTTTTTTATTGAACGCCTACTGTTCCGTTATTTATGGTGTACTTTTCCGTACACCCTTGGCCTTGTTTAGGTAGATTTTTTTGCTCTATTCATTGGCGGAAACTGTGACATGTCGATTTATTTATTGCCGGGTCATCTGGCGTTTTCGTTTTGCGTCTTGTTTGGTATGCAGCGTTGCCAAATTTTCGGCGAATTCTCCACTTTCCCGGAATACACTTTAATCTGTTGTTAATTTATTGTAAAATGAAATTGATGTATTGGCAACGTTGCGAGAAAATACTGGCGCCAATTTATAATTTTTAAGCATCGTAAAAACTTGTTCGTTCGCGTCGTGCACTTCTCGAAAAAAACGTTTCCTTGTCGCGATTTTCGAAAATCCGATAAATCCCCGATTATCCCGACAAACCGGCAACGTCGCGGCGAAAAAGCGCGCTAACTCGCTACCACCAGGTGTTTGGATTTTCGGTACGCAAGGTGGTAAATACTGTAAAATAATTTAGTCAGTGGTAACGACGATATGAAATTTTCTAACCCGTTATGCGAACGTTTAAAGATGTTTTTACGTAATGAATTTAATCAATGAAATAAAAGCGTAGTACTTACGAGATCGGTTTGGTTAATATCGCGCGGGGAGCGTTACGGGGGACGGTCGAATAGTTTGCGTTTTTTCTCGATGTGTGTTAATCGCCCGGACTAATTTTATCGATTGAAAAATTGGTGCTCCGACCGTTAGCGGGACGACACCATAACCAAATTTTCGAACCCCTCGTACAGTTAAATTCAGCTTAGTTGAATACACCACGTGTTTTTTCGCGCACAACATCATAAAAGAGGCTGGGCTCAGCCGATGTTTTCGATGCAAATAACAAATAATTAATTACAAATAAACCCCGACTCGACCTTCGCTGTTATCAGATATACTGTGGATGGTTCGCCCCGGTCATACTTTTGGGGTAAAACCACGCCTATCTCTTTAGTTTCGTCTGTGCGCATTTTTACAGCTGTATTCAACTGAGCTGAATTTAATTCTACTATTTGCACATGTGTACATACGCGTCTGTAGTATCGTAGTTTTTAAAGGTTTTGTATTTTGTACCCGGCGTTATGAAATTGTGTTAGTGAATGTTTGTTTGTTCGATGGCCAGAATGGATATTGTCGATGAGAAAATTTCGAAAATTATTTTGAGCGAGGTGATTACGAACTGTTTATTGTTTAAGTTCTTCTGTTTGTTACATAGTAATTGGTTTTTGTATTGTACAGTAATTCTGTTTACAACGGTCATTTTGAAATGAGTCCTGCGAAATTTCTGCATGAAATTGGCCGATCTAAGACTAATTTCTAAAATTGATTAATATTTTTTTAACTAGATTATTAAAATAACCTCAAATGTCCGCTTACAAGAAGGAATACATGCATATAGGAAGTAATACAGGGTGTCCCAATGAAAAGTAGCCCCTTTAGTGAGCTAATATTTTTTAAACGCCTAATGATAAAAACATGCGGTTTTGACAGATATATTTTATTTTGCTATAACTTTTTGTTGCAGTGAGACAAAAATTTTGTATCGCCTGCACAGGATGTTTCATAAAAAACCCCTCTTTTAAATTTACATTAACTAAATTTTATGAAATAGGACATCTTCTTTTGTAGAATAACATCTACAAATAATATATTTTTGAAAAGTAGAATAGTGTATCTTTTAAAATACCTCTGTGTATACGGGATGTTCCATTTAAATTAATTTGGTTACTGTGAATGTAAAAGAGGAGGTTTTGATAAAACACCCTGTATTGTTAATGCATAGTTTCTGTATCACTATAACAAAACTTATAATAAAATAAAAAATATTTGAGAAAATCGCATGTTTTTATCATTAGGCGTTTAAAAATTATATGCTCATTAAAGGGGATACTTTTTATTGGGACACCCTGTACAACTAGGTGGACGTTATTTTTGTTGTAGTTTCTTCAATAGAAAATGCAGAAAATTAAACAATTAATTAAAATTTGGCTCTATTTTTGTCCCACGCATTAATTCCCCACACTGCTCTACACTTTACTCTCTACACACTATTCTCTACACTCTACTTTCTACACTGCTTTATTCCCTCTATTCTCTAATCTAATCTACCCTGCATTAAAATTCATTTTGAAACAATTAATTAAAATTTCGCTCTATTTCTGTCACACGCATTAATTCCCCACACTAATCTACACTCTACTTTCTACACTGCTTTATTCTCTCTATTTTCTAATCTAATCTATCCTGCATTGAAATTCATTTTGAAACAATTATTTAAAATTAGGCTCTATTTTTGTCACACGCATCAATTCCCCATACTACTCTACACTCTACTCTATTTTATTCTCTCTATTCTCTAAAATCTAATGTACCCTGCGTTGAAATGCATTCTAAAACCTCACCCAGAAGTTACGAAAGATTATAATTTCAAGCGATTATCATCATTTTCCCGTTACCATACCGACGATTAATTTCAACCGTAAATTCCAGATGGCGTCGCTGCCGTTGTCGCGCGGCTCCGCCTACACCACGTCCGATGATTCGGAGGCGTCGGACGCCGACAGCGCCATGCTGGCCGCCTGCAGCCTGCAGGAGATCCGCCAGGAGGACCTCGCCGCCATACTGCCCGACCAACAGGAGATCGACGCGTCGGGTTGCGGCGCCGGCGACGCCTCCGGCTCCGACATGGAGCTGCCCCAGCAGGCCGTCAACGCGCTCATCCAGCGCACCACCGAGAGCTCGAGCGACGGCGAATCGAACGCCCAACCGTTGTACGCCAACAATCTGCTGCAGCAGTTCGTCGCCCAGATGCAGCTGTTGAACAACGCGCCGTGCCCGACGGCGGCGGCGGCGACGCCCGACGACGACGCCGGCGGCGCGACCGGCGACGGCGGCAAGGGCGAGCAGGACGGGGCGAAGAAGAAGCGCGGCAGGCCGAAGAAGTGCGACAAGGAGGCCGATAAGAGCCAAGAGTATTGCGCTAATCCGAACGTTTCGCCCGATTCCGGTATACAGAATAGTCCCGATCACGTTTCGAGTCCCGAACCGGTGGTGTTGTCGCCTACTGCGAAGCTAAAGAGCGGTAACAAGAAGATCGTTAATAACAACAACAACAACAATAATAATAATAATAAAGTAAAACCTGTTACTAGAACTACGAATAATGGTAGTAGTATTAGTAGTAGTAGTAAGAATAAAATTCCGGTGACATCGACTAGGTTCGATCGAGCGATGTACGGTAATACGGAACGAGTGTTGTACCCGCCTAGAAGATTGGGTAATGTAAGGAAAGGTCCCGGTAGACCGCCCAAACACAAATCCGATACCAACAAGGCGATGAAAGAGAAGAAATGTAAACAACAACAACAACAACAACAACAGGCGAAATTCCAGACGTTGAAAATCCCGAAGCTGATGCACAGCAAGCGCAAGCACAAGAAACACAAAAAATGCAAGATCAAAATCGTGAAGCCGCTGTCGCACCAGCACCCCAAAGCGGCGTCGATCGAAATCGACAAGTTGATCGACGACTTCGCCGCCTACTGTTCGATACGGCATCGCGACGCCGCCGCCGTCGCCGCCGCCGTCGCCAAGAAACCGACGAAGAAACGCAAGGCGGGCGAGCACGGCGACAAGAAGAAGAAGCGCTGCGACGCCACCGCCGTCGACGACGACAAGCCGGCCGACGCCGACGAGCAACGGCTGCCGCTGAAGAAGCGCCACTATCACCACGTCAACGAGGAGGAGGTGGAGGCGGCTGCGGCGGCGGCGGCGGCGACCGGTCGCAGCGACGATCACATCGACGAGGCCATCGAGGCGTGCATCAACCGGTACGCCGACGGGGCGTCGGCGTCGATAGCGGCGACGCCGAAGAAGCGCCACCGGCTCGAGGAGAAGATCGCCGTCGACGAGAAGGTCACCATCGAATCGTTCATCAGCGAGTTGAAGGCGAAGCGGAATCTGACGGGCAAGGCGGACGATGGCGACGCCGTGGCCGGCGGCGCCGCGACGTCGACGGTCGTCGAGGGCGAGCGTAAGGTGGAGGCGGTTGGCGAGGCGGGCGTCAAGGCGTCGCCCGAATCGGCGAAGAAGAAAGTGAGGAAGAGGCGGGCGTTCAATCGTACCGGTACGTTATTTTTAGATAATTTTTTTTTCTATCGACCTTTCTCGGTTCACTATTTGATTCTGGAGATCTACAATGCACTAATTTTGGTGCTAATTTTGTCCCAACCATTGCCATTTTTAGTGTTATTATCCGCTTTTTGATGTTCTGTTTTTACTCAAATAATGTCATTTCAAATTATTTGCCTCTCTTCATTGCTCTCTAAGTTTCTTGTAGCCTTTGTACCATTTTTTCCGGTCTTATAGAAAAGCTATGTATATCAAATTATCGTTTGTGTGTTCTCTAGGTTTTCCGACGGTGCGAAGGAAGAAGAAGAAACCGTCGGAGGGCGGTCAAACGGCGGCGGCGGCGGCGGCGAAAAGTACCGAAGCACCGGACGTTTGCGAGCGCGTACCGAAAGAGGGCGAGCAGTACTCGGAGTTCGTCCAAAGGACCGAAACCGCCGACGGGGAGAAATCGAAGCCGGACGATCCGTTCAAATGGGAGGCGATGAGCGAGTGCGAAAGTCTACCGCAGGACGAACGGATCGATTTCGACGAAGACGTCAAACCCGACCGGTAAGTGTACAGCCGAAGAATCGCCGAAGGTATCCGTAAAACCCGGCGATTTTTGTGCTCTAGAGGCCTAGAATTAAAACGCGGTCGTGTATTTCTAAGGTCAGGAAACAGAGGTCGAAAAAGTGTTCCGTTACTACTTTTAGCGCGACGCTGATTGGCTGAGATAAGTTAGTCCTCCGCAAAAGTGAAGCTCAAAAAGTCCTCAAATAACAGGCCACATTTTCTAATGCAAAAACCTAGATTGTTTCCAGACCTTAGAAATATCCTGCAGTGAATGAAAACGATCCGTTGACATTTAGATCTCTTGTTTACTTCAACGATATAATGCGTAGATATATTTGCCGTAGGATGAGCCTTCGGCATCGCGACGCCGCCTCGCCGTCGTCGTCGGTCGAGCCGGAGCATTCGCTCGAATCGAGCATCGAACGGTTGCGGTCGCGCCTCGAGGAGCGCGGCAAGCGGAAGCGGCGCGACAAAGAGAAGGCGGCAGCCGCCGCCGCCGCCGCTGCGTCTACGACGACGACGACGGCGTCGTGCTCGTCGACGTCGTCGTCGGACGTGTCCGCTAACTATCCGAAGCGGAAGCTGCGAGACGGGTCGCCGGCGCTGCGACGGCTCAAAGACGATCGCAGTTCGACGTCGGGCGACGAGAAGCGCGCCAGGAGGACGTCGCGTTGGAGGAAGAAGTACCTGCTGGCCGGGTTGTTTTCCGATTACTACAAAGAGGACGAGTAAGTCGGCTGGGGCCTGTTTCCATATAACTGACAAGTCCTGCATTAGGTTGCAATCCGATTGACGGGAGAGGTGTTTATTTGCAACGGTTCACAACCCTATAAAAGAGAAATATACATTTTAAAAACTATTCGTAAGCATATACCTATTACTACTATACTGCTAACTCCCTATCTATTCCATGAGAGAAAATCGTAGCGATTAAAGAGAGAGATCCGACCTTCTGTGGTGTGCTTAGTCGTTTATACGCAAGCGCGTTAATTTCAAAAGGACCAATAGCGAGTAGCTGAGGCCTAAAAAGAAAAGAAGGAAAATAATACTTGAAATCGTGGTTAAATTCGGTAACCTGACATATTTACACAGGCAAGTCAAAGTCGATTTTAAAAATATATCAAAAAATATACCAAAATAAAAGCTAGCACGTTTCTGACGTTTCATTTGCTCTGTCAAAAGTAGCCAATCAAGAAATCTTTCACTTGAGCATGCGCATAAATAAGCAGGCACACCACAGTATAATGTTTGCTACGGGTTTTAGACCGTAGTAAGCGGTATAGTAGTAATAGGTATATGTATCTGTCACATCAAGATTTTCATTTCAACCCGGCAACGTTGCAACATGTTGGCTCGTGACGTCATTGCCTAGCGAGCGCGAATTTAAGAAAAAGGCTTCTCTGATACTTATCGTTTTTTTGGTTGATTTTAGCGAAGCCATTCGATTGAAACGCGTCGAAAACGCCGCCAAACCGACCAGGATTATGACGTACAATCCCGAAGAACATCCGTACGGGCTGTTGCCGCCGCCCTACCATTGCGGCAGGTATTTGCGTTGCCGGAAGATTCCCTTCCAATTGCCCTACGACATTTGGTGGCAACACACCAATTCGCAATTGCCCGGCAGAGACATCGTGCCCTCTTGGAACTACAGGTACTTTAACCCCGACGAAGCGTAGATGGCTGAATGACGTCGTTAATAAAGGCCGTATACGCTTTGCTCCATTTTTTTGATTGTAACGTTGGTTGTATAAGCTATGAGTACGATAAGGACAACTTCCATTAGACACATACAGGTTGTTCCATTTTTCATTGCAACATAGGCTATGGGTACAACAAAGACAACTTCAATTAGACACTTATAAAGGAAAAAGTGACATTGCAAGTTTTCACCCTGACAGCTGTCATTTTAGTAATCTTTCTTTGTTCGGCTCATAGAAACGCCCGCGTTGCAATCGCGAATGAGGCAAGAAGTGTACAGTGTGAATAAGTGTAAATATTTCGCAGGAAAATTCGATCGAACATATACAACGTGAAGAATTCGACGGGCGCCTGCGAACCGCAACCGTGCAACTGCAAGCCCACATCGAATTGCGGCGACGATTGCATCAATCGGCTCGTATTCGCCGAATGCCCATCGTCGCACCGTTGCCACAATCAAAAGATCCAAAGGCACGATTGGAAGCCGGGCCTCGAGAAGTTCATGACGGAATCGAAGGGATGGGGCGTGCGCACCAAGCACTCGATCAAAAAGGGCGAATTCATCTTGGAGTACGTGGGCGAGGTGGTGGCCGATCAGGAGTTCAAAGAACGCATGGGCGGCGTCTACGCCAACGACACCCATCACTATTGCCTGCACCTCGACGGCGGCCTCGTCATCGACGGGCATCGCATGGGCAGCGACGGGCGCTTCGTCAATCACTCGTGCGATCCGAACTGCGAGATGCAAAAGTGGTCGGTGAACGGGCAATTTCGCATGGCGTTGTTCTCGCTGAGGGACATCGACGACGGCGAGGAGTTGACCTACGATTATAATTTCTCGTTGTTCAATCCCGCCGAAGGACAAGTATGTGGTTTGGTTTTTTTTTTCCTATTTTTTAGTTCTTCTTGTTGTTGTATTTATTGGCCTCAGTTACCGGGGCTATTCGGCCATGCTTCCTTCTTTGGTGCACTTAAAATTCTTAGAAGATCGTTTCGAATCTGGTATTTCTTGGTCCTTGATTTGAGGGTTATTTTTAGTTAGTCTTCATAACTTGACATTGACAGTTTTACATTGTTGTTATGGAGTAACTAAGCAGATTCTTTCAATTGACAGATTTACATTGTTGTTATGGAGTAACTAAGGAGAATCTTCTTTATTTAAGAGCGCCACTTCGGGGTATTTTTAAATGGGAAAATATAGGTTCAGTAATTCCGGTAAGATTCAAATTTGGCTTCATCAATTGATTTGAATCTTTCTTATACCTAATATAGAGACTCCAAACAATGAAATCTCCTATTTTTAATCTCTTCCACTTCATTTTATATTTAAGAAATTTGCATTTAAAAACTGCTATTTATTTGCAATGCTATTCGGAAATTCAAGATTATATGAAATCAAAATCCAATTTTCGCAAAATTTTAAATTTAGGAGGCGGGAAAATTGGGCCACCCTATGTCATAAAATAATTCGGAATTTTTGTTGTAATTATATCATATATACTAACATGAATAAGTCGACAGCGGTAAACTCTGTTGCCAACATATTCACGACGTATTTTTATGACCCGTCCTTGTTTGACACTCGCTAGTTTCTAACGGTGTGTCTTTGTCTTGGAGCCTTTGACAATTTTGACGTATATAGTTAGCGACAAATTTAAATATTCATGTTTAAAAACTATTTTAAGATGCTTGTTGATTACCTCAGTGTTATGTATAAACTGTAAACACTAAACACAAACCAATCCAATAATCAAAAATCCAAATATAATAATAATACGACGCCATGACTGTTATGAGACAGATGTCAAATGTCATAGTGTCAATGCCAGTGCCAGAAAAGGACGCATCAACATTGCCAAATGTCTAATAGCTATTTCTTATTTCTACTTTTCTTTTACTACAAATAAGTAATCGACCAGCTGTTTTGTACAATAATTAGTTCATTAAAATGTATGCGCATTTAAATAGTATTACTGCATTTCAAAACAATTATTTTAGATAGTAAATAAACATATTTTTATCGTACATCGTACATATTAAAAGAGTAAAAAATTACAACAAATGTGTGAACCTGGCAACAAGGGCGAATTTCCTAATGTATCTGTTGTATACTAATAAATACGTTCAGATTTTTAAAGCGCATGCTCAATTGGCAGACCAAAACAAAGATAAATCTATGCTGAATTCCATAGAGCAAAAAAAGAGAGTATAATTTAGGCATGTTGTAGATGTTGGCAACAGGAACGTAAATGTAATTCTTATGGCATTGATGCATCCACGTTAGTATATATGATCTAAGATGTTGTAATAAAAATCATTTATAAGCCGTTTCGTTCGGTTCGCAGGAGTGCAAGTGCGGCAGCGAAACCTGCCGCGGCGTGATCGGCGGCAAGTCGCAGCGCGTCAGGCAGCTGCCGGAGCCGCAGGGCGGCGCCGCCGCCGGCGACAAGAAGGCGCCGGGGCGCGTCGGCCGGCCGCGCAAGACCGAAGCCAAGAAGAAATCGAACGGCGCCGGAGCCGGCGGCGGCGCCAAAGAAGCGGACAGGACGGCGGTGGCGGCCTCGCTGTTGCCGCTCGTCCAGATCAAACCGATGAGCCACCAGCAGAAGTGCTTTATTTTAGAGCACCATTGCTTCCTACTCAGGAACCTGGCTAAAGTAAGTCTCTCGATATAAACGGTGTTTCAATAAGATAGCAAGATTTGAATTGGCTGTCATGTTTGACAGTCATAATGACACGTGATTTTAACATGACAGATCGAAAGTTGACAGTTGGGAGTTAGTAAATATGGAGTATTGGATCTGGATGTGGAACATAATCGCGTCCTAATTGTTAAACATTACTCCCAGTCGAGTCATTTCCCGGTTTGGTGACCAGAATTGGCCGCCACGTTTTTGTGATTTAGCACCTTTGGACTTCTTCCTGTGGGGTTGCTTGTAATCACAGGTTTTTGCCAACATGCCCGCGACCACCGAAGCGTTGAATGCCGAAATTAGACGATCTATCAATAAAATACCGTCACATGTACACAATAATGTCATTGAAAATGTAACCAAAAGAGTACGCTTGTGCCAGCAAAGCCATGGCGGCCATTTACAAGATATTTTGTTTCATATATAATTCCTAAATGTACACATGATAAATTTATAAATATTTCCACATTTTGCTACAGATAACATTGTTTTATTGAACCTTAAAATCTCGCGCTCTCATTGAAACACCCTTTAATATGAAAATTCTCGGTAATTTTTGACACGATTTTTCGTCAGGTGAGAAAAGTGCGCGACAGATCGATGAGCGCGTCGTCGCGCATGCGCACGGCGACGCCGACGGACACGAGCGTCTTCATGAATCAACTCAACGCGTTGCAGAAGCCGCGCAACATGAAGACGAGGAAACTGGCCCAGGCCGAGGACGATCCCGAATTGAACAAAACCATCAAATTGGCGTCGCTGTTGAAGGAGATCTGGACGGCCGTCGTGACGGCTAAAGGTACAATGAGCATGATATTATGTCGTTTGCTCTATTACAACGGCAACGTTGCATTTAGACCATTTAGTAGACAGTAGACAGATCAGGAGCGTTCTAAATGAATCTAGGCTGTTCTAAATGGATTTAGACAATTCCAAATGATTCAGGAACGTTCTAAATGGATCTAGTCAGTTCTGAATAGATTTAGACAGTTCTAAATGATTCTGCACCGTTCTAAATTGATTTAGACAGTTCTACATGGATCAGAAGCGGTCTAAATGAATCTAGACTGTTCTAAATAGATTTAGACAGTTCTATATGATTCAGGAGCGTTCTGAATAGTTCTAGACAGTTATTAATGATTCTGGAGCGTTTAAAATAAATTTAGACAGTTCTAATAATTGATTCTGTAGCGTTCTGTTGCTCTATTACAACGGCAACGTCGCATTTAGACCATTTAGTAGACAGTTCTAAATGATTCTACATCGTTCTTAATTGATTTAGACAGTTCTACTTGGATCAGGAGCATTCTAAATGAATCTAGGCTGTTCAAAATGGATTTAGACAGTTCTAAATGATTCAGGAACGTTCTAAATAGTTCTAGACAGTTCTTAATGATTCTGGAGCGTTTAAAATAAATTTAGACAGTTCTAATAATTGATTATGTAGCGTTCTGTTGCTCTATTACAACGGCAACGTCGCATTTAGACCATTTAGTAGACAGTTCTAAATGATTCTACATCGTTCTTAATTGATTTAGACAGTTCTACTTGGATCAGGAGCGTTCTAAATGAATCTAGGCTGTTCTAAATGGATTTAGACAGTTCTAAATGATTCAGGAACGTTCTAAATAGTTCTAGACAGTTCTTAATGATTCTGGAGCGTTTAAAATAGATTTAGACAGTTCTAATAATTGATTCTGTAGCGTTCTGTTGCTCTATTACAACGGCAACGTCGTATTTAGACCATTTAGTAGACAGTTCTAAATGATTCTACATCGTTCTTAATTGATTTAGACAGTTCTACTTGGATCAGGAACATTCTAAATTAATCTAGACTGTTATAGATGGATTTAGACAATTCTAAATGATTCAGGAACGTTCTAAATGATTCTGGAGCGTTCTGAATAGTTCTAGACAGTTCTTAATGATTCTGGAGCGTTTAAAATAGATTTAGACAGTTCTAATAATTGATTCTGTAGCGTTCTAAATGATATTAGGAGAGTTCTAAATGAAGTTCTTTGCACAAAACCTTGTAATCTAGTGTTATTGTAAAGTATACTGCTCCACAAAAGTTAAGGAAGTTCACAAATATTGAGATTAATTTAAAAGTTGCAGGGTTTTTGATCGCCAAATTTAGTAAAAGTTGTAGAGGTAGGGGCAAAAAATCCACTCAGATAAGGGAGAAAACATTTAATTTCGCAGATTTGAAAATTTGGTGATCAAAAAGCCTGCAACTTTTAAAATAATTGCAAAATGTGCGAACTTCCTTAACTTTTGCGGAGCAGTTTATTTGGCCTTTCAAAAGGCATGTATACCGCGACGTTGCCAAATTGTTCTGTTAGCAGAAGTTTCGGAGTAGATCTTAATAATAATCGATAATAATCCGATTCGATATGTTTACAGATTCGAAGGGGGCGCAGCTGAGCGCCGAGCTGATGTCGTTGCCGTCGAAGCGCAAAGTGCCCGAATTGTACGCCAGCATGTCGAATCCCATCGATTTGTCGATCATCGAGCAAAACATCGCGACCGGCGTCTACAAAACGCCCGAATCCTTCGACTCGGACTTCGAATCGCTGTTTCGGAACTTCGTGCGTTTCTACGGCCGCACGAGCGACGTCGGCGTCGCGGCGACCAAACTGAAGAAGATCTACGGCGATTCGAAGCGCGAGCGATTGGAGAAGTTCGAACGGGCGCTCGGCGAGAAACCGTCGCCCAAGTTCGCTTCGAACCGAAAGAAAAGTGAGTACCGATCGATGGCGTTTAGAGCGCCACTTTAGGGTATTTTTAATGGGTATTTTACAAGTACAGGGTGGTCGGATAAGAATGTAAAGTACTGGATCTGATAAACTATGCATCATAGAGGATTGCGGTAAAAAAAGTAATTACTAAAACGGGCAATTCAAGTTTCTCAAATGGCCGCTAGGAGGTGTAATTGCAATTTTGAAACTTAAAAAGTGATATTTCTATGAATTCCGCTATATTAACCTAACAAAAAAATGCCAGATATTTAAGGGCGCCACTTCAGGGTATTTTTAAATGGGAAAACATAGGTTCAGTAATTCCGGTAAGATTCAAATTTGGCTTCATCGATTGATTTGAATCTTTCTTATATCTAATATAGAGACTCGAGACTCGAGTTTCCTCGAACGGACTTGTGAATAATTTCAGTAGGATGAAAAATACTTATTATAGAACGATGTCTCCTAGTTCATATTAATCCAAAGCCAATTCAAATGTTGCTGTCTTATTGAAACACCCTTTATAAATCCTTTATATTTCCGTTTGTATCTCGTAGGCGAAGAGGAGGACATAATAAGGTGCATATGCGGCATACCGAGAGACGAGGGTCTGATGATACAGTGCGAACGGTGCATGGTGTGGCAACATTGCGAATGCGTCAAGGCGGACGCATCGGCGGCCAGTTATCATTGCGAGAATTGCACGCCGAGACAAGTCGATTACGAGATACCGTTGGACGAATTTACCGAGCACGGTCACAGGTAACAGACTCGAATCCCACCTTTATTTCTCGTATTCTATAAATTCTACTCGAACCGATTTCGGGTTATTACCTATACTAGGAGTACACCCTATGCACCCAAGTAATTTTTCGTTAATTTTTGTTTTTTTTAGATATTACATGACATTGATGAGAGGCGATTTGCAATTGCGACAAGGCGATACGGTGTACGTGCTGCGAGACATACCGATAAAGGGCACCGATAAGAAACATACGTACGATACCATCGGGAAGATCGATTACGCCGAATTGGACATATTTCGCATCGAAAGGTTGTGGAAGGAGGAGAAGACGGGCAAACGGCTGGCGTACGGCCATCATTATTTGAGGCCGCACGAAACCTTCCACGAACCCACCAGAAAGTACGTAAATTGGAATCTAGCAACGCTAGTTTATGTTATATTAAACGTGGTTGCCATTCTGTAGCGTTATGAATGGTTATAGACAGTTCTAATTGAGTCTGGACAGTTCTAAATGTTCCTGGAGCGTTCTGAATGGTTCTAGAGAGTTCTAATTGATTTTGGAGCGTTCTAAATTGTTATAGATAGTTTTAATTGATTCTGTAGCGTTCTTAATGATTCTAGAGAGTTCTAAATGGTCCTAGAGCGTTCTAAATGGACCTAGACAGTTTTCACCTTGATTAATTCTTTAACTATCTAAATGGTTCTAGACAATTCTAAATTATTCTGGGACGTTGCAAATGCTTCTTGACTTTTCTAAATGATTTTGAAGCGTTCTAAATCATTCTGGAGCGTTCTGTATGGTTATAGATAGTTTTAATTGATTCTGGAGCGTTCTTAATGGTTCTAAAGAGTTCTAAATGGTTCTGAAAGGTTCTAAAACGTTGTAGACAGTTATAGATGATTCTGGATTGTTCTAAATGGATCGTTCTAGACAGTTTTAAATGATTGGAGCGTTCTAAATGACTATGGATTCTATACAGCCTTCTAAAAATGGTTCTGAGACATTCTAAATGTCTTTTGACACTTTTAAAATGATTCTGGAGCGTTCTAAATGGATCTATACAGTTCTAATTGATTCTTTAACTATCTAAATGGTTCTAGACAATTCTAAATCATTCTGGAGCCTTCCAAACGCTTCTTGACTTTTCTAAATAATTTTGAAATGACCTAAATGGTTCTAAATCGTTCCAAGTAACATTAATATTTTAACATTACATTAATCAAATAAATAAGTAATACAAGGCTCGTTTGGCCTTTTGCCGATGTAAGCGTTCGGGCGCGAATTTCTTCTTCTTGTTACACGGCCTCTTGCGAAGGGCTAATTTAAAAGCGTACTAACTGCTCAATCGTTTGTAGGTTTTTCCCCAACGAAGTGATGCGAGTGCCGTTGTACGAGGCCGTACCGGTCGAATTGATAATCTCCCATTGCTGGGTGATGGATTTGAACACGTTCTGCAAGGGCCGGCCGATCGGCGCCGCCCCCGATCACATCTACATATGCGAGTACAGGGTGGACAAGGGCGCGAAGATGTTCAGCAAGGTAACTAAATCATCGGCCTCTTGCTGTTGTATGCTGTCCGGTCACTTTTAATTAGTTTTTTTTTTTTGGGTGTGATTTTATCGATGACCAAATTAATGGTGATAGATCTATCATTTTGAGAACACAGTTATTATTCTGAACATAATAAAGATTCTTTGGGCATAGGTTACGATGATTATTCGTTTATTTTGGATGCAAACTGTTACACATTTGGATACATATCTTTGGAGACAAATAAACTGCTCCACAAAAGTTAAGGAAGTTCGCAAATTTTGCGATTTTTTTAAAAGTTACAGAGTTTTTGATCATCAAATTTTCAAATATGCGAAATTAAATGTTTTCTCTCATATCTGAGTGGATTTTTTGTATCTACCTCTAAAACTCATACTAAATTTGGCGATCAAATAACCTGCAACTTTTAAATTAATCTCAATATTTGTGAACTTCCTAAACTTTTGTGGAGCAGTATATATAAATCTGTGAAAAAAAAAATATTTCTGGGATTGAAACTAATAATAATCAGAGGATTTTGTTTGATGACAAATATTTATTTTGGTGACAAATAAAATTATTCTCATTTTTTTTTGTAGGTCTCGAAGAGCAAATTCCCCATATGCACCAAGTCGTTCGCGTTCGAGCACTTCGAAACTCGCCTGAAGATCAGCCGGACGTATTGTCCGCACGACGTCGACGAATCGCTGTTGAAAAACGCCGCCGGCCGGAGGCAGAAGAACGACGACGGCGGCAAACCGTCGGCGCGCGACAAGGGCGGAGGCGGAGGCGGCGGCTGCGCCGCGACGGCTGTCGTCAAAAACGAAACGGTGGTGGTCGCGACGCCGCCCGTTGTTAGGGTAACGAAGCCTATTTCCTACACTGTAGATTCGGTATACAGGGTGTCACAAGACGAGTTAAAACTATACACCGTTTGGAAAATTATTCGCGCATAATAGGGAAATCAATGTTAAATTCTTAGCCTGCTGAAATCCAGTCTACCAGTGTACATTTCAATAGAACGTGTCGCGATTAATTCTAATAAATTTAATTGTTCTACTGGACTTCACACACCGCAATTTGGTTCTGTTAGATTAAAAATCAAATAATTTCGACGGTTTCGACACTTCGACAGTATCAAAACGGGTTCTGATGGGTGAACGTCGAGTCGAAGAAAAAGAAAAGAGAATTTTTAAACGATAATTTATTGAAAAAATATCACTAATATTAAAATTTAATTATGTAGATATGTCTTTTTGCCACAAAGACACACGGACACAAGGACGCCCTGTATATTACAATACGTAACGAGCGTTTATCATGTGTTTTTCTTTATCTTTTTTAGACTTTGGTGGAGCGAAAGGGTCGATTGAATCGCATCCTGTTGAATTTGCTGGGGAAATTGCCCGCTAAGCAAGTGTATGATGCTTCTTATTTGCTGGAAGGCGGCCGTCGTCGCAAGAAAACTATGGATAATAATAAATAATGCGGTGAATGATGCCGTGTAGGAGTCGAAGGAAAAGGATAACGAATGAATTACGGTAATGAAACAAATTGGGTGATAAATTTTTTTAGATATTTTCTAGTTACGGTTCGAACTTATTGCTATTACTATTATTATTGCTATTATTACTATTATTATTAAATGTCTATATGTATATTGAAGCTTAATGTTTTACAGAGGTACGTTTGTTTCGTGAATTTTTTCTGTAGGTACATAACATGGCGAAAATTTTATTTTTTGAACATTCGCTCAAGTTGTAGGATTCGTACTTTATTTTTTTTTTATTTTATTTAATTCGTACTTTCTAGAGAAAATTTTAATCGGAACAAACTTGCATTTTGTACAGGTTTACTCGATTAAATTTGTATGTTCTATTTTCGAATAGCAATACAATGCATTACACGCCTTTTACTATTAATTTTTGTGAATTTCTTGGATTAATTTTTCTTATTTAAATCTCACTGTAATTTGGTAGACTAGTCATAGTGATTGTTGATGAATTTATTATTCATTTGCTTATTGAATTTATGATAACTGAAGGCATATTATTTATTTGTACAAAATATGAAATTGTTGCTTGATATATTTTAGCGTTGAATTTGAATCTTACGTTCGTGCAGAGTATTTTTTTGTTTATTTATAAAATGATTAATTGCAAAAAAAGTACTCTGTATAATTACTAACAAATCTATAATAATAAACCAGTGTGTTAAATATTTTAATTTAATTTTCTCTTTACTATTTTTTAAGAATGATTATTTCAGTTCTCTCTTTATTATGGAAATCTCATTTAATTTTTATTATTTTGAATGAAGGTATTACGATTTTTCTTTATTTTTTAAGCGTATTTAATTTATGTCTAATTTATTTTGTGTATTTTTTATATATTGTATATTTTTTGCCGGTAACTGTTCTTGTCTGATTAAGGTAAAAATGAATTAATATGTTAATATCACAGTAGGATATATAAATATATATTATATATATACTTTTTATGATTAATAAAAATTGTTATATTTTTTAATGTGTTTTTGAAAGGGTATAAAATCTTAATAATTTATAATAGTGAACTTTTAGTAAACTTCTGATTAAGAGGGGCGTTGAGCACTTTAACAGTCGTACCAATCGCCCCTAGAATTGGACCAGATGGCGTTAGCTGTCTCAAAATTAAATTTTTAGCCAGGTTTTTAACCAGTGAAATTTCAGAAAATGTACTAACAGGTGGCGCAAGTACAGTGGATCTGATAAATGATAATTAAAACAGTTTTAAAACATAATTTTTGACATAGTTTTTGATTTAAAAACAGTTATTTCGCAATAATAAGGATAACACGATATTGATAGTGCCGTTGTGGATGCTAACGCTCGGGTGGTGATCGATTCGCAGGATTTCAAAGAAGCGAAATTGGACAGTCAGGTAACGAGGAAATATCTTCCTGCTTTAATGTCTCTGATGGTGGATGGTCAAGTAAGATAGTTGAGCTCTAAATGCGTCTGACGACAAACGCGAAGCCGCCTTTACGGTTATAGTTAGAACATTGGGGGCCTGTTCCAGACGCTGTAGAAGCTTATTTACAAGACAGTATTGTACTTAGGAAATAAATTTTTACATATAAATATTGTTTTTTTTAAATAAATAAATAAAACGTTTGAAGGATTTTACATTAAAAGCCATTTCGTTTTGAGATTTCTGAAAAATTGACAACGATTGTGCATTTATAAGTTTTAGTGACCGAAATACTGGTTGCCTACCTAATAGTGTCCATAAATCGATTTTCCATCGATAAATGTAATTCTGGTTGTCTAACTATTGTATTGGTAAGGCGCGAGTAATAAGTATCAGGAGTAAACCTCTTCACACATTCTGCTCTCCTAATACGAAATTTCAAATTTGCAAATTTTTAACGTGAAATTTTCGAACGATCGACAAAATTATTCTTCCGATTTTTACGAATTGCGGTGAAAAAGTTTTGCGTTTTTTTATTAATAAACTCTACAAAACTTTTCTTATCATTTCTATTATAAAACATTAATAATAATGCCCGAAATTTTAATTTTTTTTTGAAAATCTGTTTTAAAAAACGACGAAACATTTAGAATCTTTATTAATGCATCAGGATTCATCCAGGACTTTCCCTAGAATTATCTCTCTCGATATAATAAATATCTCCCGATACTGGACTTCCTTGCAAATTCTCCTTGCCTAATATCCGAAATTAATCAATGGAGATCTACGAAAACTTGTGCTCAAATCTCGAAATAAAACGTGAATTTGAAATTTCGTATTAGGAGAGCAGAATGTGCGAGGAGGTTAACTTGTGACCCTTATTAATCGCGCTCCTGTTTGATTACAAATATTTACAAAGGCAACCATTTAATCGAATTTCTGTAATACTGGTTGCCTATCTATTGTATTAGTAAAGCGCGAGTAATAAGTATCAGGAGTAAACCTCTTCACACATTCTGTTCTCCTAATACGAATTCTTAAATTCGCGATTTATCGTGAGATTTTCATACGTTTTGACACAAACTACTCGAACTTCTAATATTTGTTTCTCCCGATCTTTTTGCTTTAATAGCTCCAGATTTTTACAAATTGCGTTGAAAAAGTTTTGCGTTGTTTTTAATGAACGAAAAATACTAAGAATTCTAAAATCAGGATTAAGGATGTCTTAAAAATTTTTTAATATTCTATTTTCGTATCATTTTTGCAATAAAGAATTATTAATAATGCACAAAATGTTAAATTATCTTTGAAAATGTGTTTTCAAGAACGACGAAACATTTAGAATATTTATTAACGCATCAGGATTCATCCAGGACCTTCCCTAGACGTATCTCTCTCGATATACTAAATATCTCCCGATATTGAACTTCCTTGCATATTCTCATTGCCTAATATCCGAAATTTATCAATGAAGATCGACGAAACTTGTGCGCAAATCTCGAAATAAAACGTGAATTTGAAATTTCGTATTAGGAGAGCAGAATGTGTGAAGAGGTTAACTTGTGACGCTTATTAATCGCGCTCCTGTTCGATTACAAATACATACAAAGGCAACCATTTAATCAAATTTCTGTAATTCTGGTTGCCTATCTATTGTATTAGTAAAGCGCGAGTAATAAGTATCAGGAGTAACCTCTTCATACATTCTGCTCTCCTAATACGAAATTTCAAATTCACGTTTTATTTCGAGATTTGAGCACAAGTTTTCGTCGTCCATTGATAAATTTCGGATATTAGGCAATGAGAATATGCAAGGAAGTTCAATATCGGGAGATATTTATTATATGGAGAGAGGTACTTCTACGGAAAGTCCTGGATGAAATTTATGCTAAAAGTTTTGTCGAATTTATTGAAAAAAAAAACGCAAAACTTTTCTCGAGTTTATTGAAAAAAAAAACGCAAAACTTTTGTCGAATTTATTGAAAAAAAAACGCAAAACTTTTGTCGAATTTATTGAAAAAAAAACGCAAAACTTTTCTCGAATTTATTGAAAAAAAACCGCAAAACTTTTCTCGAGTTTATTGAAAAAAAAAACGCAAAACTTTTGTCGAATTTATTGAAAAAAAAAACGCAAAACTTTTCTCGAGTTTATTGAAAAAAAACGCAAAACTTTTCTCGAGTTTATTGAAAAAAAACGCAAAACTTTTCTCGAGTTTATTGAAAAAAAAAACGCAAAACTTTTGTCGAATTTATTGAAAAAAAAAACGCAAAACTTTTATCGAATTCATTGAAAAAAAAACGCAAAACTTTTCTCGAATTTATTGAAAAAAAACCGCAAAACTTTTCTCGTTTCTCGTTTCATCGTTTGAAAATTTCTCGTTAAAAATTTGCGAATTTAAGAATTCGTATTAGGAGAACAGAATGTGTGAAGAGGTTTACTCCTGATACTTATTACTCGCGCGTTCCTAATACAATAGTTAGACAACCAGAATTACATTTATCGATCGAAAATCGATTTACTGATACTATTAGGTAGGCAACCAATATATCTTGTAAATACCTCTAAGATACCAGAAATGCATTAGAAATGATTAAGTATGAACGATTCTATATAAAAAATGCATTATTTATTTAAATTATTGAAAAATTAACCAAACTACTGCATTTTTTAATTGCTAATTACATGAAAACTGGTTGGAATTGGTGATTTCAAAATATTTGAAACAAAACACTTTCAACAATATTTTTATTGTCTTACATTAAACTCACTACCGTTAAATACAACAAAATAGAGACGAAATATTATTATACAAAAACGTTACAGGAGTAAAATCATTCTGTCGTTCTCAATTCTTACACTTATTTCGAACTTCTTCATGAAATTTTCCTTTTACATACGGTTTTGTATTCCTTCTCGGTTTGCGCGTTGAATTTCGTTAAGAAATGATACAAATTCACCTACAAATCACAAATTATTACATACACTCCTATTATAACATAACGCTTTGAAATGCATACCTGAGGAATGATATAATATTATTCTCTCAGAAATTCATCGATAAACAAAATGGCGAAGGCCGTAGATCGCAAGATAGATACAAAAAGGGGCGATTCCGTCTCAATTTCCGTAGATTATTGAACTGTCATTTTTCTTAATACCATCCAATGCTCAATCAAGGGCAATCAGAAACCAAAGACAAAAAAATTTATCGGATCTCCTACAAACAATAACTCAATTATAACAATAATTAAGCATTATAAAACTAGCTAACCCTGCTGAGTGAACTGAAACCTCTTTTAACTCCACGATACAACAGCTTGGAGAGAATTTCTTGATACTCGTACATGCTCTGTGAAGTTCCTGGGATTCCACAATTTCCTCATAAGCTCGCCAAACCTCTGCAGGAGCATGGAAGGTCTCTTTACATTACTGCAATTCTCTTCTCTCGAGAAGTCATTCCGAAGCGGATTAACAAGAGTCAAAGCCTGCAATTTTGCACATTTAAATTAAGAAATAACCAAATTCGTTCGGTTAACTCGACTTACCTGCAGCACTGCATTAATCGTTGGCTTTAATGTTATTTAGGCCTACTATACAGGGGATGTACAACGATCCATCGATAGGTCTGGACAATTTCGTGGGATTCAACACATACTTTGTATCATTTAAAGAGGAATCTATAACAAACCGTTTGATTACTTAATATTCCCACAATCATTATAACTCCTCTACCTATGATTTTATAATTGCCTGGTAAATAGTAGAATCCAAATATTGACACAAACTTACGTTACCTGTGGAAGATGAGTTATGGATGTACTTTCCAGTTTTCCAGAATTCTCCTCCTCGTGGTGCATCCTAGGTAATGCTAAAGGGACCGTCGGGCTTATAATCGTGTGCAAACCCCCTAAATTAATTGCCAAAAAATTGTTGATTTATTTGACAAGAATCACTAACCAACAAACTTCTTCTTTTTTTTTATTCGCAAAAAAAAAGAAGAATCTCAATGGCTGTCAAATGTCAATTACGGCCTTACATAACCAAGGTCTGGAAACTTCTGCTTTGGTATGTCACGTTACTTGTCTACAAATGTTATAAATGGATATAAATTTGAAAGCATAGATCGTTCGTACGACAAAAGAAACCAAACATTTAACTGAAACCCACTAAACTTTCGCAATAATATCTTGAAAATGTTGCTCTAGAAATTAACTAGATAGTATCTTTAGAAGAGGCCAGGTTGTTTGAAAACAATTCATGTTTTTGACGTCTTCAAGAAAACTTTTTGGCCTTTTACTGTACGGATAACCATTCGCATTTTGTAGGTTCTTCAAGTAAAAATTCGAGTTTTACCAAGAATTATCTTTAAAGAAAATCACAACAAACATCAAAAATAACAACCGACGCCTCTAGGCAAGTTTACATTCATTTACTTCTAAAAAAATTTGTAAAAATCCAGATTTCTCTCGGTAAGCGACACCAAAAACGTGTCTCCACCGTTCCTCACCCCCTTCAAATCCAGCACGGCCTCCTTGGCCGGCACGGCGCAACACCTGGCCCCCGTATTGATGCTCCACAGGCACACGCACTTGCCGGTCTCTTCGTACGCGGCCACATAGTCACCCGCGTCGGACACGAAGCAAGACTTCGACAGCAACTTTTGCATACCACCGCCTGTAAAAACGTGCACCGTATCGCAATTCACCCCCTCGTTGGTCTTCTTCAAAGTACACAGCGTGTGCGTCGAATGGGCGACCAGATTATTAGGCCTCGAAGACACCAGCAACTGCTCGGTAGCTCTATCGTACTTCATACTAACAAACGGTCCGTTCAAATTGATCGGATGCCTCGCGTTGCGCTCCTCGAACAACCACAACGAGTTCAGCTTGCACGACACCAGCCCCACCAAGTTGCAGTTGTTGATCGACGCCAGCGACACCACGGGCGACATGTCGCCGGGTATCGACAGCTCCTCGAACGTTTCGTTCAGGTTGCGAATGTCGTATTTCACGGTCGAACCGGACTGCGTGCCCACGTACAAATAGTATTGGCTGTTGGAGTCCCAGCAACAAGACCACAGAGGCATGCCGAGGGCGGCCGTCGATACCGTTCGCGCGTTCCGTATGTCCGTCACTTTAAACGACTTGTCCATGGAAACGGTCACGAATAAATTGGTTGATGTATGGAATGAAACATCGCGGATTTGTTGTTGGTGTAACGGTACATAACCGGTCGGTTTGTAGGTGGATAGATCGACCGAACGCACGCCGAAACCAGCGAACAGAGTGCTGGGAGACTTCGACGAGGCTATCAGAATGTTGAGGTTGTTGTTCGAATCGAACACCCTACAACCGTCCTTTTTGCAAATCTCCAGCGATTTGTCCAGGTACAATCTAGTAGGTTTCTTGTTCGGTACGTCGAATCGGTTGTTCTCGATCGGTCGAGTGGTTCGATTCAATCGTACGATTTCGGCCTCTAATTCAATAATCCTCTGTTTGTAGACGCTCTCCCTGCACGCGTACTTCGATATGTCCAATTGGAATTTGTGTTTCTCTTCGATGGCGGCGCTCAGTTGGTCGCGTAGGGCTTCGATTTGGGAATTGTCCACGGCCGTTAGTCGTCGGGCGTATATGGGTCGAATGTCGGACTTGCGGGCGCGTTTCTTGCACGTCGGGCAGGAGTTTCTGCTGGGCGAGTCGAGCCATCTGAGTAGGCATTGACGGCAGAAAAGATGGCCGCACTTCAACGAGCTGATGCGATTGTCGCCGGCGTTGGTCCAGTAATCCAGGCATATCGGGCAGATGGAGCCTTCGTCGTCTTCGTAGGATTTCTCGCATTTGTCTGGCGTTTGCGGACCTACAGAGTGAATTTGGGAAATTGTAACATTTGATTAGGTGACAAACGAATTGACAGCATATTCAGATTACTTGATTACTTACTGTCTTCTTCGATTGGTTCTATTTCTTCTATTTCCTCATCGGTTAGTTCTGGGATCGCTTCTTCATCGTTATCAGTTTCCATTTCATTGGGTGCACTATAAATATTTGTTACTATAATGCTATTAGTATTGTTTTTGTGTCATAAACAAACTAAAAAATTGTGCTTATACTATCCCTTGGCGGTAAAAATATGTGAATAATATACGTTTCTCTTAAAAATACGAAATAGCTTATGAATACTATTATATAATTGTTATAGATAAAGTTTTACTTAGCTTATCTCAAGATTTTATAGTGTTTTTGCATAATAATTTAAAGTTTTAACTTAGAAAGCTTTCTAAAAAATCAATTGTCAAATCAAATTTGTTTTCTGACAGATGTCTAATTCATAAAACATAACCTAACAAATTCGTCTTTTTTTATACTAATTAAATATTGTTGTGCACAGAAAGAGTTGCGCAAAGTACGGGTGTAAAATATAACTTTACCATAATAATAATTTATTTTATTATTAAATTATTATTTATTAATACATTAAATGAAAATTGCAATTAGTTGAAATGAGCTAAAATTTTAATCGGACATCAGAAATGACAAACGAACGTAATTTCTATACTTCAACTGTCACATGTCAATTCATCCATCTCTTTCTATTTTTCTTTTTGACAGCGAGTATTTTTGTAGGTAAGTTTTATCAAAATAAATCCAATTTTTCATCATCAATCCCTGTTAAAACGTAAGTAATTTACATCAAAATCGAACCAACTATTCCCAATTCATCCAGTCGCATAAATATTTTCCCTATTATTCCCATTTTTCCCATCAAACTGGCGATACCAAATTCGAGGTTATGTCGAATCAATCTAACCAAACATTCAACATATTTTTACGTGTTTCTTCCAGGCCTCCACGATGGGAGCTTACAAGTACATGCAAGAATTGTACCGCAAGAAACAAAGCGACGTCCTGCGATTCCTGCTCAGGGTGCGCGTGTGGCAATACAGGCAACTGACCAAGCTCCACAGGGCCCCCAGGCCCAGCCGTCCCGACAAGGCGCGCCGACTGGGATACCGCGCGAAGCAGGGCTACGCCATCTACCGCATTCGGGTGCGTCGCGGAGGCCGCAAGCGCCCCGTTCCCAAAGGTTGCACCTACGGTAAACCCAAGAGTCACGGAGTCAACCAGCTGAAACCCGTGCGCAATCTACAGGCCATCGCTGAGGTCAGTTTTTGTGTTTTTATTATATCTCCTGTGTTGACTAATAAAGTGGTATTGTTTTAGGAACGTGTTGGTAGGAGATGCGGAGGATTGAGAGTGTTGAATTCGTACTGGGTCGGACAGGATTCTACGTATAAATACTTTGAAATCATCCTCGTGGATATTTCGCATAAGGTTAGTGGCTGTACAATTCTAATGGCCTTTTTAACATAAATTATTTATTGTTGTTTATATTGTTTATTTTTTTTGTAGGCAATTAGACGAGATGCTAAGGTTAACTGGATAGTGGAGGCCGTTCACAAGCACAGAGAGTTGCGCGGAAAGACCTCTGCCGGAAGATCATCGAGAGGTTTGGGCAAAGGACACAGGTACTCGCAGACTAAGGGCGGTTCCAGGCGCGCCGCTTGGCTCAGAAGGAATTCGCTCCAGTTGCGTAGGAAGCGATAAAGTTAAGCTTATAATTTTTATAAATATCAACAATAAACTATTTGTGGTGAGAAAAGAAGTTTTTGGTTTCATTTCGATGCTTCGTATAAATTGCAGCGGTCTTTTACAGAATCTTGTTGTTTCAAAATGAATGAAACGCTGAAAGGCTTTTAAAAAAAAGTTCTCTTAACACTTTATTACATCAAAATTGTAACATATCGAAACAAATACATACTAAAATCAACATTCATTAGGGAAAATAGAATCAAAAAAATTTCATAGGAATTCTTTCGAAAAGAAGTTCGTATTAAAACTAAATATTGAAAACTATAATTAAAATATGGGCATTTTCATATTTACTTATTCATCGGTATCGTCCGAAGCGCACTGGACCGGCGACTCGTCGACCAGACCGACCTGTTGGGCGTAGTTCAATCCCTCGAAATAGTTCGAATGGAACTCTTGGGCGGCCGATTCGTCTGCGAAGGTCGCTTTCAAATTGCGCATTTGCATATCCGTCGTCCATTCTCTGGCCTTCCACGTGCATTCGTTACCCTCCGACTGAAAGACGGAAACACGTTGTAAAACGAAAATAAAGGCAAAGCGAAACTCGAATTGTTTTAGACGATATGTACGTGGGTAAGGTGAAGAGTTCTCGTGAAAGACAAGTACATTTATTTACAAGTAGTTGTAATTGTAGTTAACTACATTATACAAAGTAGTTTTAACAACACTGTCTAATTGACTCTGTTCTAAGTTCTAAATGGTTTCAGACAGTTCCAAATGGCCCAGGAGCGTTCTAGATTGTCCCAGACAGTTAAAAATGATTCTGGATCGTTCTAGACAGTTCAAAACGATTCAGACCGAGAACTTTTCACCGGACCCTCGTTAGGTACTTACTTCCATTATGGTGTTGATGCCGATCAACGTGACGCTCATCACTTTACCGTATTCGTCGTTGACTTGAATCCGGGCACCGAAAACGTCCGGATCGTAATAGACTTGCAAATCCCCTTTGCCGATCTCCTGCCATTCGCCGTCGTCTCGAAGGCGTTCGCTCAACGTGCATTCCTTCACGAACATTATAGTCCTGTCGACGATCAAAAAACAAAATTCATTACTACAAATATTTTCAATAAAAGTTTCGATAACGTTACTTTTCATCGTCCTCCTCTTCCTCGACATCATCATCGTCCTCCTCCCCTTCGCTGTACTTGTTGGCTTCCTCGTAGTAGCCCTCGTAGTGGCCTTCGCCGAAGTTGCTCACGGTCACCGGTACTTCCCCGTCGCTCTCGTTAGTGTGGGATTTCTTCTCTTCGGTTTCGGCCAGTCTCAATTGCTCCGTGGCTCGTTCGACGACCGTTCGAAACTCCAAAGCGGTCTCGGGCTTCTTGAAGCGCACGGCCAACTTTTCCAGGTTGGTCTCGTCGTCGACGAAATTGTAGCCCACCCACATCCAGGATTTCTCGGTGGTCATCGCCTTCAGTTCGAGATCTTTGGTCACCAGTTGGTTGAGGACGAGCTTGTGGACTTGTTCGCGCCTCAGCAACAATCGATACGTGTCTAAAATTATACACATACGTGTTAATTTACTCGTTATATTTAGAATTTTACAAGTTATAATTTTTATGCTGCACCACTTATTATGTAGGGTGTTCCTAAACATCGTTTACATTTGAAAGGGGGTGATTCCTTGGCTTATTTTAAGACTAAATAGGGCTATTTGAAATAATTTTCGAAATTTTAGTTTTTTTCTTGATAAATTTGAAAAATGTTTCGAGCAAAACTTGCTAATTTTGATGCCAGTATTCCGAATTTTCATTAAAAAATAGGGGTTTCTATTTAAATTTTTTAAATTACCCGCCACTCCTTCCTTGAGGTGCGGTTTAAGTTAGGATCTCCAACATTTCCAAATCATCAACAAAAATATCTTCATAATCTATGTTTAATTGTTCAATTTCCATCACAAGTAAATAATGTCTGGTGATTGATAATATACAATAAACACAAAATAAACAATAAACCTCGATAACTTTGAAAATGTCTTTTTTTCACAGAATACTGAGAATACAGAACTGAAAACCTAAATTCTGTGTTCTATGGTGTTTTTTCTTTCTCAAATGACAACTAACTGTAACCAACATTACATATTCCAAATAAAAAACCCCAAAAAGTTGTAAGAGGCCATGTATCTAATGAGAGAAGAAGAGGTATTTAATAAAATGGCGGATCCAGTTAAGGCCAAACAGCCTTCTTGGTTAATGTCTAAACCACGGCCCTATATTTCTAAGGTCTGGAATCTCCCTATGCTTATGCATTAGAGAATGTGTCCCGTTATTTGAGGACTTTTAGAGCTTCACTTTTGAGCCGCACCGTGGCGAACGATCGGAGGACCAACTTATCTCAACCAATCAGCGTCGCGCTACATATAAATCACGGTTGTGTGAAACGACAGTTCAAGCTGTCAAAACTTCAAAAAATATTATTTGACATTTCGAGGACAAAATGGAGAAATACATTAACCGAAGGTACGTGAGGCATGATGTTAACAACAAATTCATCGCTGATTTAAGTATATTTTTGTATTTGAATAAAACCTTAATGCTAATTCTATATAATTCGTACACAAAAAAACCGTGATCCTTTACAACATCGCCTCCTAGCGGCCGTTTTACGAACTCTGTTGTATCCTCAAATAACGGGACACTTTTTCGATAGTACCAAAAATGATGTGTCGACTTGACAGCAACTCGCTACATGCAAACTTGCAAAGAGTAATCATTAACTCTCAAATAGTTACTCTCAACATTGTCCACTGGCGAGAACTAGTCTCTCTCTCGAGTTTTCTCTCAAATGAACACCTAGCATTAAAGCATATTGTTATAGTACTTACGTTTCTCTCGATGATAGAGCACCTTCAATTGGCCGACGCCTCTCTCCTTCCACTCCTTGGTGTCGGCAACGTACCGGAACAATTTCGCTCGATCGTTGAACAACGCGTCCTCGTCCTCTTCGCCCGTCGTCACGACGATCTGCTCGGGCAGCGGTACGATCGGCTCGTAGTGGGGATCGTAGTCGTCGTTGGTACCGCCCTCGTCGTCGCCTTCATCGTCCTTACCGTTGGCGGTACCCTTTCCGGCTGTCGATTGGAACACCGGCGCTCCGGCGCCCAAAAACGAGAACGTTTCATCTGTAACTGCGATGGATTTGAATGAGAAACAACGTCCGGATAGTACCCGATTGGTACCCACTTACCGGTTTTCATGGTAAACGAAGGTTTCGCGTCGATCTTGACGTTGGAAGCCAACGAAGAAAACGACAAGTTGGTATCGCATTTCAGTACTATCTCGTTGGCGTCGGCGCCGTCGCTCGTCGCGACGGTACTGCTCGATTTCGAAACGCCGCCGAACAAACCGGTACCGGTCGTAGTCGCCGGCTGGAACGGCTTCGAAGGCGGCGCGAAACTGAAATTGGTACCGCCGAATATGCTGGTGTTCGACGAAGTACTACTAGATCCGAACAAATTAGCGGTCGATCCGACGGTAGTTGTACTGGGACTATTGAAAGCGGTACCGCCGAATATGCCGGTATTCGATGTAGTACTACTAGATCCGAACAAATTAGTGGTCGATCCTACGGTGGTAGCCGCAGCAGTAGTAGTACTAGGACTATTGAAAGTGGTACCGAATATGCCGCTATTCGATGTAGTACTATTAGATCCGAACAAATTAGTGGTCGATCCTACGGTGGTAGCCGCAGCAGTAGTAGTACTAGGACTATTGAAAGTGGTACCACCGAATAAGCCGGTATTCGATGTAGTACTATTAGATCCGAACAAATTAGTGGTCGATCCTACGGCGGTAGCCGCAGCTGTAGTAGTATTGGGACTATTGTAAGTGGTACCGCCGCCGAAAATGCTACCGCCCGTCGGCGGCGCGCCGTTACCGAAGATCCTGTTCGAGTTAGTACCGAACAAACTGGTGGTGGAACTGACGGGAGTACCGAACAGACTCGAGCCGGCAGATGGCGCCGGCGAAGCCAACGAATTGCCGGTGGAACTCAACGGAGTACCGAACGAGCCGGACGACGCGTTCGAGCCGGACGAGCCGAACGGAATTACCGTAGTAGCGGTGGTACCGAACGCCGCCATGTTGGGCGACGAAAACGAAAATTTCGGCGGCGGCGCCGTCGCCGGCGTCGTTTCGGGCGTCGATTTCGGCTGCGCCAACGTCGGCGGTTTCAAGGCGAAACTCGATTTGCCGGGGGTGGTAGTACTGCTTTGGGCGGGTTTCGAATCGGACGCGAACAGCTCCTTGAGGTACTCGTCGTCTTTTTTGCATTGGGCGCACGCGCAATCGGGCAGCTGCTTGTAGGCGAGGAACTTCGCCGGTAAGCCCAAGCTTTTGGCGAATTTCTCCTCTTCGGGCGTTACCTGAGTTTCGGATACTACGATTACATCGTCGTCATCGGTACTTCGGAACGACGCGTCTGAAAATTTCACCATATATAGGGTGTTAATTAAATTGAGTGCAGATACTTCGGGATGTGAATATTTGGTTTATTTTAAGAAGAAAAGTTATTATACACAGTACTTCATTCGCAATTGCAACATGGGCGTTTCTATGAGTTGAACAAGGAAAGATTATTAAAATAACAGTTGTCAGAGTGACAAGTTGTAATGACATATTATCACTCTCTTTTTCCTTTATAAGTGTTTCATTGAAGTTGTCTTTGTTGCATTTCCGATTGCATTGTGGTCATTTCTATGAGTGGGACAAAGAAAGGTTATTAAAATGACAGATTGACAGTTGTCGGAGTGAAAAGTTGTAATGACACAATGTCACTTTTTCTTTTTCTTTTGTAAGTGTCTAATGGAAGTTGTCTTTATCGCACCTATAGCCTATATAACCTATATTGCAATCAAAAATACAGCAACCTGTATAATCTATGTTACGATCTGTAATGAAGCAGTGTATATATATAAAAAAAAAAAAGAAAAAACCGCATTACCTGCGCTAGCGGTACAATTCCCTACGGCCTCGTCGACGGCTCTCTTAAACTCCCCGGCCACCTCCGCGTTCTTGAACCTCAAACACAACCGCTCCTTCGCCATTTCACCTTCGGAGAAATCGGCGACGCCGAACACGAACGATCTCTCGTCCTTCGGCACGTACTCCACGTTCCTATCGAGCGCGTGATTCAAACACACCTTCAACACCTGCTCTCTGCGCATGACGACGCGCAACCGTCGCGACGCCCTGTCGCGCAGCAACTTCACGTCGCCGATGCCGCGCTCCTTCCATTCGCCGTCGACGAACCGGTAGAGTTTCGCCCGGCGCACGAACAGCGCGTCGGCGTCCTCTTCGTCCGTCTTCACCTCCACCACGTCGGGCAACGGTACCACCGGCTTGAAGTAGATGTTCACCTCCTCCTCCTCGACGACGCTGTCGTCGGCGTTGCCGCCGTCCGATTCGCCGCCGCTGACGCGTCGCGGCGTCCGCTGCTTGAACTCGAACTCGCCGCCCTTGTGCTCGGCGCCGAACACGTAACCCTCTTTCGGACTATCCGAGCCGGTACCGGCGGTACCGAACAAATTCGCCGGTGCGGCTTTCTGTCCGAATAAACCGGCGGTAGGCGTTTTTTCGCCGAACAACGGTACTGCTTTTTGTCCGAAAATACCATCGGCGGAAAATACGGGAGTAGTACTCGTAGCGTCCTTTTGTCCGAAAATACCACCGCTTGAAAATAGAGGAGTAGTACTCGTAGCGTCCTTCTGTCCGAAAACGTTAGCCGTAAATACCACGGGGCTGCTAGTCGTGTCCGGTACAGCTTTTTGCGCGAACAAATTGTTGACGGCGGACGTTTGTTTGCCGAAGAATTTCTCGGTACTTTGTTCGGACTTGGCGGGCGTTTGTCCGAAGAGATTGGCGACCGTCGAGGTGGTACCGGATTGATTCGGCACGCCGAACGTCCATTTGCAATCCGCTGTGGCGGCGTCGGTACCGCCGGCTTTGGTCGTATTGCAGGCGGTGCACGTTCGCGTCGAATTGTCGTTGCGTACCAAACAAGTACCGCACTCCCACGTATCGAATGCCGGCTTGAACCTGTCGCCGAAATCGTTGGTTTTACTTTCCGAGGGGACGGTAGTACCGAACGGGGTCGCGGCGGCGACGGTTTGGGCCGGTACGCCGAAGCTCCATTTGCAATCGATTTTGGTCGTACCCAAGACGGATTTGCTGGCGTTTATTCCGCCTTCTTTGGGCGTCTCGCAGGCCGTACAAGTACCGTTCGAATTGTCGTTGCGTACCAAACAAACCTCGCACTCCCACGAGCCGGGTTTCGGTTTGAACGAATCGCCGAATCCCTCCGAAAACGATGGTACCGCTTTCTGTCCCACAACGGTGGTAGTAGCAGTAGTAGTAGTACCGATCACTCCCGTAGTGGCAGATGCGTTGCCGGCGATCGAAGCGGTCGGTACGATTTTTTGCGGGGGTAGTACCGAAGGAGTTGTTCTCGTCGAGTTTGAGCTGATTGTCGCTCAAAATCCGTATGAATTCGGCGGCGATTTCTTCGCTCCTGAACCGCGCCGTGAACGTTTCCAATTTGAGTTCCTCTTCGGAGAAGTCCTGGGCGCTCCACATCACCGCCTTCGGATTGTCCGATTTCAATTTGAACGGCATGTCTTTGAGTACCCGATGATTGCAGCAAATCTTGTGCACCTGGTCGCGCCTCATCAGCAACCTGATCGAATCGTTGTCTTTCAGCACCTTCAAACAGCCCAGTCCGCGTTCTTTCCACTCGTTCGTCACGTACCTGCAACAAATTTAGGTACTACGTTACCCGGTACTAATTCACACGAATCGATACGAACCTAAACAGCTTGGTGCGCGCCTCGAACAACACCTCGGCGCCCTCTTCGCCGGTCTTCACCTCCACAATATCCGGCAACGGTACCACCGGCTTGAATTCCGCCGTCGGTACGAACTCCTCCACTTTGTCCTCCTTGTCGCCGCCGTCGTCGTCGTTCTCTCTCGCTATCACCAACGGCGCGAACGTCTTTTTGGGCTCGTCGACCGCCTTGCCGAACACGAACGACACGAAAGGCGTACCGGTTTTGGTACCGGCCGGTTCGACGTCGGCGACGCCGGCCGTCGTCGGCGCCTCGCTACCCAATTCTTTCGGCTTGAACGTCGGCGTACCGGTGAACACGAACCCGCCCATGCTCGATTTGCTAGTACTACTAACAGTAGTACTGGTAGTCGCCGATTCGGCGTCATCTTTCGCGCTAGTTTTGGTCGAATCGACCGGGCGAGTACCGCTTTTGCCGGTACTACTTTTGACCGATTCGACGGCATCGTAGAAGGCCGTGGCTTCGTCGGCGGCGGCGAATTTGACGTGGAACGTTTCGGGTCGAGGCGGCGCCGCGGCGGCGGCGGCGGTACCGTCCGAATAGTCGTGAGCCAACCAGATGAACGACAGATCGCTGTTGTTGGGTCGTACCAGGTGCGTGTCGTCGCGCACGAAATGATTGGCGCATATCTTGCGCGTCCGTTCTCTGCGCATCAGGATCCTCGATTTGCCGGTGGACTTGTTCCGCAGGACCTTCAGCTCGCCGGTACCTGGAATTCGAATGGCTGCGGTAAGTATACGAACGAGTCGAGAGGAATGTCACGTAGAAACGAAAAACACAAACCCTGTTTCCCTATTTTAACGAGACACCCTTAATAAGAACGAGTACAAGTAGGTACTGTTGTATTCAAAAAACTCGCTTATCAGTTCGGGCAGTTAAATATCCAATTCTCGCTCGCTGCGCGAGCTCGAGTTTATTGGTAATTGCAATAATGGGCTCTGCCGAATAAACCCGCAGCTCGGAGGCTCCTACGCAAAGACAGTTATATAATCCAGTTATATAGTTATTATGTAATTAACGTTTTCTTAAAAACGAATCGCCCTATACTATATTTCAATTTAATCAAAAATAATTTTTCACTGAAGATAAAAAACGCCCAGTATATCAATTTTTCCGATTTCCTTAATGAAAAAACACCCTGTACAACAAATTAAATGTCAACGTATCCATAGAAACGCAAAAGTCATCCATTTTGTCTTTCATTCGGGAATGATCGTACGTCATCGTAGATCTGAAAGTTTTCACTTCCGGTTCGACGACAGCCGTAAAATATGCATCGATTTCGAAAAGTCTTTATAATTCGATAAATAATAATTAAAAAAATGGGAAAAAAATTTGATAGATAGAAAAATGGCGTATCTATAAATTTTCGCTTTCAAAATTCTCTAAAAGATGATAGTTTCCGAGTTTTGGCGTTACAAACTTGAAGACAATTTAAAAACGGGTTTTTCGAAAAAACTCAAAAAGTACAGATCGGAAAAACACCCGGTCTCTTTTGTTGAATGGAAAAAAGAATATTGAATTATTTTGCAAGTATGAAAAATGTTCGTAAATCTTACCGTTTACGAGTTATTTCGATTTTTAGAAAACCCTCGAAAATTATTTTCCACGATATTTTCCCAAAACGATTTTTTCCTGGAAAACGGCTGTATACGAAAGTCGAGAGAACCGATGGAAAATCTTTTGGGAGATTTTGAAGTGAATCGAACGAACTCGATTCGAGAAAAGTGCGAAAAACCGAAAAAAAAGGGTTAATTTTGTTAATCTCGAGAATGACCCTACGAATTTGGGCCTTACAGCTTTATATTATTAGTGTAAAGGGTACAAGTAATAGAAAGAGACATTAACGTCATCCTATTTGCGTAAAACTAGAATTATTTTAGCTTATCAAATGTCATATGTTGAAAAAAAAATGGAAATCATTGGCGTTGCGAGTCAATTAAACGAAATAATGACCAATGATACTAATTATTTACATTTTTGACAACTTTTTACATTCGATAAGCTCCAATAATCCCAGCCGGTTTTACACAAATGAGATAACGTTAACGCCTCTTCCTATTACTTGTACCCTTTTTTTTAATACAACTGTACCTCTTTCCTTCCATTCTTTCTTCCCATCGACGGTGACATAATTGAACAACTTGGCTCTCTTGCAGAACACCACCTCCTCGTTCTCCTCGCCGTCGGCGGCGCTTTCCGCGCCATCGGCGGTACCACCGTCGCCTTTGGACGGCGTCGCGGCGGCGGCGGCTTTGCCCGAATTGCTCTTCACGTGCTGCGGCGGTATGGTGACGCTGAGGACGGGCTGCTGGGCGGTGAGGGCGCTCCTGTTGGGCAACGGATCGGACGTGGTGATCACCACGTTCACCGGCGCCCCCTTGCCGAACAACGGCGTCGTCGGATTCGGGCGCGCCGGCGCCGACGGCGTCGTAGTGGGCGTCGCTACGGAAGCGGGCGCGGGTAGGGAGAGCGCGGGCGGCGCCGCGATTTGGTTGATGCGCGACGACGTCGCGACGTCGGCCGTCGGCAGGAATTTCGTCTGGTTCAGGCCGATTGGTTGAGAGAGCAGGTTGCTGGGAGCGGCGGCGGCGGCGGCGGAGGTCGACAGGGGCGGTTGTTGGTGGTCGGGCAGGAACGGTAGAGGACCTGGAAAAGATGTAAATTATAGTCGAAATTGTAGCATAGTAATACAGGGTGACACAATGAAAAGGCGCTTAGAAATTATCAGCTCACTAAATGGGCTACTTTTCATTGGGACACTCTCTATTGTAAACGACGAATAAATTACCTGGTTGAACGAAATTGAGCCCTCCGTACGGATAGGTCAAACCGCCCGGATACAAACCCGGATACATCAACGACTGTCCGTAGGCGGCCAAATGATTGGGATTGGGCATCCTGGGCGTCGGGAAGTTGCCGTACATTGAAGTTCCAGCCATGTTGCCCGACAAATTGTAATCGACCCCGTAATCCGGATCTAACACGTACAAATCCTCATCGCTCAATTGATTGTTGCGGCTGTCGTTCTTCTTCACTTCGTTCAAATCCTTCCTGATTTCCTAAAAAAGTAAACAATGCGTCCTTAGTTACTCCATAACAACAATGTAAAACTGTCAATGTCAATGTAAGGCACGGTCGTATATGTAGCAGGTCTGGAAACTTTGACTTTGCTTGACTTGACTTTTGACTTTGACCGTGCTTTAAACGATTGATTATGACATTAAATTTACCTGTATCACGTCCATCATGTTCTGTATGTCGTCGGCGTGGACGCCGGCGGCGCCCGCCTCCGTCTTGGCGCGCTCCTTCAGCGCCTCGACGTCGCCCTTGATGTCCTTCAGCTCGTCGATGACGCGATTCAGCTTGTCCAACAGGCACTTTTGCATGTCGACGACCATGCGATTCTGTTCGCTGACGATGGTGAAGCTGGCGTCCTTGCTGCACGCCAGCTGCCTGATTTGGGCGTCGAGACGCTCCGGACTGGGGCGGCACTCTTCGCGCAACGACGCCTGCTTGTTGGAGGGACGAGCGGGCGTCGAATAGGCGTCGTTCGACAGGCTCAAGCCGGTCATGTTCAGGTCGAGCTCGCGATCGTAGACGCCGGTCAGGTCGAGTTGTTGTTCGATTTCGGTGATCTTGGTGCCGAGTTCGAGGTTCAACGGGTGGCTGTACGTGTACGGTTGTTCTCTCAGCCTGTCCAACGTCAGGTACAAACTGTCGCGGGCTAGCGTTAACAGGCTGGTTTTCGTGTTGGCGTTCGCATTCGCATCCGACATTTTCTTGTAGATTTCGTATTGGTGGTAACTCGCGTACGGATCTTTCAGTTCTTTCAGCATCGCCAAGGCTTGCTCTAATCGGTTCTTTTCGAACGTTCGTACGGCCAGGAATAGCTTACCCTTGTTGATCATCGAACGGGCCTCTTGCGATGTTAAATCCGATTTGTAAGCGAACAATCGGTTGTTCGAATGCACTACGGCTTCCTCGTTGACGATTCTATCGAGCAGCGATAAACCGGTCGACCAGTACAATTCTGCTCGATCCAACGTCAACTCGACTTCGCTGCGCTTGTCCAATTTCTTGGCGCGCTCCTCCAACAACTCGCCGAGCGACACCAACAGCTTGGCGTCCAAACCGTGCTGTCCGATGCACCGTGTTACTTCGATGCCTTTTATTAGTAACATACGTAGATCGCCTGTGTCCGTCGATCGGTCGTTTTGGTACATTTTATAGGCGCCCAACATGAATTTCGATTGTTCCACGGTAACTAGATTATCTGTGATATTAGCCGGTAGGAGCCTGCGGTTGGAGTGACCGATCGTTGAGCAGAATGTGGCGCAACAAACGAACGAATACACGTCCAAATAATTCAACGATTCGGCGGCGCAATTCGATAGATTAGCGGTCGAGTAGAGTAAACCGTCGAACGGTACCAAACGTATGTTAACCGGTACATTGTCGTTCATCATCACCCAGACGTAATGGTGTAGACTGTCGGGGTATAACTTTAACGCGACCGTATCGTACGTCAACAAATCGTCGATGATCGGCAATTTATTAACCGGTTCGGTCAGTAGCTGGTTGAGGAAGAAACTGGCGGTTAAGTCTCTTCGACCGAACAATTTCTTGTACAAATTTTCCCTCCAAGTACCGGTCGAGTACTGGGCGGCTTTCTCCAGCAACAAAGACTTACCGTCTTTCGACAGCGACAGCAGAATGTGACCGGTTTGAGAGTTTCGGTAGCAGGCCAATTTGTACAACCGGTTGTTCGATTCCGGCGGATTCGTGTGATAAGCGACGAACAACAACGGCAATACAACGTTCGAAGCTTCTTTGAAATCCAAGATATCGCGTTTGGCTTGTTTGTACACCAGAGTGGCCAAATGGAAGTACAATTGGGCGCGGTACTGCTCGAAAAACACCTTCGTAGCACTCCTATCGCTCGATGTGCTATTAACGAACCTGTAAGCTTCGTTGAGAGTCTCGTCCAAGTTCAACACGGTTTGCACGTACTCCGGTACACCCTTGGTTTTGGTACCTTCCCCCAAGCGGTACTCCTGCAGGCTCAAATCGGCCACTCGTTCGCACACGCTCACAAACTTCAACCAAAACGCCTCGTTGATTTCGCTCGATCGCGCTTTACGGTACTTCGACAGCACTTCGTAGAAGGTCTCGTACCACATCAGGTTGTTGAAGAAGTCGCAACGTGATTGGCCCGAATCCGGCGCATGCGCGGCCGAATCTTCTATGCTGGAAGCGTGTTTGTAGGCCTCCGTTATCATGTTGTGGCGAACAAAGTGTCTCAATAGGCGCGTTCGTAGACTGACGTCCGTCGGTCTACGTTCGAGTTCCTCGAGCAACAGTCGGGCCACTTCCGTGGGATTTTCATGCTCAATGCATATGAGTTTTTCTTTCAAAGCGAACACCGAAGGATTGTCCGGCGCAATGGATTGGGCAAGTTCGCAGAAGTACCGAGCGCCCGATAGGTCCATGTCGATGTTATCGGACGATAGTAGTTCGCATACTGTAACAATAGCATTTAGTATAATTCATCGAGTAGGCTTTGGATTATTGACGTTTCGATAAAATCGAGTAGGCTGGGATAAAAAGGTTAAAGGTTAGATTTATTTACCTTTGAGGACCAAGTTGTTTTGCTTGGGATCGGCTTGAAGGCTGTTCCGGTAAGCTTCCAGGGCGGCCTCGTATTTTCCGAGCTTTTCCAACGATTTTCCTAGGAGTAGATGGCCCTCGGCCGACTTGGATTTGACCGATAAATACGAGGTGGCGTATCTGTAGGCATGCTCGTAGTCGCCGACGTTGTAGTAGAGTTTGGCGAACGAGAAGCACCGCAGATTCCTCTGGAATCGGGACGAATTGATAAAAAAATGTCGATACGAAATGCGTGCGGTACTTTACCTCGGTGTCGTTGGTGATTTTCTTCAAGCAATTGTTCACGTGTTTGTCGACTTCTAGCTTGGTTTTGAACATCGTTTAGGTGGTATTTAACGCATTAATTGTCGATTTATGGTGAAAATGTTGCAAACGAATAAAATGTATACAAAAAACCGAGCGGATAATTGAAAAAACGAGTACAAATTGAAAACGGATGCGTTAAAGCCGAATTGTCAAATTTGTCAATGTCAACGGTTACGAACTGTCATGACTGTCATGTTTGTTTGTAGCATGGTCTTATATAACAGGCCCTGAAACTCTGTTGGGAGGGTTTACAAGGGAATGTACAACACAGGCTACAAGAAATCCAAAATGAACCCTACCAGACACTAGCGTTACAAGTTGCTTCCCATGAACCCGCGACCCAAAGTAACAGTAAACGCAACACCCCAATAGCAAAACAACCAAGTTTCCAGACCTGTATGTAAGACCCTGGGAGTGACTGTCAAAAAGTACAGCAATCATTTTCATAAAAAAAGAAGATTGTCAGTCAGAATTCAGAACTGTCATTACCAATCGAAGACGAATTACAATGATATTTTCTACATTATAATTTATTTATGAAATTAATTTAATTTGAATTTACTGCATTTTTCAATTCAAATTTACCCATACTAGTTACAAAGAAGCCCTTACAAGTCAACAACATGGTATGTTACTATACCCGTAATAACCAAAATTCGTTACCCCAAAAACGCTAAAATTCTGTAAATTTCAGTTCCAATTCGGCTTCAACATGTTCCCGGACATCCCGAGGCCCTTCAACATGACCTACAAATGTTACTCAGTGGCCATGTTTCCGGGAAACGAAAGACAGGATGTCGAACGTGGAGGAAAAAGTACTATCGTTTATACATTTAATATTACATAGCAGAATATAGTAGGCTAATTTAACAACTGTCAACGTCAAAATGACATAGATAGGCTTATCAAAACTATGACTGACAATGTTTAAAAGCCACACAACCCATAGTTTGTTTTTCTTTTAGTAATCATGCCACCCTCTGCACTGGAACAGCTCACTCGATTAAACATCAACTACCCCATGTTATTTAAACTAGTCAATAAGAAGACGAGTCGCACGACTCATTGCGGCGTGTTGGAATTCGTGGCGGACGAAGGAAAAGTCTACCTTCCGTTATGGGTACAATTAAGATTCTCGTAAACGTATTGCTCGTCTAATTCAATTTCGATACAGATGATGCACAATTTGGTACTAACCGAAGGCGATTTGGTTCAAATGGAAAGCGTCTCGTTGCCGGTGGGCACCTTTTCCAAATTCCAACCGTTGAACCCGGATTTCCTCGACATAACCAACCCGAAGGCCGTGCTGGAGAATTGCCTGCGGTCCTTTGCTTGTCTGACGACCGGCGACGTGATAGCCGTGCGGTACAATCAAAAGGCGTACGAATTGTGCGTGCTGGAAACGAAACCCGGCAACGCCATCAGTATAATCGAATGCGATATGAACGTATGTAAGCTGCACATACGAAGGCCATCGTATAATTCGCGTGTTTGTAGGTGGAATTCGCCGCTCCCGTGGGCTACAAGGAACCCGAGCATGCGAAGAAAGAAGAGGAAATGTCGGTGGATCCCGCCGACTTGATGCCGGAACCGTCGGGATTCGTGGCTTTCAGAGGGGCCGGTAACCGATTGGACGGGAAAAAACGCAAAGATTCTTCGTCTAACGACGCTCCTTCGGTTAAACCGGCTTACGTCCGGGGAATTCCCGATTACGATTATCAAATCGGCACGCTGGACTTCATCAGGCGTACGGTGATGAAGCCGAAGGAGAAGGATAGTAGCGATGATGGGGATGATTTTAAGGCTTTCAGCGGTACTGGGTTCAGTTTGAGAAATAGGAATTAGGGATTTGTATTGTATTTTTGTTGTGTGATTGAAATTAAAGTTATTTTTATTTGTATTGTAAATTCTATGAGATCAAAGTAGGGCGAATAGCCGTAGTCGCCGAGGCAATAAATTGATGATTAGTGAGAAAGTTACAACTCAACAATGTCACTTTATCTTTCTTAATGGAATTTTTTAAGAGCCATAGAGCTCGATTTGTTCTAATAATTATTAAAAGCAATAAATATAATAACGATTCATGAAATTGTACTGTATACCCGCATAAGAAACAGACAACATTGACAGTTGGAGAAAAATTTGACGTTTATGACAGTTAACCTACAATTAAAGAAACAAACAAAACAAAGTTTTGAATTTCCAATCAAATGTCCTTTTTGAGGAGGTCCACATTTTCGAAATTAATCAGTAACTATTTCAAGTCTTTAACGAACAAGAATTCACAGCATGTCAACGCGAAAAAGGCCGTCGTAAACCACCAAAAACCATCCGTAACCAAGCGAAAAGTGAACGGAAACAATGCATATAGTAATTTAACGTTTATGTGTGTAGTGGCCACCGGTTATTATGTCTATAAGGAGTTCAAAGAGAGTAAAAAGGGTAAAAACCCGCCGTACGTGTACATACCGTCGGTGCAGGCGGCCTCTTCCTTCGAAGGCGCCCCGCTGTCAGGCAGACGGACAAAATTCAATTTCATAGCCGACGTGGTCGAGACCTCCGCCCCGGCCGTCGTCTACATAGAAATCAAGGACCACCGGAGGGTGGACTTCTTCACCGGCCGCCCCACCACCATATCCAACGGCTCCGGTTTCATCATCGACTCCAACGGTCTGATACTCACCAACGCCCACGTAGTCACCAACAAAACCAACGCCAAGGTCGAGGTGAAGCTGATCGACGGCTCCATATACCAAGGCCAAGTGGAGGACATCGATTTGAAAAGCGACTTGGCCACTGTAAGGATACCGGCCAAGAAACTACCCGTCATGAAGCTCGGCAACTCCTCGGATCTCAAACCGGGCGAATTCGTAGTAGCCATCGGTAGTCCCCTAGCGTTGAGTAACACAGTCACCAGCGGCGTGGTGAGTTCCACGCACAGAGGATCCGCCGAATTGGGTATATAAACTAGTCCATTTCGATTACGATGATTAATCGTAACGTTTGAATTCGCGCAGGTCTGATGGGCAAAGACATGGTGTACATCCAAACGGACGCCGCCATCACCTTCGGCAATTCGGGCGGGCCGCTGGTCAATCTCGACGGCGAGGCGATCGGCGTCAATAGCATGAAAGTCACGGCCGGCATCTCCTTCGCCATACCCATCGACTACGTCAAGGCGTTCCTCAAATCGGCCACCGGCCCCAAGAAGACCAACAACCAGAAGCGCATGTACCTCGGCATCACCATGTTGACGCTGACGCCGCAGATCATCTTCGAATTGCAGCAGCGGAACCACGACGTGCCCAGGGACATCGATCGCGGCGTGCTCGTCTGGAAGGTCATCTACGGATCGCCGGCGCATTTGTAAGTTCGCCGAGCCCATCGGGAAACGGCCCAAGGTTATTGAGAGATGCACTAGATGCGTGAGATATCCCCAAATTCCCTGAGAAATATGCACAAAATACGTTATAAATAGTACAACTGACTGATACTTGAGTTATGAGCAGGTATTTAGCACTGTTGAGAGATGGATAACACTCTTCTAACATGCATAGACCTTCAGAGAAATGCATGGAATGGTTGAGAAGGGAGACTCTCCTCCTTAAAGAAAGCTTAAGGAGGAGGTTTAGGAGGAGAGTCCTGAAGAAGGGCCCGAATTTTTCGAAACTATTTTCATTTGTACAGCGTTCGTTTTGCAGGGGCGGTTTGTTACCGGGCGACATCGTGACCCACATCGACGGTAAGCAGGTGCAACATTCGAACGACGTGTACGGTTTCCTGGAGGGCGGCCATTCCAAGGAGATGAGGCTGTCGGTGAACCGGAGCGGCAGGAAAATGGAGCTGACCATCACCCCCGAAGATCTTAGTTGATAGGAAATATAAGTAATCCGGTTTTATTTTTCCGCGAATTTAATTAAAAAAAAAGATGATACGATATAATAAAAGATAAGCAGCAAAAGCCGGCGTGGTTATATTGTTTCGGACGCGCCGAGTTACGAGGGTAAGGTGAACAGTTGTCGGTCTGAATGAAAAAGTTGAGAGAGTCGATGAGTATTTTAGCAAAAATATTGTCGGTCTCAATGAAGAAGGTGAGAGAGTCAAAATGAGTATTTTAACAGCCTTCCAGATTCTCATTTCCGTGAAGGTACGAGGGTAAGGTGAAAAGTTGTCGGTCTGAATGAAGAAGTCGAGTAACTGTGCCAAGGGAAATATGTAGGAAAGTTTAATTTTTGATGATTTTCGAGAACTTTCCACCTTACCCTCGTAAATCGGACACGATACGCAGTAATTACGTAACGTTTCCACTGTGGTGTTTCGTAAAGTTAAGAACTAACGCTTGAGTAATCTAATTACAAGTGCTATTATTGTTTGTTCTTCATTGTGCGTATATTGTTTGCGAACAACCTTAATATCTTTTTAAATAGGAAATTATTCCGAGTATATAGGGTGGCCCACGACAAGTTAAAACTATCTGTATATTGGAAACTACTTATCCGATTTAAATAATATTTGGTGCGTATATGTTATGCAATAAGACGAACCTCTTAAAAATAATTTGACACCCTGCATAGCGACGATTAGAAGCGGAACGCGTGCCGTTGCGTAAAATCTTATTTTTTTTTTTTGGGACGCCCTGTACGGTCGAGACGATGCGATTTTTAGAATGAAATTAGAGCGGTCTCGTGACGGACAATCGTTCGAGTCTTTCGCTCGAAAACCAGTCCGGCTCGAGCGAAAACAAAGCACAAAGAGGCGGAAAAAAAAACGTACCTAGCTGGACCGGCCGGGGCTTCCATTGGAAACGCGACTCGCCTTATTAGTTTTGAAGAGTGAGCTATAAATAGGTATATCGAAAGAAAAAAGAAACCCCCTGTATAGGAATCGTTGGAAACGGGTCTTTTGAATGGAAGAATCGATCGATGGTTTGCGATAATACGATAATTGAAATATAATCGTATTGTTTTTCGGTATGTGCAAACTTATTTTTAATTATGTATAATTGCGGGTAATTTCGTATATCGGATCGACGAGGAACCTTCGTGAGGCGTCTAAAAAATTATAAAAACGATATGGAGATGAGAAAGCCTTCACAAAACCGCAACGATATTCCCAAAAAACAGGCAAATTGGTTGCAAAAAACTCCAAAAAATCAATTAAAAAATGTACCAATTATCGAGCTCTAAAATTGTCTCAAATTACGTCAGTAAATCGTCATAAATCCGGTTGAAGAAAAGACCAAAAATGTGCGAATTACGGACCTAATTGGAGCTCCAAAAAATGCCTCAAAATATTTTCAAATTAGGTAAGTAAATGCTTAAAAAATGCAGACATAGACATCGAAAAAGTGCCTAGCTTGAGCTTTAAAAATATCTCAAAATATTCTCAAATTAGGTAAGTAAATGCTTAAAAAAATGCAGATATAGAACCATCGAAAAAGTGCCTAACTTGAGGTCTAAAAAAGCCTCAAAATATTCTCAAATTAGGTAAGTAAATGCTTAAAAAAATGCAGATATAGAACCATCGAAAAAGTGCCTAACTTGAGCTCTAAAAATGCCTCAAAATATCTCAAAATAAGGAAATAAATGCTTAAAAAATGCAGATATAGAACCATCGAAAAATTGCCTAACTTGAGCTCTATAAATGCCTCAAAATATTCTCAAATTAGGTAAGTAAATGCTTAAAAAATGCAGATATAGAGCCATCGAGAAAGTACCTAACTGGAGATCTAAAAATCTCTCAAATTAAGTAAGTACCATAAACACTTCAAAACTCAGTCAAAAATAACCCATATTATGTACCAAAAATCTACAAAACAACGTACCTAACTCGACCTAAAAAACACCTCAAAACATCCTCTAATATAGGCATTAGGTACCATAAATACCTCATAAATCCAGCCAAAAAAAAATCGACAAATTACCGACCCAAGTCGAGCTCTAAAAACCGCTTTAGGTAGAGGAGAAACGCGCGCGAAACGGCCCGTTTAACGACACCGGCGCTTGCCCGGTACTCCGGTACCCGAACGGGTACCATTCCGTCGGTGCCGCAGTGGCTCTCGCGAACCACACCGATCGCCAGTCACTTCGAATGCACGGTACTCGCAATCGTTCGGTTCCAACCTAAACCCATTGATATTATAAAATTCCTCCCATGAGTTTCAACTTTTAATAAACCGAGTTATAGGTTGATTTACAGTGCCGTGATCGCGACAGGGTAGGAAACTTAACGATTAAGCGTTATCTATAAACAGGTAGGTACTTTCTTTTTTGCATGGTTTATTTTTTTTCTTACATTTGGTGTTCACCTGGTAGAGTTTTAGTGTGGCTAATTCGATACATTTCGAGCTCACCTCGTAGTTATAAGTTGGGCTAAATCGGTACATTTGGTGCTCACCTCGTAATGTTATTACATTTTATTCGTTACTTACCCCTTGTAACTTATTATTTCGAAAATAAGCGTATATTTTAACATGCTTATTCGATAATATATTTCGTGCTCACCTCGTAGTTGTTGTTTGGCTAATTCGATACATTTCGAGCTCACCCCGTAATATTATCTTTATCACTTTAGCCTTCAATTACCCCTTAATTGTAACTTATTATTTCGATAAGATGCCTATGTTTTTTAACTTTCTAAGCACCCTCGTATTTACATGTAGAATTCGATCTGTCAACAAATGTCAATAGAATTATTCTAGTACGTCAAAGTGACAATTAATTTATGTCGTGAATATTTTATCGATTCCAGTGGAAAATGTTAAATATATTCTTTTTCGCATTCGAATTTTTAACGAGCGCTATTAGGTAAATAACAATTAAAATTTATAATCTCGTCATAATACGTACAGGTAGCCATGGAAGTTAACCACAGCCAACTTGACGGAACAATAATATGTATTGCGATTATTTAAAAAAAATGAAGCTTTACTAAATCACCGAGTAATAACCGCTAATTACTCGAGCGGTCTAATTGCGAACGATTTCGATAATTCCTCTAATTAACGCGGAATTAATTCGCGGAAAAAAATCGAATTAAAAGCGATTTATGAATACGTAACACCCTGTATATTATGGGGTATTTAATTCGGCAACAAACGAAAACTAGATGCAAATGGAATCGAATTGAATCGGGCCGGGGTAATTAACTGTTTTGTTATTTTGTTTTTATTTTTCAAACGACTAGACGACTCGATTTTTCGCCGATGGGTATTTAAATTCGATTTTTTTTCACAAACGCTCATCGCGATTGATCAATGGCAGGTCAACGACTGGTAACGATGAACTTGCATCTTGTGAAAGATGAAGATGAAGATGAGAGCGAACCAGATTGGGCTTGTATCATGTAGAAAAAAAAATGTTAGTTTAATGTATTGTTATTTTTTATTATACAGGGTGACCCAATGAAAAGAGGCCTATTTAATCAGCCAATAGACTCATAACTACAATAAGAATAAATGGGACACTTTTCATTGGGACACCCTGTATTTAGATCCGATGGGTTTCATTAGGTAAAAGAAATTTCGTTGTCTTAAATAAACAATAAAAAATAAGAGAAATTCAAAAACCGACGTTTCGACTGTAATTGCTGCATCTTCAGGATCAAAATAGAAAAAAAACTTGATTATTTTTGACTTCTTTCACCGGAAAAAAATTTCGACTTTAGAAAGAAATCGCCTGTTGACCCGTCCAATGGAAACTTATCTAAATGCACTGTTAAAATTTCAGATACAATTTAACTAAAAAGTACAATAACCGTGAGTTATTTTTTTCCATTTTTTAGGTTAAATGAATAATCATTTTCAAACTTCCGTTCATTGTTTCGATTTCCAATAAGCAAGTTCGTCGAACAATCAAGTAGGTAGGTAAATTCTGGAAATGCACTATCATGCCCTTTATTTATTTTTTTAATGTTTTGTTTTACTTTAACGGGCGATTAATTTCCACTATAACAATGCTTAAGGAATGGTTCGATATTTAACGAAGCGATTTATTCATTCGTCAATTAGTTTTGTCTGATGAATTAATTAATAGATATAAAAATTTATTACAGTAATTTTATGGTTACTTTACGATTTAAAGGACCGTTTTGTTTATGATTAGATAGCTATTTAAGGTAATTTTTAAGGAGACATTAGTTAATTAAATTGTCTAACTCTAACACACTGTTATTTTAATAATCTTGCTTTTTTAATCACAATTTTGCATTGATGTGTAGGTATGTTTAAATTTTCTTTTAATATTATCCGTTGTTAAATTTAACGGTCAATTATCCTGCATTGCAATGCGGATTTTAATTACGTCTAATTTCCATCTTCGACCGCAATTACTCTAACCTCCCTATACTCGGTTATTTTCGTGTTTTTTTTTTCTCATTTTCTCCCAGCCTTTTTACATTGTACAAGAGGTTCGAAGTTCTTTCAAGGGCGTCCGCTTTTCGCGATAATTACTAATTACATAAAGTATAAAATGAACGTTCGACGACGGCCGATAAACATTGAAAATGTCTGTTTAATAATACCGCACAGTGGCGTAGGCGGTTATTTTTAATATTACATTACTGATAAATTTTGTGTGGTTGTGATGAATTATTGTGAGTTCGGCAACACTGCCTACTTGTGACGTAGTAAAACTCTGTTTTTTGTTGGATTTTTGGACATTCGCGACGATTCGACAACGTCGCTTTTTGTTTTTCCGTTAAAAAGAGGGGATAATTTGCGTAAATATTCGCCATGTGTAGTTAATTAACTTTGGTTTAACATTAATTTTTTTCTGTAAATTACACGTTTGTTACTTGTTACTGTGGATTTGTAACTGGTTTGGAATGTACGCGAAAATTGCTCTAATTAAACCGAAGACGCCTTAAAAATGCAAAGTAAACATTTCGGGTTTTTCCGTTTTTCCTCTGAAGTCGAGAAACTTCCACTTAA